TCAACCAAGGTATGCATTGGAGCAGACAGACTTTGTACGACCGGAACATCAAACCTGCAATGATTCCCTTCTGCACAGTGTCATGGCAGCATAATCGTGGCCACGTAACATTTTCAGAAATTTCCAATGACACGAGAAAACCAAGATGAACCAGCATCTTGCCTTGGTAAACCTGCAAACCTAGACTCCAATCTCCACCGGGCCCGGAGATGCAGAATTGGTCATGGTTCGATTGCGCTCCAGTAATTCCTCGCAGTATCTGTACCTCTGGGGCTCGTGAGATTGTTAGCGCCATAGTGCTGTGCTGGGCAACCCGCTTCTAAGCGCGATGTAACGGCGGCTTGATGAACCGCCGTGAAAGTGCAACAGTAACCTCAAATGTGGAATCGACGGATTGTCTCGGCTGCTAGGCCGCGCGATAATGCATGTACGCTGTCTGGCCCCACCAGCGGTGATTTGGGGACATTGCGATTTGTGCAAGTTGGTCTAGATTATGTCTCCGACCGGCCGTTCAAACGAAACGAACCAAATAATTCTCCGGATCCATTGCCGGTGTCTGAGAAAGATGAGGGGCAAACAGCAAGGTGTTCGGACGCGCTTCGGCTCGGGTTGTGAAAATCGGTCGGCCGGGGAGAGAGAGGCTTCGGAGCTCCAGGCAATTGATGGTGTGCATGGTGCTCAACGTGGATAAACGGCGAGAAATTCCAAGTCAGGATACTCGAGACGACCCAACGGCGGTACTTTCTCGGTACCTTGGGTTTAGAAGAATGTGGGCAACGAGGAAATGGCTTGGATACGGTGATTTGCCCGGCTTCCTGGCTAGGAAAGTAGGAATCTAGGAATCTAGGAGTCCAGTCGGGAGACTAAGAAAAGCAGGGCAACATCCAGGAATATTGGTTGTGATTCAACATTCTCCATGGGTTTCCTTGGTAGCGGACATCGTCAAAGGCTGGCAGAGCAGGGCACCGGTCGACCGGACCACCTGTTGGCGAACCGTGTCCTGCCCGACGACCCGGACTATATCGTGTCTCAGATGTAAAGCGAAATTCTGGCTGATAATCTAGACTCTGTTTTAACGTGCTTTACTGCTGTGGGAAGCTCGGAAGTAGTTCTAGAAAGGCACATGTAATTTGGGAGCGGGATGCCAGAGCCGGCCGGGAGATTAAGGTGGCGGATGGATGGTGTGCGACTGTACATGCAGTGCAATAGCATACAAGCTTGACAATAATTGACTCAGGGGGACCGCGGGTTTTCCGATGGCCGCAGCAGTGGCTGCAGAAGACATCCAAGAACGCTCGCTGGGATGACTCTAGATGCGGACGGAAAACCACGGGTACGTGACTGCTGCTGTCGTTCTGATCATCCCAACGGGCAGCCTGCATGATGATCTGCTAGAGGCGCCTGGGTCCTCACACCGAATGGACTCTCCGAAGCCGTTGTCCAGAGGCGTTGATGAGTGGCTCCCAGCCGTTCCTCCAGAGGGAGATCATCCCAACGAGGCCTGGAATGTGCATGAGATCATTGAGATGGCCCGTTTTGCTGTCTGCACTCCGCACTGCACCTGTGATCGAACCAGCCAATCGACAATTCTGGCACGCCGTCGGCATGAACCCTCAGAAATGACGCCAGACGCCCCGAGGAGCTGCAAGGCAAGGTGACGCCGTCGCGATTTGGTGGAAAGCTTGCTTTGTATGTGCAGGCCTGAGCGCAGCCTTTTCTTTTCGCGAGATTGTGTGAATTCCCGCAGTCATAGAAGACATTGTAAATGAACCATCATCATGCGAGCCGAAAATAGCCAAAACATGGCGGCGAATTCCAATTGTGCATGAAACATGGGGCTTGCATGAGGACAAAGGCGACATGGATTCTCTGGGCATCGGAGCTCGAACGAAGTTAATGCTTGGGTTCGGAGATTCAACGGTTTGGCGACAGTGACCGGCCGATGGCAATGCAGCAGTTGGGCTTGTGGTCAACGGGTAATTGTCAACCTCGACTACCATCTGGTCCAGTTTCCATTGCCGGTTCTTGGCCGTCTTCTGAGCAGACATGTTCCATCAAATAATTTCGCAAAGACCCAGTCTTCATTTCCCCATTTTGCCTGTAACCGCGTAACATCGTAGGCGACACACTCTTCCTTTGCTTTTCATGATTGGACAGCCACCTCAGTCAGTGTCAACTGTCAAGCGACTGAGACCCCCCTCCCGCCCCTAGCCAACCCCGTCGGGTTTCTCTCACGCTCGGAAGATTTGTCGGGAGCCTTCAACCGACGTGAACTCTTTGGGGAGAAACGAGGATGGGTTGGCCAGACTGACGTGACATTGGGGGTGCGCCACCCACTGACTGACAGACCGGATGGCAAGCTCAGGGGTCCTAGTGGGCCGTGTCAAATGTCTCTGACAACCTCCCCCTTCTTCAACGGAACGTTGCGATTCGTGAACTGGGGCCCTGAAGAGCGTCCAAACGAGATTGAGTTTGCAAGGGCGACCTTGCTCTGTGCAACGAACCACGACCCGCAATGCGTTTACAGACGGTGGCACAATCACTGCCAACAGGGAGTATCGCCAGGCCGCCATTCAGTTGATTTGTCGTCGGTGGCGATCCTCGGTAACGTAAAGTCGTCCGAATAAGGTTGAGACCTCTTGAGAAACGTGCAGTTCCAGTAAAAGCTAGACTCAAACCAACTAATCGCGTGTCCGGTCTTGCCCATTCCCAAGCCGATGTATTGTCCTCTTGTGGGAGTGATTCACTACCTCGTCGAGCGCCGCAAATAACCGTCAGTAACGAAGGGAGCCTGGGTCAGTATTTTTCAAAGGATGAACTAGATATGCGAACGGTAGCGGCAGCAGCATGAGATTGGTTTTCCTGTCACAGAAAGACGGACGCGGAGTCCAAGTTGAAGAGCCCCGATCGCATGTCAGCTGCCGAGACTTGGAGCCATATCAAACCCTCTTCACAAATAGAATGGGTGCCATGAGACTTGGTTAGATACAATAAATTGCCAATCTCTTGATGTACAAACCGGCAATTATTCTTCGAACACTCTGGAGGCTGGTGATGTTCTTACCTCGCGGTGGGTTGATTGAACATCTGGTGCTCCCGGCCGTCGACGTGAAGAGCAATAGCGAACGCTTCGGCGGCCAAAGATAAGACTACCATGAAGTCCCGCCCCATCCAATAGTTGCGTCTTGAGCAGTGATTGACAGTCGATTGTCGAATCTAGATTCTTGTGAGACAAGATGCAGCGCGGCTGATGTCTCAACTTATCTCAAGGTGTGAGTGGTAGGGCACTTGTTGGTCGGCCGAGTGAGATTCCCCAGCCTTGGCTTATGCAGTGCCGGCCATTCGCTGTGAGGAAGTTCGGGTTGTGGATGGTGGGTGTGACTTGAAATGAAGCGGTGGGTCAGAACATCAATCAGCACAATGCTGCATAAAACATCCACGAGATCCCATGCGACGAGACTGCCACAGGGTGGTAAGACTGAACTGCTGCCAGAGATCAAGGTACCGTTGATGAGTAGAAGAGCTGAATGGTGGGCGGTTGCAGGATCTAACCTAAACGCTGCGGAAGTCAGCAGTAAATGAGGCATGTCCCGCCTCCAAAATGGAGTAGGGATAGTCCACTTGCGCATGTATCGTCGGGTTCGTGACGTGACCCATCGTTATCCGACGACACTGCCATGTCCCGCAAGTACAGGACAAAGAGACGCCGATCAATGTCCGGCTGCCACGGAGCATTCTCTCTGCCAGCGAACCGCATCATGATACTTTCTTTATCCGGGGACGGAACAAAACGTCGGGTACCGCCCATCCGGCTGTGGCTTGAAGTGAAGTGAAGCAAGGCATGACATACTTTTGAACAGCCAATGTAAAGTCATGGTTGCAAGGACCGCCTCTGATACTCTTTGACACGATCCGTCCCGGCGGTAAGACATTCAGCCACACTATCCACCATTCTGATTGGCATTGACAAACGGTCCAATTCCCGCGTCAATGCCGCGCGCGGCACAGCCCAGCGGACGCCGTTGGCTGCAAGTAGGCCCAGAAAATAGATCAGCGGACGTTGGACGCATTGTTTGTATGTAGCCTCCACACCGTTGAATGGCGCTAAAACGGGCACCTCACGGGCGCCGGATCAAACTTGGCCCACGGATAGAGCAGGCAGCGAGGAGAAGCGGCTCCGATCCTATTGCAGCAGATTGGTCTTCAATCAGAGAGGCTTTAGGCTCAAGTCGTACCAAAATAGTGCCATGCCCACTCGACTGTTTCGCTTCCATGCTCCGGGCTGAAGGATGATTTCCCTCCGGCCTCGAGTCTTTGCGAGCATTCCAGCGTGAGAGGAGCTTCCCGGGGGAACCGACCAGCGGAGCAAAATTCGGCTGGCAGTTCTGTATTAGTACAACCCCCCCTGATCCCCTGCCGGGCCAGCTACCTACTTCGAGAGGCCTTTTCTTGGAAGTTGTAAATAGCTGCAGGGGCGTTTCACAGTATTCCAGAGAGATTGCCGACGAAGGTGTCGAAGAAGTGTTGCATACGCAGGAGCGGATGGAAATCTGGGGGATGATGCCATCCCGCCTGCGGCGGAGGAGGTTATGCAGGGGGGGTTTGTTGTGGAATAGAGTTGGGGCCCTGTCTTCTAGAAGGACCCAGGGATGGCTGGCAGGCAAAGGCGAAACATTAGTCCACTCGCAAACGACTCGTAGATTCCACAGCCTTGTCGTGTGGCCAGTGGCATGCCAGTCGAGACAGCACAGCGCATCCCCCTCGGACTTTGGTGCGGCGCGGCCTAGTCATCGTACTGGCAAAGGGGAGAGGAAGAGGAACATAGTGGCGATTGACAGGGGCAGCGGGTGGGCAGAATTCCAGGAGGATTCTGCTATTGCATAGCCTTGCGGCGCCCGTTTGAAGGGGTGTTTGCTGGGTGCAGTCGGCTGTTGACAAATTGGGAAATTCTCCTTCTCCTGCTCGTCCCATGATGCCCCGCCGGAGGGTTTGCTCACCGGTCAACACTCGACGTCGTGAGCGAGGAGGCCAACCTGGACAACAAACGCATTGCCCACACTCTTGAGCCAAGATGATGCGACATGTCCATCGGCGGCAGTCGTTGTGCGCCTACACGGGGGGTTCCTCTTTTTGCCGATAGCGATTTCCTTAGGAAGACCACTGATTAGCGCAGACAATGCGTATTCCAGGGCAATGCTGCGAGAACGGAGTCGCGCAGGGCAAGCCGCAAACGCTCCCGGGGAGAAGACCTTGGTAAAGTAGAATGGTATGGCGCCGGTGATGACAACGGAGGCTTCTCCCGAAGAGAACATGTCGGACATTGCCGTGATATGCGAACTCAAAGCAAGAGGCCGAGCTGAATGATCCTATGTGTCCGCCCAGCACGCACTCTAATGGATGTCTGCTGGCGGTCGCCGACTGACAGGGTGCTGAAGTGGACGAGGGTTGGAAGTGGAGGAGGAGGACGGTTTATCCGTTTCGTCGGTGTCGACTTGGGGAGGCAGGTCGCGAAGAAGGAGTTGAATGATGTCCAATGATGGATTTGGAGGTTCCGGCTGGGTCGGCAGAGGAGGAATTGTGCATCTTGAACATGAATGGGATTGTCCTCGGCGAATTTCTTCATGCGGATGTGAGATGGAGGAGGGTGGGGGATGATGGGGCAGGGAAGAGAAGACCCGACGCGGGAAGTAATGAGAAAGACGGAACGAGAGGAATAGGTACCTAAGCCAACGTTTCCGTTGGGAAAGGCACATAAGGTACGTATGGATTGTATCATGTACCTACATACTTGATGTAGGGCAGGCAGGCACCTTACACAGGTACGGTACCTTCCTTGCCTAATATCAATGGATGGTAAGGCGTTTTGCCAATTTCATGGATTCATACCTGCCTCTTTCGACAGTTGCAAATGTTGAACCGACGGCAACAAGCAAGAGCTCGAGCTCAACGTCAATGCCTGAGAGAAAAAACACAAGTGGGAAGGAACGACCTCGCAAAGTCGCTAGCACATAGCGGAGCCATCCACTTCCTCAGCGGGATGGACACAGAGAACGAGAAAGAGTGGAGAAATGTCACATTTAATGGGGCCAAGAAACCTGGGTACCTGGGTACTTGGACGCCCTCAAGGAAACAACAGGAATAGGGGAGAGCTATCATTCACCTAACGGGGCGCACTGTAGAACTAACCCCACTGGTGGTGTTTGAACACGGTGCCAATTGCGACTCCTTCGCACACCGTAGCGGCTCCCTACAGGCTAAGGTACCCAGGCAGGGCCAATGCAAGAGTCACGTCGTGGGTGGGCAGCCTCTCCGTTCGTGCCTTGCTTTGCCTGGCCTGCCTTGGTCGAAGGAAAGCAGCAGCAGCAACACCGCAAGATTGAGTCTATACAGGTGAGGTACCTTACACGTAGGCTACCTACAGCTAAGTTTGTTTGGTTCGCGCAACCATGGATACGTACCGCACCGCTGTAGGGCAAGGTCCAAGTCCGGGCAAGGCTGGGATCATTGACAGCTGTCAGATGAGCCACTCTCCGAAGCTTCAGGGCCCCTCGACGTGCCACTTGGATAGGTAGGTACCTACCTTAGGTAGTGGTCCTGCCACCATCAGCATCAGTACCCGAGTCCCCAATGTGGCATCAAAGCTTCAAGGATAGATGCGAGGTATTCGTATTTGACCATTGTGCACGTAAGATGATATTTGGTAGCGCTATCCATCTCAGATATCCAAGTTCTATATGGGGTACTCGGTATCGGCCTGTATTCTGCTTCTTCCGGCTGCGATTCTCGTCCTGACAAAGAACTCACGGTCCTCGGTGCCCCGAGTCCTCCCCCCTTCCGCCCCGTGTGGGGCTGCCCGGAGTTGGCCGAGGCAGGGCGTAATTGAAGAATCGGGTTAAGCATGTGCTTTCTGAACCGAGGACGAGGAAGGGGGGGAGGGGAAAACGCCAATCTTGTCTTGTCTTGGAAAGACGTTATACCCGTCAAGCCATCGTAGGCCGTCCAAGCTGTGTCTCAGAAGCTTCCATTTATGCCTTGATGCCTGCCACGACTTCTACTTTTCGCGGCGCACAGACGGCAGGGTGGAGCCGTGGACTTCCGGACCGGGCACGGCACCCAGGGGCGAGATCAAGAAAACAAGGATCAAGGATTCAAACGTCAGGGATTCTGTCAAGCTGTCTCTCTGCCCGTCAGGGAACAAGGAGTGAGTGGGTGAGTGGGAGGGCAGAGGAGGGACAGAGACTGAAGAAAGAGGTTTAGGCAGAGAATGAAGATGATGGGCGGGGGGTTAACCAGGGTGACAAGGGGAGGGGAGGAGCGAAGGACCCGGTCGTGGGTGATGTTCTTCTCTCCGCAGAAACGACCAAAGCACAGTGACTTGCAGCATCGAGAACCAAATGGACCTACGCGCTGCTTGAGTATTGATTTATGCCGCGGAAAAATCGACTGAGAAGAAAAAAAAACAGACAAGACATTGTCTCAAGTGAATCGGCCCATTTTCTCGCCTTCACGTAATGGGTACAATGTAGAAGCGAACACTACCTAGTAACCAGGGCTGATTCATCTCAGATGCATGGTGGCACAGTCTGCCTTGTCATTGGATCCCGCCGTCTCTTGTTCGCTGCACTCTGCACTTTGCACAGGGCAGAAAAAAAAACGGACGAAGCAGGGATTCTCCCATCGAGTGCAAGGCGAAGCAACGCAGAGAGTACTAGGTATGTATGCGCACACCGTACTACGTCCACAGTAAGGTAGAGACGATTTCTGTATGCAGGCCCTGCCACCCGAATGATCTTCCCCTGCCTGTTGTTGCCTTTTTTCCTGACCTCCACTCTCTCCCACCTAATGCAAGGTAGTTGGGTAGGTAGTCGCTCACTCACTTGCTAAGGTAACTCACCTACCACCCACTTAACTCACCTCAAGGTGACTTACCTAAGATAAGGTACCTACGTGAGGTGGGTAGCTAAGGTACAGGTGCAGCACCTCGCAGCCCGCCCTGACCAGACTTCACCTGCCTTAGCTCACCTTAGCTCCAGATCAGACTATCTTACCTTTGTTACCTGAGGCAGCGACAAGATAATGATGCATGGAAGTGTACTTCAACACGGGTCCGACACGTGTGTTGATATCTTTTCGGACACATGGAGCACATGAAGCACTTGGGTGTAGGTACCTTAAGGCCAACGTAGGTAGGGTAAGGTACCTTGGCTGGGGTGGGAGAAGGGAGAAGGAGGGCAGGCGCAGTGCCATCTTTCCCAATATGGCCATGTGCTCTCTTCCACTTCCATACCCTTACCTAGGCTCGAAGAAGGTACACGTACGGATACGTTTCATTACTTGTCTGTGCCTGCCCTGCCGTACCGTTGGCACTTTTATACTTGTGGCGTTCGAGTATGAACCAGCACCCGTCTCGAGGACGGGCCAAGTACCGCCTTCCTTTCTTTCCTCAGGCGCCTTAGCCCACGCACCTCCCGTCTCAATCAGCATTTGCTTCAAGGGAAATCCTTCCTCTGCGGCAGGTGACCACTCAGCCTTTGCGCCGCGATCTATCTGAACGCTCTTTCCCTCTTGTCCGTAAGGTAACTACCTACCATAGTACGTTGGCAAGTTAAGGTAGGTCGTCGATCCAGACGTGCCTGCCATGGCCTGCACACTCCAATGGATGGGTGGGTGCTATCGCCTGCCAGTGCGAGTGTCTCTTTCCCCATCCTTTTGATATGCATGGGCGATGGCCAGTCCCTACCTTAGGTACCCACCTTACCGACAAGGAACGGTTACAGAGACTGAATGGACATGGGAGGTAGGGCAGGCGCGGGAGACCGGGTCCCAGGTGAACAATTCAGCCAGATGAACGAACGCCTTCCACCTCGTCCCGTCCACGTCCCCTTCCCTCCACGCCAATTGATTGAGGTATTGTCACTTTCTACCTTTCTTCACCAAAAGGCAGGTGGTTAAGGTAGGTTAGTTAGTTACCTTACTTAGCTACCTTACCTAACCTTGCTTGGTTTTCACTGTCTCCAATCACGCCTCGCCTCCTTCTCTTCCTCTCCATACCGTAGGTAGATGAATGTCGGATCCGTTCTGCGGTCCTCCTCCTCCCAGATTTTTGACCTGATATTTCGTCCTTTACAAGCCCCCCGTCCTGGCCGGCATTAGCCTCACTCAAGATCCACCTGGGCATCCCGACTCAGATGGTGAGGCCCTCTTCGAATGCTCCCGTCAAAAGTCCCCATCCGACCATCTTCGGTACCCGGGCCTGACTGCTCCATCGTCGTCTCTTTCTTCTCGCCGCATAATCGCACAGAGCAGGCCAGGACCCATCAGAACTTGGCTCCATATTTGACCGGACCGCTCTGCCATCTGCGCGTTCGTCTCACGGTTGGGTCGTCTTCTGAGCCTACCATACCTTCTCCTCCGCAAGTCATCTGTGGCGTATCAAGACGACAATTTTAATACCAAGCCGGTACCAAGCTGGGCAGAAAAGACGGGTGCCGTATCCTGAGATTACGTCTCGCCTTGCGTCCACACCGAGTAGCACTGGATAAGCTTAGCAACATCGCCGCCATCTTCTTTGGCAATAATACACCATCAGCAACACCAGTAGCAGACACTCCATCTGGCTCACGGCACGATACTTCCTTTTCCAAACGACTCCCGCGCCAGACCCAACTCATGTCAGCCCAGCCCAGCCATCTTGGCTTTCTTGACCGCCCCCAACCCGCTGCTTGACAGGTCGCTTCTTGCCGACGGTTGTCGACTGACCGGGGACGACTCCGCCAAGAGACTCGAACCTCGCGGCACAGACCAGAGCGACACAGGGATTCCACATCGCCTCTCCTCCGTGCCTCCTCAGGCCTTCTGCCCCTCCGTCGGATGCCAACCAAGGCCTGGGCCTTGTCCACATCATCCAAGACTCCCGTCCAGTATTTGACACCCAGCTCCTCCATGCACCCACAAGGTCGAGACATCAGAACACAACTCCAGCCCACCATCTGGCTTTGTCTTCCAGACTCCGCTCTTGCACACCTTCTTCGAAACTTGGAGATCTGCCCTGTTGCAGACAGAGCGAGCTGTTCGTTGCTGGGATAAGGCAGACCGTTCGGCATCGATACATGGGCTCAGAGTCCCTCGCTGCATCATCATCGTCTCCAAATCGCGGTTGAATTCCCCGATAATCTCAAAGCCCTTCCAAAAGGGAAAGAAAACAGAATGCATTGGTACGACACGGTGCATCCCATCCCACCTTGACCTGCCACCCCCTTCCAATTCCCACTCCCACTCCCACTCCCACTCCCTCTCCTCCCTCACTTTGCTATCCTCCTACAAGAGAAGAGACGAGCAAGCATTGTCCAAGTCAATCGATTCTGGGGCAGGGGGCCACATTGCAAGGCAGTAAGTAGTATCCGTACTTATGGCCCATGGGGGAAACTGCTGTTCCTCGGCACACCCCACCCCCGGTGTTCTATCTGCTGGCAGCTTGACTGACTGTTTTCTTTTCTTAGTATTCCTAGTCCCAGTCCCAGTCCCAGTCCCAGTCCAAGTCCCAGTCCTAGTCCCGGTCGCTGGACGCCTCCTCCCCATCTCCAAACGTCTCCATCTTGTACACGCCCCCTCATGCGACCCCTGAGGTACCGTACCCTCCCCTACTCCACCCATCAGTTCCTGATCCCGACAACAGCTCTCAGGGCCATCAAGACCTAGCTGACCTGCCAGACTCTATATCAAGATCACTACTCTATCTTCTAGTTGCTTCCTCATCACCATCAGCCAAACAAAGCTCCACGGCACCTCAAACCTTCCCGCGAGTCGCTTTGCTCCCTTTTCCATCTCTTCCTCCAGTTGCAACATCCTCCCACTTGAAGCTTGACACTCAACACTCAACACTCGGCATTCTCATGAGAAAGGACGGCCGAGTGGCATTCTGGTGGTCGCAACAAACGCGGGCGAGCACACGCGCACCGTTTTGTGCGCCCGCTACACGCCACTCACCAAGATCGAGTCGTCCATTTCCGTCACGTAGCCGTAGACGTACCGCTCGAGTCCTTTACGGGAGAAGCTTGCTTTTACAGAGGTAGGTCAGACCCTGTCTATATTACCAGCACATACTGTATGTGTGTGGATATGCAGACAGGTTGCCGTCGTCGCTGACCACTTAGAACGTAGGAAAGAGCCGCTCTCAAAGATACTGACTGGCGCCACTGCTGCCCCATAGCTTTCAACTCTCCTCTCTTGTTGCCCCTCCACATAGGAACAGTCCGATCAGCCTCCCCTGCTGCTGTTCCGTGTCCCGCCTCGAGGGGATCTACGCCTAGTACTGTACTTACGGCTTCCATCATATGGCAGGGGGTCCAGCCATCAACTTCTTGGTCGCATTAAATCTGCTGTTCCCACCAGCTGTACTTCTCTCACCATTTACCGTTGTCACGCATCGTATCATATAGTCTTGCCAGAACGAAACGCATCATCAACGCCTTATCGAATTTCACCATACGAGCTCGCCAAACCATTGATCCTGCCATCCTTGCCGTCCCGCTGGCTTCGAAACGAGGAGATCTTTCGTATCTTTGGCGGGCCAAGCCGCACGAGGCTCGACAGCTACACCCGATCTGCGTTGTTGGGCACATTGCACCTACCCGGTATCAAACCTACATTGCCAAACTTTTCTGAGCCCTTATCGAACGGACTGCCCCTTTTCACTCGAAAAGTCTTTATCAGCCTTGTCAACCTTGGATCTACTCTCTGGAGACGCAATATCATCGTTCCCAAGGGCACGCCAAAGTTACAACCATTCTGTTTCGATACGGCGGGTCCTCCTCTTCTTCAACATCCCTTTTGCTCTGCATATAAAAGACCAAATATTTTTTTCTTTCCAGGGAACAGCAAACCACGGCGCACTTCAAAACGAAACGTAACTCCCCTCAAGAACATATCGATCATAGAAAAGCCCAAATGTCGTATCAATCAAGTTGGCACCCGGGCCCGCCCCCCGATCCTCAAGAGTACGTTCAAGACTCAACATCATGATGGCTGGGAGAAGACTGAGTAGAAGCTGACAAGCCCTAGCATAATGAGGGACAAGGAGGCATTGCGCCTTTTGATTTCCCAAGCTCCATTACACGCCAAAGTAGCAACTGGCAAGGAGAAAGGTTCGTCTTCCGTTCTTTGGTACCAGCTGGCGCACATCTAATCACAAGCCAACAGATAGGAAACCTATTGACCCACCGCCGGTTGTCCAAATCGACCTCAGAAACCACAACCAGATTTATTCAAATTTCATTCTATCAAGTAAGTGAGAGACAGTCCCCTTACCTCTTACCCAAGCTTGAAGGACACTAACCCTGCAATAGGCCCTAGTTTGTTTGTTGAGGCTTACCTCAAGTCCGGCGAGAAAAAAAGCAAATTAGACCCCGAAGCCTGTATAAAGGGCTTGGTGGGTACAACTGTTTCCTCTTTGCAAAAGTACAAGAGTCTCGAAGGCAAGGATGAAGGCTACTTTGTTTTTCCCGACCTTTCTGTAAAGATGGAAGGTCTCTTCAAGTTGGGATTCGCCCTTTACAACAGGAAGGGCGACGACGTATTCTTCATGACAGAGATTGAATCCCCCGCCTTCCAGGTGCACACGGCAAGGTCATACCCTGGAATGAGCTCGTCAACCGATTTAACCCGTCACCTCAGCGATCAAGGCTGTCGGCTGCGGATTCGGAAAGATTCCCAGGTCGTCAAGAATCGCAAACGACAGTTCCAATACAGTATGGACTCGGAGGAAATGCGCAACGTCAGGCAACGTCAGAGCATGGCCCAGGTTGCCCAGCGCTCGAAGGCGCACATGCAGCAACAAGGCTTCTCACACCAGGCCTCGGCGACAGGAGCTCCCAGTCCGGCATCGTCTTCTCATGGAGGCGCACAATCGAATACCGCAGCAACCATGCAACAGACGAATCGACACCATATCCAGGCGCTCAGCTACGCGCACCCACAGCCTATCCTAGCACAGCCCATGCCTGGAATGATGGGAATGCAAACGGCGCATTCATCAGTATACCCGCCACCAACGCCGTCTTCCGGATTATCGAGTGCATCGCTTCCTTCGACTTCCCCCACGCAGAGTCCCGACTTGGTGACCCCCACGTATTATCAGCTAGACTCACAAGCGGCGCTCTACGATAGTGTGCCCACGATCTATAGGGCGACTCAAAATGGTATGGCAGATGGCTTCTTTCCCCAGCCTCCTCTGCCTTACAAGCCTGTCCAATTCTGGGGTAGAGATCCAGAAGATAGACTCAGTAGCCAAGACCAGGACCATTACCAGGGCTAGGAGTTGTGGTTCAAGGTCGATTTGAGCGAGGATAGATGTTTATTTCCTTGTTTATTTGATTGTTCAATCCCAATTTCACCAGTCAGGGGTAAGGGACGTCTACTTCGACTATCGGACCCTGTCTGTCTCTGTATGGGCTGCGAATATACCGAGAGCAATGAGCCAAAAGGCTAGACGGATTCAAGGAGGAGGAGTAGGCTGAGAAGAAGGAAGAGCGAAATCACCGTTTAGGTGACGCCGCAGAGACGAGATGCCTTTTAGGGCAATTTTTCTTTCTGTTTGGCTTGGTTCACATTGATGAGGAATGTCAAGAGAGCATATCAGTTTCTGCGACATTGCAAAAAGCCAGACGCAATTCCTGGCTATGGGTGGTCCGATTAGGCGTTGGTGGTTTCAAAGGCTTCAACAGAGGAGAGGACAGTATACCCTTGGGATTCTTTCAATGGGCATTGGTTGGTAGCACAGGGGCGCAGAAGGAGCATAGAGCGGTTAGGAAGCTCAAGTAGGTCATCAGTCTAGACCCCAGTATTGGCCATCACAGCTATTTCCTATATACCTTTGCATGAAGGCCGGTTCTCGTTAGTGAAACAGAGTTTGGTAACCCCTGGGGCATTTAAAAATACCGTCGTCTTGGTCACTTGACGGCACGGCGGCCTTTTGACTAGAACTCTTGTCACTCGCCTGAATATCTCGATTGTCCACGTCTGCTGGATTACACCCCTGGCCGTCAAACTTTTCTCCAATGCACGACAAATGAACTCATACTTTGCCAGGTACATTAAGACAGTAAGGGTCTTGGTCCCCACATGGGGGCTACTTGAAATGGGGCGGGCTACGGCAGACGACGGCAGTAGGAGGGCAAGGGCGCAAAAGGGTCGATTGGGATTCACTGGCTAAGAGACGAGAAGGGGTTGGGGGGTTTGCCAAGCATCCAAGGCTGGTGTCGAAATGTCTCAGGCGTAAGTGTGTGTGTTATCGGAGGATGCCGGTTCGGACATCGGCGAGAGTGCCTCTATGTGTGTGTGTGTGTGTGTGTCATGTTTTGGTGCGCGGGGGTAATGCATCACGTCTCCGGGTGGCATTTTGGAGGGCCGGGCGTCCGGCCGGCGGGGGTTGTGGGCTTCCAGCACGGTGCAAGATGCCTAGGCCACTGGGGATCCGTTCGTATGAGCAGATTTCGACGAATTGATACTAGTATCAATGGGGAGATTATCGATGACTAAACTTATAGAGCGTGCCCCTGGCTGGGTTTTACTCTAGTGGTTTTGGGGTGGAAGGACGGGTTTCACGTAGATGTAGATATCGGATGAGAGATGTCTTCTAGCGTAGACCGTCATAGCTCGTGGGGGGGGGGGACGAACGAGATCAGTGGACGTGCCTCTTCAAAATGCCAAGGGGTTTCACTCCATTTATGAACAATTTTCTCACTACATGGATATCCATCAGAACTTTGGGGAACCTACATGTAGACTCGGAACCCGCGCGTTGAATCTCTACGCCTAAGAGCACCGCCCATCGTTCCTGCGACAAGGTTCGGGCTGGTTGTGGGCAGTGAATCATGAACGTGGCTACCCTCGTGACGACCCATGTGGCTCAAGAGACGCGTAAGTCGTGATGAGGAGTCCTTCCCAGGTAATAGTTCTTTAGAACCTGGACCCGGTTCCTGTGGTGGCGAAACTGAAAAGTCCAAATAAGGTGAACTAGGTTTGATTTCATCTGTACCTTTTGCCCGACAACTTTCGTGGCTCGGGTTCATCTGGATCAACCTTGCGAGTGGAAAGTCTATCTCCTTGAGCGCCGCGATTTGTACAAAGTTTGTGGCAATTGATCCAGATGATTGGCGTCTACGAGTGATTGATGCCGCGTGTTTTTATGATTTGAGTTAAAGCCCAGTATGGATGGACCAAAATCTTGGGTATTCATCTTTCCAAAAGGGTGGTTTCAATTATTTATTTGTGACTTTTGGTGTGTTAGGCAAGGCACACAGGGGCTGTAAAACTCAAATGAGGTGACTCGAGTGAGATACTCGGATGATTCCCGGTAGCAGAATGGATTTACGTAGATAGGCGAGTGAGAAGAGATGGGCATTCATCTCCTTGAGTGGTGAAATGAAGCGATGTTAGCAAGGTCGTGAGGCTTCGCGGCGATGCGGGCACTTTGCTTGCAGGTCCTCCCCGCATGAGGGGTCGCGGCGGGGAGGGGTGGCTGCCCGTCTGACAGGCCGCGGGGTCCCTGTGTGCGGGGGAGGTGACCTGCAACATGAGCCTATTCGGTTCCCAGGACCTCGTCTCAATCTCACTCCACACCACCAACTCAACTTCAACCTTGACATGACGATCTCTGTCTAGGTACATCACCGCAGTGCATTGCTTCGGAACGCAACACGTCTATAGCAAATTGCTGCTTACCACAATGACATTACTTCAATGATACATGAAGCTTCTTTTCAGCATTATTCTTTCTCCCGTCTTTGTTGCTCGTCCTCCCGAGGTGCCCTCCCGAGGTGCCCTCCCGAGGTGCAATCCGGGCCGGATGGCGCAGCCGCCTCATCCCGACGGAGATCATGACGATCAATCACCACCTTGTCAAGACAACACACTCGGGACCTTTATGCGGCTCTTTCATGACCCGACGTACCGAGTATGCTGTATGATATGAAACATGTCACTTTTTGATCACAAAAATTTTGAGAAAAGTCCGAATTGGCCAACGTTCCTGATGAGAATATGAAGTTGGGGTCGAGTACATCTGTCCCGCCCGGTACCTGCCCACCTGCCTGACCGCCTTGTCTGTCCATTACCAAGTATCCATCTCATCCCCAGCCGTATAAGCACCCCGTCAACGTATGGAACGTCGATCGACCATGACGTGCGTTTCTTTCCTGGCGCTTGAACGCTGGGAGTGAGATCTGGTCCATTCGACAGCGAGGAGCCGTTGCTTGGACTCTGGGATATTGCTCCCTTGCCGCGCGGGTTTTATGAACCAAAGTTTACATCTCATCACGTCGTGATAAAGCCAGAAGATGGGTACTCCATAAATGAAGGTTCACCATGAGTTGACGGTACCCGAGATTTGAAATCCTCATCCTCGGAACTAGGAAATTAGTTGAAGGATCAGGCGCTTTCCATCAAAGTCCTTGAAAGCTTCTTGCACTAACGCCATGGACTAATGAGAGACCGAGGGGAATGCAAAGTGAGGGCGACAGCAGATCTCGAACCGAGTAGATGATATTCTGACCACCGTCCACTCGATGTATCCATCCAATTTATAGTCTCATGTTTCACCTTCTTGCGAACATTGCCGCCTCGGATCTCGGAAGCCCTGTTCGCATGGACTGCAAGGTAAGTTTCCGGACGATCATACGCGCAGAGACCTTTTGACACAAATCCTCCCGTAGATTGTAGGGTGGGTCTAAGCCTTACCGCTGGGATGTATTTAATCTCAACAGGCTAGGATAGAATTGAAATCGAGTTGAGAAACCTACAAAGAGTTATTAGACTTCTTGTGCAACTTGAAGACTTCGGACAAAGTGCAGGTATCAAAACTTGCCATTTCCTAATTGGCATTGACATGGTGTTTTGTCTATTATTTCAAGATGCAATTTCATATCGCTATACCGTCGTCTATTGACTAAACTCCGCGGAAAAAAGGGTTTATATGAAAAAGGTCTTTTGAAGCTGATTAGTCGGTGCTTGGCTTTTCTTTGTAGGTAGGATTCATCATGCCATACACCTAGTCCAAGCATGCTGGAATAGAGTCTAGCCTTCAAGCCTGAATGTCTTCAATGCTAAGGCGCACACATGTCACTGTTGACCTCACCTCGGGCCAACGACCTCTGCGCGCAATACAGAGATTGTCATAGTGACAGGTTCATATCTAGCAAGACCTGTTTCTCACGTTGTCTGCTCTATACGCCTGACTTGCTCGATCAGCCTCTAGATAGATCTTGGGTAACACCTAGAAAGCACAGGTAATCGATCCATAACGCGCGCTTGGACTCTACGGCTACAAGCCGGACGATCATACCCTGCACTGCATTATGACACAAACCTTCTCGTGAGGCTTTCTCGGGCTGGAATTTCCGGAGGCTTAGTGTCTCACAGAGCATAGGAAATAGCTGCGATGAGCTTAATCCATTAGTGCCGAATGTGAGGCGTCCCGAATGTCGATACCAACAATAATCGCCGGCTTGGAAGTCATCCATGGTCTGCCAAACCGAACATGCACTCATCAGGTTGATCAAGGCCACAGCTACCCCCACAAGTAAGTTAAAAGGATTCGAGGTTTGAATTCATCATAGAGCCGGAATCCCCCGGCAATGACCCCGGACTTTCTCGGCCCTGGAGCTCCCGGAACTCAACTACCGACACAGGGTTGTCTTTGGATCGAAGTTTGAACAAGCATCCCATGCAGAAAATATTGGGAAAGGCTCCGACATGAACTGAAAACCATTCGACTTGTACACAGCTCAAATAGTCCTCTCTCAACTCGGACCCTTCACGAACAAATGCCCGGGTCGGTAATCTGGCATTTGAACCGGACACACACTACAAACGTTCAAAATAGGCCGCCTGCCGGAAACTGTTGGGATGTATGTGGTTCCCTGCCGTTCAAGATAGATGGTCGAAGCCTCCTATGCTTCCATTCTGATCCCGGCCACGAGGTGTCACGTAATCTTCATCCCATCCTCACCCGTCTCAAAGACCGGATGACACCTTTTTAGCCGCATCACGGGCAGATGCGACAGTTTCAAGATTTCCGCTGGCAGGGCTGGAGAAACTCAGTTTTGGCGAACGGACTGCTCGTTCGCTGGACCTCCTGGGTGTTGGATATGCTTGTTGCGACTCACGCTCGTTCGGGCCGTGGGCCGCTCCTCGACAACGGCGCCCTGCTTCACCTACACTCACACACACCACCGACTCCATATTGTCAGCTCTATACTCTCGCAGAGCTGCCCGATCCCATGGTCAAGGCTGTTTAGACTTTGTTGACACTCCCAGGCCAAGCCCGAACGTCACTGAAGTCTGTTCATGGTTGGCGGATAGAACAAGAACAATTTATTAGAGTCCGTAAGGTCCCCGAAAGACCTTGTTCGGGCCCGCACGTCAAGCCCCTGACATCGTTCAGCATCGGCCTCTCCATAGTGCGGGATATTCTCCTTCTTCTTTCGATCCTGCTACCCCCCCGGCTACTCTGTTACGCGACGAGATCTCACGAATTCGTATCCGGCATTAGCCAGATGATCGCCCTGTTGCCATTGTCCGATGCAAGCCCGACATGGGTTCCTCGTCTGCCCAGACAGCTTGTCTAGTGCTACTACCAAAGTAACGCCACCACACAATAGCCTCGAGACTAAAGGTATCTGGTACATACAGCTCGGCCGAGACGAGGGCAGAAGGCAGATAGAATAAGCAGGCACACAGCCGGAATGCTTTAGCGAGATGCAAAGATAAGCACATACATGTATGCACGTTGGTAAGCCATCCATCAGCCAACCCCAGACGATGCAGGCGGGCGCCAGACTGTTGGCTCACTCCCCAAATGATGCCGCAACGTGCTCGCCTCGCGCGTCGACTCTAGGGCCGTGGGCATCTTGTGCATTGCAGGTCCTACGCCGGGAGTGGCTGGATAATAGGAGATTCCTTTTTACTGTGAACAACGACGGCTGATGGCGGCATCTGCACGAGGGCTGAGCGATGATCGAATCAGGCAATAGATGACCATAAGACGACAGTAAGCTCACCTATATTGGCGGAGGAGTGGCGTAAAGCTCCAGATTGGGTTGCCAGGCCACCGATTCCATCCCCCCTTCCTGGTCTATCTTGTTCCATATGAGGACAACGCTCAACTGCCCTTACCCTTTCTACTTCTATACTCACCGCAACTATACCGTCCCTCATCATCATTACGCCTGTCACCTTGCTTCTCTCTCTCTCCCGTCTCGCGTCATGCGCCGTCGGTCGGACACCAAGAGACTGCCATTCCTAACCCCTCACCGGTCTCCCCCGCCCGCACGCTTTCCCATTTACCCCAATTCACAGCTAGACTGGTGTTGGATGCCGCCGCCGGGGCGTCATGGGTGTGCGGATGAGACGACCGGGGTCCAGGAGACGTAGGGAAGTAGTAGTAGGGCCTGGCCGGGATCGCGATTCCGAGGCTTGAAACATTACGCTAGAACCAGGGCCGATTCCAACAGGCCTTACGGCGCGACGGCAAACTCTGCCCTAGGCTCCATAGTAGCCCTTTGACGAGACAGGCCCTTTTTTTTCTTTCTTGGTTTTTGAAAGGTGATTGACGTGTATAGAGTAGATGAGAGGGGGACAAGGGGGCACTTGACGCGATTCAAACATGAGCAGATGGTACTATAACGCTTCAGGGGGACGACCCCAGAGCCGTGGGACAAGACCTTTTCATTTCGGTGGCATTCGTGGCGCCGATCCAATTGCAGGCATGCTTCGCATGGGGACATCTGTCAAACCTCATCTACTGCCGGCTAGTTCGACCCAGACTCTATGCGGCCTTGGCCACCGAAAGGCTGGACTGGGTTCTTTTGACATTTGCGTCTCGGTTCCTTCGACCTCACCCCGGTCTCCTCCCCCGCGTGCGGGTGGTTTTTTTTGCGGCTTTGCCTACCGCTGGGCCCATTTGGGCCCAACCACTTCCCTGTTAACACCCAATTTTTCTAGAGTACTGTCATGGTCTGGATTACATGCTACCGACCGGGGATTTGTGTTCCACGGGAAACGAGAAAGTCGGGGTTGGTTTTTTTTTTCTTTTTCTTTTTTTTGGGCTGGGACACGATACTTCCCGTCCCATGTCTCTCGCTTGGATGCACCTTTGTTGCGCATAGCATTTGACGCTTGCCTTGCTCACCGGTTGATTGCCTCTCTTGCTGGACAATATCAAAAGGACATATACATTTCTATCATGGGTCCACCTTGTCCGATAGGCTCCGCCAGGTATAGCTTTGAAAAGTCTAGTAATTTGCTATGAGCTGCAACTTGCCAATCAGAGGCCGGCCTGGATTCGACCCTCTTTACCGTGGTACTATCTCAAACCTGAGGTAGGGGCTTCGGCCCGCAAGCAACCCAAGCCAACTTTCGTGCGATGCTACATGAGCAATTGATTTACAAGAAACCGTTGTGTGAAAAATGCACTTTCTGTTCGACGCCAAGGCGGCCCTTTTTAGAGGCTCAGCCTTTGGAGGAAGGGATCATCTTCCCGTCGTCCGGATCGCCTCTCTGTGACGTTGGCGATCAGCCGGTACTGAGGTAGCCAACCCAGAACTTTGGAGGCGTCAAAAGTTTGTTTAGGCGATCAGCATGCACAGGGTAGTGGTCGGCACGGTGCCGGTGGCTTACAAGGGTGAATTTGATACTAGGGAATGTAACACTGGTCCCAAGGTGTTGTGACGAAAATGTTAGCAGTGATGATTGTTGCCCAAGCAACATTAGCATATTGACTTGGAAGTAGTAGCCATTTACGTCCAAATATCTTCATGCTTAGACTATGGCGACTCATTCTTACCATTTTGCTAAAGACTCAGTGTAATCACCTCGAGCTTATAGATCAGTCTTATACGATGCATACACATAATGAGAATAGTCGTACAAAATAGCTATTGTTGTCCCTTTGAAACAACACGCAGTCATCGTGTAGATGCTACAACTAGCAGCGCTATTACGCTACAATGAAAATGAAGCTTAGTATCAGTCCCGATACGTCCATGAACTAGTCAGCACAGGAACTCTGCGAGAGCTGCTTGGACTGTTAAACTCGCGCGGCAACACTCTGGGGGTTGTGGAATACATCCTCCGGATCCCATTGTGCCTTGATTTCTTCCAGAACAGCAAGACCAGACCCCCAGTATGAACTTTGAGGGGCTCTCAGCTCCGCGTCCACAAACCCTGGGTAGGTGCCAGCAGCGTTAGGAAGAGTATTCAACAGCTTCCTGTGGAAATCTCCAAGGCTGGCGCGAGTAGTGTTCAAAGCGTCAGGTGCATAGGATTGGTAGAACATGACCTTGTCCCTGTGAGCGTAGGCTGTGCTGCCAACAGGGACTTCCGCAACAGCACCACCTGCTGCTTGAAACTTGATGGACCAATCTTCAGCCATAAGCTCAGCCGGAAGACTTGCGAGAAGACTGGCAATCTCTGAATTGGACAAAATGTGGCTGCTGCTCAAGCCCAAACTCTTTGAATAAAGCTTGTTCGGGGTGGGTGCCGTATGAAGGGCCTCCTCGGCAGCAAGACGGGCAAGAGAACCATTCCAGGTTTCTTGACGAGTGGCGAGAGATCCACCGATGGACTGAACGCGGTTGAGAATATCAGTCTGGTAGAGCTCTGCCTCTGAGCCGAACCAGGTCGAGGAGATGCGAGCTCCCGAAGGACCGAATACCATCTCCGTGCTGAAGCGATTGTCGAGGGTTTGGTCGGTGGCGATAGATTGCCAGGTGAGGAGAACCTCGGCGATTTCTTTAGGGTGGCTGTAGGAGAAACTCTGGTTGAAGTGAAGAGCGCTTGATGGCGCCCGGCGAGTTCTCATGACGAAGTCGGTGACGATGCCAAATCCTGCGCCGGCTCCTCTCATAGCCTGGAGGTGAATGTATCAGCAAGTGGTAAACATTGATCATGAAGGGATTGAGGAAATCTTACGAAGAAAAGGTCGGAGTTCTCCTTGGAGCTCGCGCGGACAATAGTCGCGTTCGCCGTGACGACCTCAACTTCCTCTACGTGATCGAGGGTGGTACCCCACATGCGAGACATTGGACCTAGGCCACCCTGTACACATCTTGTAAGTGTTGATCTTGACTTAACTTAATAGTGTCAGTTTCGACTTACCACAGTAGCATGGCCGCCAATTCCGATGCCCATGCACATTCCATGAGGGATGGCTCGCTGGGCGCCGCTCAGGTGTTCGTCGATTTGGCTTAGTCTTGTGCCACCGCCAACCCGGATGTTGTTCGTTCCAGCATCTTGGGTGTATTGGAAGTGCTCCATGTCTACCGATATGGCACCATCTTCACCTCCGAGGCCTTGGAACATGGTTAGCAAACTGTAATTACGGACGCTCCAGTACACTTGATGGTGTCGAATTGAAGCTTACCGTGGTTTCTGCGTGGAGTGTTAGTGATTGGGGACCATCTCGGTGGTATTGAAAGTACTTACCCCCATCCATGGCCTCCTGACTTTGCCTGAACTTTGACACCATGCTTGATGGCGCATCTCACAACGCTTGCGACCTCTTGGGCATCCTTGGGTCTCACGATGGCGGTGGGAGTGACAATCTGGCCCAGGTTGAACGGAGCCATCCAAGAAGTAGCCTTGCTGGCGTTCTTTTGGTTGGGGAACTGGACGCAATCTGTCCTGCCGGCGCAGACGTTGCCCAAGCACGACTCAATCGAGGGGCTTGGCTTGGGGACAGGCCCAGAAGCAAGCAAGCTCTGCGCCGTAAGACCGGCAAGCACTGTGGCAGCGCCGAGAGACCAAGAGTTCCATTGGATTCCTTTCGCTGTCTTAGCTAGCCGCGAAGGAGGGTTCTGGTGATAGGAAGACATTTTGGGTTATGCAAAAAGTAGCTTTCAGGTTCGCGATTACTGGGATGTAGTATAATATGGGTAGGCCCAGGAACCCTGATGCCGATGACTGCTTGTTGTAACCCCGAGAGAGCTACAAGACTATTTGTATCTCGCAAGATTTATCACGGACGATTAATTGCTTTAAAAAAGAGCATGTGATTGTGCTGAGGGAAAACGCTTCGGACGGTAGACGTCTGCCGGACCCGGCCCCGCATCGCCGATCGGTCTCAGCCCGGGTGTTCAGAATCCGTGGATCGGCAAACTTTGATAACGTACGGATACCTACATGTAGCTTACGCTTGGCTGAGCGGGCGAACTTCCGCGCGTAACGCGGCGCCCAAGTGCAGGGGATTCGGGCACCAAACTTGGAACTAGACATTTGTTTCGGGATGAGCCCCATCAGGAACGCTCAACTTACAACCCGTTGCGGTTGGTAATGTCTCTAACTTATCAAGACACTAAGCCCAATCCATTCCACATACAACCCATCTGTTTCCGGAGGGTCGTTGAAAGTTGGATAGATAGCGTCGATCAGTCCCGATCCATGGTTTGATAGATGTCTAGGTGCTTGTTCTGGGTTAGATGTGTCTCGTTACTGAACCTCCTGTCTCAGATATTCAATCCCTTCGAATAACTGTCTGTCGGCCGCTCGTCAAGAATAATGGTGATTTTCTCATCAGTATTTGAGAATGCAATTGCGTCATGCGGGATGGAAGCCACCGATCCAGCGGGGAGGTGGTTTCCCCATGGCATGCCGTAAGAAAACGCCTCCATGACATCACTCCTGGCAGCTGTTTACGTCGAATTGTTAATTGATAAGTGTGGAATAATGAGTTAAGGGAGAGACAGCAATTTGGGCGTCTGAAGGCTAGTGATGTTCCATTTTGACTCAGTTGAGCAATTTGATCATCTTCCCTTGGGAATATGAATTTTGACTGCCCAAGGTATTATGTCGCTCAGGCACATGAGATTGGCATAAATCACTACCCCGGAAAGCAAGTGAAGTTTTGACAGCACTCGGACTGATATTGCCGACCAGTCTAAGACCAAATTGTGACATCGAGCATAGTGCTGTGTGACGTTGACTGTAGACAGTTTCTTCCCAACTTACTGATGCCATCTCATATTCTTCCAGCGCCAAGTAGAGTACAAAGAAGGAACATCGTTGAAAAGATGTAATGAGAATGCTCGGTGGGACGAGGTCGCGTGTAGCAACTCAGAAACGTGGCTATCTGCCTACCTATGTAAGCATGGTGAACAACATCCATGGGACTCGGACTGATTTTAGTCTCCTTCTCGCCAGTCGTGTCTCTCTTGCCCGTCTTTATCACTCTAAATTCTCCTCCTCAGCCTCAGACCGAATGACCAGAAGATCAGGGTAAACAAGTATGCCAGGTCATTCTATATTGGTTATGCAGAATGGAGGCAGGCTGACAAGGGCCAACCAAACCAGACTCCAAATTCATCTTGGTGACCTTGAGTGGATCCAGCGAGCTCATGAAGTTGGTGGACTTGGTGGCCATGCTGGTAGCAAAGCCCAAATCCTCGTGAATCCACTTCCACTTCCCTTCGGCGCTCTTCCTTTCACGGCAAATGAGAGAAATAATTAGACCGAATCGATCTGGGGGTCACTCAAGATTAGCCCGCCAGTCCAGAAGCTCAAGGTTCAGCGCTATTTCCCAGTTTAACGTCATCCATCACTGGCATCATAAAGCCGCCTTCTGGTCTTCTTCATATCTAGCTGTTTTTCAGCCAATTTCATTCTCACCAGCCAGACAATCTGCGCCGGGAAGCCGACTACTTGACGGTGCTCCAATGCAGCCCAAACTATGATGTTCCCATACGCCAAACTCCCTTTTGCATCCAAGATCAGAAGAAGAATAGTCGCAAGAAGCTCTACAAGCTTCCCAAGAGTACGTTTGTTAGTCTCGACTTCGAATTCAAACCTTAGGCCTGTGTCGAGACTATCGAAGAGGAACACCGGTCAATCCTTTTGAGAAGATTTGGGCAAACGGCGGACTAGCCTAAAAGTTTCTTGAGTCAATATGGCGCCGACCCCGCCATCCGACTCGGAAGCGTGCGTGTTACATCGGGTTCACGGCAATCTCAAAAGTCCCGACTCCGTGTGCGTCCTCCTCCGTGCTATCCGCAATCACATGCAGCCACTTGCAAGCTACCGACCGATCCGCAATGTCACCATCCTTGGTACAGAAGTTGCAGAACAAGGGTGGATTTATCAGTTGCGGGGGAGGGGGCGGAATCGTAAGTGACGTTGTGCAATGGACGCAACAACATTGTTATCATACCAAGCGATTTGCCAAGACGTTGAGTATAAATACGGTGTTACAGATGCGTCGGGGAGTTGGTAAACGTTGATGTGACTCTGTTGACAACCTGCGAATAAAAATACTATCAATTCTATGTTGAGCCTCCTATGAGAGTTTGATATGAAGCTTGATTCATTTTCATAAGAGTGGACGCAGCCGAACTTGAACCACAAAGCCTGGGCCACCTGGGAGAAACCGCCTCTGGTTGTGCATACTAAAAAGCGCCCATTCTCAACCTGGAATTTGGGTAGCACAAGGACAAGAAGTATAATCGGAGCATTTCCCTTGGCTTACCCTGGTCAAAAAGTTGGTATAGGTTAAGTCTAGTTGAGTGTTCCTCATAAAATGACACTCAGCGATGAAGAAATTATTCTCTATGATACATCCTGAAGTGATAAGTACATCATTACATATCAATCCCTCCAAGTAATTTCCCAATAATCTTGAACGAGTCTTTGTTTGCCTTTCTCCAGTATCCTGCACATGCTAACCCGGTGACAATGAAGAAATCCATATCCAGAGCTTGTGGGGGAACAAACAACTCGAAGATTGGACTCGAATCCCCACCTCGACCTTCAGGCTTTCGCCTCCATCTCGCCAAAGTTCGCTCGCTGCCATCTTTGAGGTAAAGAGTACTCGTCGACATTGTATTCTTGGACATTATCCATCGATATTTGCAACCGTTGAAGTTGAATTCATGTCCATGGCTGTAGTCCGTGAGCTTCATACTCAGGTCCGTACCGCGCAGGGTGATTTGTGCTTTCGAGGACAGAGTATGATATTTGATGATGCCGACGGCGCTGTTTGGGGGGGCCTGGCTTTTGGGATTCGCATACAGAATCGCAAGGACGCCTTCTTCGTTATTCTCGTTCAGCGTCCACACTGGGATTGGCTGTCCGGTCTGATCAATACGATCTATAGTTCGTTGAGTACCACCGCATCTTTCTCTGACTTCAAGAATTTCGCAGACTGGGAGGTTGATCTTTGCATCCTTGATGTAGTCGTCGGTAATATTGTACCAGCCCATGATGGAAATGTATTGTAGCGCGTAGAGGTGTATCTTGAAGTCTTTGTGATATGAAACAATATGAGACGATAGTTTGGTACCGCACCGAAAAACGGAGCAGAATCGGAGGCTCCGTGAATGGGATCATGCCTACTTAAACCCCGACCCTTGTGCCGCAGCGTCCTCTCAGGATTGCTTAAATTTGAGGACAAGCCAAGCAATGCAGGTACAGTGCACCGCAAACTTGTATTAGAAATCAGTTGAGGTATGCCTTGCTCGGTCGGTCCGATCGACGGTAAAGGCAGATCCCTCTGGGCAATCATGCTGAGCCTCGCACGAGAATAACCTCATTGGAGCTTTTCTGGTCCATTGGAATAGACTTGCCCGAATTGGGAAGTTACAAGTTCTCTGTACCTTAAACTAGTACTTGTTGTTCCACTAGGTCTTACTGCGCTGATGAGTGCCAAGCGCGGCTTACCTTATTGCAGTCGAGCTGGGCAGAAGGTAATCATTTTGTTGCAGCTAGAAAACGACTCGAAGAGGGAAGAGGATGTTCCAATCATATCAAATTTCCTTCATGGCTTCTCAAACATATTTGATTGGCTTCAATGCGAGGCAAAATGGGTCTTTGCCAGACTCCATCAGCTCGTTCTCATATTTGACTAGCTAGCTATTAATTATCTGAATTGGCCCTCACCTCCTGGAAACCGTTGTATTCGAAGGGAAAATGCTGTCAGCGGTATATTTCAGCACCCATGTACCGGCCTCCCAAATGTCGAAGTCCTCCTCCTTCGCCGGATCTCCGAGTAGCTTGAGAGTCTTGACGCGCCATTTGTAAGTGCCGGCAGGGACGAAGAACTTGTTACCATCGGAACCATCCCAATACCACGTATGCGTATTCCAAGGATCCTCCGGCGAACTCTGGTACGGTTGAAATAACTCCTTTCCAGACTTCGCATCCACAATGTAGATCCTCATATCGTGCGACTGCATGAAAAGGTAGATCTCAACAGCGGGATATTCGTTGCCTGGGAAAGAAGCTGGAACATCTGCGGTGCTGTTCAGTGTGCAGGTATAGATGCGGCCTCCTTCGGCAGGCGACACCGCGCTAGTGGCCACATTGAAGGTTGAAAGGTACGATTTATCGCGGTTGATACTGTGCAAGGTAGTAAGGGGTGCTCCGAAGCCTGTATAAGGTAGCGAGAGTTTGTTGACGTCGGTTGCGCCCTTGGCTTCAATGTTGATGAAGCCGCCAAAGTAGGAGACACGGGTGGCAGCTTCGGACAAGGCGGGATCCTTCAAGATGGAGACGGAAATGGAGGCGGTTTTTCCAGGACCAATTGAAACAGTTGAAGGGGAAATGCCGACCTCGGCGTATACTGGGTAGACTTCCGCTTTAGTGAGTTGGTAGCTGTCTGCCTTCTCGAGGAAATAGCCAGAGCTGGCTCCGATATGACTCAATTGATAACTGATGGTATCCGATCCAGTGTTTTTGATAGTGAAGGTCAACTCTTTGGGGCGGTTAGTTGTGTCGTTAAAGGAAAGGGAAGAGGTGCTGAGAATTGTGGTTGAATGAACAGCTCCCCAAGCGTCGACAAGGCCAGCTCCTTGTTGAAAGACCGGCGCCAGGAAATCCTCTGTTTTTCCCTTTCCATCGTTCCACTTGACTGGGCGGCTTGTTGTTGCGATCACGTTCCGTATCTCTGCAGGTGTGTAGTCGGGATGCTGCTGTTTTACGAGCGCAGCAATGCCGGCTACGAACGGCGTAGCTTCGCCGGAACCTAAAGTATCAAAGTCAATGCTTGCCCGGGAAAGTGAATGGGTTATAAATGTTGAACTAACCGCCGAGTACCCCATAGCCTCCAATCTTTCCAGGGAAGGTACTCAAGATACTGCCTCCGGGAGCAAGGAATGCGGGGCAGGGTCCCCCTACAAGAGTCGGGCCCCAGCTAGTATACGCCGAGCTAAGAAGGCCAGAGCGGTTATTGGCCGTGTAAGTGACTTCCACGTCTGCGGCAGAGACCTCGTTGGCAATCAAGACTTCAACCGAGCCGTGCTTCGCCTTCGCCTCCAGTAACCGATTTGCTGTTGCGTAATCGGTTGATACGGACCCCTTCAGGTTTGGGTCTGTGCTTGAAGAGGTCGCCTCAAAGAACGGTCCATCGGAAAGAATGTAATCGCTCGGGCTGTAGTACATGACATAAGGGATGCCAAACTCTTTGGTAAGAGACACAGAGGAATTATCGGCCGCCTTCCAACATTGGTCAAACTGGGAGAGGAAAATAACCTTGGACAAATCTGTCGGCAAGGTAGACTTGTCTGGGAGCAGCTGGCAGTCTTTGGTATTGGGAGTGTTTGATGTCCAGATCGTTAGTCCCTCTTTCGATGGGAAGTCAAAAGGCAGGTCAGGGACGAAACGAAGCGAGCCTCCTTCATCACCGGCAGTCCACTTGCCCCCCCAAGTGTAATAGGGAGTTTGCGAGGGGTCCGCAGTGCCGACGCCGGCGAGAGTATCACCATCTCCTGGACTAGCGGTGGTGAAGATGCCAGGGCCACCATTTCCAGCTGGAAGGGAAACGTAGATACCGCTATTGAATAGTCGCGTAGCCAGGGAGGACCAGGGGTCTGGCAGGCTGTCAGCAATCAGGCCCATTGAGAGATTGAGTTTGTCAGAAGTTTACCATCAGGGAAAGCAGCATAATTTCCGAACGAGCAGGTGATCACGTCCACACCTCTTTTGGCAGCCTCGAGGAACGCGTTGATAAGCGTGTCAGTTTCTGAGGTATCTTTATCGCAACTCTTAATGCGATAGAGCTCATATGTTGCGTCTGGAGCTACACCAACGACACCAAATTTGCCCTCGTCACCCTTGGCTCCGATAATACCGAAGTTGGCCGTGCCGTCGAAGGAACAGTTATCACGAACATCATTGTCGCCGTCTACCAAGTCGTGGGTGTACGCAATATTGGTTTTGCTGAGACCAGGGACGTCAATATCGAAACCGTCGTCAATAACAGCCACACGGATACCTGTGCCCGTGATGTTGCTAGCATGAAGCTTCGACACACCGGTATCAACATGCCACGACAAGGTGTCAGCCCCGGCTTGGTCTCTTGCGTCGAGAGTTGAGTCCTTGGATAGGTCGCGCTTGTTCGATCCATGGCTGGGGAGTTCCAAACCACCTTCAGAACTGCCAGGAATACTGGGCATTTGAACGGGTAGTGGGGCAGGGGTGAGTGGCCAAGCGTTCAGAATGCCTTGGATTGACTGTAACGTGTACAGTAACGATGTTCGAGAAACTCCATCGTTGGTGCAGTCTACACTGAAGGATCCTCCTTGGAATACGGCGTGGGTGAAATAGTACCGCGAAGATACTGTGCAGTCCCAGCCGGAAGCTGTCAAAGACCCTTGTGTCTGGTTGTTGAGAGCCTCTGGGCTCTGTGAGAGTGTTAGTGACATTTCCCGCAAGGGTGTACTTGTGTATTACCCATTGTACGGATGCATCAAACTCAACAACGAAGGCGTCGTGGTATTCGGAAACAACCAACCATGGCAGGCAAGCTGCGAAGGCAGCCTGCTTAATGAAAGACTTCATGACGTTCCGATTGAGGCGGTTGATCATGACTTTCGGTTTTTTGCTTTGGACCGCGTCGCTTCGGTCATAGTTATACCATCGTGTAAAAGACCTGTCGGCCTTTGGTAGGAAACCTGACTCGCGCAAATATCGCGCGCGACAAGCAGGCCGAGTTCCCAGTGATCGAACTTTAACATAGTGGCCGCAATTACCGACTTCTCCATAAAAAACATGTCAAGCTTCGCGGCGTGGATATTGCGCATAGTCTCAGAAATCACGCAAAGGGGCTGGCTTTGCACCTCTGTTCTGTCCGAAGCATTTGACCCTGTGATTAGACAGCATTTCATTTCCCCGGTACTTTCGAACTTAGGCCGCACGTGGCCACGCCCTGGTGCATTTATATGTCCCTCAGTAGTATCCATTCCCGGACTTCGATTTTGGGAATTCAGCGCAAGGTTACACCTGAGCAAGCTTCACAGGCAGTAGCCGAAGTCCCGAAGCAATCCAGATCAGTCTGGTCCCACTCCAAAGACCGGTGGCCACACCATATCCACTCCGGCCTTGCCGTCCAGAGACGTTTATGTATGTTTTAACTTTTCACCGGCCGAGTGGAAAAAGACTGAAGTATCGCCATGGCCGCTAGACTGGGGCTTGAGAGTCAAAATGGCCAACCCTGTCGTCGTTTGTCTCTCAAGTACGTATACTTCACTGACTCTCTCCAGATACTTTCCAGAGCTAGTGGCCCATAGTTCTGTTAGCGGCGACGGTGCTGTGGCGACATTCCATGTCCTGTCCGTCGAGCGTATGTTACCAGGCACTTTTTCAAAGACCCCCCATTGACGTCGTTATGGATGCCCTTCTGTGAAGCCTCCAATGCAAGGTTCTTCACATCGAGGCGCTCATCATTGATATCTTGTGCCTAGATGCTGTTCGAGAGGAGGTAGCCGAGTGTGTTCACACTGATGTCTAATTAACGCCCTTGGTAGATTTCTGTTTGATTTAAAGATGCGGTTCGGCGCGGGTTCTTTAACCTAAGGCTGAAACTTAACCTTCCAAGTACCTGCGAATACATCAGCAGCTTCTCCTTCTCCAATCTTGGCTTCAAGGAAATTAATCTTTGAACTCTTGTCTATCAAGATTGTAAGAGAAGTGAAGGCCTGCTAGTCGTCTTTTCATAACGTTCTCGTCGCTTCTCTTTTTCAGGAAAAGGCGGAGTAGCGCAGCTTCACAGTTAGCATTATCGACTCCTGGTGTCTAGGCCAAATTGATGTCTTCGGATAAGTTACCGTTGGGATTATCCTTCAAGCTGCAATGCCTCCAGCCAAAAAGGCCGTAGCCGGCAGGTCAGCACAGCCCATCGAATTGTAGCTGCCAATTTTGGTTAAGCAGTTTGGCTCAGAGACATCTGACATGGGCTTCTTGCCATTTGGTGGCAGATGATAGATATTTATAAACAACGCGAAGAGCGTTAGTCTCATAGGAGTCAGCTCAACTCATGATACGTATAGTCTCAGTCGTAGTTTTTGCTGTCGCTTTCCACGGTGACTTTACATATACACTTTGCTAGCTTTACACCAACACAGATTGCAGATGACCCCTAAAGCAAATGACCTTGATTAATGTAGAGTAGGAAAACAGGAGCCTGGACTGTGGTTGAATTAGCGCTCTAGAAGACGAAAGAATTATAGTAATTATGACCAGCAAGTGGTTCTTCGAGCTACGTACTCAAGAACGTACTGCATGGAATTAAGAGTTCCGAGAACGGAATTTAGATGGCTTTCAATCTCTGCCGACGCCCCATTTAGTAGCATCTTTCAACCAAGAGAATACCATGTCCATTCCCTTTGACGTGTTTCTGGCTATGAGACCCCTCTTTGGGTCGTGATCCGGACCGGGTGCGTTGAAAGTCTCAACAAGACGCGTGTTATCTTTGCCAACCTCTAGGATAGATCCCCCCACGATGGCCTCCTCCTCGACGCATCGCAGCATAGCCTCTGCGACCTCCCTTGGAGTGACCCAACCATCCTGGGCTTCGTCCAGATTGACCAGCTTCTCCGGATGCTCAGTCCAGAGCGGGGTTCGCACGACGCCTGGTGCCACAGCATTGACGCGGACCCCATCTGTCTCTTCCAGGCGGGCAAGACTACGCACAAATCCGGTGATGGCGAACTTCGAGGCTGCGTAGAGAGGAGCATTGATGTTTGGAACCTGACCGGCCACTGACGAGATGTGAACGATACGCTTCGGGTCCTCGGGTGACGCCTTGATGGACGGAGGCAGGGCCGTATCTGTGACCTCTCCGGGGTGCAGCCAGTAGGAGATCGCCAGCTGCGTAGAACGGATGGGATGGGTGATATTGATGTCAAGCAGGGCATATCTACCGCCATCTACACTGTCCTTACTCTCGGACGATCCCGGTGGATGCCAGAAGTTGGACCAGTGGGGCTCATAGACGCCTGCCCCAGGACAGAAGATGTCAAAGCCCCCGAATTCGTCAATGGCGACTCTGAACATGTTGGATAGTGCCGGCCATGATGTTACGTCAGTCTTGACGAAAATCGTACGTGGCTCGGCTTTCGCCTTGTCTTGGTTGCTTGAGACGAGCTGCTCCGCCTCCGGTCGAAGAGCGAGATCAGCAATGACGACATTGCAGCCGCGCTCTAGTAGGAGTTCAGCGAAGGAGAAGTTGATGCCTACGTACTAGTGAGTTGCCGTAGTGGTGGTATTATGAAAACGGAATATGGAAATAGTAATTGACTGGAGGCAAGGGTGTATACCTGAGCCGGCGCCTGTGATGATGGCAGTTTTCCCGGCCACGCTGTAGGGCGCGGTCGACTTTGGGGTGGATTCTGTCATTTCGTTCTGTATGTCTCAAGTGTGAAAATAGATCAGATCAAATTTGAGCTGCAGCAGATTCGAGCATGTAGGTTTTCAGTCGACGTGAACGCTGAGAACCCGTATTGAGATGCTGAGAGGGTGTTCTGAGGAACGAGCTGCTGACTTAGTCGCGATTACCCCAGGAAATCGACGCGAGCAGAGGGTACGAATGGAACTAATAACGCGGGCGAGGCCGACGATCGGAACCTGGGGGTTCATTGAATCTGACAAATGGGCGAAAGACATACCAGTACTTTGTACCACTGCTATTCGTGGCTTCTCCACGGGGTAACCTGCATTTTACCCCGCAGAGGGGTTTATAGAGACAAGTCTAGGCACAGCTAACCTCACCGAGGCGCTTAGAGTTGCCCAAAGTACATGTGGGCACCGCAATGATCACATCCCACGCACGTGTGAGAAGGTATCATCAAGCGATTCTCACTCACACATTTGAATGAGGCAGTGTACTTTTGGAAAGTGCATAATACTGGGTATTCAATTCTCTCTGTGACGAGGTCTTGGCACCTATCCGTGGAGATCTGAGCGCAGCCCATAACAAACCGCTCGGTGACCAAATGCCATCCTGTATCTCGGATTCATTTCTTATTCGATAACCAGTATGAAGCAAACATATCAAGCTTAGTTGAGATCTTAGACGATTGAATTGGTCAAATGAATCTATTGAGGGTATTGAGTTCGCTCAGAGGACTAGATGGATGCGTGCATGTATGCAAAACCAAAAGTGTCCTGTGCTTACATGTAATTTTGTGACAAAATCGTCTAACTCCCGTTCTTGATTGTTTTCTGCACGTAATCCACCACCGAGCTGAATTTTCCAAGCGTCATGAGCGGCGAAGTGACTGTCAATCGGGCGAAGAATCCAAGCGCCGATACCATGTTTCTGAAGGTAGTGACCTGGTCATTTGCTCGTGATATGAAAGCCGCCACCAAGCAGAACGAGCTGACAGCAATCCGCACAAGATTTCTACATGTAAGAATACACTCGATCAGTAACCAGAGTTTCTTGCGGAAAAGTGAGCATGACATACTGGTCTGTCCCCGCTTTCGTCGGATCAACCTCGACGAGTAAGTTCAAAACGTCAATGGCAGAATCAAGAACCTGTTGCTCTGTTTCATCGACGTTTAGACAGCCCATGGCGTTGGCTGAGAATCTTCCACAAACACATAATACCAGCTCAAAGTACAGCAAACTTGCCGAAATGTCACCATGCAGGAACGTCGTGTCTGGACTATTGGGTAAAGCCATCCTCGAGTCCCATGAAGTTGTGGGTGTCGGTCTGTGTCTTGCAATAAAAACGTCGACGCTCAATCCCTGAAGTTGTGCCAGCCAGTGGTCTAGATGCTCTGCCGCGTGTGACGTTGACCTTGACAGAGCGTCTCGACTGTCAAACTCCTCCGCCACTCTGGCACAGCATTGAGCTAGGCGGTAGTGAATCCCAAAGGCCTGCGTTGACGGTGTTCCAGCTTCCATCTCAACATGACTGGGTTCGTGGTCAATAAAAGCATTATCCAGGGACTACATGTGTACAGATGGAATTAGTGAATTGTGCGGATATCGATACGTGGTAACATTGAGTCCTTGAAAAGCGAGCTTACCGAGGGCTGTCCGTTCCGCAACCGAAACGGCTTTTCAATCGTGTACAGCAGCCAGAAGGCATGCTTTAATAGTTCTACCTCCTGATCCGTCTGGCAAATCGTCTTGATAGACGCCAAAGCATTCAACCTCAAAGATTGGGCGCAGGATACGGCGAGACCCAGCAGCCATTCCGTGTCCTCTGGTTTCCAGAAGATCGATGTAATGAGCTTTCCGACAATGGATGTCAGCTATGATTGTAAACGAGCAGCAATTATTTCCTTTCTTTTGGGAGGCTTACAATAGTGACCAGGGCCTGGTTCCATTGGTCAGTATGGCCCAGTACAAAAGACAGAAATCAGGCGTACCTTGAAGGACAGCGCGGATGGATGACACGAGTGCAGCTTCTCGACATGTACCATGGCGTTGCTGTACAAGCATCTCATGTGCGATTCCTTCTCCTGTGAGGGATCGGCTCGCTTGAGCGAGATAGAACATCCAATGGAAAGCGTTGCGTATATGAGCGAACTTTTCGCATGGTCGGATATCCCCTTTATGACCACCTCTTCAAAGAGACGTAAAATCTCAGATTCCTCTATGTACTTGACCCCGCTGCCATGGATGATTAGTACATTATAAGTAAACATCTTGAAATGCTTAGCCTTGGAGAGCATTGACGTACAGATACGGCTCCGAGGCTGTGAAAGCTGCCAGTCGACGTTAGCCTCGCTTCTCCAAAACCTTTTATACTGCTCACGGAGTTGATAGCAGTGTACCGTGAAGAAACTCAACTAGTGTGTCAAGGCTCGGTTGAATCATATCATAAGGGCGTGCTGTAAGTCCTGGACTGTGGCAGCAGGTCGCAGATTCGTCTACAAGATCCATAAGGTTCTGCCCGAACTGTTTAGAATTGCAAGAACTCCGGTCCCTTCCTATGAGGAGCTTCACCATATCGATTGTTGAATACGCGGATGTGGCTGGTTGTCTCGTCAGTCGACGTCCAATATCTCGATATCATGGGCCAAAAACATACCCTGAACAGAACCTTCCAGAGTGCTCTTGTCATCAAGTTCCAGTAGGTTTGGATCGTTCCAATCTTCTGGTATCAGACAACCAAAGTGCTGCAAGCTAGAGCCGTTTTGTCCGTTCGGCAAAAGCTGTGTGCTCCAACAATAGTCCAACGCCGAAGATGCTGGGCTAGCGATGATTCCCGTGCTCTGTGCTCCCAAAACCTCAGGTAAATCCATTCGTCCACCGGAGATTAAACCCCAATGCTCTTCCAGAGATCCAGTTGTCGCAGGAGCAGGAAACCTCCCAATCTCTACCAACCTGTTGACGCCCGAAAATGATGACTGAGTTGAAGATGACCCAAAGTAGTCTAGCTGATCTTTCGGGGATGGGTTTGGTGTTGTTTGTTGTGATAGGAAATTGGAGTCGTCGAAGGATGCACTCTGTCTCGTTGTTGCGCTAAAGCCTGGTAGGATGTGCTTAGTTATGATACGGAGAATAAGGCGCTTAGGCGGATCTCTATACCATTCTGAATGGATCTTCCCCTCTTCTTCGGTGTGACGTAGAAGCAGAAAGAGGATGCAGACTGCAAATTATGAGAATCGATGAAATCTAGTCCCGAGAGAGATACTTACAAGGCACTTATCGCAGCTGGGTCTGCCGCCATCGCCTGTGGATTGTCAAGCTACCGCTGCGAAGACCATTGCGTGCTTCTTCACTCACATTTTCGTTTCCTCACCTTGCATGTCTCGCAAGCGCCAGGTCGACGTTTGTATATCCTGCCGCCGGTACCAGTAGCGTTTGCTGAAGCTGGCGAGGACATCGAATGAAATGGCTTGTAATGAGACTTGTTGGATGAAATGGCGGAGGAAACACATATGAGAGCCAATATTGTCAAAGTCATGCTGTGTTGTGGGAGCCCTCAATATCTAAATCAATCCCCGCTTCATGTCCATCGCAACTATGCTTCTTCGAACGCAATGATAGACCCGGGCCGTGAGTTCCGAATGAATATGCAGGAGATCGCCCCGCGAAGGACCATTCAAGGTAGGCTCGTGGCTCCAACCTTGCCCAATGATTCCTGAAAGATCTAGCCAGCCATGGTTCTTGACCTACATGTAACAAAGGTCACGTCTCTAAAAGGCGCTACTGAACCTTGAATAAGCAATGCTAGAGCCTTGTAGCTATCTTGTCGCCTCGTAGAACCGCTGTTCTCCTGGTCTTCCATTCAAACTTTAATGTCTGTACCCCCCCTCCATCATTCTCTCGTCCCAGGTCCTCTTTGTTTCCTGGCCCGTCGCTCTTTCTCAGATAGATTGGGTGCAGGTTGGGGAAGACACATGTCGCCCATCAGGTCAGGCCTCCGTTCCCCCTCCCGTAGACCAACTTCGGTTTTAGCATTCATGCATTATGCTTATTCAGTCAAAAGGTCCTCCATACCAGGCCTGTTTTTTGTTCATCTCATAATGTGTGAATTACACAATGAGACTTGGACCTACTTCTTGCAAAACTTCATGTGTGATCTAATGATTCAGTGCCTCGACTGAGCCCCGCCATTGAAACCTCCGCATCTAGCATCTGCATGGCTGCATTGAACAGTCTGTCCAGGAGCTGCCATTCAGAGATTACCACTGCAGACTGCACTTTGATTTAAACATCTGCGTAGTATACGATCCTATTGTAGCCATCGCAACCTCAAAGACGATCTCCATTGAAAGCAGATTTAGCGCTACCAGTCGGATTGCTTTACAAAATTCGTAAACTCAGATGGTGCAGAAATGGCCTGACATTGACTTGCCGTGGTGTTATCCGAAGGAATGTTGGACAAGATTAGACCTCCCGCTGGGATCTCAACACGGACGGTGAGGGCCATAGGCATGTGTTAACTCGGTTGTAAGTATGTGAACTCAATTACATGACCCAAGTCGTAGGATCGTAGCCTGGAAACAGGCTGCAACCTTGCTCGGGGTTTAAGCCACATCAGCGAAGCTTGGTAGATCTTCGGGAATGGTTAATTACGTTGTTTGCATTGTTTCCTGTGGCAAACTACGATCGTGGCCTGATTCCAGACCAAGCACATGCCGGTTAGGACACGCCAGGCCCTGTTCTGCCCGCATTCGTATTTGGCCGTATTATCTTCAGCCCTATCCGAAGACCAGGGCGTCAGTTATTTCAGCCATTCATTCCCCATTTTATGATACTGAGCTTTCAAAGTCTATTTCCAGTCCTGTCCATCTTTTGGCGAGCTGACGCAAACCAAAACTCAATGTCGAGCGACTTCGCCAGGGAACTATCAATCCCGCGGGGTACTGGTTCGCCTTTCCATTAAGGTTGTATAAGCAAAATCCCAGCAGGCAGAGCTTCTTTGCTCTTCTCCGCATGGTTGTTTCGTGTCAGAGCTTCTCATCTGATATCAGCGTCACACACATCATCCTGAATTTTGCTCGCAGGCGCAAGGCGTGATGATGCTGTTTCCATGACCAAGTACGGACTTTTCATCGTACACAAGCATACCTATGATGATCTAGAATTGTCCCGTTTCTGGCTTTGTTTGCTTAGGTGAGTAAGACTGTGTTAGGGACTGATCGATAGGCCTTGACCCAGCATCACCGGCAGCAAATATCCAGATGTCTCTCCTAAGGGACCCACCACATCGGGCTGTTTCATATCTCCGACATATTCTAGTTCATCCGCCATGGGAGACCCGCAAATCAAGGAGAGCAAGGAGGGGCTGGGGCTGGCCGGTTGGAGCTGACCGGATATCCCGAGATACCCAAAACTCACCGAGTCCCGGACCCGGGACAGCCGGGAGAGCAAGGAGGGTTTGTTCTTGTTCTGGTTCTACTGTCGTGCAGTAGCAGAAATCTTCAGTTCCACGTTAAACCTCAACCAGCCTGTCGTTTAAACCTTCCTTTAAAGAAAACTTTTTGTGCAAATTGAGTTGACAGGAAAGTCCAATCGGTAGTAATCTTCCCCTTTTCCACATCTTGGCTGCCAGTGATAACAAAGAGTTCCAGCTATATCACTAGTTCGGGCGATATCCGTGCACAATGACGTTTTCTTCACAGCTGCATCTGTCCAGAATCACTGACCTCGGGTTTCTCAAAGAAGCTTGACGATGACGATCATTGTCGGGAGGTCGGGCCTTGTCCCGTCTTAGCTGTGAGTTTCTATCGATAGTTCAACGCTAGCAATGTTAGGTGAGGCTGTATCCGTGTTGAGATCCGACCGCGTCTCATGAACAGGTGAACAGATCATTCTATGTGCATAATTCGCTCACAAGACACAAAATGCCCGGTAAGCTATGACTGGGCAGATGAAAGTCGCCATGATGCTTCAATTTCCATTCCTGCAGGTGTTGACTCGGTCACAGAGGAAGGTTACAGGCGGCGACAAGATTTTATCAAACAGAATATGCGGAACACTAAGGCCCAAGATCTTACTAAAAGTAGACCAACCAAGTCACGTAGAGCAGTCTACCATCGATGGGTCCTTAGCTTGCACAAGCAATGAAACTTTTGGCCCAATCAAACAATCCACTAGGCGATGGAAAGCGCTGGCTACGCTTAGCTTGACTCAAAAATATGTTGATGGCAATCTGCAAGGCACCAGATTGACCATCGACTATGCTTCAACGCATCCAGAAAAAGATTTGACAGCTTCGAGAAAGCTCAATCTGCCATTCCGATGGGGCCATGCTCAAAACCACTGACCGCAATGACAGACGTCGCAAAACCTTCCGTACCAGTCATCTTACTCTTTTTCCAGGAAGAGATCCGTCGACCCATTTCTGAAACTGGCTTCATTGGGCGCCAATACCTGCAAGGCACATTTCATGCTCAAAGCGGCGAAAAATGATCCTTCATTTCATGTACTGGTTAGTCTCTAGGTCTTCAGCCCAGTGTGATCTGACAGCGGCATTGGCTCGGGCGCCAAGATGGCAAGCCTCAGCTTTGAGTCATGTCGCCGGGATTAGCGGCTGTCATCTCATCTGTCATACACATTAGGAACTCGTTGGTGAAGTCACTCCACAATCCACATCTGGGTTGAAGAGGGCGTAAACAATATCTTCCTCACTCCTTGTCAGCAACAACTCTCGTTGGCAGAAACCCTTGAGCTCGATATCGGTTAGTTTGTGTTTCCCCGTGTATCATCCCTAAAAACTCTCGAACCTTCTCTGAATTTCTCATGACTCGTTGAGAGCTTACAAGCTAGCTTGCTTTAGATACATACCTATGCGAGAGGGCGAACTCAGTGACCTTCCAGCGCTCGAAATCCCTTTAGTCAATGAGCTGAAAAGATGGCCCTGACAGTCATTTCGGCCTTTCTGCATTTTTTCAGCCTGCATGTTCCTTGGTATTTTACACTGAGCATACGATCAATGCGTGGGTGCTTGATAAGTCAGCAATGAGAATCTATCATTTCACAGCAGTAGATGTCGGAGCTGAGTGAGCTCCCTGGCATACTTCTAGAAATGGCTACGCCAAGCAACGGTTCTTGATCCTAGAACGATTCGTTGCAAGCGGAAATTTTAAGAGACCATGAGGTCCGCCTGTGATTATAACCTGCATTTAATGTGATAACTATCCGAAAAGCCAAACAAGGTCCGGCCTTGGCCCTTGGGACCTTCGAGATGAGTATGCAATTTGTCCAGTTGAGAATAATGTAATATTCTGTGCGGGAAAGGTTCCATGTTGGTTATTTGTCGATAACAGAAACTTATACAGACAAAAATTGATTACTGTCCTATCTCGTCGACTGCTAGATGACGTCGATGCATATCTATGCAGGATACTAGCGAATGATTTATTCATCCGCTTTAATTCTCGGTATATCCACGAATAACGAACTCGTAATAGAAACAGAATTCAAGATGTCCGGGACCTTTATGTACCGGCGTCATCTAGCAATATACTACCCGGTGCGCGTTTCAACCTATCAGTGACGAAGGAAATCTTCAAGCCCCATCTTCACATCCAGCTCGGAGGCTCTTGGGTTGTTCACTTGGAGCGTTGGAAGCTCTTGATAGAACATAAAAGGACATAATTATTCAGGATCTCTCTTCATGCCCATATATATGGAACATCAGACACCACATAGTGGCCACTCCTTATTTGAGCGCTGGTCTAACCCGGTTCACAGTGCATGGAAATCCGACTTGGTGAATCTAGCCTTGACCTGACTTTGTTGCTGTCTTTCTTGATGGCCGTTCTAGAATCTCGCTGAGTTTCCATACCGCAGCGTCCATCCCATAGCCAACACCCTAACCGCAGCGTAGCAAATAAAGACGAGGAAATAAGAAACGCCGGAAAGCATTATCAAGCCGTCCCAGTTGAGTTTTGGCCCCGTTCCTGTGACTCCAGGATAGAACCAGCGATTGGTAAGCTACTGCGGGTGCCCAAGCTGGCCATCATCATCCACGGCAAGAGTGATAAGGATGCATGTGATATTGAATCTTCCATGGTTGTCGGCAGCAAGGCCCGGGAGAAACCTCCCGATGGCAGACCCTGCACTGAGAATCAAGAGGATTGTGTACGAGTGGACATTGCTGCCGGGTAACGTCGTGGAGTAAGAAATGATGTAAATGATTGGTATGACTAGCCTCCATTCTATGAAGAAGATTCCGATTGCCGACAAGGTAAGCCTGAGAATGCGAAAGATAGTAAAATCTGGCCAGTTTAATACAGGTCCCTCTTTCTTAGGCAATCTGGACTGAATGAACAGAGTCGCAGGAACCGTAAGCCCGAGAAGAATGAACCCCAGAATCATTGGTGGTCGGGCCGAATTCCAGAGTGGGAAACAGAGTTTGGAGTAAGATAGAGTAGTCGATGCCACCGATCGAACCAACCTTTGCTGTTAAGCCTGTGGCGAAGCCTCGACGTGAGTCAAAGAAGTGAGCAATGGCGCCGTAGGATGGTGAGTTGAGCTGAGCACCACCCAAGCCGCCGACGATTGAGTACACCAGAAGAGTCTGATGATATTCTACTTGACGTATGGAAGTCAGCCGCATTGTGCTCTTGTGATATAGGAGAAACGAACCTTTGCACAAGATCAACAGAAGAAGGCTTGCAGATATACAGAGACCGCCAGCGAGACAACAAGCCCACGGGGGCCATATTGATCGAAAAGAGAACCAACTTGTATGCCAACGAAGAATAAGATGAAGAGATACAAGCGGAAAATCCATCCAATCTGGCACATTGAGTATCGGCAGGTTGGTTTTCAGAGATGTAGAATTCGAAGACGGCAGCCGAGTTGACGAGGCCAAATACTGAAGGCATCGCACAGAAAAACCCAAGCATTACCAACCAGGCTTGCCAGCCACTTTCTGGGAAGGTCAACTCGTTGATAAATGACGCATCAGGACATCCATGGCCGGACCTGTCTCAGCGGTCTTTCGGATTATGTCGCCAATCTGACACTAGTTAGGGCCGAAGACGACCACCACGGTGAGCGCTGTCATAGAGCCAAGCCAATTGTAGGCCGACAGCAGTCAAACGCTCCTCGAAGAAGTTCATGAGGCTCCCTACATGTACAATTTCAAGCGAGTTTCGACATCAAGCTAAGGTAAGTCTGGTACGTCTCAAAAAAACATGTCAAGAAGTCTGTAACTCAGTCTGATGTACGCCAAGGATTCTATTAGGAAGCTATCAAAGTATCGGTCCATCGGATTGCCATGCCAGGCCTTAAAGACCGATACCCGAACCACACTGCAATGTTAGCTGTGAGTAATACGTTTCTCAGAGCTGTGATAATTAGTTCTGCTGGCCCTGAGAGGCGATCTGGGTTGAATCCTTCAAGCTTGGCAGCGCATAAATGAACTACGCAATGACGCTCAAGCGACGCATAAGAAGCCCTTTGTAGCCAAGGCATTTGCCAATAAGGAAGCTGGAGCTGAATTGAGTTATTACATAATCTCTATGTTGGATCGTTGAGTTTGGTTGGCCGGCTTGGAACACAGCCCGGAATGTTGCGGGGGACATGGAGCTTGGTTTTATGATGTCGGAAACCAGTCTACAGCTATTCCTGGGTGAAACTCAGAACCAGGGTCATATCGGTTGACAAGGTTCATCACAAGCCCGCGATGCCGCAAAACATGCTCTGCTCGTCTCTGTGATACAGGTGTCTTGAGAGCTGGGGTATGCTGGCCGCATTTTGTTATCATGCATACATGTACATTCCAGCTCTTAAATTGACAGGAGACAGAAGTTGATGACGGTAGGATTTGAAAAAAATATACTCTAAGACGATGTCATCATTCCTTTCATGTCACTAGAGGTTTCATGGCATCAGATGCGAACTGAGCCTCGCGCACGTATTCTGATCTGACGCTGGTCGTCTTGTTGCATTCTGCTAGAGGATAGTGAGGCAGATTTTGAAGTGTTCTCAAGACTGCACCATACGTCTGAAATTTTCTTCTTGTGTGAGGCATCCAGAATACCCCAAAGTGGATGCAGTTGATTGGAAGGTCTTGTCGGATAATGTCGGTCCCGGGGGTTAGACCTTTTGATGAGGAGCTGACGAGCTATAGCATGTCTGGGGGAAGACAGGTTTCTACCTGGAAGATCGTGGCATCTGGAACCTCGTCCCCCGATGAGTATATGCAGCTTTGCGGGATTGCCAATCACGACCGTCTCGTCAAGCTCTATGTTTTGGTCAAAAGTTTTGAAACTCTCACGTTATTCATTTGATGGCCACTGTAAGGCTGTTTGGTAAGGTAGGCAAGTAGATGTCAAAATCATGAGCCCAGTGTCATCGCGCAATTTGGCCCAGCCACAATGACCAGAAGGGGTTGACTCTGGAGTCTGGATGAGTTCCAGGTCAATCTGACTGACACTTCTGCCGAGCTCAAGGAGGCTAGGGCGAGTACTAGTCCCATATGTATACAATATCATTACTGACCTCGTTCCAAAATCTTCATCACGTCTCTTACTTGTCGTCAATTCGGAGACGGCGCAGTCGTCTAAGATCTTGCCGAATGGAGGTGTAGGATCATTGTGGCTGCCAAGTCCAGCGGCAGCAAGGGCACGTTATTTCCTCTTGTTTAACAGGCGGACGAGCTTGTCCGAAAAATGTAATGGTTACATACCTTACTTGCTGAAAGTAACAAGTTGCGATAAGAAAGACAAACTTGATCAAGATCATTGTTTCTGGTCCTATAAACGCATTGTGAACTGCGAATTGGTGAATCGTGGTACGCGGATCGTGCGGTTGGTCCAAGGATGATGGCCATGGGAATGGTGGGTGCGGGGCTGAAGCAAGAACCTTCGCCAGACGAGTTGGCTCAAATTGGAAGGCCGTCAATGATCTGCGAGAAGGAAGGTCGAGATGGTTATCAAGGAAATGAGGAGGCTGGTTTACCACACAACAACAAGAACCCGCGCCTTGCCTACATGCAGTTACGGACGTACTCCTCTTGACCACATGCAAGCACCGCTTCTTGCTTGGTTCCAACCGATCAACCCCAACTGTCGCTATGATGAGACGCCTCTTTGCGATCCTCCTCAATCTAGTCGCCGGCGCATTTCCACTTGTTGTGAGAAGTGGTGTCACTGGTCTGCACGAGCGGAACTTGACCTTGACATGGGAGATTCTGCCGACCAACAGCCAACAACAATTTCGAGGATTGTCACCAGTATCGGACCAAATCGCCTGGGTTTCGGGCACAGCAGGAAGGGTTCTTCGCACGACCGACGGCGGCGCTTCGTGGCAAGCAGTCGGCCCCAAACTGCCAGCGGAAGACGCCGACCTGCAGTTCCGCGACGTGCAGGCCTTTTCGGCCGAAAAGGCCGTCGTCCTGTCCATTGGCGAAGGGGCGGATTCGCGCATTTACATCACTACCAACGGCGGCGAGTCGTGGACGCAGAGTTTTGCGAATGAGGAGCCGGCAGCTTTCTTCAACTGCGTCGACTTTGAGGACGAGGAGAGAGGTAGTGCCGTTAGCGACCCTGTCGATGGCAAGTTTCGGCTGATTGAGACGATGGATGGGGGCAATTCTTGGACGATTGTCGACCCAAGTGGTATGGCGCCTGCGTTGGAAGGAGAATTCGGATTTGCAGCCAGTGGGACTTGCATTTCTACCGCTGCGGGACGATGGTATCTGGCATCGGGTGGAATCGATCCCGGCAGAGTCTTCCGGAGCCCAGACGGATATGACTGGGATGTATCGGGCAGTGCGATTGCGGGTGGTGCTTCGGCCGGGGTGTTCTCGGTGCGGTTCAAAGACGCGCATAATGGCATTGCCACTGGCGGTGACTTCAACGTGGCCAACGGTTCCCTTTACACATCAGCCTGGTCGGAGGACGGAGGAGAGACCTGGACAGCTTCGGAGGAATTTCCAGGGGGGTACCGGTCCGGCTCGTCGTGGGCCCCGGGACTGTGTGGGTTGGCTGTCGCCGTGGGACCATCTGGATCAGATATCACGCTCGATGGCGGAAAGACTTGGGTTACATTTGACCAAGGCTCGTTCGATGCAGTCGAGTGCATTTACGGCCGAGTCTGCTGGGCGTCCGGGTCAGCTGGGAGGGTGGGAAAGCTCTTGTTGAGGTGACTGTGGCAGATGGGAAGAAGGCTTTCTTCAATTCCCTCACCGCTCATGGGAAATACATGGAACCCCGAGGTAGGCGTTTTCAACTCAATTGTCCAGCGGCCCACACATATCTCCTAATACTGTACAGGAGGAAGGCCTTAAATCAAATAAACTCATTGTCGTTCGATGTGTGTTTGTATAAGGGATAACTTTATGTGTATTGCAGTCCTTTTCCCTTGGGAACCATAACCAATGCGGATGAACAGCGGAGACCAGCCGCCCAAGGTACCTATCCAACCTGAGCAATGTTCGAGACAAGGAAGCAGTAGGTACCCTGCATGTGCCCCTCCCGCTCCTCCGTGAACCTGCACTAACATACCATGATGGTATATCAGGTACTATCATGTTAGCACCCCCTGTGGCCGAGAGCATAGATGAGACGGCACGTACCTGAAACAGGTCACAGCGTGCCTCGCTTAAGCAAGTCAGGCAGGCCGGCTCCACTAAACGGGCTTCCAATCAACAGCTCTGGTGGGGAGCAAGTGGTGGCCATCGAGGGGCATGAAGGGGGAACTTTGGGGGTGCTGTTGGGGGCTATGGCGGGGCTATGGAAAGCAGCTGAACTGCTGCTACCTGATTAAAGTAAAGCTGCGGGATGCCGGCAGCGGGCAGCTCTCGTCCCGTTCAAAATGACGGGCACCGGCCTAGCCGCCAATGCAGCCAGCGCGTCATGACCTGAAGCCCAAACTGCACGTGGCATTACCAATCGTCGACTCCTGAGCCGTCAAGTGTGTTGGCAAGTTCCAAAGTTCCGCCAACACAACTCCGTCTTACTCTTATACTCCAGTCTCTACCGTCCCGCTCTGTTTCTCTGCAGCTCAGAGACGACGATGCTCAGAAAACGATACCTCTGCTGTACCTCTACGTGACAATGGCGGGCAGTCTTCACGCCCAGATTACCGAGTCGCTGACGCCTGGGCGCGTCTTCGGCTCCCTATTCCTCGTCTTTGTTGGCCTGCTCGTCCTCGATCACACATGGAAGCCCACGTACCCAGAGAACATACCCGTCGTCGGCTATGGGAAGGGCACCGTCGCGCGGTTCAAGAACTTTTACTACTACGTATTCCGCTACCGAGACTGGGTGATCGAGGGCTACAAAAAGGCATGTCCTCATTCCCCGCCGTGAGCCAGGCGGCAAAGACTGACTTGGTATGCGGCAATGCAGTACAATAAGCAGAACCGCGCATTCGTGGTCCCCGCTGCCGCAAGTCGAGCGCCCGACATCATTATCCCGCAATCCCTCACGAAATGGCTTCTTGAGTACCCGGACTCGGTCGTTTCCGCCCACGAAGCGCATAACGACGTGCTCTACAGCGATTACAACTTTCTCGGCAAGGTGTACGCGGACGATGTGTGGCATACTCTGGTCATCCACAAGAGCCTGGCGCGCCACCTCAGCGCCCTAGTCCCCGCGATCGAAGAAGAGGTCTCTGTGGCCGTGGACGAAGCCTTTGGCACCGATACCGAGAACTGGAAGACACTGAACTTGTGGGACGCCTGGTTGACAATTGTGCCGCCTGTGACGAACCGGATGCTCGTGGGCGAGGGCGTATGTCGCAACAAGGGGTTCTGCAAGGCCATGGTCTCGTTCGTCGACCAGGTCATTCTCAACTGTTTTGCGCTGCACATGGTTCCTCAAACCATCTTGCCCATCCTCGGACCCTTGATCGCCTTACCCAACTGGTGGCTCTGGCGCAAAGCGTCCAAGCACAGCTTGCCCGTGATCAAAAAACGACTCGACGACATGGCCAAGAAGGAGGCGGGCGACCCTGCGTACGAGAGCTGGGTTGCGCCCGAGGACTTCATCACCTGGGATATTCGCATGGCCAAGGACGAAGCCAAGTTCTTCGAACTCGACCCCTATGTCATCTCGAAGCGACTGCTACCGATCCAGTTTGCCGCCATCCACACCACCGTCATCACCGGGCACAGCATCGTCTTGGACCTGCTGAGCTCGGACCCGGCAAAGGGCCATATTGAGGGTATCCGAGAAGAGGCAGCGCGCGTCCTCGGCGAAGAGGGCGGCCGTTGGACAAAGAACGGGCTGTCGCGGCTCTACCGCCTCGATAGCGCCATTCGCGAGAGCCAAAGGCTGAGCAACTTCAGCTGCACCCTGATGGAGCGCAAAGTCATCGCCAAGGAGGGCATCACCAACGAGCAGGAGGGCTGGCATCTGCCAAAGGGCACGTTCCTCACCGTGAACCTTGAAGGTCTTCACCACGACGAGGAGCTCAACCCCAATGCGAGGGACTATGACGCATTCCGGACAAGTCGGAAGCGGGAAGAGTACGAGGCGAAACCGCAGTCGGAACGCAACTTGGAGGAGGGACTGAGGTTAAAGAACCTGGGCATGGTCACGACAAGTGATGCTCATCTGGCTTTTGGGCATGGACGACACGCATGGTAAGCTACTACTACGTCCCTTTTCTATTTGCGCCAGTGTCGTGAAACTGACTGACACGACTTGCCAGTCCCGGCCGCTTCTTCGTCGCCCACGAGCTGAAGATGGTCGTCGCCAACTTGTTCCTCAACTACGACGTCAAGCCGCTGGCCGAAAAGCCCAAACACCAGTGGGTTGGCGTTACTGTTGTCCCGCCTGTTGACGCAAAGATTGAGCTGAAGCGTAGAAAGGGCACTGTATCAATACCTTAGGAGGGTAGATGCGATGGTAACGAATATCACGATTGGCATTGGCGCATCCGGATGGAAATGGATAACAGGACTTCATCGTGCCTCGAGTAGTAATACAATATAAAGTAATCCTTGGTGCACATGATATCTTCTCCTCTCAATAAACCAAGGAACCCAATGGCTTCCCTTGCTCTACCTCATGCAGCCCGTTCTTTCACCAATTCAAATAGAAAGCCATCATCAAATGTTTATGGTATTATACTACTGAATTCCTGGCACATCCCATCTTGGCTCATTCTAGGTACCAGGTGCGAATATTCCCAAACCGCTGCCAATGATCCACTTCCTTACAGTAGTCAACAAGCGCGCAAACATCCACTATCGATTCGATTAGAGGGGCGGCTTTCATCACAGCAACCGACGAGGCTCTCCCAAGCGTGCGTTCACAGCCTCACCTTCAACCTCATCCCAGCTGGGCAAATCAGCATCCAGACGCGTCTGTAAGCAATCGTGCTGCGGGTCCATGAAGATCTGAAGGGGCAATAACAGACATAGCTCGCATCCCCCCGCTGCGATTGTGATCTCGAGAGTATACGTCCGTGAGATTAGACAAGAGTGGAAGGTCGGAGGGAATACGTGACTCAATGTCGGCAGTCTGAAGTCGACGTGTGTAGAACACGTATGCGTGACTGGTACTCTTGGATCCAGGCTGCTGCTCTCCAACGCTGCGTCTTCCGACCTTTTGTTTCCTCTGCTCATTCTTTCTGGTTTACCATCCTCCCCCATGATGTGAACGTGCTGGATCCAAGGTGTGGTATTCGTGGAGTCGACGACGGCGGACGTGGACAGCGTCACTGGCTCTCGGCCGCCCCTTAGATTGGGGAAGCTCGGCGCCGGCCGTGAAGAAAGCCATGTTTGTGCCAAAACCTTTGCGGATTTGACTTTGATCTGTGGTGGCAACATGTCTGGTGCTACAGGGCGAAAACCAATGTTGACGTAGGCTGACGAACTGGATGCCGCCCGCCCATCGGGGTTTAGGCGTATCGCTTGCGGTTGGCATGACTCAGCCGTGATGTGACCGGTTGCTGCGGAAAACATGTTCCTCCTGACGGGCTTGGTCTCCTTGAGGACGTAATGGAGGTCATACCTGTCCAAGATGAGAGGCGGGTCTTCGGGGGATGGCGCGAGGATGCTGATGGGGTGTTGTGACTCGAGGATGGGCGACAGTGGTGCTTCGGAACCGTTTTTCCGGATGTTGAGAATCCTGGCTCGCACGCTGTACTGGATCCTCGTGATGTTGGTAGTGAGGTCGTCCCTTTCGAATCCGGTCAGGGACGACGGCAGGCGGAGATGGTGGTTGTGGACTGTTTCTGTTTCGGCCTTGTATTGGCAGGCGTTGCTAGTCAGTTGGTGCGGTATGATGAAACGAAAGGGTATCGCGTAATTCTGTCCGCTTTTAAAAGTCCTCGTTGACGGGTAGGCCGATTCAGAGATGGGCATGTGCAATTTGAGGAGCAGTTGGCTCGTTTCGGTCGTAACGTGGACGTCTTCGCGGCGAACGTAAGCCTTTCCCAGGAGGTTGATTTCGACGAAGCTGAATTCTGTATCTCGCCTTGGACTAATCTGAACGGTACCGGAAACTTGCGAGCCCGATGTATATATTTTCGATGTATAATGGTGATCGATTCTGATTTCCATGTCCTCTTTCAAAGGTTTGCCGACCAACTTGGACACTGACAATATGCCTCTTCCCATTGCCAGCATGATACCTGTATGATGGGCTTTGGAGCCCAAATGTGTGGTTGAACCAAGCTTGACGGATGATTTGGAGTGGTGACTGGGAGGAACTTGGTTGGATGCCATATTGAACTTGCCTCCTAAAGCGATCGGTCGAAGTTCAGTTGTGAAGTCAGAAACGCCTTCAGCCCAGCAACCCTAACTGCTCGGGCTCATGGAAGTTGCAAAGCTCAAAGGATGCGACTGATTATTGTATTCACTCTTGCACTTGGATGAGCTAGCTCATTCCTACCCAAGTCTGCATAGACAACAGCGAGTAAACACTATTCCTGGGTGAATATCCTTGGACATCACGCCGATTACACCGACTACGCCGACTACGCCGACTACTCCCCAACGACAGCATGATCCTGGCAATGAGCTGCAAACGCAGCGTCTTTTCGACATCGTCTACTTTTGATCTATCTTCTTACAAATCAGCACGCAGTGACTCACCTATTACTCATAGATGCTGGTCATAGTTGGATGTTGCCGGAAATGCTATTGAGCACGTTGCTTCATTCATGTTCGTGGGCCCGCCAGTTGGCGCCCCTTGGCGAAGAGTTGCACCTTTTGACAAGGAATCCAAATGACATTCTGCGCCCTATGCTAATCCAAAACAGCCATGGCCATCTTTCCGGGCTCGACTCCCTTTTTGTCTGCAGGTCCCGATGTCGGGGATCCTGTCGGCTTATTCCCCCCCTGCTGCCGTCCGTCTAGCCAAAGCCTCAACTCAAATCTGGGCCTTCTCAAAGTGGCCATGCCGTCCCGCTCCCTTGGCAAATTCCGCTGCACCCTGGACACTCTCCGTGCTGATCACCCTGATGCCCTGGTCAAACTCGTTGCTGAGAGCGTCTTCAAACGAGCTGGCGTTATAAGCGGAGTAATAACAGCTCGTCCTGTCGGTGTTCATGCAGGCCTGTGGGAACGCCAGCAGCTGCCGCGCAATGCTCGTCGCTTCCGCCAGAGCCCGGCCCTTGGGTACGATTCGGTTAGCCAGACCCATCTGCAGGGCTTCCTGCGCAGATATTCCGCGGCCGGTGAGGATCATGTCGAGGGCGCGGCCGAGGCCCACGATGGCTTGCAGGCGAACAGTGCCGCCGTCGATGAGGGGGACGCCGAACCGTCGGCAAAAGACGCCAAAGACGGCGTCTTCTTCCGCAACACGGATGTCGCCCAGCAGAGACAGCTCTAGGCCACCGGCGACGGCGAAACCTGATACAGCGCAAATGACTGGCTTCTTGATTTGCATTCGTGATGGTCCGATGGGGCCGATATTGCGGCCTTGAACACGGTGGCTGTTGTCGATGATGGGGCCCTTGTAGTTGTCTTTGCCAGATTCATGTCCATACTTTGCGACCTCGTGAAGGTCGAAGCCGGCGCAGAAGGTGCCATTTGCCCCATAAAAGACGCAAACTTTCTGGGAAGAGTCGTCTTCAAATGCTAGGAAGGCCTCTGTAAGTTTGCGTGCCGCTGGCCCATCGATTGCGTTCCGCCGGTGCTCTCGATTGATGGTTATGGTGGTGATGCCATCGGGGGATCTGGTCACCTGCACTGCTTGTGGTTCGTCGTCTGCCATTTCAGAATTGATTACAACTGGGCGTTGGAACTTGTTTGTCTGCACAGACAACGAAATGGAGGCAAGGAGGAGACGGGAGCATCGAATAAAACGGTTTAAATACTAAAACCGTCGTCTCAGTCTACCTACGTCATCTCAACCAGCGTCCCTCCTATTTCCCCGCTGACATTATGGTCATGAACTTTGAACTATCCCGCATGCCGACATCCAAACAGATTCGAGTATGACTTGTGTGGTAGCTTTCGGTTCATTCGCGCTCTCCGTCGACAGCCGATGGAAACCGATGAATCAAGTGCGTCAAGTTCCCTTCAGATGAACGTGTAATCATTGCAAGATGCCGCTCGGTAGGGTGGGCAGCTTACTACCACTAGGTAGTCTGGTCATATACGCCTTTCTCTACCTGGGCCTTCCCTCGTTACTGCCCTCATTCCCGACATTCAAGATAGCTTGAAAATCTTGACATTCGCTCAGGACACACATTCCTTCACCTTCCCCAGCTCTCTCCCAGATATCCAGAGGTTCAAGTAGATACTGGCTTCCTTCCATACACAACAGTTCTATACGAAATTAGTCATATTGCGGAATGACTTGGATTCTTCATCAAGTCAATACTTACACCTCAAACCAATGACAGTTGGCTTTCTTCCTACTCTCCTCCCGCATTTCGGAGATCAACACATCCACTTCTTCGCGCGTCCAGCCCAGGACTTGCGTAAAGAGATACATACCAAACCCGTTGAGGCTCTCATCGAAAGCTATTTGGAATAGCTGCCCCGCTTCCCGCAATTTCGGGTCGCTGGGCCATCCATGGAGAGGTGCCTTTGTCTTTTGCTCGACAATGTCGACGAACCCAATCTCCTGCAGATGATTCCTGATGTTCTGGCCCTGGCAAATCGTAAAGGTTCGACCCATCTTCTCCCCGGCCTCGTATGTCATATCGGCCCAGCGATTAAATATGTGGTCGGCAGGGAAGTCGACATGGTCAGACTTGATTCTGATTTCCATCTCGATACTTTGAATCCAGCCTCCGGGCTTCAGGTGGCTGAAGACTTTGTTATACAAAGCTCGCCAATCCGGGATGCTTCCGTAGAGAGACCTGAGATGAATAAAGTCAAAGTGATTTTCTGGCCACACCCAGTTCAAAGTGCAATCGTCAAGAATGAATTCGACGTTTGGTGGTACCCAGCTGGGTTGTATGGGACTCAGGTCGGTGCCAATGACTTTGGACGTGGGATACTGATCGCCAAAGTCCATGGCCCATATTCCGGTTCCCGTCCCAACATCGAGCACCCGCTCCGGCCCGATGCAGCCGTCGATGGGAATGAACGACAGCCGATTATCCAAAAGCATCAACAGCGCATTGTGGATGAGGTCGAGGCCCTCATTCTGCTTTTGGTCGTTTGGAGCCCAGTACTCTCCCGTCTTGCTGTTTTGGTACGTTCGACCGTGCAGTTGACGGTAGTCAAGAATGCTTGACGATATTGAAGTTGTGGAGGTGTAGCTGCTCGGTGTGTCCGGCGCATGTTCACCGTCCCCGTGACCAATCGCTGTGTCTGTCTCAATGCGCCATTGCATATTGGCGATTTCTTGGAACCCTCTTTCGCCCATTGCTCGTAATTGTTGCGGACACTATACGTAACTTTAAGGGCCTGGCTGCAAGAACGCTAGAAAGACTTTTTGTCTTTGGAGATTGAGCGCGTTTCGTCTCCAGACAAGTCGCTCGTTGAGACTGTGCGAGTATTCTCTTCTTTAATGGTTGGCTTGTGCTCATGCAAGCGTGTGGATACAGATGAGAGATCATGAGAGCCAACAAACCCGCTGCGGTACAATTCACACGGGGTTCCGACCGGTTACCCCAAGCGGCGATATCGCCGTCCAATTTTGTTGGTTCAACAATCTTGTTCCCAACCGCATCCTTAAGAAAGACGCAGATGCTCTCGTATCATACAAAGCTCATGCAAAAGCGCGGGGTCCAGTAGGCACGCCGCCAGAAAGGCACCAACAAAACAGTCGGGAAGAATCAGTCGAGTATCAAAGAACATTCCCTTCTCCAATCCAATGATAACTGTTATTGACTTGCTGGCGAATCGGAAGAATGTGGGTCTCCCGAAAAAGGTGCAGAATATGCCAGGTCTACCGCCTTCTTCTATGTACTCTGCATCTACCTTGCCTTTGGGGGTGCTTCGCCAATGGTAATGAATTCTGTAGTTATGATTCTTGTGCATACGAGAGACTAGCCCCGGTTTCCACTACGATATTACAAGTAGTACATATATTTGCTTTTATGAAATCTTTCGGGTTGATCGGAAGACTTTGTAAACCGCAATCATGTCCTCCTCGCTCAGGCCGGCCCCTTGTGCCTGTCCATACAGCAAACCACACAACTCTGCAAGCGGCGACTGTACATACGCTTGCCTCGCGGCGTCCAAAATGAGCTGCGTGCTGTTGTAACAATCCTTGATAGCCGCCTGTAGAGCCCAATCCCCGTTGACAATCTTGGCGCCCTTGATCTTGGAGTACGCAGAAGCCATCGGTCCGGCATCGAGGACCTGTCCGAAAGCATCGAAGTCGAGGCCCTGGGCCCGAGCAAGACTAAACGACTCGGCAAGCGCCAGGGTAAGGCTGTTGAGATAAAGATTGACCGCGTACTTTGTCTTGAGGCCGTGGCCGATCGGCCCGCAGTACACGGCGGCGGAGGTGAGCGGCTCCACCACCGCCCGGATCCTTTCTGCCACGGCCGGATCGCCGGCCATGAGACCCACTAATTTGCCTTGCTCCGCCGGGATTTTGCTGCCGCTGACCGGCATTTCGATAAAGTCGCCCCCAGCCTGTTCGACTTGCTCCGCTACCTGTTTGCTGACCTCCAAATTGACTGAGCTGGTGTTTATCAGGGTCTTGCCGCGCAGTGCTGATTTGAAGTCGTCGTTTAAGATCGAGGCCATCGCCGGGCCGTTGAATAACATGGTGAAGATTACATCAGACTGCCGAGCCACTGCTGCCGGCGTTTTGCCAATCTTAGCACCGGCTTGTATCAGTGCCGCGTATTTGGAATGGCTTCGACTCCAGACAGTAAGGGAAAACCTCCGCGCGAGATTTAGGGCCATGGGCGTGCCCATTACCCCTAAACCCAAGAATCCAACGCGCATTGTTTTAAGTCTGGCTCCCGGGGTTGGTCAAAATCTTTCGAGAAGTTGCGAGGGGAGAGTTCAACTTTCAGAAAAACCTAAATGAGGAACTCGGAACCGCTTGGATTGGTTCTTCTGCTTGGACCGAATGACTGAACAACGAATAGACGCCCTTTCCAACAAATATTACAAGCTTGACATGAAATTTCGCTCAAAACCTCCTTCCAATATGGTCGGATGAAGCTGATAGACGCAGTGGCTCGCTTGAAGTGTGACTAGGCTCACGCCCTAGGGCGGCAGTTCAACCGGTGGGATTGGCCCTTTCGGCTTGACGCAATACAAGACCCATAAAATCCATGTCGATTGCTCCCTTCGCCTTACTTTGTAATTCAAGTGCGGCCACACCGAAGGGCGCGCGTGGGTTTGGCCGACATCGCTGCATTGACATCAAGGAGGAAGCTTTGCACAAACTTGACATTCCGTGTTATCAGATCCATTTGTCGGTTGGCAAATAATAGTCGTAAGGGTTAGATTCTATCGCACACTTGATTATTTATCTCCGCACCGTGGCTGGTTGTTGCCAGGCATGCCCAAGTATCGTAATTACTCCAACTCATGCCCTTCAAGGGATAAATATTGTTCAGGAATGACTTGGAGTCGAATCATCGTCGAGAATACCCATCTCTCGCTTGAAATCTCGTAGCCAATCTGGGTTGTCGGCTGGGGTTTGGTTCCATGGATCGTCACTGGCCTACCATCAGCTTCGCCTGTATCCTAGAGAGTGCAGCAAGGACTCACTCTTCAAAAGATATCCACCGTGCCTGATGCTGAAGCTCGGCATCTGTGGGTATCCGCCTGTTCGGGTTCCGCGGCGAGGTCGTAATCGTCACAAATCGTCTCAACTCCTTCATCAATTTCCTGTAGCAGTTATCTTCGTTGACGAAGAACGCGGATGTCGAGTACACTTTGCTAATATCGCCTGCCTTGGCGCCAGCGGCGTTGGCCTGTGATGGATCAGGCGTGCTTCCCGAAGAGAGGTTTGCGCCCGAGAATTCGAGACCGGGCTCCGCTGCGATGGCCCCGAGAATAGCTTCAGATGTGCTCGAGATATTGGTGGCATTCGAAGCCTCCGATGGCGAGAGTCCGTTCCGGTGACGGAACGCGGCCAGCCAATGTGAAGAGCCGTTGATGAGACTGAACAGAAAGTTCAAAAAGGTCTCGGAGGGGTTCGGCGAAGAGGTCTCGATTCTTTCGACAATGTTGCAGGCCTCTCGTTGCAGCTCCTCGTCGGAAATCTGTGATTCAATCAACTTGGAAATCTCCACGTAGCTTTGCAGCTGTTCTTCCAAGCCACATGCTTCAAAAATATTCGCTTTGCCGTTGATGCTGAGATATGTGAATCGAGACTTTGCATTGTTCTTCATGGGTCGGACGCGCGCCTGCTGTACGATGGACTCTGACGACATGAGCAGGTCTCGCAGCCAGCTCTGCGTCGATGTTGCAGGTCTTTTGGAGAACGATATCGAGTCGCATCCGAAGATTACGCAGCAGCTTTCGTATAGGAGTTCCGCATTGGTGGGCATCTGGTCTTTTGTGTTTTGGTGCTCGGCCGAAAAGTGGTTGAGCTCCAGCTTGATCAGTTCGTAGGCGTTTGGTGGTGTTTCTGGGACTCCTTGTTTCGTTGTAAACGGCCATGGTGAGTTACGTTCCATGTGGATCATATCTATAGCAGCGTTAGATCAGGTTTGCATAGTTGACGCTCCATGTGATGCTTACAAGGGGCCATCGAGTTCTCGACCATGTTGAGAACATTGTCGTCGAAACCCCAGTCACCATGCCAATCTGCCATCGTCTTCCCATCTTTGAAATGCTCGGCCAGGTGATCAATCCGATCGGTCCATGAAGACATTGTGTGGCCGCAAAAGCCACACCGGGAGCGTATTACCTCGCTTTCGTACTTCCAGTCTCCCATAGGCCACCTCAGGAATTTGGCATCGTGGACCAGCTTCAAATGTTGCTGCAGATGGTCTTTTCGATAAAATGTGCGATCCTCGGGCTGGCGGTCTCTGCATGCCTGGTAATTGTGCTTCTCCAGATGGTCCTTGTTAGGGTTGGCCTCGCCGCAAAAGATACACACCGGCTGTCCGCTCGCATCGGGCACAGTTGCGCCTGTCGGGGCGCATTCCCACCGCTCGAGGGATAGATGCAACGATTTCTCGTGACGCTGCCAGTTGTGCTTGGTCTTGAACGTCTCTGTGCAGAATGTGCACTGGTACGTGTTGCTAGTCTGCCAGAGGGTGCCAGTACTTTTGGCTTCGGGACGTTTTGCCAGCGCGCGGCGCCGTCTCCGCTTGACCGCGCCCTTTCCAAGCGGCTCGAGAGATCTCAGAGACGTGTGAGAGTTGTGTGAGTATGCTGAGTTGGCGGAGCTTCTACTGGAGTGCGACGTTCCTGCACTGCTCGCAGAGGACTGCCCGTACAAGGACCGTGTCGGATGCGTATCCGTGAAGGATCGGTCGGCCAACTCTTCCCCTTCCGAAGAGAACCCAGACACGGCGTTGGCGATTGCCGACACTGACGCTGGCTCATGCTCGGGAGGCGAAACCTGCCATCTTTGTAGAGGGTTCAGGTTTTGGAACGTATCGGAAAGGCCAGCGCCCGAAGGAATATTGATGGGCATGGTTCTCGAAGACGTGACTGCTGGAGACGGCGGCCGTTTGGGTGGCACTTTGAAGCGCGTCCGTCTGCGTGTGTTGGCCAACCAGTTGGTAATCTGCTGCCTGCTGAGGCCAGTCTGCCGCTGCAACATCTCCATGTCCTCGGTGGTCGGATACGGATGATGATTGTTGTTCGCCAGCCATGTCTTTAGTATGCGGAGGGATTTGGAAGAGAAGCGAGTTCCGATCTTCGGCGGCGTTGTGGTATCTGAAGGTTGAAGTGATGATATGTTGATTCCCTGGTCGTTGTTGAACAGGTGTCCCATGGGCTCCCCATCGCCCAAGGCTTCCGAGAACATAAACACGCCAGGCTCATCGAATTGGTTGGCGTTGTTCACGGATTGCCTCTGGGCAAGCTCCATGCTGACATCTTGGCCGCCGAGAGCGGCCGCGGCGGGGCCAAGCTCAAAGGCAACTTGTTGATGAGATGAGTCAACATCGAGACCACAAAGAGGTTCGCCAGAACCGATACCCTGCAGCTCCCGGGAAAGCTCGTCTTGTCCGGTTCCAAAATTGGTAATGTCGAGGTGCTGGTTGTTGACAAAGTTGGACGTAATGAAGTCCAACTCGAGGGCGGCGGTGTAGTCGTCGATGTTGAAAGCTTGCGTGTCATTGGCTGCGCCCGGTCCCTTGTCCATTGTTGTGCGAGTTGTGTAAGTGCTTAAGGATGTAGCTTGCCAACGTCGAAGGTGTGGGATCTGTTAGTGCTGGCATGGGTGGCACAGATAGGATGAAAGTTTCCCCGAGTAGGTGAACCATCTGCTTTCAGATGATGAAGAGCTGCCCGCACTCCCCACAAGAACTTTGATCCCATAACAGCTAGCTCGGGTCATCATCGTCCCGGCTATCGGCACACCTCGAAACTTTAGCGGTATCGGTGTTATGTCACCGGTACTCTCTTCTTGAAGGAAGCTTTCTCGCTTGTCCTCCCTCGTTCGCAGAAGAAGGTTTATAGATCTTCAGAGGTCTCTAGCAATAAAGCAGACAGCAAACGTAATTACAATTAATTTCATTTCGAACAATCGGTGATTTTGCAAGCAAGTCGAGCGACTATCTTCAGCAATCGTCTCCTCACCACGGCCGATAATGCTACCAAGACCCTTTTAAGGTTGCAGATAAAAACGCGGCTCAACCCCACGAGAGATCTCGTGGCTCCCGTTCCAATTTAGAGTCCCGTTCGATCGGAGCTGGACCCGGCAGAGAGCCGCAACCCGGCAAGTCCAATCGATACCTAATTACAGATCTCGGGTCAGGACTCGGCGACCGAGCGGGTTCGATTCGGAGCCAGCCGATCTCGGAGGCCTGGATAGTACACCAAGGTCCACAAACAATGCCGTGCTGGCAGCGGCTATTGTGCCATTGCAGAGGACAACCCCCACCACTTAGCCTTGTTTGTTGAGCTACAGGGAGAGGCCCTTCGGGACATGTCCGTCGGGAAACGTCTGAACCCACCCGGGAATGTCACAATGGATTCAACCAGGCCGTGTCCTATTCGCGGGGAGGCAGAAACAGCTTCTCTTTCAAGGCAACTTATCAACCAGATTTGCGGGGGCGAGTGGGCTATTTTGGGAAAGGATCTATCAGTCAGTCCATTCACCAACGTCGGAAAAGTCAGCCTTGGGAAGCGCTCTTGACGTTTCCGCCGGGTGGATTTTCCACCATGCCGTCGGTCAAGATTGTTTCTTTGCCGAAAGTTTCGGCCAGCCAAATGTGAAAACCTGGGACTTCCCCATTCATCTTTACAGTATGCTATGGCGATGCCAAGTCACAGTCTTTTTCGAGATTCATCCCCGCACGGTCAAACGGAGATTGAGAAGCCAAGCCTCCCGTCCCACACCGGCAACCCGCAAACATGTCCCACGACGAACAGTCTGAAAAGCCGGAGCCGAGTAGCGATGGCCGGCCCGAAACCCCGGACCTGGCACCGACGACGTCGAATGCGGAGAAGAATGTCAGCATTGTGCCGGCTGTCGACGACGACGATGCGGGTCTAAGCCGGCAAGACACCGAAGCCATCTACAACAGGTTCACACCGGCCAAAAAGAAGCTCGTAACGGCCGTCGTGGCTTGCGGTGGGGTGGCTTCGACGGTGTCTTCCCTGCTGCTTTTGGCAGCCATACCAGAGATTGCAGCCGATCTCAACACGTCAGGGACGATCATTAACATCAGCAATGCCATGTACACTCTATTCATGGGCATCTGCACTCTCTTCTGGGGTCCGATTAGTCAAGTTTACGGCCGGAAATGGGTAGGTTGAGACGTCTTGCTCCGACAAGTAGTTGCACCCGCTCATTAGAAACTGTATAGCCTTGCATCATCTCAGCATCTACCTTTTTTGCCTTTAATGTAGGGACTGCTTTATCGCCCAATCTCGCAGCCTTCTTCATCTTTAGGATGCTGTCAGCCTTTACTGGAACAGCATATCTTGTGCTCGGCTCTAGCTCCATCAGCGATATCTATAAGCCGACGGAGCGAGGCACCGCCCTCGCGTGGTTCCTCAATGGTACTCTCATCGGCCAGAGCTTTGGCCCATTCATCGGTGGTGTCATGGTCAATTTCCACAGCTGGAGATCGTTGTTTTGGTTTCAGTCAGCCCTGGCCGGGCTCACGACTATTCTTGCGGTGTTGTTTCTCCCAGAGACCAGCCACCGCAGGCGCGCAGACGAGTTGAAGGGCCTTAGTACCAAAGCAAAGATTGCTCAGGTCTGGGACTGGGCCAATCCCTTTCGTGTACTGGCTCTCTTACTTATACCCAAATTATTTGTGGCTGTAAGTTTCACTCAGAAACTCCTTGTACTCAACTTTTGCAGCAGCTCTAACCCATCAACATAGGCAATGGCTGCTTCAGCTTTGGTGTGGAACATGCAAGCCTTGCTGACCCCTATCCGATACGTCATTAACCCCAGATTTCACCTGACGTCGCCGCTTGAATCAGGTCTCTTCTTTCTAGCCCCAGGATGTGGCTTCTTCTTTGGCACATATGCCGGAGGTCGCTGGGCAGATCGGACCGTCAAACGCTGGATCAAGATTCGGGGTCGACGCGTTCCCGAAGACCGTCTCAGAAGCTCATTCGTGGCAATGGGTGCCGTGATACCTACCTGTATCATCATTTACGGCTGGTCTATTGAGAAGGCAAAGGGCGGTATCCCACTCCCGGTGATTTGCATGTTTTTTCAGGGCTTCGCCCAGGTTATCGCGTTTCCGAGCATCAACACATACTGCTTGGACGTGTTCAAAGGCAGGAGCGCCGAAGTCATAGGTTTGTCCCCATTCTAAGAGCACACATGCTAATGGGATGAACAAGTACTGACTGTGTACGTGAATCTAGCTGGAAATTACTTCTTTCGATACGCGATTGCGGCGGTCGGTACTGCTTCGTGTTTGCCTGCGATCCAGGGCATCGGTGTAGGCTGGTTCAGCACAATAACCGCCCTGTTCGTGTTTTTCGCCGCTGTTGCCGTATACTGTGTCGTTGTTATTGCGTCTAGACAAGATGCTAAAGAAAATGAAGCGGTCTAGTATACTTGCTAGAATAACAAAAGCCACTCGGTTTGGAATGAGATGAAAAATTCTGGCGAATCCATTTTGAAGATGCCTAGACCTACTGAGTTTTATCAAACCGGCTCATCTCCATCCACTACTACCAGACGCGTTAGGAATTTTGGTTTTAGGGTGTTCCGTTCTACTTCCAGGGCGGGATGTGATTTCCAGGGACCCCATGCATGAAGAGTCCAAAAATGGCATAGCGATGCTCAGGCAAGGCGAGCAAAGGTTTAGCAATGATCAGCAAGTGTACCCAACGTCCCCAACGTCGAACTCAATTCGTTGTACTGGCTACCTCGGTCTCTTCACGGTGTATCCGCGACTCGGTTGTCAGCACGGATGACAGGACGAACTGGGACCTATGTAAAATTCAAATGTGCATTCCCAAATGCGCGTACAAGCTACCTTGGCAAAACGTTGAGACGTTTCAATGACTCGATCAGGCGAACTTTGATGCCACGGGCGCTTCGGCATAATCCGACTGGAGCTATCCCCATCATGGCCCTCCCCCAAGACACCACAAAACCACCTCGTTCCGGCCACTGATTTCGTCGGACTTTGCAGGCCCCGTTCCCTCAGTTATCTCCTATGGGCTTATTCCAACGGCCAGAGCATCAAGCAGTCAAGACTGCAATATTACATCAATCGGTAATTTCTTGCAGCACAACCGGCCTCTCTGGCCCTCCTCGCCTCGGCATATGGCGCAGGTCAAGGGGGCGATAGGGCAGAACCTGTCGACCGAAGAGGCGATCGCGATTACGTGCCTGGCAACAGCCGGCATCTATAATGCTCTCGAACTATACGTCCTCATCTTCACTAGATTTCGACGACGAAACGGGCGATACTTTTGGAGTATGCTGGTAGCCAACACTGGCATTTTGCTCCACGCGTGTGGCGGCCTGGGTCGTTTTATGCAGCCGACAAAGACGGTGACACCGGGAATCTTCACCCATATAGGTTGGTACTGCATGGTGACCGGGCAGTCCGTCGTATTATGGTCCAGACTGCACCTCGTCGTCTATAATCGCATCACCATCCGACTGGTCTTGGCGATGATCATCACGTCTTTTTTCTGTGTCCACATTCCACAAACAGTGCTCTTTGCCGGTGTCTGGGCGGGCAACAGTCCAGTCTGGGATCATCGCTTCACTGTGTTTGAAAAGGTATCCCTGATGGTCTTCACAGTCCAGGAAACAATCATCACCGGCATCTTCGTCCGGGCCGGGTTCCGAAACTTCAAAAGCCTCTTCGAATTCAAGGCACAGGAGGCCAAGGTCCTGCTCAGCTTTCTTGTCGGCATGTTCGTGCTGGTATTTCTTCTCGACATGGGTCTCGTCACCCTGGAATATACGGGCTATTTCGTCTTCCAGACAACGAGCAAGCCCTTGGTCTACAGTATCAAGCTGAAAGTCGAGTTTGCAGTTCTAGAAAAGCTTCTGGCATTTACGCGCATGAAGCGGTGTGACTGCCACCAGCTGGAGGATATCCCAAAGGATAAAGTAAAGTCATTTGCCAACAATACCACGGTCGTCACCACGATAAATACGATACGTTGAAAGATTCTGTCGTAAGAGAAAGAACATTATCAATGAGACTATGGGATAGACAGGAATCTCTATGCGGATGCCCACGATGCAACGGCATCTGCGAAACGACAGTGGAAAGAGCAAATTCCGTCTCAACTTGGCAGCAAAAACAGATGCGGCGGAAACCGAGTTATTCCAGGATGAATGTCAAGAGCACATTCCCAAAGAAGCATTCAGGAGTTCTCTTAATTGTAAGTGCAGGGATCATACGTGGCTTGCTTACGACTTTCACGATCGATGGCCGTTCTAATCCCAAGTCGCAGATCTGCAAGAGAATTGATCTCGCCTACGATTCTAGAAGTAGTATCGAGCTGGGGGATTTTCTGTATTGCTCAAGAAAGTTGACGGACACAACCAGCGACAGCACGAGGCTTTGACAGATAGGGGATAAACTGAGACCATCGACGCCAAATTCAAGTCTTGCAGATGCTCAAGGTTGGATCGTCTTGTGGGTCTTCGTTCCCCGGTCAGTAGCAAGTAGAGCGGTTGAGATCAGGAACTCGCCGTTTATCATAACCTGGGTTGGAGCACAGGACTTTGGAGCAGCACTAGCAAAAGCTCCTCCCGGAGACAACGTGGCTAGACAGACATGTGGACAAAGAAGTTACCAGTTACCAAAAGATACCTATACTACAGCTCGTACCGGAACTCCTTGTTTTCAAGATCTGTCAAATCCCAGAACTCGTGGTTTTCCTCCACCTTGTATGCCTCTCCCAGAGCGGCCTTCTCTGCGTCACGCTTCTTATTTCTTCTGTCCAACACCCAACGCATCAAGAACAGGTCAACAGTGACCAAGAAGTAAATGATGCAAATCGATATCTTGGCAGGGAGGTATCTCGGCGCATCCCGGGCCTGGAAGGTCTGAGGTGAGATGATGTTACCAATAGTGTACGCGATGGTGCCAATGCATGCGACGGTGACTTTCTTGGTGGAACCTGCGACGTTGGTGCTCTGCAGTCCCAGAATCGTCGTCCATCCGATCGGGATACCTCCCGACGTGTAGTATCCGATCAAGGCGGGGACTTTTGAGGTCGTTGCCATGAGAATGGCACCGATAATGGCAGGGATGTGGCCGGCAATGCACCAGTATAGTCGCTGTCTCGTCTTCATTGCCAGCCAAGTCAGGCCGACCAGCGCCACGATCTCCCAGGCGCCGAGTGGGGTGACGAGAAGAAGGGACTCTTCGCTCGTGTATCCCATGCCTCGCACCAAGATGTTTCCGAAGCTCGTTGCAATGGAGTTGGGGATGTTGGCGGCAAAGATCCAAAAGGCGTACAGCCAGGTCATGACGTCAAGCAATGCTTCCTTGACGTGTTTCCATTTGAATTCCTGCGAGCCAATACCTTGTTCATTGTCTCGAATTCGCTCGAGGTGTGTTGCTTTTTCTTCCTGAGAAAGAAATCGGGCGGTGGCCGGCGAGTCGGGCATGATGAAGTAAAAGGCAATGCCAACAAGGGCAGTCAGCAGGCCGAGGAACAAGAAGATCACTTGCCAGCCCTTCAAGGCCGCATTGGGATCCTTTCCAACGTGTCTTGCGACGCCATACGCAAAGAAGCCGCCAAACATCTGGGCTGCGCCGCAGACAGAGAACCAGATTCCAACGCGGAACGCCTGCTCCTGCTTGGTGTACCACTGCGAGGTGAAGAGAACCCAAGCGGGGACGATAGCCGCTTCCAAAGCCCCGAGGAGGAATCTGCATACAAGGAGACCAGCATAGTTCTTGCAAGCCGCGAGGCAGGCCAGGACTACACCCCAGAGAATGATGTTGACAGAGGTGTACTTGGCCAGGGGGAACATCTGGATGAGTCGTATTGTGGGGAACTCAAAGGCGAGCTGGCCAAAGAAAAAGATGGAGGCGACCCAGTTGAACTGATTGCCGTGGAGACCAGTCGATTGCTGTATGCCCGTGACACTGGCATAGGAGATGGCCGTCTTGTCGATATATTGCAAGAAGTACACGATGCAAATCAGCGGCATGATGTGGGTGTCGATACGCCGCTTGAGCCTTTGATTAAGTTCTGGATCAAGAGTGCGGCCTAGCGGCCCAGTTTCGTTGAGGAGGTCGAGGGCGGCATCGGCACCAGTCTTTGGGACGCTCTTGGCGGCTTGCTCCGGATGTGGTGCCCCAGTCGGAGCCGGGAGGGACGCAACCGATGCGGAGTGCTCGTCCGAGTCGGAGACGGCAACCGTTGCCGGCGGCTCTGAGGCTGCTTTGGCATCGTAGTCAGCCATGTTCGTGGTGAGAAACAAGACGACAGGACGACAAGACAAAGATGGCCACTTCTTGGCAACGAGCGATTCAGATAGGATCCAAGGTGACAAAGAAAACCTGCAAGTCAAAGCTGCATGGACGAGAGCCTGCTCTTATCAACCGCATCTGCAGCATCGCAGCACCATGACTCAAGCACACCATCAACAAAAGTCCAATCACTCATGGCTGGGCAAGCCGCAAAACCACACGCAAGGTTCGACTCTTAAAAGTTTTCACTGACGACATCCACACGATTCCGATAAGAGACGAAATGTCCACCGGCAACCGACGTATCAACGCACATGTCAGTAGACTTCTGATCCTTCGTGTCGCCGTCCCAAGCACGCCATCGTTAAGGCAATGGTGCAAACCCTGCAAAGTTGCCTATTGAGGACTTTGGTGCTCCACTTGCTCGGCTTATTACCGCAATAGTTCGTGCCAACGCCCCACGTGGCGACCAACGAGAATTGTGAACCGTCGGCTTGGATCGGTTTATGGTGGAGAAGAACTGAAGAAACTCGCAGAGAATGGCATTTATGATCTGGAACACTTGCCCACTAGTCATTCTCTTACTTGAGATGTCGTGCCTCCATTACGGATATAATGGTCCAGCTACTTGGAGAACACATGCAGGCAAGGCGAGGTTGCATGAACGCCTCATTCACATTGCGAAATCAGCAGACATCATTTGGTTGCCTAAGCGTATCCATTCCTACCGTATAGGTTCCTCACAGGGAACACTAAGATATTACAAGGCAAGGGGGTATCTAATGTTGAATTGCTTCATAAACAGTCGGTGACCAGAAAGTTAGTCAGTATCTCGAATCACTTTTGCTTTGGAAACGATCAAATTTCGCTTTCGGGGGATCTTGACTGGAGTTTTGTTTGAGTAAAAGCCGAACCTATTTTCAAGACTCTTGAACCTTTCTAGTGCGGTTCCTGGCGATGATGAGATGACGGCGGACGGCAGACTTTTCTGGTGGAAGCCTTTGGCAGTCTGAACTCCGTTCCTAACAAATATAAAGACAACAGGATCGCAAGTTTTGGGAGGCTTCTGATTTGTGTTGGACTCCACAAATTGAAAAATCGATCCATCCTGGACGAAAAGCTGCAGGTCTTGTGGAGAGCGTGATGGCTTATCGGAAACAGGTACGGTGAGTTCAAACGAGTGTACCGCTCTTTGGCGATACTCTGATCTTGAGAGACCGGCCCAAATTTGATGATAGACGATGTGTTTCTAGCTCATCTACTCTACATTTTTTGAACTTCAGTTTTCACACGTGCCCATCGAGCCCACGTGCAAGGGAACCGCTCAACCATTCTTGTGACAGGTAGAAATCCCGCAATTCTGGTCCGCATCGTCCATGGCGGCGTGAGAACCCTGCCCGTTATTGATCATTGCTGTCGCCCACACGGTATCATCTCAATTTCTCAAGACTGGAACGGACTGGAACGGACTTCCTGGACAGCCGACGTTGATCAACCCCATCTCATAACAACATCCGGTGACAGTCGAGCGATATCCTGCGCACTCAATTCCAGCCCTGCACAGGTTCATCCAGTTAAGAAGAGGCCAAGCAGGGTTTACTTGGAAATCTTCCCGATCTTCCCGATCTTCCGTGCCTAAATCAAGTCCGGCTATTAACACGCCTTAAATACGACCTAGATCGACGCAGGCTCCAGCAGCTGCAGGGTCGATATTCACCGAAAGTTTGGAAGATTCTCCGCTTTCGGGGGCGACGCTTGGTATCCGGTTGGCCGGGCCGGTATCTGATGCCCCAAGCCGATGCGGGGAAGCATAATCTGGACCCTGCTGACAACCTTCCTTTGCTTATGGCACTCGTTCCTATGGCAGAGTCCAAGACCATAGGAAGTATACGAATCATCCATTCTGCTACTGTTCGGGTATATCGCTTCAAAACCACAGCGAGGCACCATGTCGACGAAATCAATGAACCTTTCCTGTCTTTGCGGTGCTGTCTCGCAGCAAATTCAGACCCGTGTTATGCCGGGGGAAAACATCAAGCTGTCCATCGACCACAGCGACATCAGTCGACACGCGACGGGCATTCTATGCGTCTCATATTACCCAATCCGACCCGTTCGACAACATGAGAGTACGGGCCGTACGGTAGAGCATCACGGTCTTGACCAATGGACGAGATACTTCTGTAACACCTGCGGATGCCATGTCCTGAGAAGCAAAGACGTGGATGGTGTCACAAAGTGGGAAGCGGCGACAGGTGTTTTGCTGGACAGTAACCCCGAGAATGCTGGTGAAGATGCGCGTTACGCAAGACATACCGGCGTGTCCGATACCAAAGACGGTGGTCTTTCGGTGTGGCTGCCCGACATTGACGGGCAACCTATGGAATCGCCGACGAAGCCAGACATTCTGGAAGCAGAAACTACAGAGAAGCTTCCTCCTATGCCATCTATCTGCCCGAAAGATTCCCTGCCCGCCTCTTGCGCCTGCGGCACCGTGAGCTTCCACATCACACGGCCAACTAGTCAAAGCTATCTACCGCACTCCGGCTTCTCCGACCTGGAGTACCCTGCTATCAGGCACTCGGACGCCTTCATGAAGAATCCCGATAGCCTAAAGTGGTGGGTGCGAAGCAACGGCACCAAATACCTGGCTGGAACGTGTGCCTGTCGGTCTTGCCGTCTCATCTGCGGATTCGAAATTCAAACATGGGCGTTTATCCCCCGATGCAATATCTTCTTCCACGTGCCGGGGCCAGTCGACGGCCAGTCCGTGACGCTTCCTCTCGACTTTTCAGAGTTGCCCGCCGGGATCCTGAAGACGTATGAATCGTCCCGGGGCGTTTCCCGTGAATTCTGTGGAAAGTGCGGCGCGACGGTGTTCTGGCGCGATAGTTGGCGACCGGACGTCATAGACGTCAGCGCCGGGCTGCTTCGGGCAGACGAAGGTGCGCGGGCAGAGACGTGGCTGGAGTGGTGGACGCAGCGATGCAGCTTCGAAGAAGAGACGGCAAGGGGTCGTTCAGGAGAGCCCGCGCGCATTGCGAGGAGACTCATTGATGGCCTAGAACGAGGCCTGCGCTCAGGGGCCCAGACAAAGTGACGCAGCTTGGGCCGTGGCAGATTGCCAGAGATGATGTTAATCAGAAACAAATCGTTCACCGTGACACTTATTTGCAGGTCGTTAGCAGGCCTATAATAGGCAATTTGCAGAGTCACGTTCTGCTTGGTGACTAAGATGACAAATTAGTCTTGGTTTAGGAAGATGAATCAATCCGGCATTTCGAAATCTGGAGTCGGGTTTCTTACCCCTGAGATTAGCCAAGGATACCCGAGTCATCCCATGTCCATTCCAAGTTTCGCAGGGATTGAACTAGTGTCCAATTCGGATGAAACAGATAGGCTTCTATAAACGACCGTAAGTACATGGGAACAGTAGCTGTCAAGCATTGTTCAAGGGGCTATGCCGGTCCGCTCCCCAGTGGGATAGACTTGACGAATGACTCGGGCGGGGGTCGACTCGGGGATCCCTTCGGAGATCCCTTCGGGGTTGCCAAGCGCGCCGGGCCGGATGTGCCCCCCCTTGACGGACAGACAAGGCCTCTGTCGAAGGTCGGGTCCGCGGCGCCGGGTCATGTGGAGGGTACGTGGGGTATCGCCGGTATGTTGGATCAATGGGGACAAAGATGAGGGAATCCCGAGGAGGGTCACCCTTATCGACTTCTCCGGGTCGTAAAGCTGAGCTCATCGCTGTCTGACCCAGCTCTTAGTCTGCTTGGCATGCTTATTTGTTTTTAGCGAGAGCTACTCGGATTGATTCCAAACCCTGCGATCCTTTGAGTGCCTGGCAGCTTACTGCTGCGCCTTGAGGTAGAGGCAGCATGGGATCGAAACTTACTTGGATTTCTCCCTGTAGCCGCCACACACGACGCGCGAATTCGTACCTCTGCAAAAGGATTCCTTTGTCGATGGCTTGATGCGCAACGTCGATCGAGATGCATCTGCAATGGACATCGCGCCACTCCTCACCGGCAAAGGATTGGATGCTTACCAGACCAGAGAGCGCTGACGAAACGGGCCTCCTTCATTGGCGGCTGGAAATAGAAGAGGGCGTCACCCGCTTATGCAGTGTGATCGAGTTGGGCCCCTGAGCTTGGCATGCACAGCTCAACCTAGTCCGCGTCGCGTTGTGGCGTGAGCTGCCTAGGCCAAGTCGACTACATAGGTCAGGATGCGTCGAATATCTTGGTGCTATAGGCTATATTTTTTTTCCCCCATCACAGGCAGCGCTAATAGAATGATGTGATTGTTCTATTTGTGAGCTTCGTCACAGTGATTTATCAGAGAAAGTTACATCTTTTTCTTGGCGGCTTATTCTGGTGCGCAACCACAACCGAGGCTGATGTGAGTTTGCTTGCTCTTGAGTACTCGTGTTAGTCATACAGAGAAGACCCATCCGATTGCTGTCGGACGTACGGATACATACTACGTTTTCGAAGGAGTTTGATATCCCAGATCGGCACTTGTTGATCAGTTGACCTGGAGAATGATAATTGCCGACACGGACATGATATCGTAACACAAAGCTTGCCAAGTAGCCAAGCTTACAAACATTACTCATATGCCACTCCAGCCACTCTATTGGATTGCATAAACTCGTCAGCGGGATAGTTAGACTCTAAAAAGTAACCGCTCAAAGGCTCCTAATCATTTATGCTGACCAAGCCAACTCATAATCGAAACTGAATGTTGCGCAAAAAGTCTGATGGAATTCGCTGGGTGGTCTGGGTTGTCAATTGAGAAACTTTTGACTTTGCATGAGGTTTCAAGGAAACCTGATAGAATTGATAACATGGATCACGGGTGGGATTCAACTATATTTCCCAACGGAAAATGCCGTCCACCTCGGCATCCTAGAGCAAAGTCAATTGTTGAAGTTGATAGTAAGTTGGACGTAGAAGAGAATGGGTCTGATGTTACTGTGATCCTCCCTGACTCAGACTAGGATCCCATACAAGTCGAGATTTTTTTACAATCAAAAACGGTGCAGCCGACTTGATCAAGGTTTAATTTTGGTATAGTGGGAGGGGAAAATGATATGATTCATGATTGGTAAATTGCCGCGCGTGAAATGGTGTAAGGTGAACCCCGAAAAACAAATTTCCCAGTCTTCGATTGCCCCCCCCCCCCTGTGTTCTTCTAGTTCCCGAGATGACGTCCGTCGCAAAGGTAAAGTTTCCCCCCTTTGACGCTGCATCCTTCAGATACCCGCAGCTCGTCGGGGCCCAGCACGTGGTGGTGCAGAGGAGAGAGTATAACCATCCCACAGACTTTGTGGACGCATATGTCAGACCAAAGAGGGTAGTGTTTCCGGCAACCATGTGCGCATTGCCCAGTGCCCCAGCCAATGTGGTTCGACGCGCTGTCGCGTAGTCCAGGCCATGCCAGTCGGCCAGCGGGTGTTGGTCGAATGTCCGCGAGCACAACAAGGATAATCGTTTTTCAAAGAGTTGCACACTACAGTAGTTCGCCGGCCGGCACATTATTTCATTCCCATTTCAGCCACTCCCAGCGTCGAATTTCACCCGTTGTCGCCGTGGCTTTCCAGGGCCTCCGGATCTGCAGTTCGCAGTTCACAGTGCCCAGTCCAGAAACCAAAGGATCACATACCTACGTATACCCAAGTCCCAAGGCGACTTTGCATGTGATGAGAAGCCCAACTCGCCAAACATCTTGGCAGGCAGTGGCAGCATGACTGATGCGGCTACACTCAGGGGCAATGCTCCGGCTCGGGCGCAGCCGGGGTCGCAGGATTTTCGACCGACAGCTCTAGATATAGATGTGTGTTTTGTGCAGCTCTAAGCCTTCCTGTTCAGGATGGTGGTACTGGCTGGGTTGGCTCGGCCGTGCGTGGGAGGGTTTCTTTCATGCTTGCAGCTAGCTAGCAAGCTGATCTGCCACGCTGCCTGGCATGCATCCGATCCCGCCCGCATGGCCATGTGGTGTGCCGTGCGTGCCAGGCGAGGCCGCGTTCAAGGCCGCCTTGAACGGCCGGCCGGCGCGGGGATTGGGTCATGGAGGAAGGGGGGGGGAAAGGCCGTTCCAGATCTTCCTGTAGAGGCTTTTGCTTTTGCTTTTGCTTCTTTCACATCCAAAGGATTCCCGCCGCCAGAGAAGGTAGGGCTGAGTCAATGCACGATTGATGAAAAGCTTCCTTCATTCAAGGCTTCATCCCATGTTGATGTGGCCGCGATTCGGGCCAAAAACCTTGTGTGACCTAAGGTAGTCGTTTGCGTCTAGGCTTAGAGTGGCAGGTCTGTCTAGCCGGTTTTTGCCTCATCCACCCTGTCGACTCTATTCTAGCTCCCACCCATGATTGCCAGGGGGGGGGCGGTCTCGACTTTCCCGAGTTGAAGAGACAAGCCACAGCAGCAAGGTGGATGACGGAGGTATCAATTAGCCCGTTGCCGGCGGCAGCTCCGTAGAGCTATATGTATATGCGGTGCGAAGTGGTGTTTACAGGGTAGAGTAGGGTAGAGCAGGGTAATAGCAGAGAGAGGGGGGGTTGATATGATCCGACAAGTTGCTCTTCGGGGTTAGGGGGTTCAAAGTCTATTAGATTCAAAGTGGCTCCCGCAGCTTGGAAACTGTCATCGCACAATTGGTCGCGATTGGTGTGAATTTCTGAAATACTACCTTACTCTTCCAGTCGCTCAGGGACTTGGCACCAACCGGCCCGCATCCAACTGTTGACTTGAGCAGGGAGCACAACTCGTCAGCTCCCCGGATTCCCTAGCTTATGTCCGATTATGGATCACATTTGAGCTCATGATCCCGGCCACGCCAGCCCCATCCTGGTGTTTTCCCCCCATGTCTTCTCCATACAAGTTGCCATAAGTTTCACAGAGATGGACATCGGTTAGGACACAATCCCCGCCCAAAAGTGTGAAAAGCGGTCCAGGCACAAACAGGCACAACACCCAAGGCCCAAGGACAATCTGCGATATGCTCACGCCCATCCCAATCAAACAAGATTGGTATTCCAGGCGCTTATTCTGGATCGCAAACCTTGCCATGGGGCTTCCTAGTGCGCAATACCGACTCGACTGCCGTTTGTGGGAAGCTTATTACCAAGGCCCCCATCTCTGCACCGCCTCGGGGGACGTCGGGCATGGGAGCGGCGTCGCTGGTCTTGGAATTGTTACTCATCATCATGGAGTTCTGGAATTAAATATTCCCATGCGAGAGAGAGGGCTCCATCACGCTCGAGCTGTCAAGCCTGTCGTTGCCCGTGAGTCGTAGTCGCCACTGTTTATTACTTATGTCCTGGGGTTCGTCCCATTTTCAATAATAAAGGCCGTTTCCTCTGCCCCAGGAACACAAACTCTTCTTCACCCGTTGAGTCTGCCACCCCGGTCTCTCCTAGTCATTCCTTCTTTGAACGTCCTCTGGAACACAACTCGTCCATCACCATGCACGCCAAACTGTCAAGCTGCCTTTTGGCAGCTTCTGCTCTCCTCCCTGCCGTCACGGCTCAGGGTTGCCCTTTCGCCAAACGTGATGGTTCCGTCACCAGCGAGCTCCCCAAGAGAGACACGGGCGCCAGCTTTGGCCAATGCTCGAGAATCAGCGACCAGGCCGGCGGTGGTACCCGCTCCAAAGACTGGTGGCCTTGCCAGCTTAGACTCGACACCCTTCGCCAATTCCAGCCTGCGACCAACCCGTACGGCGGCGACTTTGACTATGCTGCGGCTTTCAAAAATCTGGATTGTGAGTAGACCCAGGCAAGGAGGGGGATCACCACGGTCCACGGTCCACGGTCCACGGTCCACGGCCTGCAGTCCATGATGGAATTCTCACTAACATCCCACGTCAGATGAGGCTCTCAAGAAGGACATCCACGCCCTGCTGACCGAGTCCCAAGATTGGTGGCCGGCCGACTATGGCCACTACGGCGGCCTCTTCATCCGCATGGCATGGCATAGCGCCGGCACATATCGCTCCATTGACGGCCGAGGTGGCGGTGGAATGGTGAGCTGCTTTTTCCATTATTATTATCATCATTATTTCTTGGCTTGTGTTCTGCTTGCTCTCTTGGGTTTGGCTGTCCCAAAGTCCTTCTCCCTTCCCTTTCCCCGCTCGTCGGGTCTTGTTGGTGCTTTTCCACGAGTTGTAAACTTGCATTGCAACCCCTCCCTGCAGCACGTTCCTTATTCCTTGCCTACCGTTGCACTTGATCATTTCCTCGCGGTCCTATTCGTCTCGCGTGCCAAGATCGATTGGGGAGACGGAGGTTTTCTGTCCTATCCCAGGAGAAAGCCAAGAGGTGCTAAAGCATCTTCCTCAACTTTCTCCACCCGCACTGCGTCACGAAATATGGACCTGGACCGTTTGCATCTTATCACATTTCTGTATCACTTTGGATTCTTCTTTGCTAGGCGTTTACTAATATTGGACTCGTGCAGGGCCAGCAACGGTTCGCTCCACTCAATAGCTGGCCTGACAACCAGAACCTCGACAAGGCTCGCCGCCTGCTGTGTAAGATTTCCCCTGTTAATATGTCCTTTGCCTTTTGGCCCCCCCCTCCCCATGTCGACTTACATCATCAACTCGGTAGCGACACCCACTTTGCGGTGGCTCGATGGCTCGAGTAGAACGATGATGTGGGCCCTTTGAGAGATAGAGAAGAAACGTTTGCTGATCCTGGTTGATCTCTGCAGGGCCTATCAAGCAAAAGTACGGCAAGAATATCTCATGGGCGGACTTGTATCTCCTGGCGGGTAACACCGCCCTCGAGTCCATGGGCTTCACCACCATTGGCTTCGGCGCTGGTCGTGCCGACACCTGGCAATCCGATGAGGCCATCTACTGGGGCGGAGAGACGACGTTTGTTCCCAAGGGCAACGATGTCCGCTACAATGGCAGCACCGACATATTCGAGCGCGCCGACAAGCTCGAGAAGCCCCTGGGAGCCACGCACATGGGCCTGATCTACGTCAACCCGGAGGGCCCCGATGCCAGCTCCAACCCCGCCGCTTCGGCCAAGGATATTCGCGTCGCTTTCGATCGCATGGGAATGAATGATGAGGAGACTGTTGCGCTGATCGCCGGTGGACACGCCTTCGGCAAGACGCACGGTGCTGTGCCTTCAAGTGAGTTTTGCAACCACCGCATATTCCCGGATCAAGTCGGACAGACGGGCGGAGCAGAGTCGAGCATCCGGCGAGCTCTCCGCTTCACCCGCGGACCAAGCGATTTTCACCGCTCCTTTTGGAACATGCAGATACTAATTCGCCGACTCTCATAGGCAACATTGGAGGCGCGCCTGAGGCTGCTGACCTTGGCGAGATGGGTCTCGGATGGCACAACAGCGTCGGCGATGGCAACGGCCCCAACCAGATGACCAGTGGTCTCGAGGTTGTCTGGACAAAGACCCCTACCAAGTAAGTGACTGTGATGAGACTATTTCCGTTTGCATTTGCCCCCTGTTCTTGGCACTCATCTCCCCGCCCGCTCCCTCTTGAGGCTTTTTCTCATGGCCGTCGTCGCCCATGAGAGAAGGTCAGAAGAGAAATATTGAGGCGACAAAACGACGAGGCCGAAAAAAGCTATTTATATATACATGACCGGGTGATTATGCAGTGACACACCAACGCTAATCCTTGTACCTGCAGATGGAGCAACGGCTACTTGCAGTCTCTCCTTCACAACAAATGGACCCTCGTCACCAGTCCTGCCGGCGCTCACCAATGGGAGGCCCTCAACGGCACCCGCGACTATCCCGACCCCTTTGACCCGACCAAGTTCCGCAGGGCCACCATGCTCACCAGTGACTTGGCCCTCATCAATGACCCTTCGTACCTCAACATCACCACCCGCTGGCTCGACCACCCCGAGGAGCTCGCCGATGCCTTCGCCAAGGCTTGGTTCAAGCTTCTCCACCGCGACATGGGCCCCAGACTCCGCTACCTAGGAACGGACGTCCCCAAGCAGGATTTCATCTGGCAGGATCCCCTTCCTGCTCGGGAGGGTGAGCTGATTGACGATGCCGATGTGGCCAAGCTCAAGTCTGACATCCTCGGCACCGCCGGTCTCGACGTCTCCAAGCTCGCCTCCGTCGCCTGGGCCTCTGCCTCGACCTACCGTAACTCTGACAAGCGCGGTGGTGCCAACGGTGCCCGCATCGCCCTCGCGCCCCAGAACCAGTGGGTTTCCAACAACCCTCCCGTCCTCACCGAGGTCCTTGATGCCCTCAAGGCCATCCAGACCAGCTTCAACACCGGCGCCAAGAAGGTTTCCCTCGCCGACCTGATCGTGCTCGGCGGTGTCGCCGCCGTCGAGAAGGCCGCCAGCGACGCCGGCGTTGCCGTGACCGTCCCCTTCGCCGCCGGCCGTGTCGATGCCACCCAGGAGAACACAGACATCCGCGCCTTTGGCTACCTCGAGCCCCAGGCCGACGGCTTCCGCAACTACGGCAAGGGAACCGCCCGCGCCCGCACCGAGGAGTTCCTCGTCGACAAGGCCTCCCAGCTCACCCTCTCGCCCCCGGAGCTGACCGTACTCGTCGGCGGTCTCCGCGCTCTGGGCGCCACCTTTGACCAGTCCAACACCGGTGTCCTGACCGCCAAGAAGGGCCAGCTGACTAACGACTGGTTCGTCAACCTGCTCGACATCTCCACCGTCTGGTCCACGACCGGCGACGACGCCGAGGTCTGGAGCGGTGTCGACCGCAAGACCAAGGCCGAGAAGTGGACTGCCACCCGCGCCGACCTCGTCTTTGGATCTCACGCCGAGCTCCGTGCCGTCTCTGAGGTTTATGCCAGCTCCGACGCCAAGGAGAAGTTTGTCAAGGACTTTGTCGCGGCCTGGGACAAGGTCATGAACCTCGACCGCTTCGACTTGAAGCACTAAAGTTCTCTACGCACAGCCCAGTTGTTTCCGTGTTAAGGATTTGGGTGTTGGCGGTTATTCTTGTATCTACTTTAGTTTATATACCTCATATATTTCATTGAACGAACATTTCATCAACTCACCTCTCTGCTTTGCTCATAATCATCGTGCCTTCCTGCTGATTGACTTGATGGGGCTTGAATCATTTGTTACCATGGATGAACGTCAGAGTCCGCTCCTGTACCTTTCCCGCCCGCGAAAGACCGCAGTGTTCCAGCATCACATGGGTCTCGAACATCCCCTCACTCACTCTCCCACCAACCCAGATCAGGCTAAGTGGCTGCTTGATTCAGTAATGGATTTGAACATTGTGATAATGCGGAGGGTACCCAAATTGAAAAGAGACGTCAAAAAGGTGGTTTTGATGAACAGATGTCAATACGGAAACGGTGATGAATTTAGTCCAACGCACTTGATTAATTACTGCGTGGCATATTTTTCCAAGCCTTCAGTGTGCGAATTTTCCCTTGTGTACGCCAAGACAGTTCCAAACTTGATGTGCTCTGAGACCTTCTATCTGCCTCCATCACTCAAAGAGGTCTTTAAAGGCTTTGGCTTGATGAAGAATGCTGCTAGAAGCATACACCCAGAAACACCAGTAAAGAAGGCCCACATTACACGCAAGGCAGACATATAGTCTGTCTTGCTCGCCTCATGTGTCGCATCATTCTCGTCTTCAGAACCAAGCTTCCCTGCTGTCAGTTCTCCGCCACCGAGATTATGCTGCAACAATACGGTACCGATGACGATTGACATGGAGGAGAAGAGGGACCTTAGGAAGCTGAATGCAGACATGGCGGCCGCCATATCCCCCTGTTTGGTGTGAGTCTGGATAGAGATCATTGGACTTTGAAAGAGCACGCCAGCTCCGAAGCCAGTGATCATCTGGAAGACGACGATCTTGGCCCATTGAGTGCTGATCCCGAAGCTGATGAACAGACCGTTTCCGAGAGTCATGAGTGCCGACCCGAAGAAGATTGGGAGGAGATAGTTGCCAGTCTTCCGGATGAACAGTCCTCCAAGCATCGTCATCATCGTGAGCGGAATTAGCAGAGGGAAAAGCGTAATGCCAGCAATGATGGGTTTGAAACCGAGGACTACCTGGAAGTACAGCGGCAAAAAGTAATCGTAGGAGATGAACACAAAGCTGTGGATGCAAGCAAGAATAAAAGAGGCGATGTTGGTGATCTTGTCAAAGATTCGAAAGGGGATGACGGGGTTCGTGGCGAAACGGGCTTCCCATACAACGAAAAGTGCGAGGACGAGGACCCCGAAGAGGATTAGACAGATGACCAGAGCCGAGTTCCAAGGCACTATGCCCCCAGCACCTGTCTCCAGGCCATAGAGGAAGCAGATTGTGCCGCCAATGATGAGCAGAAACCCGATCCAGTCAAGGTCTCGAAGGCCGGCGATGAAAGGCTCTTTTGGTGTTTCAACTTTGAGGGCGAAGAATAAAACCAGAAGGGCAACGCCGTCGAAAGGTAAGTTGATGAAAACTAGCAAACATCAGTCTCAGTGCACATCATTTGAGGAGAGGGAAGTTTTCTCTCACAACACCATCGCCATCCAATTGTCTGCGTAAACACGCCACCTAGGACGGGACCAACAGCGCTGGCAATTCCGTACACAATGCCAGTCATGCCGTAGTACTTGGCCCGATCCTCCAACTTGAAAATGTCGCCAATCACAATCGTAATCAGGACCAACGAGCCACCTCCTCCCAGTCCCTGTACAGTCCTCCCAGCGATGAGGACTTGAATATTGCCAGCCAGGGCCGCGATCAGACTTCCCACCATGAACGTCGCCGCCGCGGTCATGATGGTCGGTTTCCGGCCAAAGATGTCCGACATCTTTGCCCAAACCGGCGTGGAGGCCGTGCTTGACAAAGTGTACGCGCTGCCAACCCATGCGTACTGCGAGGCCGTGGCTTGGAGCGTCGAAGCAATTGTTGGCAGGGCCGTGGCGATGATTGTGATGTCCAGTGCGCTCAGGAGGAGGGTCAGACAGAGGGCACACATGACGGCGCGGCGACGCAACGGGCTCATGTCGGGTGGCTCATAGGATGCGACGGTTGTAATGCGCTCCAGGTTGTTGAGTACCTCGCCATCTTGCCCCGAATTGGTCTCTTGTGATTTCTCGCCCGGCGCGGCTGCAGATGGGGCGCCCATCGCGAACCTGTGATGGCTATAGAACGGATGCCCGAGAGACGTACTGTTGGTTTTCTAGCTTGTGTTGTATAAAGATAGACAATGCGAGAGAATCTATACCAGGTAGGAATATACTGTTCTTGATAGAATCAGCCGTTAACAGCACTTGCACATATTCTTCCTTGTCCGTCTCTTTTCCTGTTGGCTCGGTTCGGTTCGGTTCGGGGCTTTGGAGCGATGCAGGTCGATGGGGTCACCCCGTCATATGTACAGCACTCGCAACTGATTAGTTGACAAAATTGTGGCCTCTCAAGACCCTAGGATCCACTATTGGGATTACTTGTCCGCCTAGTTGTCGCCTTAATGCACATACATATAAGCTCTCCATAGGATTGAAGCTCAGAGAGATGAAAATAGTCCATGGTGGCCGGGACTGGAAGTGAGATCAACCATCGCGCTATTCAGCACCATTGCGCATTCGGTCTGCCCAAGAGAACGTCTAGCACACAAGCCTACATGGACGACTCTTCACCCAATGAAGCTTCTCACGGTACCGTGACCTCAACTCGACCACGACTGTCAACGGATCCGACTTGAAATGTGACTTGCTTATCACGCACAGGTAGGATACATCGAAAATATCCTCTTGAAGATTACAATCCTTGCTAAGCGTCGAACTTGATTCAGCTGTGGCAGTTGGCCCGTTGTTTTGTCCATTGTTAGCGTCAGGGCCCACGGCCGCCCAAATCTGTGATCGAGCCCCTTTTTCCAACGGGGTTGCAAAAAAGATGGATGAGTACAGAAAATGTCAGAGGAATATACCAGTGGAGGCATGGTGAAGGTCGGTGGCAACCATGCGTGGGTGAACAGGAATGATCTTGATTTGCTTCTCTCGCTCTGCCAAGGCCTTGGCAAGCTTCAACATTGTGAAAACACTCTGAGAACGCGTGACAAACAGGCCAGAAGAGACGCATGAGAAGTATCGCACTCCACCCCAACTCAGCTGCAACAGAAGCTCCATTCGCGACATCCCTCGTCACCGCCGCAACGGCAGCAACCAGATAAGTGGAGTCCCATGGATCCATCACAGATTCAGGATATGCTTGGAATCTACCACTTGCTCAAACGCACGGGCATACGCGAAATTATAGCGGAATCCTTCAAAGAGCGTCTTCAAATTAGACATTGCGTCTTCCCACACCTCGAGGCCTCCCTGCTCCTGCGAGACTCAATGCATTCGACGCGCTAGCGAGAAATACACTTGTACTTGTTTTCCGGTAGAAGTGATCGAGGGAAACGACGGCAACTTTCTCCTCACGTATCGGGACCCGCGCGGCTCGGAAAATCCTACGAAATCATTTCTCATCTCTCCCCAACGGCACTACAAGAGGTTATTCAGCACAACCCTTGGCTAGACATATTCCCAATACCGAGGATGAGGGATAGCATACTTAGTGGCTTTTATCCAAGCGAGGAAGACGATGACCAGGTATACAACGACCCAGTTTGCGATTTCTTGGACTTGGATTAGCCCTCCAAATCATCCCATATCATTGAGGGAAATGCTTGGGACTTGAATGGCTGAGAGCTAGGCCCAGAATTCTTCAGAAATTGAGCGGGCTGCTACAGAGCTGTCCTGAAGTGATTATGACTACTAACTATTGGCGGCAAGGAGAGATGTTGCAAGAAACAGAAAGCTTAGCTTGGACGGCTTTTCGTTGCTGAATGTAACAAGGCTGTTAGACATCGTATTTCGGGCTATTTAAGCTGCAGCTCCCAAGTCTCTCCCATGCGCTTCTTCCCCCAGGCTTCATGTTCCTCGGTAGCTTTCAGCTCAAACCCGGCCTTGCCATACAACCGCCGCGCAGAGGCCAGGTGAAAGTCGGTTGCCAAGCCAATGCGCTCATATCCAACTTCTCGTGCAAACGCAACACACAGCCTAATCAACTCCGTTCCCAAGCCAGACCCCCGTGCTTCCTTTTCTACAAAGAAGCATCTCAGTTTCGCTCTACCAATCGTTTCGCGGTCCCTAATGAGCATGATGGCACCTAGAAACTTGTCGTCTCTTTCTGCTATCCAGCACCGCTCTTTTGCCGGATCGTAATTGAGGAGGAAGTCGGCCGTTATCTGGCTAACCATGGCCTCGAATAGTTCGCCGTAGTTGTGCTCTTTGGCATAGATAACGCCATGTCGGTGAGTGATATAGCCCATGTCGCCGGGCCGGTGATTTCGAAAAGTGATGGGATTGGGAGCATCGGCAGTCTTGATTGGATTCATCTTAGGCGAACCAGCATTGTGCTGCATGTGGCTGACCAACTAAGCACTGGATTCTCATTGACTAAAAGATTGTACTGGGTACTGGTTGATCTGCGCCGCTTTCAAGCGTATGTCGTCAGTTGAGTCTTCTTATCAATTGGGGAAGGGAACCCCTCTGGGTCGGCGGTGAACTTATTCCCGGCCTCGGGGCTCTGTGGGGAATGTCAAAACCATGTCATACAAGGGCGCACTGTAATTAGGCGCCACCCTGCATGTCATACTTAGCGTCACTTGAGGAAACACCGAAAAGCTAGCTTTGACCCTTCTAGTAGGTTCTAATCCTGTCCTTGGCAAGAATACACGCTGACGAGAGTTAGCGGTCAATTGAGAGCAAGAATAGACAATGTGCTCTGTCGTAGTGTTAGTCTAAACAAAAGCTGAAATCCGAGGCTCTACTTTGTGTAGCGAAGCTCATAATCAGCTGAGAGCCCATAGCTGACGTGACCTATATCTTCATTGTACTTTGTGGCTACATGAGGACACAAGGACATGTATTTAGTCATCACTTATACCGCATAACAAATAATATCACTGTTCCAGAAGCGAAAGAGACCCCCTTGGCTCATTCGTCTGCTGAATGCAAATCGCTTGGATTCCCACCAATTTCTCCACCACTAATGCCAATTTTTGGCCACTCTCTTGGTCTACCGCGGCCACCGGAAACCTGGATGTTGTTAAGCATCTGATGGACACTAGCGGTGGCTTTGTGTCTACAAGATCAACGTATATGGCTTCAATTTTTCAGGGGACAACTGCCTAGTTGGTCCCGCCCGTGGTTGGCGGGAGGACGTGGTTAAATATTCGCTCGAGTCTAGCATGGACCCTGAATGGGTCAGTGGCGACATACCTACTCTAGCTGCGGCCATATATACTGAGCGTATGTCTAATATGGTACAACGCCAGGTCAAAAGTCTGTTTATGTTGGTTTACGTAATCACAGGGTGATTTGTTCGATCGAACCGTGGTGACGAAGGGTCAATTAACCTGTATTGATCTCTGCGTGAAGTGGAAAAGAGAGGTTCCAACCGTGGGTTGGATCGCCGGTCAAACGCTGATATAGAGACCCTCAGATGGCCCCTGCGCTGGCGCTGACTCGAGGTCGAATTGGGCTTCCAATCCGACAGTTTACACCACTAAGGATCCCACACCAAAATGACAAAGCCCGAGATATTCTTATTTGTTTTACAAGAATAAAAATGGCTTTATTATAGACAATTGTAAAAATAATGAGGTATATATTCCTATAGACGAAGATTATCTCCAAAGTGAGGGTCCTCTTTTTGGTGCTGGGCTCAATGGTGTAACCCGCCTTTTGCCCTGGCGTTGTATATCGATTGCGGCGCGAATCCGTAAATTTAGGGAGTAGATCTACGTTAGAATACTGTACGTGTTGGGTATATAGTATTACTTGAGTTCCTCCTTGATATGGAAGTTTGTTATAATTAGCCGTTAAATTAGCTACGTATATTGGAAAGGGCCAAGGACACCGAGCTGGAGTCTACAGTTGAATTCCCATAATAACGGAACGAAACATTGAAACTGAGGGATATTGATGAGAGTTTGCCTAGCTTAAGTTTCTCGTCCCTCCATTTTACATAATCGACTCATAAACCTCACCGACGCTGAAGTTTCGGCAGCAATGTGTGCTTGGTCCAAGGCAGAGATATTGCCATCGACCTACGCTCTTCTTCAATGGGTCTTAAATCTTTGTCAACAACTCATGCAAATTAAGGTGGGAGGCCCTTGTCCTTATTTCTTTCTGGTCCCCTAAACTACCTAGGTAAGGTTGGTGTTAAGAGAGCGCATTCATTTTTGACTCCCTTCCAAACTGTAGCCATCCGTGTCCTCCTCTCGATCCTGATATTGGTACTTGATTTAATCTGAACGCTGACTTGACTGGGATAATGTGCATTCACCTCTTTCTGATTCCGATTTTGACTTCAAATCAGGTATGTGTACTGTTCCTTTTGGAAGGAAGAGCTCACTTTATCCCCTGTTCTGGAGTGTGAATATCAGGGGTCATTGGGCTTAGTCAACATATCTAGTCTCTCACAGATCTGAGATGAAGCACCAGGGCTCTTTGCATGAAAATTCTCATCATTTTCGAGGGGTATCACGTGCCTTCGGAGCATCATCTCCGGATTCGCCCTCACCGAACGGCCCTGGGCGCCTCAGGCGCATACCTCTCGGTGAAGACTTCAGATCACCAAATCACGTGTTGAAGAGGCATCAGCACACGCTCCTGCCACTCTGATTGCAGAGAGAAATAAATTAAGCGAGGCGCTAGTGAGGCTGTGTAGATGTCCGGTGGCTGCCTACCTCAACTACTAGACTTCTCCTCCTGTCGACGAAACACGACGATCCCAACTTCCCCCCCTCCACCAACCTTCTCCCCCACAACAACCTCATCCAAACAAATCCATCCTGAGCGAACGCAGTCCATCAAATCTCTTTCTCACGCCGTAACTGGCGTGGATCTGATTCCTTCTCGTTGACCTTCACTTATTACCCCCTTTTCCCCTTTCCCCCTTTTACCAATCGTATTCCTCAGTCGACTACCTTAGCCAAAATGGCGGCACACAGTCAGTCGTCCCTTCGATCCTGTGCTTTCTTTGTCTTCTGTATTGCACTGGCTCTTTTCCAGCTGCCCCTCGCTTTGTGTGGTCCCATCCACATTCGGGACGATTCGCCACGCGCCGCCTTGGTGTCCCTTGTGTCGGAACAGCAAAGGGAACAGATGGTAGCCTCCGTTGCACAGCTCGAGCAGCGATTCAACCACAAGTACCGCTACGACTGGGTATTCTTCAGCCATCAGGAACTCAGTGAAGAGTTCAAGGATGCTACCTCCAACGCCACTGCCTCGACTGTTACCTACAACCTGATCCCTCAGCAACACTGGACAATCCCAAGCTCTGTTGACCCCGGTCGCTTTGAGGCTGGTCTGGTGCGCACTTAGGGAGTGGGCGCCGACAAAGCCCTCATCAAGACTGCTCATCATAAGCGTCGCTGGTCTGCTGGCCTCTTTGCACGAGAGAAACGTCTACAGGCCTACGAGTGGTTCTGGATGATCGAGCCTGGTGTAAGTTGGCATCCTTCTTCCTCCCCTCCCTCCTTTACATGGTTTCGGCTGACAAGGCTACTACTCCAGACCAAGTTTCTCTGTGACATTACGGTCGATGTATTTCGTCTCATGCGGGATCGGGGAATCTCCTATGGAGTCAATGAAATCTCTTTCGAGGGCGCCGCCGACTCCGAGCTCCTCTGGCAAAGCACCAAGTCCTTCATGGATAAGCATCCCGATCTGGTCCGACCTACAGCCGATATCACCTGGATCCTAGGTGACATTGCCAAGCCGAACAAGCCAACTCGTTCATCAGACTACTACGTGGATGATGGAACTGACTATACGGAGAGCGTCGACCTGGACTTGCAAACTGGAAATTGCAGGACCAGTGGACAAGAGACTGAGGGTGGGATGCCTCCCGGTACTTGCCTTGAAGCTGATCCTCAGCAGTGCGAGCCAAACACGGTTGCCGATGCCTTTACAACTCGACTTGCTGCTAGATACGACCAGTGCAACATGGATACTCCCATCGAGATTGGCAGCCTCAACCACTTCCGCGGACCTGAGCACAGCTCGTACTTCGACTATCTCGACAACGCCGGTGACTTCTACTATGGCAACACCGGCAACGTTCCTGTTCACTCCCTGAGTGCCAGCATGTTTCTTCCACGCGACAAGTTCTGGCTCCTCGGCGACATGGTATGCGAGATGCATGGTCTACACAGCTGCCCTCCAATGCCGCACCCGACCTCCGACCTGCAGACCGGAAATAACCCGAACTTCTTCGCTGATATCATTGGTACCTCTTGGTTCGGCGCCTGCGAGGACAACCAAGTCTTGCTCATCCATCGCGTCTGGGAGAAGATGGCGTCCGAGATGGCCCGCCAAAACGGTATTCCAGCTGCTCAGCTCGGCCACACCGCCCTCGACGAGCGCAACTTCAAGCTCTACATGCCGGAGAGATATCCTGTCGATGTTACACTGACCTGGTATTCGCTGGAGGACAGCTGGCGTTCCTGGTCTTGTGACCGCCTCAAGTGGTTCCTTGGGGTCTTGGGATGGTAAATTTTGACATGGGAATCGGGACTGGCCCCGAGACTCGGGCTGGCATGGAGACGGAGCCTTTGAGCAACAAGGGAAGGTTATCAAACTTGGGATTTTTTTGTTTCGCTGTAAAATTTGACCTACACAGCCTCTATTAGCACCGGGTAGCCATCCTCAGAGAATAATTGATGATTCATACCTACCATCTTTCCCTGACCTGTACGCCTACTCTATTCGGATGAAGCAGTTTGTCGACTCTTCCATTTCATTGGACCCTTTCTTCAACATGAAATTTCGTTCAAAGATGACTTATTGCCTTGCTGTGAAACAGGGTGATATTCGTAGAATGCTCCCTACTTCTCCAAAATCACACGTTGACTGCTCTATGTCAGAAGAATGGAACATGTGACAGAATCATAATTGAGGCCAAAATATGAAGTAGGCCTCTCACGAGGGCCGGCGGCAGACTGGATTACAGCCAGGAAATGCATGGAAGCTTGCGTGTTGATTACTACAGTAGAAGCGAACACATCCCCGCAAACCTCCGTATCGCATCGTGAGCCTCAGCCCAGCTCCCCAGTGATACTGTCACGACTCCCAATAATCTCGGTGCTGCTGGATCTCGTCTGTAAGAAAGTCTCTCTCCACCATTCTTCTCTTCCTACCTTCCTACACCCATTCAAATTCTTCCATGCGAAGCGAAAATAATCGCCGATTCCGCCATGACCCGTTTCCCTATAATCTGCTGTTGAAGAACCTGTTTGGGTCGATGGGGATAACCCCTTTATTTGCTGCCTCAGGGACAACTTTGTCGATACGATAGGATAAAGCTATTGTCAGCCAGAAGGGTTGGTGATGAGATTAATTCAGCTCTCTCCAGTTGATGGGCGCCAGTCGTAGGGTGACTATCTTGAATAGATAGAAAACGATATTTCAATCAGATTCACTACCTATCGGTTTATTTTGAATCTTCTACTTAGGTAAGAAGGGAGTTATTGCGCATTCTGTTCCGCAGACGCGTCTGCAAGGCTTGCAGCCAAGACGGGTTGTTCAAGAAGTCGCAATTTCAAACTCGGGCAGGCGCCCATCAGAATATTTTCAAATCTCAGGAGGTCATGATGAAGTGCGCTTTGGGGGGCCGATAAGAATTAACAAATCCTTCAATTTGTCTGTTTTCGATAGATCTGTTGGTGTCTGCGTGTCCCAATCCTCACCAAAGTACGCGCGGTATTTGTCCGTCATGTCTTGTCTCAGGAATTTTCAACAGTGGTGGCTCTGTCAGCCATTCCTTTGTGGCAATCCTTCGCGCATATTCTCTACCATCAGTCAACCTCTGAGCACTGGATGACTTCAACATCGGGAACAAGGACTCGTTGAGCGCGTGCTTCCTCCTTGAATTTCTTCGCGTCGCCCTCCATCTTGCCCTTCTCACCCCGGTTCATCTTGCGTCTCTTGTATCGGAACTCCATTCTCTGTATCTTGTATTCCTTGTTGAGATCCAGAATCATGAACACAGAGATCGCCGAGACGGTGCTCTTTTCCGAGGAAGTCTTTTCAACTACACATTCGATGTGGCAATTGATGCGGCCTCGGTCAACAATGGTTGAAACTGGAAACGTGCTGATTTTCCTGACAATGTCGCCCTCCAATTTGTTTTGTTTGAGGCTTCTGAGGTGTGCAAGGAAAAGGTGCCTTCCATACTCGACTCCACTGCGAAAGGGCAGCGCAGGGTCGACATAGACGAAGCCGTACTCAGCAAGCCATACTTCGAGCATTGTGGTTTCCCAATTCGCCAGTTCTTCCACAAAGAATGAGACCTGCCTCTCCAACTCGCGGCGAAGTTTCGGGTCGCTGTATTTCCCCGTGGTGTGTTCATCGATGGCTTTACGGAATTCCTCCCAGGACACCGGGTCAGGGGTGGCCACTATACGTAAGATTAGATGGGCACCATGTCAAAGGATGCTTGTTCCTTCTTACTGATGTAAAGCGCGTGGGTTGGGTTGGTGATGATTGATGAAGGGGTTGATGGTTCTGTGTAGGTGGTGCAGGCGCACCAAGGCAAAATGTCGAAGCACTGTAGTCGAACTAGCGGTAGTTCAATGATAGCCTGATAGGTGTCGGAAACTTGAAGCGTCTGAGGAGAGAAGTGAGGCCCTTTTATTTTCAGTCCATGATCCAGGAGAGAGATTAAATATCTCTTGAGTTAGTATTGCAAGAGGTACGACGGTGGAGCAGCGAACAAGCCAGACGACAAAACGGCAAAGAGGTCAAGAGTTCAGGAGATTAAGCGTTCAGGCGGTAAATTCAGTAAATAAATTGAGCGGCTAATACCTAAGACTCGGGTGGTACAGTAGCTAAGCCTCGGGTGAAGCCTCGGGTGGTACAGTTTCATCGATTCGAGGTGATTTTCAGGAAGAGAGGTAAATAATGCAGCCTCATGATGCCGTGGGAGAAAAACCAGGAAAGAACAGAACGATGATAGCCTGAGTAGTCTTGAGAACAACGATGTTGATTTCCTGCCGCGTAAGGTCGTCTGAACACTACTAAATCTCAAATCAGGTGGCGTCACGACCTTGTGTTACCGCATCTTTCAACCACTGAACTGCAAAAAACAACTTGTTTGATAGTACAATCCCGACCTTGCCAAAGAGACGCTCGAAAGTCTGCTAACCGCTCCGGTGCTTTTGTGCCACCTTCAGGTCGGGTCCCTGTAGGAACTCAATCCTCTTTAGTCTTCCATCATCATCCACGTCGAGAAGCAGAACCTGTCTTGTTTGTACGACCATGTGCGACTCAGGCGGCGGCTTCCGGCTTCAGGGGCAGTCTCATGATGATGATGTGAGTGCAGGTGTTAGTGCGTCTGCGGCCGGGAAGAATCGTGGCCGGGACGAATACGGTGGGTGTTTTGTTCAACTTGGCAAAACGCTCCACTACTTCTTGCTTTTCATGGCGGATTCCGCCTTCTTTCACTTGCTGCACAATTTCTATACAGTCCTCCGCTGACCGCTTATGTAAGAAGGATTTGGACGACTCGCCTGACGTTGCCACGTTCAAATTTCAGAGAAGAGGCTTTGAGTGTATGATAGGTAGGTAGCCTCGCAGGATTCGCTCAGAGGGATCAACAGTTTGTTTGCGCATGTAGTCGATTGTATGCTCATGATTTTGCATTGCCATGTTGAAGGTACATCGGCTTTATCCTTGGTCAGGTAGATCGACTTCGTAGTTTTCCTGGTGATTCTGACGATCAAGTAAAGTATTAATGTGTACCGCTACCTCACCTATGATGATGTGAGTGGAATAGGAGTCTCTATAGCAAGTAGTCTCTTACGAGAAAATACGAGAAGAATGAAAGGCGCTGGGCAAGACATGATGTGGGAAACTGCAACGCCAGAGCATGTCGTACTTGACCTTTGGGCAGAGCAGTCTTTGCCATACCGCTGGTTCTTTCTACTTGCAAGGAAGAATTCTGCCAATCTTACTGCTTTCTATCTTACCACTACCCAAGCTTATCACTAGATCCCAATGAACAAACCACAGTTGGCGGTGAACTCTAGAGTGAACTTGCGAAGGTCCCGGCCACGTGACTTCCGACTTCACGTCTGCCTTCCCTCCAGCCGGTAATTTATTATTCACAGCCCAGGGGAGTTCGAGGCAACTCGGGCTTATCTTACGCACAAATCATACTGATCCAAGCCGCTGAAGCTCAACTTTCCCGCCGTCGCCGTACCAATATATGAAGAAAACAACACAACAAAATTTCAAAAGTCACATCCAGCTCAGCACCAAGTAGTGGTAAGTTCATGCTTCTGGCAGGCCCCCATGCCGACATTGCGAGGCTATTTCAGGCCTGTGGCCAAGAATGTCATCTAATTTTCTATTCGTGCGTGATTCAACAATCCCTGTATGTACATGACTGTTCTCCTCAAAGGGATCGCACAAACTATGAGGCACACCGCACTGCTCAAGAGTCGTGGGGCGTCAACGCTCCTGATCTCTGATTAAATCCAAAATTCTCCCCCATGACCGTAGCCTCCTTTTTAGATTTCGCGGCAGCTGCATTCATTTCCTCAAAGGTGCCGTTCGTGATACGGCACTGGGGATCAATATCTCGGTTTTCGATCCTTTTGATAAAAAACTTCTCGTCAAGATCAAGGACCTCGACTGCAGAAAAGCGGTAAAAGCAAGGCGGAACCTTGGCTATCAGGTGCCACTCCTCATCGCCTAGCATCCAGAAGTGTTCCAGAAAGCATGTAGCTCGGCCTCTATCAATAACCAGAAGCTTGATCACAGTGCGTTGCCGGCTGAAGTGCATTGCTCTGATTTTCTGGACGATTCCATCCGCGTTATCTTCGATGCCACCGGGCCCAGCCAGTGTCGTTATAAACTTGGCGTCATGTCGTAGAAAATTTCTCGCTACTTTCCAATCTTGTCTGTCGATCGCATTGTAGAACTCTCGGATCCTGGCGTCAATGGCCCATCGCATGGGGCGGTCTCGTACCTCGCCACATACCTCAGCGATGAAGAGGTTGAAGTCATGCTGGCTATAGTCGCACATCTTGGCGTTCTGTTCATGAGACGAGAGTTAGTGACATGGTCTGCGAAGGAACTCTTGGTCAGTGCTGAGCGTACCAAAGACCTGGATAGCTTCTAAGACGGTAACGTGGTATGCGCGTTGGAGAATTTCGGCTTGCCGTGAGAGCTTTGTATTGTTGAATGTTTTCGAGAGCTGGTGGCTTTCTTGCTTCGTGATCTTGCTATAGTTTGGAGAGAAGCAAACAGAAGAAGGAGATGTTTGTTGAGGGTGGCTTGATGAACGTAGTTGAGAGAGGGAATCAGTATGGTGGTCGAGGGAAAGTCAGGTTGATGAATCAGGGAAAAAAAGGTTGAATGGCCTCTTTTTGTAAATTTAGATGTCTTAGGTACCTTATCTTGGTAGAGGGACTTGTAGAGAGACACAGAAAGCACGCTCGCATCTGAGGCAGGCAAAAGGGCAGGAACGACCCCAGAGCTCTCTTCCGGATTTATTTTCCTCTCAAGTACAGGTGCCAGATTCATTTGGTACCACGGCAAGAGTCAAGACTGAAATTGAACGATGTTCTTTGAGCGGTAATGAGCCGTGTTTGGGAGCCGATTGAACAAGAGTGAGCCAATTCTAGTATGAAACTTTGTTTCGGAAGCGGTGAGGCCCGAAGCAAATAGCCTTGAAAACCCTGCAGAGATTCATCTGCTGTTCATCTCTCCTTCCAGTCTTGTTTGGAGGGTGGCATCCTTCTCGCGGCTGTTGTGAAAGCCAAACATTCCCAAAACCAATGTTCCTTTCCTCGGGCCCAATGCTGAATGAATGCCCTCATCCTCACCGGTAGCCAACATGGTTGATCATGTCTTCGAGCACAACTGTCTGGTCTGCAAACATGCCGATGCTCTGCCCACTGCCAACATTCTCAATCGAGTTGCAACGAAAGTCTATGCGCATCACCCTCTTCTCCGGGCCATGGTCCACGTCAAAGATGAAGACCTCTCTGGCTCTATAGACGTTGCCGTAATTCACGACGTGAACAGCCCCCTCGCCGTACTGCCGCGCTTTTCTCTGGTAAAAAGTCTCCGCCCGCACCGTGATGGTGCCGCGGTCGGCGACGGCGAAGAGCGGGACGCAGATGATGGTGTACTCCTCCAGCAGGCGGCGGTGGTAGATCTCAATCTCGCGGATTCCCTTGAGAATTGTTCCCTCGCCGTTGGCGCCCAAGTAGCTGATCATGGTGCAGTCGGCGGCGTACTAGGTGCCAATCTGCTCCAGGCGCTCGAAGTTGAGGAGCTGGATCAGGTGCTCCTTTGCTTTGGTTTCGAGCACGCGACGGAGGGCGAGGTCGCTGGAGTTTCCTGCCAGCTCGGCGAAAACGCGGTTGAAGTTTTCGTCCATTATCTTGTCTGAGCCTCTGGGAAGTCAGCTTGTTTTTCATTGTTACCGAAGGGGGGGATCTGTGGCAAAGCAGCGACGTACTCTGGTGTAAAGAGGTCTTGTTTTGAACCCCTTTGTGGTGTGGTGAGATGGGGGCCCAAGGGCAGCTATGGCTTTGTGCTACTTGGGTCCTTTGGTGAAGAGACACCTTGTGATGAGATTGAGCAGAATGGTCAAGTGTCGATCAGGGAAGGGTGAACATACCAAAAGATGCCGCAAAGCAGCACTTGCCAGCAAGCTGCCTGGGCCCCGCATCTACCACTGTTGAAACTCTGGGCGAGTGCCCGCCTAGGGCACTCATTGGAACGGCAGTAATACCGTTGGAAAACAAAGGCGGCTTCGAGCGGGAGGCATCACCGCCCGAGGGAAAACGAGGTCATTTGGAGAGGCGGTGATGCCTCTTGAAGCTGTGGTGGAACTAGAAAATAAATGAAGGGGTGAAAACAAAGTTTGAACAAGACTGAAGTGGTGGAAAAGAAAAATTCCAATGTGGGTGAAGGTGTTGGCAGGAAGAAAGTTTGGTTTTATTTTTGGACTCGAGGCAAAGCTGACGAAGACCTTCCGAGCAAACTGGAAGAGCCCGAAGGCTCCACTAAAATGCGCCCGCGAACGTGATCGGCAACGGAGCGAAAGACCCCACCCGGAAGGAGCTTACCGAAAGAGGTATAGGTAGCAAGCCACCCGGCCCATAGTCTCACCCACCTCACCGGCCAAAAGCCCAAACTTACTCACAGACGGGGGTGGCTTGGAAAGTCTCAATCCGGGCGGCATGACGTGAAGGATATTCCTGGAGGCGGGACTCCCGCTCGATCCCCCCTCTCTGCATGCAGCCTCGAGCTCAACCACGTATAGTTAGGGTTCGTTACGGACCGGGCACAACGGGCAGTTTCAAGTATCTTTCAACTACATCTCACTTGATTCAATATACTTATAGATAGCGATGCCGAACCAGATTTCTAAGCAGTGGTACAAGGACGAGTACCTCATCTCCACCGATCGGTCGCTGCTCGACCTCAACGCCATAAACGATGCCTATGACTCCGAGCTGCTGTGGTGGACGAAGCGCGTTCCCGATGTCGCTCTGCGGAGGCTCATAGACAACTCGCTGTGTCTGGGGGTGTACAAGCTCCCCCAGGCTACTGCCGACATTGCAGGTACGTCGACAAGACTTCCATCGTATGGTCCCTTGCCTAAACGGTACGCAGGGAAGAAAGGTCCCGAACTGGTGGGCTTCGCCCGTATCGTGACCGACTACGCGACGATTGGGTATCTGGCGGACATATACGTTCTGCCGTCGCACCAGGGCAAGGGGCTAGCGCCGTGGCTGATGCAATGCCTGAATGAGATCTTGGACGAATGGCCCGACTTGCGGCGCTTCCTCCTCCTGACGTCTTCGCCACAGGCGAGCAAGTTGTACGAGCAGGCCTTGGGAACGTCCGAATGGGGCGTGTCACATTCGGGGAAGCTGTATCTGCTTGAGAAGCGGGGCCCCGCCATGCCCAATGGTCCGTCGGACGAGGAGGATGAGGATTGAGCGCAGACCCCGGGGTGATATGGGAATTTGTTGGTATCATCATGCCTTAATAGACGTCTTGCCGTACGCTCCTCCGGCAGCTTTTCTCAATTCAATGGCCCGCTTGTAGGGAGGAGCCGTCGGGGGTTGAACGGGATCTAGAGATACGTGATCCTCGGGCAGTTGGTATGATGCGTCGGAATCGAATGCCGACAAGTCACCACATGCGATGAAGGGCGCAATCCATCGAATGTGCTTCTCGTGGTCCGTCGTCTCATCAGTCTCGTCGTAAGCCTCCACCTCGACAACCTGACCGTCTCCCCGTGTCGCAGACGCCGTAGGAGCAGAGTCCCATTTTCCGGTCAGGGGGTTCTGCATAAGCGCATCAGCAATGGCAGGCAGCTGGCTCCTCCTCGCCTCGACCATTGTTGGCAGCTCATGGCCGACACCAAGCGGGTTCTCAAGACTGGCCTGGAAACCGGCAGGAGGCTGAAAGTTGATGCAAACGATAAAGGCTTCAACACTGCTAGCACGGGAGGATCTCGGCTTCGCGACGATGACGGTCTCGAAGAAGATCTTGAGTTGCGCGTAGAGGAGGTCAACATTGCGGCCGCGGAAGATCTTGGCGACGAACTTGCCGCCGGGCTTCAGCACGCAAAGAGCGAGGTTGAGGGCGGCGAAGAGAAGCTGCGACTGGACGTAGATGTCCAGATCGTGGAGACCAGTGACGTCAGGAGCACCGTCGCTGATAACAAGGTCGACTCGATGACTAGCTTGTTGACTCTTGTAGTTGGCGGCGTCGTAGTCGGGATCCAAGGCTTTGAGGAGCAGGGGCACAGTAGCGGGGTGGGTGATGTCGGCACGCAAGGTGATGATGCCGGGGAGAGGGCTGATGGGTTGCAAGTCAATAGACACAATCTTGACATCCTTGCGAGGTTGCGTCTCTTCGGGAGCAGCCTCGGTCTTGGTCTCCTCTCCTGATGCGGCGGATTCAGGGGTAGCTGGGAAGACGCCGAGCATCTCTTGGCGGAACTTGGCCTCACGATCCTCCCATGCTGACCGACCAAACTTTTCTCCCTTAATGAGGACGCGAGATAGCACCTGGGACCAACTGCCTGGAGCGGCACACAGGTCAACAACTCTTGTCACGTTGGCGAAGAGGTCGAACTCTGCCAAGCCAATTAGTATTCAGAGCCAAAATATCGCTGGATGACGGGGTAAGTGAGTCACCTTCATCCAGTTGCAGCAGCTTGAAAGCGCTACGTGCACGCCAGCCTTGCTCTTTGGCCAGACGGTAGTAAGCGTCACGCTTGTCCTTGGAAGATTTGCCCATGTTGGGTTGCGGGCGAACGAGAAAAGGGGGTTGTTCAGTGAAGGCTGATGGGAGATGGAAATGGCGGGGGAGGGGGGAAATGCCAGCGAGAATATTTTGGAGGGGTCGACGCCGCTGTGGTCGCCAAAGAAAATTTGCTGCAGCGGTCCACTGCCCCCCATAAGGCTGAAATAAGGTGCGGTCGGTGCGGCGTTGGGCCTTCAGGGGTCCTCTATCCGGCTGAAGTATTCTCCGGGTCCGCCAAAAATTTCGAGCAGCGCAAAGAACCGGCGCTCAATTGCACGGGCGAAATGCGCATCGACTCGTTTTTTTTTTGGGTTCCTTTTTTTTAAAGGTGAAGATTACGCAACTCGCGGGGCATCCTCCAAGACTTCTTTTTTTGCGCCCTCTCGATAATCGACACCACAGGCGCCAACATGCAGCACAAGAGGAAGCAACAGCCCACAGGGGCTGCGCAGAATCCCCAGAAGCGCCAAAAGTCCGCTGGTGGCAAGCCTGCGGCCCCGAAGAAGCGCAAGGTCGCCGTCAGCGCGCTGCCATGGAAGACGGTCGAGGTTCCCGAGATGTTCGATGATGCCGAGGGCTTCTACGGCTTGGAGGTTATTGAGGGCGTTGATGTCGTCAAGCATGGCGATAACGTCGAGTTTGTACGTCCACCAACTTGTTCTTTCCATTCTCCCTCATTCTTCCCCGACTGCGTTGTTTGACTGACTAGAGATGAGCAGGTCGCTGCTATTCCCTCTGGCGACGAGGAGGAAAACGGAAACGAAGACGAGTTTGAAGGCTTTAGCGACTCTGAGCCCGCGCCTGCGCCTATGCCTGCGCCTGCACAACCCGATACGGTAATGGAGGAGGCAGAGGCAGAACCAGAACCAGAACCGAAGCCCGAGAGCAAGAAGACCAAGAAGGAGAAAAAGGCCGCAGCCAAGGCAGAGCAAAAGGCACAAAAGGGGGCAACGACAAAGGAGGACAAGCCTACAGACAAGGCCGACGAGACAAACGGCGCTACCCTCGCAGCCGAGCCCGAGGGCAAGAAGAAGAAGGAAAAGAAGCAAAAGAAGGCTCAGCCCAAACCGGAGGATGCCAAGCTCCAGAGCAACGTCTTCAAGGCACTCGAGGAGGTTGAGGAGGCCGAGGAGGATCTCGACATGGCCCCCTGGGTGGATATCGGTCTCTCCCCCGCTACCGTTGCGGCCATTGCCAAGCTGAAGTTTGCGAAGCCGACAAAGATCCAGAGCTCGTCGATACCCGAGATCCTCGCCGGCCACGACGTCATCGGAAAGGCCTCTACGGGTTCCGGTAAGACGCTGGCGTTTTCGATCCCCATTGTGGAGGAATGGCTCGAAAGATTTGAGGGAAAGGAAGACGAGAAGAAGCCGGATAACACCCCCTTTGCGCTCATTCTTTCGCCGACGAGAGAATTGGCACACCAAATCACCAACCACATCAAGAGCCTATGCGCCGGTCTACCCCACTCGCCATTCGTTTGCTCGGTGACGGGAGGTCTGTCAGTCTTCAAGCAACAGAGACAATTGGCCAAGGCGGACATCGTCATTGGTACGCCAGGTCGTCTGTGGGAGGTCATCAGCTCGAGCACGGAACTGCTCAAGGGGTTCAGGCAGATCAGGTATCTGGTAGTCGATGAGGCCGACAGACTTTTGAGCGAGGGACACTTCAAGGAGGCTGGGGAGATTCTCGACGCCCTCGACCGTGAGGTTGTCGAAGAGGACGATGACGAGGATGAAAAGGAGCTCTCGGAACGGCAGACGCTCGTCTTCTCTGCCACGTTCCATCAGGGACTGCAACAAAAGCTGGCTGGCAAGGGCAAATGGGGTCTCATGTCGGAGACGGAGAACATGGAGTATCTGCTAAAGAAGCTCAACTTCCGCGAGGAAAAGCCAAAGTTTATCGACGCCAACCCCGCGAAGCAGATGGCTGCCGGTCTCAAGGAGGGTCTCATCGAGTGCGGTGCCATGGAAAAAGTCAGATGACACCCGTCCAGACTATTGTCAGTCACCGAAACTAACTTGTTCCCAGGATCTCTACCTCTACACAATCCTCCTCCTCAACCCCAACCGCCGCACTCTAGTCTTTACGAATTCCATCAGCGCCGTCCGCCGCCTAACTCCCATGCTCCAAAACCTCAACCTCAACGCCATGGGCCTCCACTCCCAAATGGCCCAAAAGGCCCGTCTCCGCTCCGTCGAAAAGTTCACAGCCACAAAGGCCAACACCACATCCGTCCTCATCGCCACCGACGTCGCCGCTCGCGGTCTCGATATCCCCGGTATCGACCAGGTCGTGCACTACCACGTCCCCCGTGCCGCCGACATGTACGTCCACCGCTCCGGTCGTACCGCGCGTGCCGAGAAGACCGGTCTGAGCATCATTCTCTGCGGGCCGGAGGAGGTCGTGCCGACGCGCAGGCTCGCGGCCAAGGTGCACGAGAAGCACTCGAGCAAGAAGAAGTACTTTATGCGGACCATTGACATTGATCGCCGCATCGCGTCCCGTCTCAAGCCCAGACTCGACCTGGCCAAGAAGCTGACAGACGCGACGCTCGCCAAGGAGAAGGGCACAAAGGACGAGGACTGGGTCAAGGCGGCTGCTGAGGAGCTCGGTGTGGAGTACGACAGCGACGAGCTGGAAAAGGCGGGAACGTGGACGGGTCGTGGAAGTCAGCGGAAGAAGAAGCAACAGGAGGATAAGAACATTAGCAAGGCGGAGATGGGAGCGATGAGGGCCCAGCTCCGCGAGCTGCTGTCGAAGCGCGTCAATGCCGGTGTCAGTGAAAAGTACATCACGTCGGGTAACTTGGATATCGAGGAGCTGCTGCGAGGCGGTACGGGAGATTTCCTGGGCAAGGTTGACGGCCTGGACTTGGAGGATTTGTAGGTTGGTTGCATCACGCATTCACAAAACACAATACCACTTGATTTCCATCATGAATCAAAACTCTTCCATTCATGGTATGCTTGAGCAATCATTCGGCTCAATACCATGCCTCATTATCATATCCGTGACCATAACCATAACCGTAACCGTAACCGAGACCATCCTATAACCGTAACCATTCCCATAACCGTGAACTGGGCTCGCCGGCCCTCGTCACAGAAGTATAATAATAATACTACCACAGCAAAAAGTGTTCGCACTGAAAAATATTGCAGAACGGAAGCTCCAGGCCTCGTTCACTCCTCCATCTCCGCCTCAGGAGTCTCCGCATTCTGCGGAAGCTGTGCAGCCCGTCTTCTCAAGGGCAAAATCTCTCGCTTCGGCTTCGCGTCCTTGCTTCCCTGAGCGACATTTCCTCCCTTTGTAGCGCGAATGGGGGACGAGCTCCTGAAAAGCAGATGCTCGCCCTGCTCAATCTGCTCCACTACTTTGGTGGCAGTTCCGCTTTCCAACGCCGTGAGCGCGGATCGGTGCTTGGTGGGGTTCTTGGCCCGGTTCTCGAGGTCCCTGATCGTGGCGGCCAAGAGCTTGAGGTCCTTTCGAGCCTGCTCGGTCTTGTCGCGCAGTTTTGTGTTGCTGTCGCAGCCGCTGGAGTAGCGCGTCTTGTATTTCTTAGACTCCGCATCGAGGCGCGCAATCTCAGCGTCCTTTTTGGCCATGACGCTCTCGTGGGCCTTTTTAATAAGGTCGATGATGCCATCCTTGGTTGCAAGTTCCTTCTTCTTGCTCTTCCTGGCCAGGTTGGAATTGAGCAGCTCCTGGTCGGCGAACTCTCTCTTCGACACTGCCAATTTGTTATACTCTTCGTTGAGCTGGTCAATCTCCGCCTTCAGGCTCTCTTGTTCGGCAAGTTGATCTTGGGCGGCCTCCTTCAGCTCAATGACGAGTTCTCGAGCAGCCTTCTCTGACTTGAGCGTCTCCTCGTGCTTCTCTACTTCTTCGACAAAATCCTCCATGAGTTTGTCGGCATCCGCGTCGCCTTCCTCCTTCTCCTTGCGAATAGTACGCAGGTCAGTCTCCAACTTGGCGACTTGCTCCTCCTTCTCGTGGACTGCTGCCGTTGCTGCTTCCTCTATGCGCCGGTTGTTCTCGATCGCGGCATCTCGTTCTTGCTGCAGCAGCGCAATGCGAGGGTCCTGGTCAGCCATATGCTGCGCCTGCTCTCTGAAGGCCTCGTTGTCTTGGCGCATCTGCTCTGCTTGGTCGCGCAGGCCAGCAACGATGCGCTCAGCCTCCAATTTGAACTCTGCTGCCTCTCTGAGCTGGGAGGCGTGGGATTCAATGGTGGTCTCGGCTTGGGCCTTCACATTGGTCAACTCCCCGCGTAGCTCGTTAATGATCGCCGCCATCCTCCTTTCGGTATCGCGATGATCGGCTTGCTGGTCCTTTGCCTCCCTCCGCTTGATTGATAGCTCAAAAGCGGCCGAAGACTGGGCGAATGAAAGGGCTGCCTTGGTCGCGGCCAGCTTTTCCTCAAGTTCGTTGATGACATTGGAGTCTTTGGTGATTATAGCCAACTCGTGGCCTGTCGCTGCAGCAGTCTTGGTTTCTCTGACCTGCATCTCCATGGCTTGAAGGTCTCGAGACATGTTCTCGTTGTCGGTCTTGACATCATCCAACATCTTCTCCTTCTCCTCCTGGGCCGCCTTCAGAGCGGTTACTTCTGCCTCCAACGTCGTAATTCTTGCCTCTTTCTCGGTAATGGTGACTCCGTTTTTGGCCGCCTGAGCCTCCAACTTTTCTTGAAGGGCTTTACTGTCTGGACTGCTGCGATCACGCTTCAGTGCCTTGACCTCGTTGTATAGTCCGCCAAGCTCGTCCCTCTTGCTGAGGACGTATTCGCGGAAAATCGTCTGGAGTTTCTGGATCTGAGAATTCTTTCTCTCCGTAATGCTATCGGCGTAGCTGTTTGCACTTCTGAGGCAGCCTTCAGCGTCTTTGGCTCGGTATTCGGCCTCCTCGACCTGCTTCTTCATCCCTTCCAGTTCTTGCTGCAGTCTTTCGATCGTGTTACTGTCTTCCTGGTGCTCAGAGAGCTGCAACTTGGCCTGATTGAGAGTGTTGATGACGTAGCGATTGCGTTGTTGTTCTATCTTCAGAGCTGCCCGTAGGTCCAGCTCGTTCTCGTCAAGTTTGCTCAACTCAAACGCGTACAGATTGCCTTGCTTCAACGACTGAGAGAGACGTTCTCGAATTCCATCGCAAGCATCCTTCTTCCGGGTGCAGCGGTTGACTTCGGATGGAGCTGGTACAAATACAGGAACTTTCCGATCCGTAGGTGGCTGAGGAGTGGGAATTTGCTTGCTGGTACGGATGATGGCTGGTTGACGAGATGACAGAACTCGGCCGATCCCAAAGTAGGCGTCGGCGGCGAAGTGCTTCAGTCCGTAGACTGCCTGCAGGATGAAAACACCCGCGGTCACGAGAGAGGATACGGCGTTAGATCCGTATGGGATGAGATTGTAGGCTGCGTAGTGTTGTAAAAGCTCATTCGCCTTTTCAGTGGTTTCGTCCGAGATTCTCAAGAAAGGCACGTAAGTACCAATCATTGGGTTGATGAATGCCAGATAGAAATAGAACCCTGCGATGAGGGTGTGTGTGAAGAACCACGCGAAGGCGATGGAGAAGAGAAGGTCGGTGATTCTCCAATAGAGGAGTTGCTCGCTGAGGAATTCGTAGACGAAGTTGCCTCCGCTACACACGGCCATCAGGATGGCCATGATGCCAGAGAAGGCAAAACCGACGCTGAACGGGTCGATCATGATGATTCTCGTCCGCTTGTGAGATGAGCTATCTTGGATTTGGACCAAAAGTTCCGCTGTGGGATGAGAAGCTGTATGATGGGAAGAGGAAGTTCGGGAGACAAGGTAGAAAAAGGCAATTCTCTGATGGAAGTTGATTTTCTGATGAGGGATTGCGTGAGTAGACGGAAGCTCTGGCGGTTGAATCGTCCGAATTTCACTTACCTTGACTGTTCAAGAAACGGGTGAGAGTTGAAAGAAGAGAGATGAGAGTTGGAAGAAGAGAGGTGAAAGTTGAAAGAAGAGAGATGAGAGGGAGAGGGTGGGTGAGAATCAGCTGGAGATCTGGGAGGCAAATGGAGGTTTGGATGCTACTGAAGGAAGGTGCGTCTTGAGGAAGGCGCAAAGGAAGGTGAGGCAGCGAGGCAGCGAGGCAGGCACGACCTGGCGCAGCAAACAAATTTTGGTGTGTTGGAAAGACTATAGAGCACCTATTTCTTTATTGAGGACAAAAGTCTTGTTCTGCATCTTAGACAATGAGCAACCTAGACAATAAGCTACCTAGGCACACAAAGGCGGTGACATGAGAGAGACGTGAGCTCACTTTTACCCTACCCAACCCCTCTGACGAGAGCTTTTGCGGTCCAATATAAGAATTCTCCAACGGGTCCAGTCCAATGTTCCAGGCTCCAAACTACATGTAGGATCACAGATTTCCCAGCATCCAAGAGGGATGGAAACACAGCATTGCAAGTAAGTGAAACATCTCATACGATTGCAAATTTGACGAGATAAACTCTCAAGTTTGATTAACGTACGGTACCTTACGGTTGGTTGGTTGTCATCGCTGTGGGGCACACCAATCTCGTGATTTTGGAATCCGCCTGTACCTCACCGAGGGCTTACCGGGGGGCTCACCGAAATCCTGACCATTGACCGAAATTATCGAGCTGAGTGCCAAGCGTCTCTATTCTCACCCAGACAGGCTTGGGAAAATACTTGAGTAATTATGCCGGCACCATCTTGAGGTTTGTCATGGGTTACCCTGAGAGTGCATTCGTACCCACCTGAACGACCTGTGATTGGGATGTTACAGCATCAGTGCCATTATTATTACCCATAGCTGAGTTGTGATACCAGCCGTTTGTGGAGAGGTATACCGCTGAGCTGCTGACCTCCATCATGCGGCTTGTTCAATTCAATTTTCTTTCCCGTCTACCAACCTTAGCATGGCCTCTGAAAATCACCAACATACGTTCTCATTCAATTTTTTGGAACGACAACTCGACTGTTCACGTCATGTCGATCTAAATTCTGGTATCTATTGGAATCATTCATATCTGGTATCAAGTAGCGCTAACTCATAATTATTAACAATGCAGCCCCTCTTCCGAGGCCAGCCTAGGTATCCATCCACTGTCGGTTTCATGATCTGTGAACGTCCTTGAGCGAATCGAGCTCTATTGAGCTTTCACCCTCGCTGAGTCCTGTCAACCTCTCGTGCCTGACTCTCACTTCTTCAGTCTTGATGATGCCGTTCATGCCCGGGAGCGGCGATGCTTGGCCGCCCTCGGCATCCTGTAGGGCTTCCTGTGATTCCTGCCATCCTCCGGTAGACATAACAACAACAGAGTTGCGGCCGTATTGTGAGCCCGGACCATATCTCTTTGTCGACCTGACCTCTTTCCTCGTTCCAGTATCGAGTGCGCGCGACTGTGACTTATTTTGGGCATAACTTCGTTGAGTCGATCGAAGCTCTCGGTATAACATTCTCCTACTGATTGTCAGATGCTAGGGTACGATTATATGCAACCGGCGGCAATGCGACGTACAAGACTGGGATAGATACTGCCATGATCGATGCGGCGGGTTCCGTCAAAGTCCAGATCGTCAAGTCGACGCGTTCATACGTGATGTCTGGGCTGGTCATATGGACCACCAGAACCGCCTTCACGATGCCGCAAATTCCGGCACTAGCCAAGATTAGTAACTTGTTACACCCGTTGTTGTTGAGAGGCTTCCGAGCATCTTACATGGCACCTAGGCTCATTGCTACGGCGACACCAAGCCTTTCGCGCCGCAGCATCGTTGCGCCCATGAGAATCGGCCAGGGAAGAATTGCCAGAACGAAGTCGAGGATCGCGGAGTAATCTATAACCTAGTGTTAGCATGGCATGCCAGACATCACAAAACCTAGCCTGTTGGTAATCCTACAAGCAGCAAATAATTGGAACTTGACAAGCTTCTTCTTGTCCCAACAGCTGCCAGGCACACTGCTGTCCCACACTCGCCGCAAGGGGGTGCATTTGGCAAAGCCAAATATCCACACCAAGTTCATCGAAATGTTGATGGAAATGATAATGAAGATGAGGAGATATTTCATCCATTGATTCGTGACGATCCGATACAGTGTTAGAGCGAATGAACTTTTGCTCGTCGTCGTCGCAATGATTCCGAATGTCGCGACCAGTATCGTGTTAAGATTGATGAGTTTAATGTTGTCGCTGCTGATCGTATCGATGTGACGACCAAATCCGAGAGAAACGATGTAAGAATTAATCGAAATGGATATCACCAGTGACACCTACAGACGTCAGTAAGGGAGGGTGCTGCGACTGGGCAAAGACAGTGCTTGTTCACGTACCATGGATATAATCAACAGGTGGTCATCCCACCATAAACCTCGACCACGCCATAACTTGCAATAGATACGCAGAGAAAGGAGCGTGGCGCTTGCAACACATAGAGTCCAGGTTACGGCGAGGAGTTTGGTGCCTCTGTCGTCGACCATCGTCAACCTCACGGCAGACACGCCCGTGCCAACAAGTCTGATAGAAGACGGAAGAAACAATAGCGGAAAGCAATCAGTGGGTCCTGTGGAATTCAGCTAAGAAACCCGTCGGTCGAGGTCAACGCGCGCGGTAGGTGCATCACTCCCTCATATTATACATTGGCATGGCACATGATGAAATTTAAGATCAGCGTACTTAACAAGGGGGGCCCCAGCCACGAGAAAGTCTCCTGCCCTCCATGAACAGTTCTGATTATGTAGTTTCGGAGAGTGCAACCGACCTTTGGCGCTATGTGCCCCCCCTCGAAACCGGCGCGAAAGTTGCCTATATCGGCGATAGGATTTTCCCCAACCCACGGCCAAGGGAGAGACAGGGAGGGAAACGGAGTTCAGTTCGGACGGAGTCCCGCCACCTCGCCCTAAGGACTACCTCGTCACATGCAGGCGAAATGCTCATTAGGCTTAGATGGTGGTGCTGGGACCAACGTGTTTCTCTGCCACTACCAAGCTGTACTGCTCAAACGGGACTGTTGGATCGCTGAGTCAAGCTCGTTTTACGTCTGAGAAATCCGGGAGGTACGGAGGTTGGGAGCCAAGGGAGCTAGCTGACAAGAGTCAACGGCTCGCCACCGACGTGGTGGCTTTTGGCTGCAACCACACTTGTCTTGGAATGATCTGATGGGAACATGACCTTGGTTCGAGTTGGCTGATTTAACAGCAAGATACGACTGGAACGTTGCCATGGGGTTCATCATTCGGAGATACAGCCATCCTCCAACAGCGTCTCCGCGTGTCGCCCACGTTCGCATCTGCCACCTACCGGTTCACAGTCGTATTTCAGATTACACGCGCATGAACAGCCCAGGGCAGAGGCATCATGCAACTGTAATCCGCAAAAAACGTGGCCCGAGTTGGCCGATATACTACGAAAGTTCCTACACTACACCCTGCCAGGCCGCCCAAGCGATGCCGGGACAGCTACATTGTACAGCCAAAGGTCCCCAGTCCCAACTCAGGATGGCTGGGGTATGGGTCTCTAGTGCCGAACTCTAAACCTGGGGCTATGCCGGAGAGATCCCATTCGCGCGCCAGCCATGCCCCCCCCAGGATTATACCCGATGGTGAATATTACATATCTCGTTTAAACCGCCCCCATATCCCCATATGGGGGGGTTTTCCGGGGCTCTAGAAAAGGCTAACAGAGTCGACTAACCAGCACAACATTGGTTGCGCCGTTGCTGCGCAGTAGCGTGGTCTCACCATCGACTATGCTAACCAAAATGAGGCATGGTTTTCCGATCTTCCGCCAAGTCTTTGGGGGGGGCAATGGCAACACGGACGGTGGCCAACTACGGCTTCAATCTGCGGGGTGCTGGGCATCAGGCTTGCAGAGCAAGGACCCGTTCTGGATGAACATGAAAACCTCGGCTGAGGGATCGGTAGACATGCCTCGCCATGCTCTCGCCATACGACAAAAGGATGAACTTACGTGGTAGTAGTATTGGATCAGGCCCTCAGGGCCCTCTAGCCCGGGGTACGTAAATCGAACTGGAGGGTTGTCAAGTGCCATCCGCAGGGGGAATGAGACGGTACGGACTACTTGTACGTATCATTGTAATCTCAGATGCAGACAAAGTCTGTCGGGGGTGATCTGCAGGGCCATGAAATAGCCGGTGATTATTTTCCAAAACGGCTCATAGTCTCGAGTCGTCGTAACCCAATATTCCAGGCGGTGCAGGGACTAAGAAGCCGTTTATACGGGAAATTCTTTTCACGCCAGTAGAGGCGTTGAGGCAATTTCTAGCAGATATGTCATGATAGGCTCCCCAGTAGCGTCAACGGGCAGGATCAAAATCTCCCTACCCGAACCTCTGTGCGACTGGCTTTGAGACAACCCAGGTGTTAGCCTCCCTTCCCTTCTACACCGCATTCTAGAAGCAGCACGCACACCTTTTGCCCGTCGAGCCTTGCCAGCCATGCGATCCCACGCACTTAGAGTTTTCCTGGCGTTTTCGTCTTGCTTTGGCGCGTCCGAGTCCTCCTCCTCCTCGCCGCCCGGCTATTGGGGTCCTCGTCCCAAGCCCTCGCCGCCTGGGCCTCCCTCCGTGCACCTCTCAGACGGAACCTACGTCGGAGTACGGAGCGAGCAGTATGGCCAGGACTTCTTCCTCGGCATCCCCTATGCCCAACCTCCCATTGGCCCTCTGCGTTTCGCGGCTCCTCAGCCGCTCAACGAAACTTTCGAGGGGACTAGGTCAGCTTCCGAATATGGCTGGATGTGCATTGGCTACGGCTCCGACACTGCCAACTTGGGGAACCCTGTGTCGGAGGACTGCTTGACCATCAACGTGGTGCGCCCGGCAGGCTCGCAGCCAGGGGATGATCTCCCGGTTGGGGTTTGGGTTCATGGCGGCGTAAGTTTCTGCCAATCGTTGGACAACCTGGTATTACTTCTGGCCCGTTTGCTAACTTGATCCAAACAGAGTTATGTGAACGGAGGTTCGCGCGACCCGAGGTACAACCTCAGCTACATTGTCGATCAATCCGTCAAGGAGGGAAAGCCTATTGTGGCTGCATCAATCAATTACCGTCTTTCGTATTGGGGCTTCCTCTTCAGCAACGAGCTGCAAGACGCCGGCGCTGGCAACATTGGCCTCCGCGACCAGCGCCTCGCCCTGGAATGGGTGCAGCAGAACATTGGTGCCTTTGGCGGCGGCGCTGACAAGGTCACCATCTGGGGAGAGTCTGCTGGTGCTCGTTCCTTGGGGATGCAGCTCGTCGCCTACGATGGCCAATACAACAACCTGTTCCGTGGCGCCATCCTCGAGAGCGGCAGTCCCATTGCAAAGTTTGCAGATGCTGACGACTGGCAGCCGTGGTTCAACGCTCTCGTCGAAAAGACCGGTTGTGCCGATGCCGCTGACAAACTGAGCTGCCTGCGAGGGCTCCCTTGGCAGACCATCAGCGCCATCTACAACGGCACCAACCCATTGAGCGTCACGCCGCCCTCCATCAGCGCGGTGATTGACGGCGACTTCATCACGGCTCAGGGATCCGTGCTCTTGGGGGCAGGCAAGTTTGCACACGTCCCCCTTCTGCTCGGCAACAACTTTGATGAGGGCACGGCGTATGCGAAGCAAGGCATCAACACCACGGAGCAGTTCCAAGCCTGGCTCACTACCCTGCAGCTGGATAGTGAACAGGTGGCGGCCGTCTCGGCGCTGTACCCCGACGACCCCGATGTGGGCATCCCCGTCTCTCAAGTCGGCCGCCCTGCCGCGTACCCGTTCGGCCTCCAGTGGAAGCGAGCGGCTGCCTTTGCCGGCGACTATCAACAACACAGCGGCCGAAGACTCCTGGCCAGCACCTATGCCGCTGCCGGACTGCCCGTCTACTCTTACCGGTGGAACGTCTATGTGAACGGTATCGCGGCCATCTACGGAGCGACACACTTTCAAGAAGTCGCGTTCGTGTTCAACAATGTGGACGGCATTGGGTATGCTACCAGCCCCTTTGCAGGAAAGCCAGAGACGTTTGTTGCACTGGCGGATGTCATGAGCCGGAGGTGGGCTGCCTTCATCCACGATACCAACCCCAACATCTGTAACGGCCCCCCGACGGGTCCTGCGTGGCCGCTGTACACGCTTGATGAGCCCTACAACATTGTCTTTGATGTGAACCGCACAGGTCTGGCCTATATCGAAGAGGATACATACAGGGCGACGGAAATTGAGTATCTATTGGAGAATGTCTTTGTGTAATGTTGGACCTGACTTTCATGTCCACCGAAAGACTGTAGTGTACAGGCGACTTGATTTGTTTCGTATGTATCCTGCCTACTTTAATTAGTAATATGCGTAGATTAATAATGCTAGATCAACCATTCTGTCTTAGCTGTTGCAATAGAAATACTTCGTCTTACTGAAATTGAACTTGCCATCTTCCGGCCACTGACAGCATTTGCCTGCAACACGAACACTTCATAACCATATTTTATTACTCGGAGTTTTTTCTGTTCCTTTCGCCATGCCCATCTTTTGATCAGTAGTAATATAAATAACCTAGGCAATTCGGAGAAATTAGTGGCAAATCGAAGCTGGTTCGCCATCGGTGACATTGTTTAAGGTTCATTTGTGTTAAAATCCGCCTCCTGATCAATGCAATCCCAGCCGTTGCCCTGCCGCTTGTCGTTGCTTCCGCCAAGCCTTCAACCCACCTCTCGTCATAATCCCAGCGTTAATCTCACCGTCATGAACCCGGGTTCCCACACCACCAGCCCACCCCTTTGCGGGGCGGCGGGGTAGGGGCTCATGGTCACATTTCATGAGGCGTCAACTCTTTTCTTTATCGTGAAATTGTCAATGATTTCAAATTGCACTTTGAGCGATTGGATAGAGAAGCTGAAGCCGGCCGCTGTGGGCGCTGGCCGCCAAGAGCCTGTGGTGCAGACTGGAGCTTCAGGGTGGACGTTGCGAGCAACCACGATTAAGTTGAAATCTCCAAGAGCATCGGGCCAGAAAAGATGCGCGACGCATTTCCTAGTCGCCTAGAACTTGCCGAAGATGCAATTGCATGGTTTGAATACGAGAGAAGAGAATGGTTGGGCAGGATATGTGTGAGTTGTCCCTAGGATATGGAAGAGCTCATGGGAAAGCAGTGTGAAATGGTTGAGAAGGATCTGCTCAAACTATCAAGGATGCCCTTTGGAATCCATAATACCGTATGGCTGTAGAAATCTCATTGACGTCAAGTAAGCTGTCGAGAACCTTGTGAACTGCTTCATCCTCATAAAGGTTCAAGATATTTGCCGCCGTTTGTTGAATTGGTGTTCCCTTGCTCGGCAAAGGCTTTTACATCCAGCTGCCAAAACAACAAGATGAAGAGAGCATTTTTGAACGATGAACGGTGAAATTATTGTTTGCTTGATGTGACCGAGCTCAGATGAATATTAGGGAGCTATGATCTGCAGTCTTGACTATTGAATAGAAGTGACCTTCTCACTGCCTGCGTGATTGTCAAGCTGCAGTCCATCGCACATACATTTCCTCCCATTCGGCCCTCTCCGATGTCTAACACCTCAAAATATGCGGCAAATAATAATTCCTGCCTCTTGATTTGGAGCCGATGTTGACTTCGAACCTGGCATCATTGTCACCGCGGCATTGCCACAGCTTGAATCAGTCTCCTTAACCCTTCATCATCCTGTGATCGCCTTTGGCATGTTGTGATTGAAGATATACCAGGCACTCTGCTAAGAGTCACGACACATGTCGCACTATCTTTCCATGACCATGCTTGCAGTCTCTAGAACTTCACCGCGTAACCCATTGGGTGCATCACTTTCATGTGGCGTTCAAAGGTTTGCCTCTCCTCTGCAGAGATGCCACTTTTCCTCGTCCCAAGAGCCAATGACGTCTATTTTAGCGCTTTGAAGATGGCGAGGACCAATCAGGATTCCCACTTGGAGTTTGAATTAGCCTTGCGCCTCATCGGTCTAGATCTCAGCATTGGCTTGCGAGGCTTCCCGCTTGCGTAAGATGCCTCAGCCATAGGGGTTCAAACCTTCGAGATGGTGAGGATATGCTTTGATGGAGGGTCTCGTCTGCCCCGTCTCGAGACCTAAACAAGTCTCGGTCAATGAACTAATGTGAACATATCTTGCTCACCGTCCCCCAAGCAAGTTGTGTTGTTCAAGAAAAAAAGACCATGACAAGTTCAACAATGCTCAGTATTCAATCAACAGCCTTTGGGAGGTCGCGAGACTCTTCACCGAGCAAAATGGCATCTCCGAGGAAACCGGCCGGGTTGGAAAGGAGAATCGGCTGCTTTTCCGCCAGCAACATCAGCAAGGCCGCCCCTTTTGTGATGGCGTTGGATAAACAGCTGTACCAACCCTACAGTCCGCGAAAGTCTACAACCATGACGCATATACAGAGAGATGAGGCAGTCAGCATGGCCCAGGAACAGGAAAGCGGCATTTTTACAGACGAGTCAACTGTTCACAATTACTTCGAAATTCCCTACGATGCCGACGAATCCAGAGCCGCGCGGTCACCCAGGATCAAAGAGGAGGTGGAAATCGAACCTAAGATAACACAGCGGCAAAAGGAGGTGGCCGAAGCACGCACTTTTCTGCAAGGCTTTATCGAGGAGCGATGGGAAACGCAGTTGCATGCGGGATACATCAAGATTGTCTGCGACCTGACCTTGAACGAGATCAAAGAATTTGGTCGACTACGCATGGCAGAAGGCACGAGAGAATGCCGAAAGCTCGTCACTGCACCGGTAATCCACGACGCCATCGGAAATGCTCTCTGGCTAGAGATGGCAAACGAGATTGCGAGGCACGAGCTGACCACACAGCTGGCCAACACGAATCTGGTCGCGGTGACAGAGAAGGAGAAGACACAACGGCCGACTGTCATTACGTGGTCGAGCGACCGGGAAGTGGCCGACCGCAGGGCAAGGTCAATGAGAAGGCGAGCCACCGAGGGCGATGCCTTAACTGAACCGACACCGTCTTCGAGCCACTCGGTCCCCCCCACCGCGGACCGTGTAAGGCGAAAGAGCGAGATGCCAATGTTTCGACCGAATCAGATCATGTGCACAACCTGCGGAAGCCGGGCGATGCCAGATTACAAGTCGGACGACGAGCAGGCTGAGACTGACGAGGACAAGGACCTGGATACCCCGCAAGAGAATGGCGCCATTGAGATGCCGGAGGCGAACGATAGCATGGAGAGGCAAGAGAAGAAACGCAGCAGCATTTCAAGGCGGTTGTCCGTCAAGGTGAACAAGACTTTGTCAAAGTTCGGTGAGAACCTTGCGACTGGCTACGGCGGTGGCGGGGGCGGCCGGGGGCTCAACTGAATGGCGAGAGGAGGCTCTGCCACCCTAGACTTTCGTCCTGGGCTTGGCCATATCCATCGAGATTCCAGAGGAGACTTGCAATCTCAAAGATATAAAGGTGGCAGGCGTGAGGCGGCTTGGGTTGGTGCTATCAACAAGTTCCTTTTGTGCAGATCGTGGCTGTGGGAGCAAGGTAGGTAAGGTAGAGGAGGATACCCCAGACTGATACCATAAGTAGTAGTGGCGATGAGAGACATCTGAATTCCATAACCCGGATGGTCGATAGGGGCACAATTCATTTGGCTGCGATTGTGTGAGTTTGACTTTGTTGCCACGGGAATTCGGCGAGGATTTGGTTAGCACTTAGGTATGGGAGATGAAAGACACAGTTCCGAGCTCAGCAAGGAAATGACCCGGCTACCGTCGGCTATACCTCTTATCTAAGCCACAAGACCCTGTCTCTGTCCCTGGTTCCCCTGCTCCATCTTTGTGTTCCTCCCGGTCAGCACCTAAACACAAACGAACAGCCACAGGCGCTTCTTTCAACCTCACGCCGGCAAAATGTGTCGGTCTGCCGCAATATTCAAGGCTGGTTCTTGGCGGGAAGCCTCATTTTGGCACGCCAATCGCCTTGAACGGTTCCTGCAACCCCTTGTTTGTGGCGTCTGCCGGCCCCTGAGTCATTTCTGCAAAGTTTGGAGGTCATCATCATCTCATCATCACGACGCCATCGCGAGGGGTTCGCAAATGACCAACAGGATAGACAACCAGTGTTGTCTTCTCCAAAGACTCTTAATCGACGCTTCGGCAGGAGTTTTCTTCTGCCGTCGATGAGCGCCATGGGCTATTGCGAGTGCGAGAAACCTGCCTGTACACGACCAAACACCCATTGTGCGCATCGATGCCGGCCGGGCTTATGCTAAGGCGGTGTTTGATTAAGCGACGCCATCGCGGCTGCAGCTGAGCTGTCTTGTGGACACCACCGACTTTGTACCTTATTTCCAACGGTCGGGGATGAATTCGGGGCCTCATCGAAAAGGAGCAAAAGCATCTTGCTCACCTCTTGCAGTACGCACTTTTGCTTCGCATCCGATCCGACGATTCTGAGGGAGCGAGGACTCCGCCAGACTCCGCGATGAGTCGGTGAACCAGTTCGGACATGTGGGAGCGGAACGCGGAATCTCCACCGCGGAATCGCAGAGGTCATCACGTTGGCGCCATCCATGGCTCAGCCTTTCAGCTGTCAAGGGGGTTGTGGGACTTTAGCGCCATCATGACAGGGGTTAGTGACCGTCGTGGTGGTGATTGACCATCAAACCACCAAGTCTGCCTAAGCCAAGATGGAGAAACTAAGCTTCGCTTCTCACGGACACATGGGCTCAACGGTGGACTTCATCACCCCCTGACGGCTGCAGGTAGTTAGGAACTGTCTCTGCCCCGCGCTGAGTTTACCATGCCTTGTCAATCACTCCAGGCAGAGACACAGAGACACGGGCATTGCATCCTCTCCTTCTCTCACCATTCTTCGTGAAAGGCTCGTCCTGTCTTTTGTTACTCCGTTGACCGTTGTCAACGTTCCGTTCCTTGGCACCTCGTGATTTCTGTTTGGGTATGCTTGGGAGACATGTTGCAGATATCAGCCCAGCTATGGCTGTCACTCTGCCTCATCGGGCTCGGGAGAGCCGCAAGCATCGTTTATGTTACTGATCTTTCCATTTACACATTGCTGGTATGTTGGAAGACTATGCAGGAATCGTGATCTGGACGGCTCTGACGCGTCCTAGGCACCATGCGTACAGACTGCAGTCTCGTACAACATCTTTTCCCAGACCTACACGGCGTGCGGCGAAGCACCGACAGACTTGCAGTCATGCATATGTACGAAAAACAACAACCTCGCCGCCATCTCAACGTCCATCTCCAAATCAATCAGCTACAACTGCGGCTCTACGGCGTCCGACGACCAGGCCAGCGCCGCGGCAGTTATTAGCCAGTACTGTAACCCCGATGCGACAGTCAACTTTGCGACACCGACGACCAACCTCGTGACAAAGTATGCGACCGATATCGCCGAGTTCGCCAATATGGCCCCGTGTGCCCAGTCTGGCGTGTCGTACGCGATCAGCTCCATGTCGACATTTTGCCCCGAAGCCGCAAGTCTGATGGCGCCGTGCATCTGCTCAAAGAACGACAACTCGGCACGCGTCAGCCGGTCCATCGCGTCCCTTGTCCGATACTCATGCTCCAACGCGGCCGACGTCACTTCTGGTCTTGCATTCTATGATGCATATTGCGCCATGAACAAGGGCACCACATCATTCCCGCAGCCCTCGCCGCCTCCAGGGGACATGACGTACTACATGACAGCGCTCTCCCAATACAACTCGCTGGCTCCTTGTGCGCAGTCGGGGTTTTCGGATGCCATCTACTCGCTCACGCGGTATCAGTGTCCGACAGGACCCCAGGCCCTGGCTTCCTGTATGTGCTTGAAGGAGGGAGTGACCAACATCGTCATGAGTACGGTGACATCAGACATCAAATGGTACTGCTCATCCACTGCTACGGATGACGTATCTTCTGCGCTCGCCGTATTGGATTACTACTGTAAGGCGGCTAGGAACGAGGTTGTGGCTACCGTGACTGAATCCAGTGAGTGAGCAATGCTCCATAAAACATACCGGGTTTGACTGATTATCAATAGTTGCCCAGACGTATCCAACAGCTCAAGCAGGCACAGGATCGAAGACATCAGGAGCCCAGGCTACTAGCACTGGGTCATCGGGCACTGCTGGGGATAGCACGGAGACCAATGGCAAATCAAAATCCAGTAATCCAAGCATGGCAGCCATCATCGGAGGTGTAATCGCTGTCGTCGGTGCCCTATCCATCGCCGGCCTCGTCGCCTTCATCATCTACCGCCGCAGGAAGAAGAACGAGGCCAGATTTCCGCTTTCCTCGAGACTCGGCCCTCCCGAAATGACAGGCCCTCCCGAAATAGGAGGGACGATGCTGTCCGAGCTGCCGCCCAAAAGCCCTCAAATGAGCGTCTCTTACACGGGATCCCCGCGACCAGACACGGTGTCACCCGCGTCCAATACGGGGGGCGCGTGGGCTCCGTCTCCCACTGGCGCGGAACTCCACGGTCAAACGAGACTGCCGCCCGAGATGCCGGCCAACACCAACGGTCAACTGCAGCCTGCAGGGCCACATTTGCCTTTGGAGCTGCAAGGGCAGCAGGACCAACTGAGTTATGCGCAGCAGCAGCAGCAGCCGTATGGTCAGAGCCTGCCACTGCCACCCGAGCTTCAGACCAGCTACGTCCAGCCACAGGTTCAAAATAGCCTAGCCGAGGCCCATGGGCAACCAATTCATCAGCTACCGAGCGGACCGCAGGCGATATACCCGGGGCAAGGACAAGAGAGGGCGGAGCTTCAAGGAATGGGATGGCATGCTGGTCCGACGCCAGGATATTCTGAGATGGATGGAGGACAGCAGCGACGATGATGATAATGATGCCTTCAACAACAGGCAGGCGGATGAAGTTGTGTATAATAAGGTAGCAAAGGCGCAATGGAAATAATGAGGAGGACTTTATGAAGTAGATAGCACTTGTTGCATAGGTGAGTTGGATATCAATACAGGAGAAGCAGCTCCAATTTTCTACATCACCCCAATTGCCATCTACATTGATAGAGGAAGACGTGTGGAAGAAAGATGTACCAGAGAGAGAAAGTAAAGTTGAGAGAATAGGCGAATCTGAGGCGAATTTGAGAGACCTACCAGGTACTTGAAGCTTGAGGGCAAAGATGCTTTCCTCCCGCACTCACCAACTCACCGAAGCTGAATTCTCGGTGAATGTCGGCGTGACCGGCCAGCAAGCTCTGACTTCACCGCTAAAACTTAGACCCACTTGCCGAGGGAGCTCTCCATGACTCAGCCGGCTGATCTTCGGCGGCCAATCCAGCTCCAAGTATAAGACTATCTCTGATTGGCCAAAACCGCACCTTTGTCGCTCGCGGTTGCAGCTCCCCCCCAGCCTTGCACCAGCACGGATGCTGCACTGTGCGTTGGTTGGAAAACATTCGTCTGGTCGCGCTCTTCCCAAAATCTTGCGATCTGCTTGTTGACGCTAAGCGCCAAAAACCCACCCCATTCCTCGTCACCTGGAATCAACTCTCGACACCCGCCTCAACCTAATTTGGCGGTCCAGGGTGACTTTTCATCCTAGGTTCTTTCCAGGGTCTACCTTTACTTTCACGTTTCTGCAACGAACGCTACTACTCCTGCCTCAGCGTCCCCGACCAGTGGGGTGTTTGACGCGCGACGCAGCCACCCATCACCAAACCAGACAACACCTCGAACACAAACCACGTGTAGATCCGCTTTCGATGTCTACGACTGAATCGTAAGATACGAACAAAATGGCAGCGGCGGTGGACATAGGCTACGTGGCCGGCCACCTAGGGTTGTCCGAGTCGACGGTCTCGACAGCCACAACCGAACCGACCCCCGAGCTCATCGCGAGCCTTCTCGAAGCTGTCATTGCGAAAGCGCGCGAGCATGATGAGTTGTATGCTCAGAAGCTCCAGGTCGATATCGAGCTCGAAAGTGCCCACCACAGCGCGGAATCAAGATGTCTGACCTTCAAGGCGACAGCCGACAAGGCCCTGAAGGATGTCGAGGAGATTCGCCAGAAGCTCAAGGAGGAAGGTTGGTTCAACAATGACATTGCAACATAGTAAAGTATTCATGTCTGAACGACTGACTTTGCCATGACAGAAACGAAGCGACAAACGGTTGAGAATGAGCTCCAGTCGCTCAAGTCTCGCGGATCCGATCACGACTCCGAGATCACGACTCTCCGCGACCGCGTTGAGTCCCTTCAATCTTCCAACCGCGCAAACATGGCTTTGCTTGAGTCACGAAACGCCCGCGATTCAGAGCTCTCCGAGGAATTGGCGAAGCAGCACCAGAAGAATGTACAACTTCAGAAGGAGATCACGGCTTTGCAGCAATCGGTCCAGGCTGCCCAGGCCGCAGTCAGCAGCGCAAAGTACCGAGAGGAGTCCCTACAGCAACAACTCGACCTTGCCCGACGCAATGGCGAATGGTTCGAGACCGAACTCAAGACCAAGAGCGAAGAGGCTCTCAAGTACCGCCGCGAGAAGGGGGCCCGAATCGCCGAATTGCAACGACAAAATGAAGACGCCAAATCCAGCATTGAGTCCTTGAAGCGAAGCGAACAACAACTCCGAGATCGTCTCGACGCAGCTCAAGCCAAGGCCGAAGAAGCCCTCACCAAGGTCCAGCAGCAGCAGGAAGCATTCGCCCGCAGTGAGGAGAGCTACAAGCACGAGATCGAGAGTAAGCAGCGCGTCGTGGACATGACCAACCAACTTGCCGACAGCCATAAGGCCCGCGTGCAGACTTTGGAGGGTGAGAAGGAGAGCCTCAAGGAGAAACATGCCAACGAAACCAGACGCATCCAGCACGAGCTCGAGCGCGAGAGGGAGACTTGCCGTGCCTTGGAGGAACGGGTGACCCAGCTTGAGGGCGAGGTCGACGAGCTTCACGCCCGTATGGAACAAGGGCCACCACCAGGATCCGCACCTCAAACCCCCCGTATGAATGGCTCCCTTCTCGGGAGACCTGCCTCGCCTTTCGCTACTCCCGCGTCTGCACGAAACAAGTCTGCCATTACCGCGACTCAGGCTATCGACGAACTCTACAAGGCCAAGGGACAACTGGCGGGGGAGAAGCGCCGCAACCAACAACTCGCCGAAGAACTCGACAATATGATTGCCCTGTTGGAAGCCAAGACGCCCGAGATTGAGGAGCTCCAGAACGAAGCTGATACCCTGAGGGCCGAGATTACTAGGATGTCCGAACTCTCTCAGACGAGCTTCGAAGAGCGCGACGCTGCCAAGAAGAGTGCGCGAAAGGCGGAGAGTGCTTTGGGCACTGCTCAGGCCGAGTCCAAGATCCTTCGCACACAACTTCGTGACCTCAGCACACAGATCCAGATGCTGGTCTTCAACATGCATGCCCGTGAAAAGGGCTTGGAGCAGCTGACTCGCGAGGAAACTGTTCGCCTGGAGCAACTTTCTCGCGGTGAAATCGCCGAGGGCGCTCTAAACGACATGTCCGACACCCACCAATTCATCACCCAAAAGTTCGTGGTCTTCAAGGACATCCAGGAACTGCAAGCCAAGAACCAAGAGCTTCTGAGAGTCACCCGAGAATTGGCGGAGCAGATGGAGAGTGAAGAGGCTGTTGCTGCAAAGAGCCAGGCTATGGAGGACCACCAATTAGTCGGTCGACTGCAACAAGAGCTCGCCAACATGATTGAAGAGACAAAGTCCCTGAGATCAACAATGGAGAGCTTCAAGTCAGAGCGTGACATGTTCAGACGTCTACTCCAGCAGAAGGCCTCCGCCGGCGAACTCGCTTCCATTCTCGGCTCTGATGACGGCCAGCGCCTCCCGCTTACTAGTATCGAGACCGAGGATGGCGATGGTGTGTCCCCACAAGCCGCCCTGCGCAATCTGCAAGTCGAATTTGACACCTACCGAAACGACGAAGAATCTGTCCGTCGTTCCTTGCGGGAGCAGATTGACAGGTTATCGAGCGAGAAGAACTCTCTCCAAGGTGAAGTTGCAAAGATCACCAGCCAGATTACTCTCGCCTCCGAGAGGTACGAGATGCTCCACTCCAACTTTGTTGCGCTGCAAAGCGAGAACAAGGAGATCCAGAAGCGGAACCAGTCGCTGTCGGAGGACTCTATCAAGCACGAAATTCGAACTCAGCAAGTCGCCGAAGAACTCATCGATGCCAAGGGCTTGCTCGAGAGCGTCCGAAACGAAGCCGCCAACCTCAAGGCCGAGAAGAAGTTGTGGAAGGACATTCAAGATCGTCTCAATCAAGACAACGAGAATCTTGTTCAGGAGAAGACGAGACTCAACAGCCTTTTGGCAAGCCAGCAATCCATGCAGAATGAGCGTGACATTTCCGAGTCCGAGTACAGGCGGAAGGCGCAGTCCAAGATTGACAATCTTGAACAAGAGCTGAACAGCACGAAGCGCAAGCTGTCTGATGAAATGGAAGAGGGCAAGAAGCTTCAGCTCAGGAAGGAGTTTGATGCCCGGGAAGCCCAAAAGCGTATCGACGAGCTCTCCACTAGTCTCAGCCAGATCCGCGAAGAGCATGTCGCTGTTAAGACCAGCCGCGACCATCTGCAAGCTCGGGTTGATGAGCTCACCATCGAGCTTCGCAACGCGGAGGACCGCGCTGGTCGCCTGGCGCCGCGACCCACTCCACGACCCGGCACGATGCCACCCCCTACACAGACTGACCAAGACAACGAGGCCGAGGTTCGAGAACTAATCAATGAGGTTTCCGACCTCAAGAGGGAGCTCGACATTGCCAAGTCTCAGCTTGAGAATGCCAAGGAACAGACTGAGCAGTACAAGCAACTCAGCGAACAAAACGAGGAAGCACTCTCCGAGTTCACGACCACCACGGAGCAATTTAGGGAGGAGATGGATGCTGCTTTCGCGGCCAAGGATGCCAAGATCAAGGAGCTCGAGCAGCGTGTTGAGGATCTGTCATCGGAACTTGCCAACTCCAATAAGGAGCTATCCCACCTCCGTGACTCTCAGGCTGAAGTTGCCCGCAAGTACGAGGATGAGAAGACGATTCTGGACGAGGAGGTCAAGCGGTTGAAAGAGGAAGCCGACCGCCACTCAGAGGCTGCCAAGTTCCATCAACAGGATCTTCGTGCCCAGTCAGAGATCACCGCCAAGGCTCAACAGGACTATGAACACGAGCTCGTCAAGCACGCCGAGGCTGCGAAGCTCGTCCAGCAGTTGCGCACTGAATACAACGAGCTCAAGAGCCAGTCGGCGACTTTGAGAGCCGAGGCCGAATCGGCCAAGGTTGCCCTGTCCCAGAATGAGAGCTCGTGGGAAGAGAGGAAACAGCGACTCGAGCAGGAAATGTCAGAAATCAAGGCCCGCCGTGACGATGTCAACGCACAGAACAAGCTGTTGCACGAGCAGCTGGAGGGCATCACGAAGCAGTTCTCTGCACTCAAGGAGAGTCGCAACGCGGCAGCAGGGGAGGTCAACGACAACGCGGAAGCCGGAAGTGACGGCGCAGCTGACGGCCTTCGGGAACTCAGCAATTACCTCCGACGCGAGAAGGAGATCTTGGAGGTCCAGTATGATCTCAAGGTTCAGGAATCAAAACGTCTGCAGCAACAACTCGAGTACTCCCAGTCTCAGCTCGACGAGGCTCGCTTGAAGCTCGACCAGGAGCGCCGCTCACAAGCTGAGAGCGGCCAAGCCTCCATTGCCCACAAGGATCTGATGGACAAAATCAACGAACTCAACCTTTATCGTGAGAGCAGCGCCACTCTCCGCAACGAGCTTGCTCAAGCGCGGACGCAAATCTCTGAAAAGAACACCAAGGTTGAAGAGTTGGAAGGCAAGGTGCAGCCTCTCGAAGCCAGAATAGAGGAGCTCCAGACCCAAAAGGGCTTCCTCGAAGAAGAAATCAAACAAGTGCAGGAGGATCGCGATAGGTGGCAGAAGCGAACCGAGGGCATCCTTACAAAGTATGGTCGTGTAGATCCAGCCGAGATGGAGCAACTCAAGCAGACCATCACTGATTTGCAGGCCGAACGCGACGCCCTCAAGGCGTCTGAAGGTCCTTTACGAGCAGAGTTTGAGGAAACTAAGCAGCTGTTGGAAACGGAGAGGGCCAACTGGCAAAACACGCGCCAGCGCATGACCGACCAATTCAAAGAGCGTTCGCGCAAGATCACCGGCGAGAGGAACGAGGCCATTACTGCTCGGAACGAAGCTGTCACGGAGAAGGACGCTGCGATCGCTGAGCGTGACCATTTGCAGCAGCAGCTCAACTCCACGAATACCGAACTCGAGACGACAAGACAAAACTTGCAGGCGACGACGCAGCAGCGAACCGAGTTTGAGCAACAAATTCAAAACTTCCAGCAACAGGTACAAAAACTACAGCAAGATGCTCAAGCCAACCAGTCTGGCGCGCCGCCCGCTGCCGCTCAACCCACCGCAGACGCGTCGGCATCAGTGTCTACAGAAGTGGTTGCTCAATTAGAGCAGCAACTCGCTGAGATGCGAAGCCAGCTGGATTTCATCTCAACCCAGAAGGCAAATGCCGAGCAAGAGCTCGAGAGTCTACGAGCGCAATTGCAGACAGTCGTTTTGGAGAGAGATCAGGCTGTCGAGGCCGCGCAGCAGGCTGCCCAGGTCCAGCAGCAGCAGCCTGCCGTCGAGCCGACAAGCACCGCCGCGGCGGAGGCAGTTGCCACAAACGGCGCGAGTGGCTTGGCCGACACGGAGCGGAAGGCCTTGGAAGAAAAGATTGCTGCCGCCGAGGCCAAGGCTACGGAGGCTGAGCGCAAGGCGAACGAGCTCGAGGAGAATATTACTCAGACTATTAAGGAGCGGTCGGACAAGATGCGCAACGCACTCAACGAGAAGCTACGCCAGTCTCGTGAGAAGTTGGATGCCGAGTTCGCCACCAGGATGGAGCAAGAAAAGGTTATTTGGAAGGCCGAGCAGCAAGGTGCCGCCCCTACTCAGCCTGCGGGAGAGCAACTCGCTGTGCCTGCTACGCCCATCAAGCAGCAAGACCCGGAAGTAGCCCCGGCAACGCCAATGACCGGCACCCCCGCCGGCGCCGCGGATCTGTCTCAGCTCCCCGATGCTGAGATTCGGAAATTCCTCGCCACCAACGCTACAGTGCGGAACATCATGTCGTCGAATCTTAGAAAGAAGCTCGAAGAACAGACTGCTAAGGTTAAGAACGAGACAGAGACGAGTTTAAAGGCCGAGTTCGAGCAGAGAATCGCAAATGCCCGCGAAGAAGGTCAGCTGCTGGCACAGAAGAAGTCTGCGCTGCAAATCAACATGAAGGACAACCAGCTGAGAGGCGCCAACGCCAAGATCGAAGTCGTTTCCACGGCAGCGACCAAGACACCTCAACGACCTGTTGGGGAAGTCTGGGAGGAGGCCAAAGTTGCCAAACCAGCTCCCGCCGCACCGCAGCCAAGCCCGGCGAAGCCAACTGGCAACGCACAACCCGCGGCACCCCGTCCTTCGATCTCGGCGCCTCTTCCTGCCGCGCCAGCCCAAGCCGCTGCTCCAACAATTGGTGAGCTCCTTCAAGTTATCGTGAATCCTTGGACCTATGCTGACCGTGCCAAAGCTCCCACTGCCTCAACCAACCAAGCACAGCCATCAGGCGGCTCAGCTCCTAGTGGTATACCTCCGCCGGGCAGTAGCATCCCCCAGAAGAGACAAATTCCTGCTCCTGGAGATGTCAAACCAGCAACCAACACCGCTGCAGCGAACCCTTTCGCGGCTGGTGCTGCTAACGGCACCCAAGCCCAGGCCAATCCTTTTGCACAAGGGACGCAGGGACAGCAACAGCAACAGCAACAGCAGCAGCAACCACAACAGCAACAGAACCCCTTTGCTTCAAGCACGCAAGGAGCACAGGCAGGTCAGGCCGCACCCCAAGGCCATGGGCTACCGCAACCACCGCCTCAGGCTGCCCCAGGCCAACGAAGTGGCATTCCCCTCCCAGGACGAGGCGGTGCGGCTGGTCGTGGTCGGGGTGGAGCCTACGCTGCCGGAAACAGGGTGTCGAGCGGAGGTGCAGAAAGAGGTGGTCTGGCGGGACGTGGCGGACGTGGCGGTGGCCGAGGAGGTCACGGTGCCGGACCGCTGAACCCTGGTGCCAACGACTTCCAGCCTGGCAACAAGCGGCCCAGAGGAGACTCCGAGGCTGGCGGAGGCGCTGGTGCCAAGCGAGCCAGAGGAGGTGGACACTAAATCTCAAGGTCGAGACACGAGTTCATGGGCGATGTGGTAATAGCGGTGGTTATTGCTTTCCCGGTTGCAATCTGTATCGATATGGAAAAGGGGTGCGCGTGGTTTAAGGAACGGATGAAACCGGGCGGGCCACAATGGTCAGCGAGTGTGTATAACCAAGATATACTCTACAAAATGGATTTTCCTATGTTTTCAATGTTTCTTCCCCGTTGCCAATGAGTCGGTGCTTTTTAATTCGGTCCACCTTTGATTCCTTCGCTAGCACATCTATGTCTGAGCAGCAAAGTCAATGGGGCCAGGCCCCTTGCGTGGATCGAACATTTTTCAACCAGTGTTGCCAAATCTAACCAACCTCCAAACTACCCAACTCCCTCCTTGCCCAGGTAGCTTGACTAGCTCTGGAGCCGGTCCTCGGACAGATTGGCAACGCGACGCATCCCCCCGGCTGGCATGTGGCCTTGAAACGGAAGAGAAGGCCAAACCGTCACGTTTTGCTATGCTGGACCGTCCACAAGCCAAACTGCGTACACATTGGCTTGGGAATTAGCAACCGACTCGCGAAGAACAAGGATTGAGAGTCATGGCGGAGTCCTCGGTCTCGGGAGTTCGTACGGCCCCCCTCAAAGAACATCCGGGACCCGCAACGGAGTCAGTCCATAGAAGACAAGCCCTAGGGACCTTACCTACCTTACTTTATGGAAACGCGATAACCCTGTCAAAAAACACAACGGGTCTAGAGATGGATCTTGAAAAAAAATCAAACAAGCCCATCCGGCTCATCCCACGAGTGGATCATGTACTCACTCTAGCTGGCTCTCGACATCACATCCAGCCATTGGATTTCCATCCGCCCGGCTAGCTCAATCGGTAGAGCGTGAGACTCTTAATCTCAAGGTTGTGGGTTCGACCCGTAAGTTGCAGCACATCTATCTGATGGACATTGAACATCGTCACTAACTCTTCCCAGCCACGTCGGGCTCAATTCCCGTCAGCGATTGACGCATTCACTTTTTGCTCTCCTCACGGCTTTGACCCTTGTAGTTGACTGCGTTTTTGAATTGTTTACTTGCTTCGCGTGATGCCCTCGCTTCTTGTATACCTTTCATCCCACAGTTCTATCTGAGGAGTCCTCGCTCTACTCCCGAGGACTGCCCTCAAGCCCGCCACAAACCAACTGAGAGACATGCTTGTTGGCGGCTTCTCTTCTACAATCCTCCAGTCGTAGTTCATAATCAGCCGGGCCAATACGATTTTCATTTCCTTGTTGACAAAGAAACATACCGGGCATGCTTGCGTTCCGTGGCCAACGGCGGGAACACTTGGATCTTGTGGAGACGAACTGCCATCGGTTCTCCTGCCCTACGTCTTCCCGCATACAGGTTCTTCCGCATATGGAAGAACCTGTGGCTGTCGAATTTCTCTAGCTCGGGTCGCCAGAGGGCTGAGCCGCGGGCAGTGTGTGTGGCTACGGTGATTAAGGTACCCTTGAGTAGATAGGTTCCGCCCGAGAGGGTCATGGGCTCATCCCCTTTGCAGTTCATGATATTGATGCGGCACGTTTGTAGCTTTTGACTTTGTGAGTCCAACGAGCTTGGGCTGAGACATATCGCGAACTTGGGTCCAAGCTACGCCGAAAGATCAAATCAAATCAGATACAAATACCAACTGGCACTGCAGGGATTCTTCGGAGCTCTCCATACAGGACTACTCCGAGAAATGCAACAAAGCCTGTTTCCGGTAGGTGCATGTAGGCTGAAGAAGGATTCATGATTAACACAGTCAACTAACGCGATGCATCGCACTAGACTTCTGGATTTCTGTACTGATACTACCATATCGGATGATCATACCGCTTAACTCCTCATAGGTGAAATGTCTCGAGCAGATAGAGCTTCCCTCACGATTAGTGTTTAATAAGGAGGCAACAAGTTGAAGAACCACAACATCATAACTGTGGGCATACATGATGCTGTCACCGCTAAGCATTTAATCCTTGTGATGCATAATTGAAGTTGAAAATAGATAATTTCTGCAAAAAACAACATCTCCATGAATATTCCATACTTCAAGGAAGCAAGCATATCGAAGTTTGAAAGCATAAAAGTACGTATGCCGAACGAGGCAAAAGAAAGCAATGAGAGGGACGAGACTCGAACTCGCGCGGGTTGCCCCACCAGGAAACAGATGTTAAGCTGACCTTAACCTGGCGCCATAACCAACTCGGCCACCCTCCCAGATGATGGATCGGAACCCATTGAAGCTGTTGTGGATGCGGTTCTGCAGCGGGGGGAGGCATCCATAATTCCGAGATGTCTTTGTTGGTTGTGGAGTGTCTCAGAAGGCAGAATTATCTGTGCGACTGAGCTTCGAAAGTCTCGGTGCAGTGGAGCTGGGGTTGAGTGCGGCTTTTCGAATGGTCCAGGCCCAGAACGACCCGCAAATGAAAATTGGGACTAACAAAGAAGCTTGTCTCAAGACGGATATCATCATGATTGGTATGTGCGATCATGAGTACTACATGTAAGTCTGTATGCAACATGGGAGAAAGGAGAAACCGTGAAGGGAACTTCTTCTAGACCAAGAACCACTCTCCGAGGTTCAATTAGGCTTGGTGAATATCCTGAAATCTGTCATCTGAAGAAGGTTCCTGCTGGCCGCATGTGGCCTTGACAGCCTAGAGTTCTTGCCCTGACTGTCTCCGGTGCGATCTGAATCAGTTCTTACACGTACTCATCAACTACATTCCTGAAGCCGTCGACATCTCAGGCCCTCATTCCATTTTCTTTGAGGTGCTTGATCATCTTAATCTCCTCTTCCAATAAGTGGTTGTCCTGTCCCACCGGTCCGGCTGTTGGGTAAAGCAGATGCAGTGGAACCTCTCGTACGCTGACAGAGTTGTCATCTTTGCTTCCAATCAACATTGTCTCCACGACATTTCCATCGCCAAACTCAGGCTCGCAAAGCACACGCATCAAAACAGCGGCACACTGTTGTGGGGTGAGTGTCAGGTCGTCGGGCCGCACCCTGTCACGACAATACTCGGGATGAAAGATGGGAGTCTGCAAACAGTCAGTTTTTGATTCAGTGGGAGAGAAAGACCATGGCTGGAGATCGGTATGATGGAGTGCAGGGTCTGGTTGGTTACTCACATAGACTGCTCCGGGGCAGACCGCAGCATTCTGAATTCCCAGCTCCTTTCTGAGGCCACCTAGACTCTTGACCATGCTAACGATTGCGGCTTTGCTGGCGAAGTACATGGGCGTGTGCATTGAATGGACGTATCCGCCCAAGCTTGCTATCCACAGGAGATTGCCTTGAATGCTTCGATTTTGAAGCCAATAGTCGATGGCAATCTGAGCCAACCGAATCGGCGCAATGGTGTTGATCGCAAAAGTCTTGTATTGGCCGATTTTGGCATCGGCGGGATCTTGGGCAAGCGGGGAAACCCCAGGAGCGTTCCAGAAACAGCTTGACGGAGGCTCATAGACACCGGCACCATTGCAGACAATGTCAATCTGAGGAAAGGTCTTGAGTGCGGTGGCCCACAGCGAGCTGATCTGGTTCCAATCGGACACGTCTGTCTTGTGGAAGATGGCGTAGGAGCCGTGGGAGTCAACAGCGTCCCTGGAATACTTGGCAATAGTCGCTTCAGCTTCTGGCGTCAACTCAAGGTCGGCAATTATGACTGAGCATCCCGCTTGTAACAGAATTTCAACAAAAGCATGATTGATGCCTGGTCCGACAGACGTAAGCTTGTTTCCTTGGCACTTTCATAACCTTGTGCTTGGGTCACAGTGTCGACTTACCGGAACCAGCGCCCGTGACGACGGCAAACTTGCCCTTGACTTCGTAAGCTGACATGTTCGCGGAAGTGTGTGTCTGATGATACAATGTGAATAGAAAAAGACGGGGAGAACTGTACCATGCGATTTGGGGCTGAGCTTCTGTTTATCAGCTTAGGGGTCGTTCCATATGCCCTCCGCTTCAACTTCCAACCCTGCCTCTGGTTGTCTCGCGCCGCGGGTGGACCTCAATGTAGAGCTTGAGCCAGGGTCCATGGTGAGAGGGATCTTCATGCTCCACATCTGCATGTCGCGTTGAACGCTAATGGTGGACTGTGGCCGTTGGTTCATGTCCGGTGATCATAATCGGAAGCTAACGGCAGGTCTGCACTCTTCTTGGCGTTGTAACTAGGGGCTGAAGACTGCGGATCATGTCATCAAGACCATCAAAACATTGTATTCATTATGAATCGGTTCCATGGGCTTGGATTAATCACTGACAGTCGGGGAAGTTGTCCGACTGGTAGAAAGATTCCTTATGTTTACGTGTGCCATCTACCAGCAAGGTCTACTAGTGCACCCACAACACAGCCAACAAACCTTGTCAACACACGCCCAGGGTCATTCTATGATCTTTCAGGGGGCCTTGTCAAGCCGTCCCCTCTCTCGTGCGCAAGGAGTCGTCTTTGACCCTCGTCGAACTGTGGGTAGACTGTGCTGTGACATCGATTCTGGTCGTTTTAATGATCCCACGAGTGCTGTCGGTTTCCGTGTCAAGAGGGCTCTCTCGATCACTCCGGTTTCGGCCATGTCCCAGAGCCATCGTTCCTGAGCGCGCTCGGAGGGCGTATGTGTCATCTTGATTGCTCAGTTCTTTTGCAAGCCCCTTGAAAAGTTGGCGGAGCATGGGAAGAGATCCAGCAATTATCCCCATACCGCACTCAACAACAGTCCAAAGAATGATGTTCCCAACGTTCTCTTCACATTCAATTGTCAATTTGATGAGTATGGAAAGCGAGAACGGTGAATGGCTTACGGAGCAGATTGACGGGATTGCTATATGCAGACGAATAAGGCATGCGGATGATCGTTGCGGTTGATGCGCTGACCAAAGTAAGGGAACTGCGAAAAAGGAGTAGATATAGGAGGGCGTCTTACAGAATTCCTAACCCCAAAATGAAAATAGTCAAAATCTTCAGTGGCCTCCGCATCTGTATGTTCCACAGCATGAAGACTGGGATGATCGCTACAGCAAAGTCGTTGATGATGTTGATAACGGAAACGACGTATGTAAGGGTGATGATGATTGTTTGATCGAGACAAGAGCCGAGAGAAGGATCCCAAGACGAGGCCACTGGTTTGCATCTAACAAGTACTGCTAAGATGGCAATTAAAGTTGAGACTGCCGACATTGCTACCAATCCGTACAAGGTATAGATGAATCGGCGTCGAGTTGCAATGCGGATAAGTGTTGCACAGATGCTGGTCTTGATGAGAAGAGAGCCACTGACATAAAATATTTGCCACAAGACGATGGCCTGCGTATACCAAGTTAGCAGGTCACAGAAATTTCTTGATCAAGGCAACTCGCCTTTGCGCCTTCAATCATGAGAGTCGAATCAAGCTTGGAGTCTGGCGAGCCAATGCCGGTGAACGTCCCATACATTACAACAGCATTGTGCGCCATATTGAGAGTCTTTGCAGTTAGCGAAAACAGATACTCTTGGAGTATGGCCATGGGGGATAGAACCTACTACTCCCGCGCACATGAGATAATCTTCGACACCGAATGTCGATAGCTTCAATCGTAGCCAGACCCTTAAACCCACCACCAGGAGGCAGACGATGGTGAAGCCAATAGTGACGCTCAATATCCGTGCGGCAAGACCTTCAGGCCGTACAGCGTGCCATTCTTGACGGTCAGCCATGCTGCAAGACCAAAGAAACGTGAGATACGAGGATAAAGCATTCAATTATTCCGATTTCGAGGAGAGTAAGGCATTGACGAGAATACGGATTTTCAGAAATGCCACAAAAGCAAAAAAAGGCGGACAAGCTACCGGAATTCAGTGCGACCTTTCCCCATCGTCAAGAGAAAACGAAAAACCAAAGGGCATTGAGTTTTGATACATTTTTCTCCCAAAGCACGAGAAGGCATCGATCTACAGAAAGCCAACTTTAATGCAAGGGTCTAGAGTCAGTCCGGCTTGACTGGACCATGGTACATGTGCATCGTTGGGACCAGATCCGACGAAAGTTGTGACCCGCCAGAGCGAGGAAGGGTCCTCATCCACCGTCGTTTCTTCGTGCAGATCCAAATATCCGGAGCAACAGAGGACAGTTACAACCAACATTGATGAAAACACCCAATTGGACGCAGGGACGAGCGATTGGAGGCTGGATATCTTGGAAGAAACGGAATTAATGAGGCCACTTCGATGCTGTAAACTTTGAGATTCTGATCCAGACTTCCTCTCCACACAGAATACAGATACAACAGAGAGGATAAACAGCAACCCCGTCAAGTAGTTGATGACGAAAAGGGGGATAGTCACCGAGCCCAAAGGTGCCAAGAAGAGTCCACAGCTGCGAAAAATAAAAAGGGGCCAGACTAGGGAATATTCCTTGGCCAGCTCCTAATTGTTGGTTGATGAACTTTAGTCGTACGTTCATGACGAGGTCAGTTTTCCAGTTGGCCATTCCCATGTGCACCCATGGTCCACCGGAGATGAGACCTTTCCAACCTCAAGGGCCCTGCGGAATTGGTCCAGCCGGAGTATGATTGGGCCGGTTCTTGTCGTATTAGTAAAAATTGTCTAATGCAGTTGGAAGATCATTGGAGCCCTGTAATGCAGTGCCCCAACGTGTTGGTTGATGCGGCCCATTCTCTTCAGCATCCCCGCAACCAACGGCAAGTGGAGATGCACATCAGGAGATGCCGGTGAGCGGGAAACAGCTGTATAAAATAGCGCCGTTTTCGGTGCACCAGATCAGTTTGTTAGAGTCGTTCGTTGCGCAGGATGATGTTATTGAGGTTTCCTTGAAAGAATCATAGCTATCAATGCCATGAGATCAAGCTTGGTAAAGTATGCATCTCAAAACCTTGCTACACACAAGCGTGTAAGGTCTTCACATAATACCCAAATCTTCAGGATCCTTGGATTCATGCAGCTCGGAACATGGGCCTTTATTACGCGGCCACAAGCGGCCCTATTAGCAGGGGAGCATGACGCCTTCATGCATCATGGGGACACCCTCATGTCCCTGAACAGGCACATTGTCCAGGATTGGAGAACATGGAGAGGCGACTGGTCTGCCGATTTTGAAAGGAAGCCGGAATCTCCTGTGCAAGGAGAGTTGTGCAGATGAAGAAGAATGTCTTACCACAATGCAACAACCGATGAATCCATGAGAATATTAAATTGCGTACAATCCATCAATCTTGAAAATGCTGGGCCTCCACGAACCATCATGCTTCAGTCTTTTCAATATGGACGTCAAGGCTCAACCTGCAATCCAGAGCACTGCATGGTCTCAGTAGAAGGCCGCTAGATCTGGGTCAAATGCCGTGAACAGCTGAAATCTTAGTAAAATGATCTTCTTCCACCAAATAGGCCTCCACAGCGAGGTTATATGGACTGCTGAAAAGCACGAATATGCCAAATATTACAGCAAGTGGCGCTGCCCGGCATAGTGCCGTACGAGACCGTCTGATCACCGAAAGTCCGCCAAATAGGCTCGCTCCGTAAGGCGGATATATGAGGTACTTCAAGGCGGGAAAGGGCGAAGCCACAAGTCCGGGCCCCGGCCGGACCATGTAAACATTGAATACTCAGAAAGCTCACCACTAATTCTTTTCGAAAATCTTGGTATGAAGACTTCGACTGGGGTTCTTGTGCCCCAGCCAGCATCGGGATCTTGAGTCGATCTGGAGGTGCACATATATCTCTGCCTCATGGTCTTGCTTCCCAGACACACACTCCTTCATAGCAATCTGTCACACAGTACATTACGCAATACCAGTCTATACTCCTAGTCTATCCCCTGAACCTGGAGGTGAGCATATATCTACCCAGTTCTTGAGTTATCAACCAAATCAAGTCTACAAGTACCTACGAGGAATGTCAGTGTAATTGAAATGGCATTATTCTCAAAATTTCTTTACAAACTTGAAGCACCATCCAAGTGAATAATGCTGCGATTAAAGTCCCCGCCACCCAAAAAATTCTTGTCGGCCAACTTATAAGAGCCATTGAAGCCTCTTGTCAACCAGGACGGCAATACCAGGGGATACAGTCGTTTCTATGGGACAGTCACTTGTTTCTCTCTTGGCTTCACTCATTGCACCAGAGTGTGTACTTGGGCCCTTCAGACTTTATAAAAAGTCTTGGGGACACTCCACGACCATGAGAAAGACGTCAACGATGTGTATATGAACAATGATCCCGAAAAATACGACCCCAAGGCCACGCAAATATTTCCCGAAAACCAAGCGCCTTCTCTACCGAGCTCATAGGAGTGAAGGAGGACCCCAAAGCCGTCCAAAAGGCTTTGCGGATGTTTGCTCAAAAAGAGGCTGCCAATTTGATCCTGAAGCCTACGATGTTCCATATCCAGCTTTGACTTATATCCTGGACCAAAGCGGCACGTGCTCTTATCAACCATTTGCGCGACGGGTTCAATCAGCAGAATGCTACAGATGGGATTCTAAAGTCGCATATCGAGGAAACCTTTAAGAGCAACACGTAAAGTGTGGTTCTCTAAAGAATAGTGTATAAATCAATCTCCAATCATGCCCACAAAGCTCCATGACATTGACCAACTCAAATACACAACATAATGACCGTCTCAAAGGGTGTATCTGAATTCTTTGTTCTTACGGTCAGTCACATCGCTGAATTCGATGTCCTTCAAGTGGCCGAGCTCCCCAGTTTGTACAAGTCCTTCCCGCCGCTGGTTTTCCCAAACATAATAGTACCTCAGCATTAGCGTAAACACCATCGCCAATCCGCAGGTAACAATGATTGCTGTCTTGGCGGGAAGGTATCCGGGCGCAGATTCTGCTGTGAATGTTAAAGGTCCAATGATGTTACCGACACAAAAGCAGATGAGGAGAGTTGCATTCATGGTGACCTGAGTAATAGCATACGTATCAGTCTCACGATAGAAAGAGTGTCAAAGAGTGCCCACGTACTTTTTTGGTATGCCCAGCGTAGTTAGCGCCAACCAGAGAATATAGCAGGGGCAACGTTGCTCCAATACAGTTCGTCATATAGTTGCCGATCAGCTTGCCAGCTTTGTTGTCCTCGGGGAGGAAAGCCATCAGGGCAGCGCCAATAACCCCGGGAATCAGAAGGCAAATGATGTTGATTGCTCTCTGGTTAAATCGCCCTGCCACATTGGTTGCCGCCAAGATGGAGACAATGCTCACTGCGCCAGCTGGAATGGAGAGCAGCGCAGTCTCTTTGGATGTGTAGCCGAAGCCCTTGATGATGGTGGCTTGGAACGAGGATACAGCCCCGTTGGGCACATTTGAAGCGATGGTGATGAGGGCAATGAGGTATGTCTGCGGGTCTGTGAAGCATTCGATTGCCTGCTCGCGCTTGAAGCTCTTGTTTTCAACACCAGTCTGATTGCTTCTCAACCTTTCGACAGCCCAAATCTTTTCTTCACGGGAGAGGAAGCTTGCGCTCATTGGATTGTCCGGCAGAACGAGGATGACTGTAATGCCGATGGCGATGGTAATCAAGCCGCAGATGAGGAACATGATCTGCCATGAAGTGAAACCGGAGCTGTGGTAGTGCTGGAAGCCGAAAGAAATGAGGGAGCCAACAATGGTACCTCCACCAGTGCCTAGATACCAGATACCCATCCGAGGGGGTTGCTCTTGACGTTTATACCACTATGAAGACGTTGTTAGGGGGAATAATCATCATAAAGCAGACGGTTCACTTGCCATGGTCGTAATGACTATTAGTGAAGGGGCGACAGCGCTCTCAAAAACACCTAAAAAGACTCTCGTCACAACTAATCCAGCCCAATTGTGGCAGGCTGACGTAGTCGCCAGAACGGAACCCCACAAGCAGACCATGATCCCGATATATTTCGCTGTCGGAAACCTCTGCATGCCCCAGGCATGAGGAAACTCGAAGGCTAGATAGCTCACGTAGAATATCATGGCCAGTTGCGAGTACTGGTTGCCAGTGATGCTCGTGTCGTTCTGTAAACCCATGACGTTCGCATAGTTGATCAAAGTCTTGTCAAGATATTGGAGGATATAACATGAAAACATGAGAGGAACGATTCTCCAATCAATCTTGCGCTTTAGGATGCGCTCATCCTCGGCCGATATGGGGGTAACATCTCCGCCGTTTCGCAGGAATTCGAGGGCAGCATCAGCGTTTTTGATATCCTTGACCTCTCCGACTAGCACCTCGGATTGGCCACCACCCAAGTTTGGGGCCTTTTCGACATCGATCTTCTCGTCAGAGCTCATGATGATGACCGTGCTGGTTTTCATCAACGGCTGAGAAGACTAGAGTATGGGACGAGTGCCTTTGCCATCTTTATATGTGACTGAATGCCACTCGGAACCCCTCTACTGATATCACGACTGTCTATGACGCACCTTTACTATGGCGGGTGTCAGGATCGCAGAGAGATGTTAAGCATATCGGAGAACTCATCGATAAGTCTGTGGCGATCATCGAGACCGTTACGGTTTGAACGAATCAGATGTTGCAGTGCATCAGGAACCTTGCCTTTGCAGGAAGGTGACTGGGGTCTTGGTTGGACCCGGTTCTCGTTATCTCTTGTCCGGAAAAGAAGAACCCGAAGATATCATCTTATTGCCGATTGCGGTGCGGCAAATTGTGTATGAATGCCGATAAAGCCATCCCGCAGTTATCTCATCCATCTGATAGCACAGAGAAGCAGTTGAGGAGTCGCGGAGAATACTCGGTGTCGGTGATAGGCAGCAAAAGCACAGCTAGTTGTTCACCAGACCACAATATGTCAGGCTAATGCTCGACCCTGGCCGATGGCGGAACACTATAGCTGACGACCTCCGGGTTTCAACAACTGCTCATTCTCAGGATGGCAAAATCGTGTAATTGGATAACAAAATTTGGCGCCAAGCTGTTTTGCACAATAACAGCTTTTTGGTTTGCTTCCGAAAAAAGCATATTGGGGATCAAAGATGGCATCTCTATTCTTCTCATTAAACGTCAATCATTTCAAGTTGTTGCATGTCTTAATGTGTATTGTGAGACCTGGGAGATCCTTTTAGATTAATTTGACTGGAAAGGCAACACGAATCGTCTCACTGGCCGAAGGAACCATTGCTGCCTAAGTACTTAAGCCTCCTGTCCGTGTTGTACGGATGATGTTGACCGAGCCTCAACAAAACCCTATTTAGACCTCACGAATCAACGACAAAAGCTTCTTTTATTTCTATGTTTATTAAAATAGAGAATTATCACAAAAGTAATAACATTTCTTAAACGCCTTAAACATATATACATTAAATTAAAATTTTTAAATATATAGCATTTATTATTAATTTAAAACTTATTTTAATTACAAAATTTATTATTAATTACAAAATTTATTATCAATAAAAAATAACATTTTTTATATGCTAAGTTTTTAAAATTTTTAATAATAAACGCTTCTGAAAAATCATTTTATATTATATTTAATAAAAGGAAATTATAAGACATAACTTAATCTTTTTTTATACTAAATAAAAAATAAATTAATTATTTTTATAATTAATAATTAATAAAATATATAAAGTTATGATTAAAGTTTATATTGAATTATAAATTTTTGAAAGTAAGCTTTATATTATGTCAAAGCTAAATCTTTTCTCATCTTTCGTTGTTAAAAGCTAATAAGCCAGTTAACTATAGGCCCCACCTCCTGAAACAGTGGCGTAGTGGACTGTGGCGCCATGCGCCACAACCATGCTGTCATCTGTAGAGTCTCGTCCAGCTCAGTCAGGGTTCGCCACTGTGACACAAGCGACGATAGGTACCTACCTCCATCCAATCAGGCATTGTGAACATACCGGACTTCGACTCCGGCGCCCTTGGTGACAAGTGTACCACTAATAACCAGCATTCAGCCCCGCGCAATGCACATCTACATATGGTCATAGCCGATTAGTCACATGCGAGGAAACGAACAATTTCCACATCATCTAATGACCCAGCAGTCTTTCTAATGTCTATCTCATCTCGGCAGCTGCCTCTGCAAGAGCTCCATGACTCGCTACTCTGGGTGCGTATGCGTGGTGCGGGGTGTTAGCTTCGCTTTAACGTGTGTTTTGCTTTTTGGTTTCTGCCCAGTGACTTGTTTGGTAGCCATATGAGGTAAGGTACTTTAGGTAGGCGTCTACGCTGCCTTACCCTGGTCACTGTGTGGACTGGCACTCATTGGGTTCTCCGCCTTGTGGGCTAGGGCTGGTTTAATAACCCTACTATGTATACTATGGTAGTGGAAGGTAGGATTCGTAGTACCTTATGGTACGGATAGTATTGGTGTGGACGGGCGGGGAAAAGCTGGGGGGAGGCGAATTGTGGGTATGCCGACTTACATTGCAAGGGAAGGAATGATGGGTCGAGGAACAAGTGGCAAGCCCCAATCCCTGGCTGGAAATGGAGCGTCGCACCTGCTGTGCTGTGCTGTGTCTTGTTGCGCTGGGTGGAATTTGTCAGAGATACGAGGATTCGTATCGTGTTGCGACTGTAAGAGCAAGACCAGACCGCGACGGATGCCGAATCGATGGCGGGGCCTTGATCCCAACTTGCGAAAGAACTGATCAATTAGCAAACGATTGGGAGTTTTCCTGTTGGAGCCTGAATGGTTATATGCGATAGTGTCCATCATGGTACCATATCCATCTCACCTTTCACATTCTTCCGGCCTACCTACTCTGCAGGGTCCTAGGATATACCTTTAGGTTTGATATCTGGTCATCGCTTCATCGGCTATCCGTACGCATCCAGGACTGCTACGCTCTTGCCCTCCATCTTCTCGACGCCTATCCGCACCTACCCTACCCTACCTACTACGGAGGTACAAAGCAATGTCCAGGGAGTTGGCCCCCCTGTTGCCCGCCGCGGACAGTTCACAACCCTCCCCGTTTGCGCCGTCGCAAACAGACATGTCAAAGAGGAAACGCAGACAGGGCGACATTGCTTGCAATCCTTGCCGAAGGAGGAAAACTCGTGTGAGTCTTGGCGCCGGGCTATTACGGTAGCCTTCCCACCGGCGGTTTTGGTCTCGGTGGATCCCGGATGCGCTCATGAACCCCCACTGACGGACCGTGTCGTGCCCGTTGTAGTGCGACGGACTACGCCCAACTTGCGGTTCCTGTCAGAAACGATCATCCGAGTGCACCTACGTCCAGAATCGAGGAGCTCTTCGGTCCTCCAACACGTCCAATGAAGCTCAGGAACTCCTCGACATCCTCAAGTCTGTAACGGAGGAACATGCCGTTCAGATTCTACGCCTGTGGAGAGCCGAAGGAGACCTTGCTGCCGTGCTCTCTTTCGCCAGAGCTGGGGACAATGGAGCATCCGACATCCCAGATGTTGTCGATGACAACGCCAACCCGTCGACGAGATCCTCTTTGACGTCGGAACTGATGGCCAACTTCCCCATTGCCTACCCTAGCCCTCGCGCCATTCCTGCCACGGCACTCGAACGCGATGGACTATTGAGCCCCAATACGCTATGCCGGTAAGCCCGTGGTGTCGCGATCGATCCGTCGTTCATCCAGTTCGTTATCGATAACCTGCTGACGCAGACTAAATGTCTTAGGGCCAGCGACGACGGAATCATGCCGCCCGACGATGGTATTCCGTCTATGATGTCTGATGACACGCCTCAGACGTGGACTCAGCCGTTTCACGAGGCGGCGCCGCCGGATCGGACGGGAAATACGAGACCAAGCATATGTGACAATCGACTGCACCACCTCGACATCTCCTTCTGGACCGCGGTATCAATCGCCAATGATCTCGCAGCCCGCATCGTCTCCGTTTACCTAACCACTGATCATCCTCTCCTTGGTATCTTTGATCCAGACCTGTTCGTTTCCGATCTTGTCAACCATCAGACGACCAATTGCTCTCGGCTACTTGTCAGTACGGTGCTGTACTGGGGATGTGTAAGTGGCCGGAAACCCCCCGTGCCTTGGGAGAAGGGGACGAAAGAAAATCTCTGACGTAGCACTGTCATGCTAGCAAATTTACGCTGCAATTGACGAAAAGGCCCGTCGCTATACCGACTCGTTTTGCAAGGAGGCTGAGGAGCTTTGGCTGGATGAGCAACGAAATGACACAATCCTCAATGCTGCCAGCGCCCAGTTATTGAGCCTGGCTTACCTCGGTCATGGAAAAGATCACTATGTTTTGAAATTTCTCTCGGCTGCCATAGGAATGGGGAAAAGGTTGTCCCTCCTCGGTGTTGACCCCTCGCTGGCGAGGAGAAACCTGGCAAATCTTTCACCCGACGTGCAGAAACGAATGGCATTCACGGCCTGGGGCTTGTTCAACTGGGCCGTGTACGTTTGCAAAGATCGTCGCAATCGTAATCACCCGCTGACTCTCTCGCGTAGCTTGACCACAATGTTTTACCAACAACCAGGCCTTGAATACCCCGAACATCCCCCCGTACTCCCGATACCACACGGTTCAAACATCGATGCTGCAGGCAAAGGCGTGGCTCATGATCACACTCATATGACAACCCCAGGTTTGCCTTGGTTCATGGGCCACACGTTTTCTGCACTTTGCCAGTTCTGGCAAACCATGCATGGCGTGAGTCTCTCGTACTACAAGAATCGAGAAAGGCCGCTGCAAGAACATGTATCTCTGGACTTTGCAGAACTCAAATATCGCGAACTGCTCAATTGGACCCAGACTCTACCGGAAGACACCATCCTACGAGATAACAGTCCCCACCATGTAGTCATTCTCCAGTAAGCCGCAGATCTGTCTAAAGTTCGACCTGCTCGTGCTAACCATTCCCAGCATTTGGTTTCACGCCGCTCTTCTCGACATATTTCGACCCTTTGTACACGGACCCCAACCAGATCGTTCCCGTGTAATATCCTTTTCCGACCATCACATATCCCCAGATGCTGCCTTTCGCGCGTCCGTACAGCAGCTGAAGCAGTTGGTAGTCACATATCGCTCCAATCACGAATCCTCCGCCTACACCATGCTGTGGCAGACAGCCCTAATTTACGTGGCAAACGCCGTGCTCCACGACACACAAGACCCCGAATGGCGTTTCTATTTCTTGGCATGTATTAACGCGTATGAAGGTCTCCGGAAATCATATCGTGTTGCGGAGTCGATATCTCGGGGGTTGCTGGCCATGGCGCTCCGTGGGGCATGCATATCACACAACGAGGCTGATGCTCTACAAGCGCAGATGATGGAAGCCGGCGGCAGGCTTGTCAAGGACGACGAAATTCGCGCCACGTTCATGGTTGATCTTGACTTGGCCATGTCGAACCCCGAGGCGGCGAGGGTGGAGGTTCTCGCAGAACGATTCGATGACATTAGCCTGTTTCGGGACCTTACCACCGTAGATGATGAAGAGGCGCAGAGCTTTCGTCGGCTCCAGACCCCTGAAAACTCTCGGGGCAGCGGCAGCGGTCGAGGGTTGCCAGAAGGGCTAGACGTGGGAACGGGGCATGACTGAATATTATACTCACCGGCACATGTCGACTGTGTCTAATCGCCAGCTAGTGCGACCTACCTTGAATACGAGAAGCATCTGCCTCACCCAGCCAACAACAATTTCGAGCCATGTCACCAAGTTGCGACGAACGCAATTTCCCTGCAAACATCTCCCGATTCCACCCCTGAGTTTGAACAAGCCTCAGGCGGTAGTCAAGCCAAAGTGATGGCTACTCCGAACGAGCGAGAGTTAGTGGTTTGTAGTCATGTTGCGTTCGACAAGGCGGAAAACGCCATGCTGGCTCCAGTCATTGAAGAGACTTGATCGTTCTCGGGCCATGCCAGTCATAAAACCCGAGTAGGCCAAATTATCTCTGGTTCTGTTCGTCACTTACGTGGGTTGGTGTGTTGGACGCCTTTAAAGCCGTCAAGAACCAAATCCGGTCGGCGCGCAATTCCAAGCCACACTGCTGAGGTGATTGCCATGACCCTTTTCTCCTTTGTCCCGCTGCCCGTCGTCTCAACTTCAATTCATGCCACGGGGCCACCGGTTTTCGTTGTCCTAGTTGGGACGCCGCTCCTTTTGCCGAGGTCGAAGGTTGGGAGGTAAGGCAGATATCAATGGCCGGGTTCCCGCACTCTACGTGGTGCATATGCTCAGTCCTGGTGTCGACCGACCTCGACCAGGACGGCGGTGTACTCTGCCTTGGGCTGCTTGTGATGAGGCTCTCGATCTGGATCTTTCGCGTCAATAGGTCCACGACATCGAGTTTCCGTTTATGACAGCTACAGTCGGGGGCCTAGCAATGGCGTTCCTCTGGCGGCGGCACCAACTGTTGTGGTTGAAACCTGCTTTGACCCGTGATCGTGTCGCTGTCGGGGCTGGTATGGACTTTGGCGTCGGTGTATTGGTCCCCGGAAGGTATATGGAGAAATCATGAAGGCTGGGATCCTGTAGTCGCGGAAAAGCGGCTCTCGTGACGTGTTCCGTACAAGGAGGGGTTGCTAGGTGGCTAGCTTCATTCTGTATGGGGTTGGACAGTCAAGGGCTCGGGGCGGCTGGCCGGTGAATGGCTGTGGAAAAGGACGCTATTGTATCATCTTGTCCAGTCCAAATGGCCCTCGGAATCAGGGTGGTTATGAAGAAATGCTTGCCTCTTCGTCTGGTCTTGCACCTGCCAGGCAATGGCACCAGGCTGGTGGGAGAAGCGCGGACGTCCCATAATGTCTCCCATAATGTCTTTGGTGGCAGTCAGTGCGGATAGTCGACCGACTCACCTTGAAACCTCCCAGACTAAACTTAGCTACGGGGATGGTCGAAGATAGGGAAACGTAGTGTTCGTAGATGAGTGTGCTGCTCACCATTTCGTCTTCCGGCATAATCGACTCGGCAATTTTCTCCTCCATGTTTCCCCACAAGCAAAGACGAGTCTGCTGAACTGTGATGAGTGAGTAGATGCGCCGTTGTGCGCTGGGTATAGGCGTGTGCGGTTGCAATCCCTGTTCTGCGGTCAGCGTGGGTGTTGGGGAAATTAGGTTTAAGGATAACAGTGAAATTCCTCCAGCATCGGTGGTGGGGGGAGATGATCATTACATGTAATTACGTAGAGGCTTGGGAGGTTATGAGTGGCTCGCTCATGTCCCTCAACGAAACCCATCTTCGAAGGCGCACAACAACAGGCGCACGTACAGATAGTTCAACGCCATACTCTGTAGACCTGCAAGAACTTGTAGAATGTCCTTGTTTCTATGATGATCATCTTACAGTGCTTCAACCTCCGTCCGCAAGGCGTGCTCTGTGGTTGGTGCTTTTGTTTAGATTACAGCATACGATGAGGACCAGGTCGAACAGCAGCCGGTGGGATATCAGTATCTTGTTTGGGCCATGTTCCATCACCTTGTAGAAAATACATGCAAGAAGAGATGCTGCCATCCAATTATAGGCTCTCGATTGGCCGGAACGTCCGGCTTTGGACGGCCTCCTTATGCACAATGACTTGAAATGATTCCTTACGCATGATGACTTGATAAGATCGTCATTGTGGTACCTACCCAAGTACCTTAATCGACAATCTTTCAACGCCTGATGATTCTATTGGGAAAATAGCCACTGTAGATACCCTGAGTGTATGGCTGAGAAATGAATTAGCTGGTTCCAATCTGCAATGAATTCTATCGACAGCAAATTATATTCCGGGCTGCCAATCCATCTACAATAAGTCAACTGCCGAAACTTCTCAACTCTGTAATATTCTGCAACCACGAGACTGCAGCGACGTTCACGTTGAAGTGAGTCGTGTCCATCGACTCTTTTCACTACAGCCAAAGGAATCAGTTCATCGCACCTTTCCTGTGTCGAATCGTGAGAAGCAATGACCAAGTTACTGATCAAAGACGTGCATGTTTTTGACAGCAACGTCATTCAAGCTGCTGGGAATGTAGCTTTTACCAGGTCGGCCGGCAACCTTCACAACATGATGGCAGATACTTCCGATATCGAGGCTTCGGATCAAGTTATCGACGGCCACGGCTGTACATTGATCCCCGGGCTTATTGACGTTTATGTCAATATCAAGGGTGTGAACGCAGCACTAGGCACCTTCGCTAATCATGGTGTGACCACCGTCATCGATCTCAGCAGCAGTACTGAGCAGTGCCAGTCAATGCGCGTGTATGCCGCTGGCAAGACAGGGCTGCCGACTGTCCTCACTTCAGGCACAGGAGCGGCAACTACAACTACGGAGGACCACCAACTACAGCTGGAAAATGACCCGGCTACTGCGGTGATTCGCACACGCGAAGATGCAGTGGCCTTTGTTTCAGCGAAGTCGAGCGGCCCAGACCGCGCAGACTTTGTCAAAGTTCTCGTCACCCTGCAATCACACACCGATGAAATCCTCAAAACCATCGTAGATATCGCTCACATACACAAGAAGTTAACTGTGGCCCGCACCATGGGCAAAGCGTCCTACGAACGTGCTATGAGGGCTGGTTTCGACATCTTCGCCCATGCTCCTCTGGACGCACCCATAGACGCAGCAACCGCTCAAGAAATGGCAGCGCAGAGCAAGATTTTTATTCCAACGCTTGCCATGATGAAAAAACACGCATCGTCAGGACGGGAAGCCTCAATCACCACCAGGGTCGCTGCAGACCAGAGACCATCGCCCAACTTCATCTCAGACACGCGGAATTTAGAGAGAGGCAATATGGTCCCAGGAGCCACAGTCGGAACCAACTACGCGAACGCGACAGAAAGCGTGCGGACGCTCCACCAAGCCGGCGTGACCATCTGCGCGGGTACGACGGCGAATTTGGTGCCAGGGGCTCAGATGCCTTTTGGCGAGAGTTTACACGAGGAGCTACGCTTGCTTGTTGACGCTGGCATGCCGACGCTGGATGTTCTGCGCTCAGCAACCTGTGTTGCCTCCAAGGCATTCGACCTCGGCGATCGAGGTTTTCTTCGAGTTGGTTTCAGGGCCGATCTCGTGCTCGTCGAGGGCAACCCGTTGGAGGACATTAGCGCCACGCAGAATGTCAAAGGAATATGGATCCAGGGCGAATATATCGGTCCATGATTACTGACCCTCAGCCGAAACTACATCGGCTTTCTAGGAGTACAGCCGGACGACAGGGGCTGACGGATCCAAGTCAAGATTGGTCGATTGGGTGCGCCATCCAGTCTTGTTTTTCTCAGGAGGACCAAATCATTTTGGGCGATATTACTTGTCATAGAAGAAGAGAGGAACACTTTGTTCGCTACGGTCAACTAGTTAGTCACGGCTCGTCCACCAACTGCGCAGGAAAGAATTATATCCTTATCTGACTTGACTAGCCATACATTAGAATTCAACAGCATCGAGGTGTGAAGTAATTAACAATGAGTGACCAATAACAATCTGGTAGCATTGAACCCCAGAATAAAACTGAGAGAGAGGTAAGATGGAGCCAAGTGGCTGATTAGACCATTCAAGGGCGTCATCATTAAAAATTTGAAAACACCCATTCCTCGTCCCGAACATCGAAGCATTCCGCACCCTCATACTGTATCAGTCAACGGCATGAATCTTGTCTCGAAACTTGACCGTGAAAGTTCCAACTGGAGAATCTAGCATCCGGTCTTCCTCACCATCAAACACCCGCAGCCCGCGTATCGTAATCATAGGCCTACTTTCCCCTCTCGCCGACTGCCTGCCGTACGCTGGGACTGTCCTCCTCGATGCTCTCGCCTGCTTCTCAATATCGGTGAGCATTGATTGTGCGCGGCCTGAAACTCCGGCAATGACCATCTCATTGATAATGCAGCAAGCTTTGCCGATAATGTCGCGTACTGTGAATGTCGCAGTGTCCGAATCGAGACGAGGCAAGAGATCTTGGACGACAAAGAAGCAGTACTCGGCTGCCCAGTACTCGTGCCGGATCTGATATATGCCGCGGTAGGTCCAAAGGCTGGTCATCATGGAGCTCGCATGACCAACTTGGAGGGAAGCGACGTTATGACCGTTCAAGACATCGGTGTTCGCGTGTCTTAAATAACTTGACAGGACACGCAGTGCGATAAAGTCGTAGTTGGCCCTATGAAGAAAAGTCATCAACAAGCGGAGGTAGAAGTTTCATCGTCTCGAAGAGGGGGGAGGAGGAGCGAGGAGGGGGTGGGAACGGGGGGGATAGGAGACGTCAGTAACGGCGATAACCTACTGAAGCAATAAAACAGATGAAGGGAAATTGTTGTCCGTCATAAGATGGTCGGGGAAGGATAGTTGCCAGCATAATAGCTTGTTGTAAAGCGCCGTGTGATGACTACCGTCCATCTCATGACGAGCGGATTCGATGACGAATTGAGCAGCGATCTCACAGAGGGCACATTCCGCAACGAACATTTCCAAGGATTGAGGAGCTCTTTCAAGATGTGATGCTGGATCTACCCTGGAATAGCCTTGGCTGTCCAAATTTTCAAATATGGTGCTGACGAGAGGCCTCGGGACTAGCATCTCTGGGGAGGTGATTGTGGACGCTTTGCTGAAAAGGGGATGTTAGCCACCTAGCAAGACTACATGTTGCTAACAAATTGAATTGACTCAGAAAGCACTCACGAGAAAAAGCAGTAGAATCCCCACGTCATGCGGGAAACTGCCTGACACACTTTCACGTGAACACCATCATTCTCCCTCGAGGATGCAATCAGCCTGGAGCCTAGACCATCTAGATCAACAGAAGACCAAGTCTTTTTCAGCAGGCTCTGCAAGCTCACACACTGACTTCGTCCGTGGTGAGATCCCTTGTTGCTGGCAAAGGTCCATAAGATGGCAGCAGCTTGTAGTAGAGTCAAGGAGCTCATACTCTGCTCCGATTCTAGAAGCTCAAATGCGTGATTGGCAAACTGGTGGCTAAGCGTCAGAATATCTGCCGAGTTCGATTCGGAGGCATTTCTTGTTGCATGTAGCTTTCATCTCAGTCGTTAGTTTTTATTTCGATTTGATGGAAGCACCATTGTGGAGAAACGTGAAGTGTCACTAACGTACTGAAGACACAGCCAGGATGGCGTTGACAAGTAATGGCGAGCAGAATTGGCCATATTCACTGAATGTAGTATTGCCGTCGGTGAATGCCAGGGAGGAGACCAAGAGGTCTCTATCTACGAGATGCGACAACGTGTTGTCCCAAATCCAGAATGAATTGACGAGATGTGTCAAGGCCTTGTCGTCTTGAGAGATCTTGGTCCAGCACGATACGGGCATGATCTCATCAGAAGGGCTAACAAGACTATCTCTTGCTGTTGTGGAAGAGCTATAATGAGAAAAATATCAGTCTTCTGATGCGAACAAAAGAGGGTTCCAGAAAGAAGATGCCTTGCTGCGAATGGCTCTACTGTCGAGTCCCCTTTGTGGTTGGAGTCAACATGAGACCCTGAGCCTCCTATAGGTACATTAACATGAATTAGTGACTGAATCATTACTCAGTTAACTCATCGAAACACTGACTGTAGCGCCCAAGGTTATTTGGGAGGAGAAGGCTGGCGTCGGCTATTGACTGGATAGCCTCTTCAATATCATCAGATCCCTGCAGCTGCTTCAAAATATCATCCGCTCCGTCATCGTGGCTTGCTCGAAGCAGCTCTAGAACTCTTTGGCTCTTCTCGTGCGCTGCTGAAATACTACTGAGCTTTCGTTTCTGAGCTTCCCTCTGACTGATCCCTTCGGCAAGGGGGTAAGCGCAGGGTGTATTGGACGAGGCGCAGCCATGGCAGGTTGGCCGGGCCCCATCGCACTATCCGCATGGAAGTTGCAGTCAGCATTGCCAAGACTTTTGCTGCAAACCCATGAATCTGCAAAGGATGTTGAAAAGAGGTGTGGATAACCTTGACTTTTCGCTTTCGGCAGTCTGAACAATTCGTTAGATTGCTAGAAAGCCAGTCACTTGAGAATGGAACAAACACACTGGCGCAGGCTGACAAGACTTGCGTCCTCTTCCGCTTGGGCACCACGGCCTGAGAGAGACGTGGCGGGGCATCTGAGGACAGCGGTAACAATGGCCTATAGGCGGACTGACCCGACATCGGTTGGCTCCGCGAAGTCAAGTAAATAATTCAGAGCAGCGCTAGCTGGCTGAGTTGAAGCGAAGCAGGTCAAACTAACGAAAGGCGGCCAAGCATGCTTTGGAGGTTGACAAAATACCTTGAGAGGCAGCTTTTGCAGTAATTGCTCTTATCTTACTATTTTAAGCAGATCTCACTTTTGGCCGCAGCCCTTTGTGTCATGTCCGACCCCGCTTTCTAGATTTACTCCTCTCATAGGCCGGCCGTTGACGTAAGACCTATAGAAAGCTCTTGAGAAGTGCTTTACTAAACTCATATAAACGCTTATATAACCATTAAAAGTTCGATTATAAAGCTTTTTAATAATTTTTAATTCAGTAAAAAAAACGTAATTATATTACTACTAGCTTCTTAATAATAAAGGCTTATATTAATAAGTAAAATAAATTAAAGTCTATATTTATTTAACTTATAAATAATTAAAAAGTTATTGTTGGTTTACGTATCACAGGGTGATTAGTTCGATCGAACCGTGGTGACGAAGGGTCAACTAGCTTGTATTGATCTCTGCGTGAAGAGGAAAAGAGAGGTTTCAACCGTGGGTTGGATCGCCGGTCAAACGCTGATATAGAGACCCTCAGATGGCCCCTGCGCTGGCGCTGACTCGAGGTCGAATTGGGCTTCTAATCCGACAGGCTGCTTTATACTCTTTCACAACAACATTGTCAATAATATAAAAATGGATAGTAACCTGTCTAATTGACACATCGCAAAAACACTGCAGCAACAGGGAGAAAAGCAAAGGCCCTGGGCAGCATCAAACCAATCAACATGGAGTCTGGTCTGGTCTTAATTCATTCGCTTAGAAGGCTTGTTATGAGAATAATCACAACTTGAAGACTTTTCAAAGGTCCATGTCGTCAATGCTTTCAAATCAGAGAATCGATGTCCAACCTTATTGCTCTTTTCCCAGTGGGAACTGACTAATCATGCAACTTCCTTCGTGGTCATTCCACCGCAGTCCTCTCCCCCGTTCCCACGCTTCGCATGTGAATTTGTCTTCCTCTAGGTGCTTGTGTGCAGCTCTCTAGATATTCGTGCCTTCTACGAACTCCAACATCTTTCATAACCACCAATATAGTTGACCCGTGGTTTTCTTAGCCGCCATTGCTACTACCGGGATCGTCGGCGGCACCGCCGCAGTCTTGACGCTTTCCAAATCCACCGCTCTCAATTTCAAGTGGAAGGAGGATGTTTTGTCGCTCGACGGGGTGGGAGCTGTCGAAGAGATCTATTTGCATGGGATCGATGGCAGAACCAAGAGAAATATTTTGGTTGTCGCTGGCGAACATGAAGAATGTCTCTGGAGGTTGTTTGCCATCGCAGTTTTTGTAGTCTACGACTTTGTTGTCCAGGTTGGCGCAGTAGTTCTTGTTGGTCTCAGCCTCCGCCATGCGGGCTAGGAAGAAAGCGGTTGCCATGACTCGCAAGCCAGGCAAAGGAATGTGTTCTCTCGTCATGATTGTGAGAACAAAAAAATGAAAGAGTGTAGTGGTAAGGACCACGATTGATACTTGTAAAGAATGGAGGATAGTCGTACAAACTATCTCATTGCAATATATCGGCCGTGGGCAAAATCCACCTTTATATTGTTGAGGTCCAACGCACCCTCCGGGCCTTGCGGTCCGCGGCGCCTTGCGCAGTACCCCAGAACCCCTGACCCGGTGTGTTGTCTCCTGTAGATCATTAATATTTCGTATTTTAAGCACCTGTTTATAATAGCATGTTTTAGAGATATCCCATTTATATTAATCACGCTCCTCATGCACGGAAACTCCGGGTGAGTGTATTAAAGAAGTGCAAAATCACGTTTCTTGGCATTTTGGATGTTGGTTGAAAAAAAGCTCAATCATCATTCTTCCCTATATGATGAACTTTCGGTCTTTCCTGACATAAATACTTAGACTTGAAGTGATCAGGGAGGAGATCGGATTCCAAGGCAACCTCCACGCTCATTTTCAAATCCGTCACCAACCCTCAACACTCTAACTGTCCTTACTGCGATACAAATTCTCCAACGTGAGTAGCCGCCGTCTCTGTCTTAGAAACAATCTTGATGACTGACATGACGTCAGATGCGCTTTTCATCTTTTATCTCTGCAGCGGCGCTCTTCGTCTCGGCTCAGGCCGTTGGACCATGCGACGAAATTCCAGTGGCCAACGTCACGGGAGACGCCATCACAGGATTTATATTCTCCACCCCTTCTTGCAACGACTGGATATGGCAATCTCGCGACAAAGGAACCAACACCACACTCAAAGCGGATTGCTTCATGCGACAGTCGTGGCCCAACCCATCGCCGGTCACGACCGTGTGCATCCGCGACAAGAATGGCGACGAGAATGACAAGAACAAATGCTTCAAGGCTCCGACGGAGGCGGACCAAGGCATCTGTCAACTGTCGGGCGATTGGTGTACATCTGTTGAAAACATGTGGGGTTGGTAGAGTAAAATACCTAGAACGATGGATTTTCCAAAATTAAGACCATCTTTCTACCTCGGCTTCCCAAGTCTGCGATTCTGTGACATATTCCTAAACATTCTTCAGGGAGAAGAAAAAGCCTTAACTTAGTCCCTAACCCTAGATTCATAACACTGGCTCATCCGGAACCACAACTATTTTCAACTTCATATTCTATAGCATTTATCTAATTTTATATAAAAACTATATATCTTATATTATTATATATACGCAGTGAAGCTTAATTGAGACTTCGACATAATAAAGCTTTGCACATATTATATTTATTTTAATATAGTATTATGATTTCTTCAAGCTATTAATAAATAAATTTATTATTTCTATAAACGCTTAATAATTCAAGTTTCTATTTTAATTTAAACTCTATACAAATCCTCAACTGTGACTTATATTTATTTACTTAGCAAGTACTATACTAGTTCAAAGAACATTCTATACAAGGGCGTGTTCCGAATCCAGGGGTGGGGATTTAAGACAGGCCGCCCTCTCTGCACTGCGACAAGAGCCTAACGGCGTTGCCGGCCGGCCTTTAACCTTATGAGGCTGGTTTTTGAACTTTGAAAATAGCATCCCCGGATTCGCGGATTCGCGGATTCCGAATTCGAGATGCCATTTTGCCCGCCAGAAGAATGGACGCAGTTCATCGCATGTGTAGGGATGATGCTGGACGAGACGCCTGCCGCCCTGTGTTTGATCACCTAGTCACTGAGTCGTTGTCTGCTAGTAAAGAGCAAAGCGCCTAGTCGGGCGACTCGATCGAGAGTTTGCATTGAATGCAACGCCACTAGATATCAAACTCTACTAACTTTTGTCTTGGCATTGTCGGCAGTCTTCAGTCCAACCATCCCCGCCGTTATCTCTTCGAACCGATGTCCCCCCGACCAGCTCATAGGCACACGCAACGCCAAACAGTTTAGTATCATCGCCACCATCACCAACACAATCAACTATGCGCCGTGTACCTGTAGAGAAGAGGCCAAACGCCACGCGCCTCGTGCAAAGTCAAGGCCTTGTCTACGCCGACCTCGTCACGCCAGGCGGAACAGAGCCATACTGGCCCGATGACCGCTACTATTCCTTCACCTCTAAGGAGGTGGAACTACTGGAGACCGCATCCAAGGATGTCTTCGCAATGTGCTGCGAAGCGGTAGACTATCTCGTGGAGCACCAAGATATTATCACGGACAAGATGGGCGTTCCCGCGTACACGCTTCAACAAATAGTCGACTCGTGGGAACGAGAGCCTGCTTGGGGAAGCATCTACGGTCGCTTCGACGTCTGCTTTGGCGGCCTTGAGCACCCTGATCCGCGGCTCCGCGTGCCAAAGTTCTACGAATTCAATGCCGATACGCCAACAACGTTGATCGAGGCGGCATCGATCCAGTGGCTTTGGTTAGAACAAACGGGCCACGGTAACGATCAGTTCAATCACATCACCGAAATGCTCATTGAAGGCTGGAAGCGCAACTTAAATCTCATAGAGGAAAAGCTGGGCTTCAAACCCATGGTGCACTTTGCCGTCGGAGAAGGTGAGCGAACCTTCGAAGACGGGTCAAATACGACGGTTCTGATGGATACATGCCACCAGGCTGGTTGGCGAACCAAAGCAATCACGGTGGAGGAAATCTCCCTGGCCAAAACCGACGGCCGCTTCTACGACCTACAAGGCCAGCACATTGACGTTATATTCAAGCTGTACCCATGGGAGTATATGGTTGAGCAGAAGTTTGGAGAGCCGTGCTTCAAGGACATGGCGAACATCGGGAAACGCAACGAGGCGGGAGAGTACATTGGAGGCACGATCTGGATCGAGCCACCGTATAAGCTGGTGTGGAGCAACAAAGCACTCTTCGCTGTTTTGTGGGAGCTCTTTAAGAATGATCCGCGCGCAAAGTGGCTACTTCCTACTTATTTTGACAACGAGGTGCCTACTTCGTTGACAAGATTTGCACGAAAGCCGATTTTCTCCCGTGAAGGTGCCGACGTGGTGCTCAAAGTCGACGGAGAGGTGCTTCAGGACTTGTCTCGGGGATATTATGGAGCAGAGGGACACATTGTGCAGGAGCTCGCATTGCCTCCGGACTTTAGAGATGCGCAAGGTCGCTCAAACTATCCCGTCCTGGGTCTTTGGTTTGTTGACGGCGAATGTGTGGGCATGGGCATTCGCGAAGACAGGACACCCATCACGACCAACGACTCGAGATTCATCCCCCATTCCATATCGGATGGACCCATCAACTACGAACGACATCCCGTTCCAGGTCCTGAGGAAATTGAGTCACAGATCAGGATTGGCTTGATTGAAGACGGAATTGGCGAGCAGAAGGGAGATGAGCTTTTAGACTACATAAAAAGGATCATCACCCCGTAGATACATCACCCCGTAGAGACTTTGCTAGGAGGGAAGGCATCAGATGAAAATTGCAGATGACATTGAACATGCCTCATTCCATCAGCTCACACATAGATGACGTCAATTTTTATTGGTCTTTGGAATGTAGCCCACTTGAATGGCACCTTGTAAGAACGATCGTTGAGTCTGTCATCCGTGGCATGTGAGTAATAAGTTCCGGAAATCCACCTAACTGTGGGTCAGCTTGGACCAAAATCTCCGTAGCGTCATCCTTTTTCGAGCAACCAACTCAGGATTCAGTATGGGAAACTAAATTACTCGACCGCTACGAGAGTTTTCGGCTCGATGGTTGAAACCTGTCAAGACCGAATACGAAAGTGTAACTGAGAAAACATCCAAGCCTCCAGCATGGGTAATTAGAGTACAATACGAGCCTGAGAAAAGCGGCACGTCAGACTTTGTTGAATTGATAAAAAGGGTGTGAAGACTTGATCACCTAGTCATAGCCTAGGCTTCGGCCTTCGGACCAAATATTGTGCCTTGACACCGACCAGTGGCTTAAGAGTGCGTAGAAATGCAGGGACTTCCCTTCTCCTACCATTATGGTGCCAAGCAAGGACTGCAGTAAGAGACCGGTCGTCCACTATTCTGCTATAATATAGAAATCCCAAAGGACCAATCATTACAAACCTACAATGTATCATGGATGAGGGACTGCTTAGTGACAGCATAGGTATTGAGATGAACGTCGACCAAGGGCTAGCGGTCATGACTTTCATTGTTGCCTCTTCAGTTATTTGCTCCCTGCCCTGAGCTATGGGTCCAAACATCCGCTTCAGATCAACCGCATGGATGAATATTCTGACGGCCGTCGCAACCGGGAGGTGTCCATAAACCAATACAGGGAGTGCACGATTGGTTTTCAAAAAGGTTCAGGGCACACTTCTCACAAACTCAATATAATAAAAAAGCGGGGATAGGGGAAAACCTTAAACTCGATATCTAACTGAAACTATAGATCAATAGGCTAGGGCCCCCTCCTCGTGACGGCATTCGCTAGAGATGTGCAACCGAGACTCTCTAGACTTCACTTCGGCTTTTCCGGACTCCATGATAAGACTGACGATGGACTCCTGGCCCGTTTTTTGCCGCTACTCTCATAGTTAGTATGTCCGCGCGGTAGTGGATCCAGAATCGGGTATGAAGATGATTGAATCCAGTCCGTATTGGGATAAAATATCCATACAATGTATGGATTTGCTCTGTTCGTCGTAATTAACCCCCGTGGCAGGGTTGCCACGGAGCTTCCGGATCGGGGAGTTCTCACCCACCCGAGCAATCCTTCCACCTCGCACTCATGGCTTCACCCGAAACTCTAACGCAAGCCTCTAGCGCTTTCCTGGCCGCCTATTCTTAACCGATAGCAGCTGCCCATTGAAGGGCAGACCTTGTGTCTTGTGCGTTGTGGCAATAAAGGTTACAGTTAAGGCTGAGCGAAAAAAAAACGGCGACCGGTCCTAGTCATTGCAATCACATATGCTCCAAAGTCTGAAATACGGCAATATCTAGAAGAAGTTTGTTCAGAATGCGCACCACAGGACGGGAATGGAGGCTGCGTGCGATCGATCTGCGAACGGGCTGCAACTTGAGTAGCCAGCCGAGCCACGTGAGTAAAATTTGGAGTATTTCCAGTTGCGCAGGACGATTGGTCACTGGCCTTGACGGATGGAATGGTCGATCAATTTCATCCTACTCGGTTTTGACAGCGTCAGCAGCTGTGTCCGGAAACCGAGGTTTGACTAACTGCCGACGCGCTCCGGGTGATTTAGGTATCATTCAGTACTTGAGCGCCTCACTTCGCCATGCATACATGTAACGTTGGTTTGTGTACACCGGTACTGGCTGTAGGAGAAGCATCGACAGCCAGACCAAGACTTGAAAAGAGATGTAACCATGATATTTAGATATGAGCCATCGTCATCAAACTGAAGGAAAACGCCTGCTCTCAGCCGAAAAAAGCTTCATGGAGCACGGTTTGACCTGTGACATTGATTCTGCTTCCGTAAAGAGTGTCCTGGAATCTAGATTCACAAGCTTGAACCCTTGATCATGATTTGAAACGTCCCGTCTAACTCTGTACATTTTCACACACTTGGCCTTAAAATATGTCTTGATATTATTTCTTCCCTTCTATTTATGCTCATGTAGCGATAGTCTTTTCAGTCGTCAGGTGTCCCACTGTTTCCAAGCTAACTAAGCCCCTCGTTGAAAATAAGACTCCGTCAACGGCACCAGACTCTGACGGAGACCAACAGAATGCCGCCCAAACTTCCGAAATAAATCCAGCGACCGCACAAACCGTAGCTTCGTCTAGGGCCAAGGCCTTTCTCAACCGATAGCCATTCCCCTTCCTGCCCTTCGTATCAAGGCTGTCGACCCTTTTCCTCCAGAGGAGCGATCACAATGGTGGCGGGTACCTCCTCGTCTGCTGTGGTCGTCTCTCGTGGCTTTCTCTTGAATAACCTGCCAACAGGAGCAAATGCCCTTCCAAGAAATCTGTAGACCAGGACGAAAGGCTTCCCGAGAAAGACCGCCACCTTTTCGAACCAGACATCAGGGAAAATGCGAACCAACACACCCCAGGGCAAAGACATGAGAGCGATCACGATGGAGATCGCCCACTGAGTTCCGTCGAGGCCACCTTCCTTGATCTCAAAGACACGCCCACCAATGAATACGATTCCGACTTGCAGACCGACCATCAAGAGATTGATAAAGATGAAGAACTGGTTGCGGTGGACACCCTCCAGAACGTTGAACTTGTTATCCAGTCGTCGGTTGTTGAATTCATTGAAGATTTGCATCCAAACAAATGTGTTGAAAATCACCGTATCGAGCTGCAGCATTTGGTCCTCGCTGTTTCGGTCATAGTTGAGAATCTCAGGGCCGGCAAAGTAAAGCGTGAGTGTGATGATGAGTTGGAAAATGGCTTGACCAATGATCATCTTCCACATCTGGAGCAGGTTGTTAGCTATGCTTCCAGATATGAACAGCAGGGATGCACTTACGTTGATTGTAATCAGTGGAGCGTCCTTCCTTTGAGGTGGCCGGTCTAGAATCTTGTCTGTCGGGGGGTCCGTCGCAAGTGCGAGCGCGGCAAAGGTGTCCATGATGAGATTGACCCAAAGCAGTTGAACAGCCTTCAGCACCGGCTCCATGTGAGGATCATACATGGCGGTGATGAACGCCAGCATTACAGCAGTAATGTTGACGGTAATTTGGAACTATACGACAGCCCAGTCAGTAACCTATAGTGCTGATGCAAAGTTGAGAAGAAAGTGACAGCTCGATGGCTGATCCCCTCAAGGGCACAGAGACTTACCTGAAGGAACTTTTGGACAGCGTCATTAACTGCACGACCCCACTTGAGTGCAGTCACAATCGATGCAAAGTTATCGTCCATGAGCACAATCGCAGAAGCCTCCTTGGCAACTTCGGTACCTGAAATGCCCATAGAAAAGCCAACATCTGCAGCCTTGAGAGCTGGAGCGTCGTTCGTGCCATCACCCGTAACAGCGACCGTTTCCCCGAGGGCCTTCAATCTTGTCACGAGAATGCGCTTGTCCTCAGGAGACGAACGAGCCAACACCTGTAGCTTTGGAAGGATGTTGTTCATATCCTCGTCGGAAAGCTTCCTGAAAGCCGGTCCTTCCATAATCACTCCTTGGGATCCCGTGAAGATACCGCACTGGGTCGCGATGGCTTCAGCAGTGACGATGTTGTCGCCAGTAACCATGCGAACAGTGACGCCAGCATGTTGCGCAAGTCTAACCGCCTCAGGGACACCTGCTCGGACTGGGTCTTGAATTCCGACAATGCCCAGGAACACCAGGTCAGAAGGTGTCAGCAGAGACTCGAGCTTGACGTGCCCATCCTCTGAAGGCATGTTTGCAGGCGGCCACTGGGGGTAATCCTTGTACACGATGCCAATAGTGCGGAGGGAGCGGCGGGCGTATTCATTGATGGTCGATTCCAGCGACTGTCGCTCCGTGACTGTCATGGCATCCTCGGCCAGCGTCTCCAGATCAGTCTTGGAGACACAGTACCCAAGAAGAATCTCGGAGGCACCCTTGACCAGTACACGATATCCCTTGGAAGTGTCGGGAAGCTTGATCACCGCAGCCATACACTTCCTTCCAGAGTCAAAGGGAAGCATCTGCACAACCTGTTCATTGGCACGGGCCTCAGCAAGCGATTGCAGACCGAGGTGGTCCTTCGCCAGTTGAAGGAGGGCGGTCTCGGTCTTGGATCCGATGAAAGTTGCTTGGCCATCCTCTTGACCCTCGAACGCCGTGGAGTTCACCGCAACAGATTGAACGATGAGTTCCTTGGTCGCCGTGGGCAGGCCCGCGGCCCAGGCAGTAACGTGAGGTGTTCCTGAGGTCTTCTCGTTCTCGGACTGGGCAAAAGCCGTGAAGCTGCTGGTTGAAAAGGTGCCGGCCACAACCGTCATCTTGTTGGTCGTCTGTCTCCTCGTCAGCTGCTGGTTGATTGACGTAACCTCACGGTGGATGATCCTACCAAAGTGCCTGTCTTATCCGAACAGATTGTTGTCGCATTACCCATGGTTTCACATGATCGAAGAACACGAACGAGATTATTCTCCTTGAGCAGCTTCGTAGTCGCGAATGCGAGGGCCAGGGTGACAGCCAGTGGCAGACCTTCAGGTACTGCTACAGCAATGATTGCAATAGCAACTACAAGCAGATCCATGAAAGTCGATGCCTTTTCTGCTGGTGGTCTGTGATCTCCGGGAAGACTGGCGACGAATCTGAACAGCAGAATGAAGAACATCAGAGCCGATGCGCCTCCGCCGAGCTTGGCGATAGCGATGGCAAGTCGTTCAAGCTTCTTTTGGAGAGGCGTAGCTTCGATATCGTAGCGTACTGACATCATGATCTTGCCAAAGCTGCTGTGGACACCGATGGAAGTGCAAAGGTAAGTTCCCATGCCTAAAATCCGTGAGCAAAACCTCGATAAAGAATGGAGAATCGGCGACGTACCTTCGAGGACCTTGGATCCTGAGATGATAAAGGGGTCCAGGTCATCATGATTGTTGTGTTTCGAGTCCAGGTACTTCATGACTTGGTCGCCAGCAGTCTTCTTGAGAACGTCGGACTCACCAGTAGCCGAAGACTCGTCGCACTTCACTTCGTGGCCTTCAATCAGGATGCCATCGGCAGGAACCATATCACCAGGCTCCAAATGGAGCACCTCCCCAACAAGTATCTCGTTGACATTGATCATGACTGATCTTCCGGAACGAATGACCTTGACTTGACGGTCATCCTTCTTGGTATTCAGCCTGACAAATGCCTTCTCTTTCTGCCAGTCGTTGTGGGATCCAACGAGGACGACGATGATGACCGCAGCGCAGATGGCGACACCTTCAACCCAGTCGACGGAAGCAGGTGCGCCGGCAGGTCTTTCCACGCCGAGGGTCTCGTACAATCCGAGTGCTAGAGAGATAATTCCGGCAACGGTCAAGAGAATGAGTACCGTTTCGTTAAAGGCAATCCACATCAGCTTCCATATCGACTTGGGCTTCTTTGGGGGGAGCACGTTGCGCCCGTACACGCGAGTACGATCAACGAAAGGTGCTCCAGAAGACGGCACATGCTTCTCGGTCGATGGCGAAGCCGGTTTGCCAAAGTTGTGGCTGTCAACTGCCTCATTGAAGCTAATTCTGGACCTGACGCCTGCTTCGTCGACGCTAAGACCGCTCCGCACGTCGGTTTGGACGCCGCGAGCGATGCCCCGCAGCCCGCCGAGAGCTCTGAATGCTGAAAGCGACTTGGGGTTCAGCAATTTGTTTAGTTGACCAGGGGAAAAGGCAAACGGATTATTGTCCACGTGAAAGTCACGTTCCGTGCCGGGATCGGGACTCAGAGACGACTCAACGTCCTCAAGGTCGAGGCTTGCACCAGCAGTACTGGGAGCAGCGGTTGTGCCGGACGGCGTGAGAAACGGGTTGGACCCGTCCGGAGCAATGGTGTCGGCATTACTTGTGGCCCGCGAACGGGAGTCCGCATGTGGGGGGTTGGGGCTGAGAAACTTGCCAGCCATCATGAAGGGGTGTCATGTATGGCCCGGTAGAAAAAGAGAAAGTGTTGTCGAGCTCGAAAGCAAGGCGTGCCGAATAAGCGGCGCCCAGAGAATATGAATACTCTTTCGACGGCAGCTTTCGCCGGGCTACCTCCTCCAAGCTTGACCATTCAACCTCAACTTCCTCATAGCTCTCCACTTTCCGACAGAGCGGCAAAAGCAAAAGATCTTGGACCCCGGCCAACCAGCACTGCCACACTCCAAGAGACACATTACTGACGAATCGATATTCTTGGTCCCATCTGATAAGCCCGGATTAGGTAGATTGGGGCCGGGACGCGTCCTGACAAGCTTAAACAAGTAGGCATAGCACCGTGTGTGTGGAGAGATGACCCTCCGGAATGCGGCCCAGATCAGCCTCAGAAACCAACGGACAGCACATGATGCAGGCTTGGCAGTGTAGAAGAGCGTTCACAAGAGCTCTGGTTGATAATCAAGAGGAGCTAGAGGTGTGAAGCTTGAAGAAATTGGGAAGGAGGAGGCGAGAAACAGGAGGAGTAGCTGGCGATTGGCAGAAACCTTAGCAGAGACAGGGGGTGAATGAGGGATTTTTAAGCAAAGAATAAGCGAGATGATGGCAGGATCAGACGGGTTTGCGCGAGGAGGAGAAGGTTTAGCCGTACACGAACAGGCAAGAGTCTAGATAGCACGGGTTTTTCTTCTGTTCTTCACATTGAAAACAAGCCAAGAGTCGGGGGAAAAGAGGGGTTTCAAATCCTATTTGGCGACCGGCAAACAAAAAAGTTCTCCGATGTGTCGTTGGCGACATAACAGGAGCTTCAATGGAAGGTCAGGCAGAGCACGTGTGCGGTCGATACGACCTCGCCAACTCTTTCCCTGTCACCTCACCTCGCGAGATCCTGCTTGTAGTCCCTTGGGATGGGGGTAACCCCACCCGATTAGCAAGTGTTTTCTGCTTTCTTTTGGCTGCTCAGCGGCTTTCGGGCGGAGTAACCTCATGTTCATCATCCTCCGCATCGGTTCCCGCGCGCGCTTTGACTCGGGCGGGTTCATGTTACAAAGCTGTTGAAATGCGTGGCACTTTGTTTTTTGTCTTGAAAGCTGTCGTTCTCGCCGGACAATCTCTCTCATGCTTGCATGTTATGATGAAATGCAATGAGCATTGTCAAGACAGAGTGATCGCATTGAAAATGGTCCTCTTACATGCACAGCCCGGCCAAGAGTCTCGAAGAGCCTCACAGTGATACAGAGTCTGGGCTTTGCGCGGAAAACTGATGTATCTTCACAGAGCCCGAGACCGGTCAGGCGCCGAGCCGAAAGCCCCTCTTCTGCTGATCACACCTGCTGCTGCATCGCAATGGAGGGCCAAGAGTTTGCTTGATCCATGGCCTCACCATGTCGATTTCGAATCTGGCGTCAATTCTCAGCTCGCAAATGTTACCATTGAGTTGGTGCTACGTACTCTGAGCTCGGAAGCCACTGTAGCCGAAGAGAGAGACCCAGATACCCGGCCGGCAGTACGGATAATTACTGGCACAAATTGGTGAGCGCTTACGCTTACGCTCTACGCCGGCGGTAGGTTGCAATCTAGCACGTAGGGAAATTTGACCCTGCAATTGACTCGCGCGCTCGCCTACCCTCCGGCGTGCAACTTTGACCGCCAATTCACCAGGCAGTATCCCGGATGGCGTCAGATTGCATTTCAACATTGGCAAAATAGGTAGACTGCGGTACTCGTCATCTCGACTGCGGCTCTTTGTCTTCAGGATAATCTGCCGTCCATCACCAGTGAACTTTAGCGATCTTGGATTTTGTTTGAGAGTTCCATCTTCCAAACCACTCCCTCATCGTAATGTATCCACATTCACAATGGCGCAGGATCTTTTACTCCCAGCCTTCAGGTATCCAATTTCAAGCAACCAACGCGTGAAGTAATATCCCACTCGGCAGTAGTATTGCAACGGCGCTTGCGGAATCCTTGCCTAGTTTCTACTAAGAAGAAGCCAGACTCTAATGCTTCAACTGTTCAGTAGTGTTAATGGTTCTACAGAACTGATAGCAAAGCGAACATCTGTCAATGACACGATGTTGAGCAAGTTTTGGCCGCTGCGTGACTAGTTGCTTGACGGAGTATGAACACCATTACAGCTATTCAAAATAGCCTATGTTGCTCATAGATGTAGCGCATAATTGTCATTACGTGCATACTTCTGGTTCTGGACAAGACTGAAGATATAGTACGAGTGTACGAGCAAAGGCAGTCGATTGATGAACGTTAATAGATTACTAGAAAGACGACCTGTGTAGGGGTGCAGCCGAGTTCATTTTGCAGACGAGTTGAAATACATATTGCACCGGCACCGGATAAGGTAATTGTTAAGAGCCTCAACAGTCACCAGCTAGACTTAACACCAGGTGCTCTGGATTCAGATATATCCGGAAACGTTTCATCGATGAGTTTGTTGGCGGAATTTTGAGTCAACAACATTCATTTCGCAATCGAAATTATTTAGGTAGAGGCGATTTCGCAATTTAATTATGAGGAGGGTGCTGGCAATCGCCACTTCTTGGGTCCCATGCTTCGAAGCTGGTAAGTCCCTCCCTGTCAAGATCAAAACTTTCCGTAGACGACCAAATACTGACTGACACATTATCCTGTCTTTCAAGAACCATGGATTCTCCTAACAATAATGTCGCACTCGTTTTCAGGGCTAGTGGGATCTCCAGATGGACCGTCGCAAATAATCTCTTCTACGGAAGTGCCGTTAATATCGTTGGAAAGAAGATGGGGTTCCAACTGACGCTTTCAACGTGAAAACTCTGGTATGGGACGAACGCCTTCAACTCTCATACCACTTCGCGCAAGGGCGCCAGCAAACATCAGAATGTGTGGAACTGGTACGACATGGTATCGGCTTACGGCAGCAGAGGCATCGCCAAATCATATGACAGACTACCAGCACTCTTGGGACTCGCCATTGTGATGGAGAAATACACTTGACGGCGTGTCGAATTATGGTGAAATCGCCCACATTATGGGTTACTCTTGAGACGAAGTGGGAAGTGGCGTGAACCTCAATCGGATGGCTTCCGCGCTCCAATTTGGAGCTGGGTGTCTTTGGAAAGAGCTGTCATAATGCCCGAGGTCGCGAGGATTTTGCCCTCGGGAAATAAGATGGAGATTGTGGTGAAGGTCATTCGAGCAGAGACAATGCCACTCGGCCGAGACCTGAGGAGCATGTTGAAATTGGGACACCTGCAATTGACTGGGAAACGGAGGACTCATCTAAGAAGGGACCCAGGGGTTTCGGGTTATCAGGCGTTTTCGACCTAGCTTAAAGAAGTACATGTAGCCATTGATTTCCTGTAAGAAGAGGGAGAAAGTGTCGGATTAGCAGTGTTTGACAAAGATTACCATGGGAACGATAACCCTCCCTATCATTTGCAGGCAGCGAGAAGGGCGAAAGAGCCCGTTCGTTGGTAGGGTCTACTACTAGAGTCGATGGACCGACCACAAAAGTTTCGCCATGTTGTACTCTTGCGCACAGAAGGATATCCAAGCAAAGGCTGGTTCACACACGTCGAGGAAGATGCGATCCTGATTCTCTGAGTGACTAGCTCGGCCTACATGCTGGCGGGGATCATATGTAGCCATACTACAGTGAATTGTCAGAAATTTCGTCACAGATTAGTCAAGAGGTGGACAACAAATGTCGTTGGTTATAATCAGGTACCATGCGTACCGCTGGTCACAGCATAAATCATTGTTCCAAACTCATCTAGGTCCTCTAGCCACGCATCAACTCTAGTTCGCCTTTGAAAGACTTCGATTTCGCCAAAATCTTCAGGCATAGGCCAAAGTTCGTCAATTTGTAGCCAACTCTCTGGCCATTCCGCTTCTTGAAGATCATATCTGCCCTCCCAGTCCTGCCGCACCCGAGTCTCCCACAAGGCTTTACACGCCGGCGCCAGTAACCCGCGTAACTCAGTGGCAAGGTGGGTAGGCAGACCGTCGTGTGTCAATAGGGCGCTGTCGAAGAGACACATCGTGAAGAGCGTTCTCCGCTTAGCTTCGGCGGCAATCCAGCACTCCCATCTGGGACGAATATCATCCTCCTCAGAAACGCACATGAGGCCCTTTTTCGCTACTGCACACGCGAGCTCCTGTGTGTTCATCATGGCTTCGCTGAGGAATGAATCATAGCTTCTCCCGAATTTGAAAAAGATGACCATGGCGTAGATGAGGTGTGCCTGGAATGCCGCAAGTAGGGTCATGTCATCGTCGGTCGTGTGTTGTCCTAAAAGCCTTGCCATCTCTACCTTGATTCTGTCGGCTGCGACCTCAGTTGCCCCCACATCAGGCTTGTTGCATTCATGAATGACAGAAAAGCAAGTTGATAATGGATGGCTTGATGGCAGAGTTACTTGAGACCAGTGGACAAAGGGAGGGACCTTGCAGCCGCGGATAGAAGAGTTGGCGTAAGATTCTAGAATCCTATGGATGAAGGTCGATATGCTCGGTGTGTAGTTCTTTGCCTTTTGTCCTGGCATGGGGACGAAATTGTTCAGCCATCGATTCGCTATGTCATCAGCATTGATGGTGCAAATGAGTTCTAAGTCCGAGAAGTCGAACAGATTTGGCTGATGGATGCCTGACTGAGGATTCGTCCAGGAGAAAATGCTCGTCTGGCCTGACGGGACCATTTGAGAGGGTGTGAGCACACCGTTCGTTTCCTCAGTCGCGGATGTTATGGCTGCGCGGTTCGCATCAACGTCGGCCTCAGTATACGAACCAGCAGCACCCGGCGCGGATGAAGGGATCATCTGAGTCTGGGGATAGAGACATGGGAGGCTCCGCTGTTGGCACCGGGAACACGCTACAGCTTTCCGGTCGCATTTGACTTTGGCGCTCGCGCATGACTGGCATGCCTTTTGTCGCGAGGTTGAGTACCTGGTGGGCCGCATCGCTAAGCTACCAGTTGCTTTATTTCTTTTTGGAGAATCTGACCATCTTGGACCCGGTGGGCAGAGCCGGTTTCGCAGTGGGGGCCTGTCTAAGTGAGGTGAAGTTGCATCGAATAAACCGTGAATCTGCAATGGAAACGAATTTCCCCGCAAGTTCAAGCGAGGCGGGGAAGATGGGGTTTACGTAATAGAGAACTAGGTATACCGTTGTGTACAGTGTACACGTGTAGTAGTTGGTCAGAAGCTTAAGGTTGGCGTCGGAACAATATTATGGTGAGAAGAACGGAATTAGCAGAAGTAATACTTGGTTCTGGGTGTGATTTGAACACACGACCTGCAGGACCGCGGGAATGGTGCCTGCCGCTTTCCCTGCTGAGCTACCAGAACACAGAATTGGCCATACTTACGGCAGAAGATTAAGCGGGTGGCTTCTTGTAGTCTGTTGGAAGGATTTGGCACGGTTCCTAACAATGAAGGGGCACAGGTCAATAAGGAAGAATATTCGCCGCATGTTTGACAGAAATTCGTTGTCATTAGAACAGTTAATCACATAGTTATCGTAATGCTAGCAGCAACTTTTACCACATCTTTTCCCAAGTTCTCCTGACGAAAGACATCTCAGCCAATCTCGCCCTCTCCACCTCCTCGATGCCACCCTCCTCCCAGTGACGACACTCGGCATCAACCTCAGCCTTTCCGCTGATAAGATCAGCCTCCTTGGGTTGGACGAACCTGGTTCTCTTCAGAACCTTCCAAATGACAAAGGTGAGAACACCAAAGGCGAGACCAAAGTAGGAGGTGATGAAGCCTCGCACGCTGAAGGGGTAGAAATTGTCGAAACCGACAAAGATGAGGGCCAGGATGCCCAAGAGCAGCGCCAGGCCAGGGAAGTAAGGCGTCCAGGGAGCGAGATAGGGAAGTGTCTCGGGAGGGAAGTTCTGGGCGACTCGGGCGCGGTAGAAGCCCATGTAGGTGATGAGCATAAAGGTATAGGTCATGATCAAGGCGGTCGTGGTCAGGTCGACGAACCAGAAGAAGACGTCGACGGCGCTGTTGGAAGAGACCAGGAAGGTGATACAGGAGATGGCGGTGACGACGAGGACAGAATAGATGGGGACGCCGGCCTTGGTGCACTTCAGCAGGAATCTGGGGGCCTGGCCGTCGCGAGCAAGACCATAGAGGGTGCGGGAAGTCGCATAGAGGTAAGCGTTACCGCAAGACCTTTGAAAGATTGTTAGCAGGGGACGTAGTTGAATGTATGAGAAGGAGCTGGAAGATGACTCACCATCCAGAGAGCAAAATGAAAGCATTAATGATATCAGGAAGAGCCTTAATGTGGAGGTTCTTGATACCGACAACCCAAGGGGAAGCGCCAGCTCCAGGCTCACCATTCTCGATGGCGCCCAGCAAGCCGGGATCGCGCGAGCTGCAGATGATGCCGACGCACAGGACACCGACAACGTAGAAACCGACCAGGCGGTAGAAGATGAGCTTGGCGACGCGGGGGATGGTGCGGCGGGGGTTCTGGATCTCACCAGCGGCGAGGGCGATCATGTCGGGGCCGGCAATGGTGAAGGCGGCGTAGATGACGACCTTCCAGAATCCCAGAAACCTTCCTGTCGACCCGTCGGTGAAGTATGCGTGGATGTAGTTGCCATCGCCCCAGTTGCGGAATCCGTAGGCGTAGTTTGCGGGGTTGCCGCCGGACATGGTGACGAGAGTGATGAGACACAGGCCGATGAGCAGGATGACCTTTGTCGAAGCCATGATGAACTCGGATTCTCCGTAGTACTTGACAGCAATCAAGTTGACCGCCACGCACGAAACAATGGCCACGGCAATCCAGGCAGCTGGGTTGATGTCCGCGTTCCAGTATTGGATGACCGTTGCGACAGCGCTATATTCCGTACAGACCAACATGAGACCGGCGAAGAAGTACGTCCATCCCATGGCGAAACCGAGGGCAGGGTCAACAAAGCGAGAGGCGAGTTCGAAAATGGTGCCGCGAATGGGCAGGTAGGCGCACATTTCGGCGACAGAGAGGTTAAGCGGCCAGATGAAGAGGAGACCCCAGAAAGCGTAACCGAGAACGAGGGAGAGAGGGCCGGCCTTGGACAAGACACCACCAATACCGACCTGAAAAAAACAACATAAGTATTAGCATTTCCTGATTGTGGCACTGTAAAAAAATAAAATAAAATAAGCAGCACCAAAGACCGCGAGAGAACCTACCCAGAGACCGGTACCAATGGAACCTCCAATGGCCATGAGCTGGACATGGCGAGGGCTCAGACCACGCTGAGTCTCACCGTATTGTTGAGCAACGGCAGCCGCGGTTCCGGACATGACCGTCCCGAGCTTGTTGCTGTTGGTGCTGTCGGCGCGGCTGAGGCCGACAGTCTTTTCATCCATCCCAGAAGCCATGTTGGGCGGGCAATGGTAGAAGAGATCTTTGTTTGGTGATCCGGCGTCCGACTGTCTAAAAACGCAACTCGTCCAAGTTTGGCTGAGTGAGGTCGGGGAGCACCACTCTCAAAGACGCCGAGCAGATCGAATGGGATACGACTTAAACACGAGTGGTCAACCCAGACGGGCTTGGAGGGCATGTATTCTATATAGATGAGTTCGTTGCATGCCCCTGGCCCGACGCTACCATGCGTCCGGCGGCCCCCCTTTCCCTCCCTGGTTAGCTTGCCAACCTTCATCTGACGTCTCCCGGTTCCTGGGAGAAACAAGCCAGTACGCCATATTACCACTGGGTATGTGTGTATGTGACTTACTCGGGTCATGATAGACAAGACCAACGGATGGTGCCCCCGTCTAGTAGGGAGACCCGCAGAGATAAGCACAGCGCGCCGGGGATGGGTGGCAGCTTGCTGGGGCGATCAAAGTGTGGATATGGGCGCGCGGGGGGGCGCTCGAGGAGCGAGGAAGGATCTCTGCTGGGGGGGGCAACATCAGAGCGGACAATACCGACGATAACGGAGAGACAGTCGTCTCGTCGAGAGCATCTAACGCGCTCCATCCCAATGAAGATGCCCCCATTCCCACGTTTTGATTAGCCCTCGAGGGCCCACTGACGTACACATCCGAATTCCGCGCCTGGCTGACATCGCAGCAACGGGCCAACGGCAGGCCACGAGATGAGAATCACCTCAAGCTTTGGGGTAAGACGAAGAAGCTGCCGACGATAGCCACTGATCGAAAAGAGGAGACGCGGTGGAACTGGAACAAGTGGTAGAACCAGGGGGGGCCAGAAAAATCCCCGGCAGTCGTCGATTGGGCGGCCCACGTATCAAGCATTTGCTGAGACTTTTTGCTCCTTCAAGCTCCCAATTGGCATCGAGCTGACGTGCCTCGACTTGTCTGCAAAACCCCTCCAAGGCCCTCAAGCCTCAGGCCTTTGGCCTGTAGCCAACTCATTGCCTAGTGTCTTGGCAATGGGTCGAGCGATTTCCGACGTCGGACTCGGCCATAGGATCAGGGAAGAAAGACCCCTCCATTATCCGATAGATGTCGAGTTGATGGTTGGCTGAAGACTGAAAAAGACCGAAAGGAACCCTTGGAGAAGCGCGGGTGAGAGGCGAAAACCTGGGGCTTAGCTCCAATTTCTGCCGACAAACGACCGCGTGCCGTATCCGTGCTGCAGTGTGCCGGCGGCCACGCCGAAACGGTGTGAAGCTCCCTCGAGGAACGCGGCAGCAGAGCTTTGCTTAGCTCCGGGTTGGCATGTCCATGTCATATTCCGCACCTTTCCCGTCAACGAGGAGAGCATGGCGGGATGATTTGCGGTGTCATTGCAGGAGAAGCTGCATAGAAAGCGGGTAGAAGCCCGACCAGACCAGCTGCAGGCCCAATAATGAACGCAGCGCGGTCTGGCGTCGTCAACCACGGATGGCGGGATTGTTCAGGGACTGACTCGCCGGCCTGCAGAGTGCAGACTGCAGGATTCGGAATGCCGTACCTGGCTTGTTCCTAGGGCGCGCATTGTCTTGGCTTTCAACACTCTCGATCAGCTAGAACGCGGCTTTCAAGACGAGACAGACTGACAGAGACCTGATAGAAATCATATGACAGTGGAGTGGTGCCAGGCACTAACGGATCCCCGTCTCGTCATCCGGGGAAATTCACTATCACCGCGCGAACCCTCTTTTTTGAATGTGTTTTATTACGTACATTTGGTTGTATTATATGGGGCCATGCGCCCAAGATAGGATCCAGTCCGAGAGGGGCCGCCGCGCTCGACGGCTGACCGATCAAAACCAGCTTGGCTCAAGAGGAAGATAGTGACAGGCTGGTATGCCGTTTGCAAAATAGATGATCAAGACCGGGAGCAAAAAACACGGGGAAGCGGCGCGCTTGCGTGGGGTCTTTGAGATTCGGGACGAGGGTCCTGTGTGTGGGATGTTCTCACCGAGACGATTGACAAGTGCAGCCAGCAAGTACATGTATTAAAACATTACAACGGTAATCTTGACTCCGGGCTGAATATGCTTCGTTATATGTTCCTTTGCATTCCAAGAACGCGCGTTTGACAACCTGGCAGGCAGGCGGATATAATCGGATCGTCCAAAGCGCATTCCCGGCTGTAAGGTCGACACTGCGGCCGGCGCAGAGACAGGCCCGGTCCCAAACTCTCGGGGCACCGCCATCTGAAAGTGAGAGAGATTAGGAGAGGAAAAGAGGTGGTGTGAGCCGGGAACCCGTTCCGGTTCCCCTCGAGTGCAAGAACCGGCTACGTGCCGGCCACCACTCTGCAGCACCGCCGCCCCCGTTGATCAATATTCAAAGTCGTCATTCACGATTCACTTCTCTCACTTACAGTCCGTAGACGATACGGATAGATGCGATTGCATTCAAAATTCAATGGGGTAAGATGAGAAAAAATATCGGGTCTTCCCGGCGGACCCTGTCAGGCCCATGAAAATGCATGAAATCTCGCAAAGTTTCGACTACCCATCGTTGCTCAATCGCGGTCCGTACTAGATGGACACTAACAGGCCTCATTCCTCGAATTCGAACGCCTCCGTCATCTACGGATACGCGCGTTATATGTGCTTTCTAGCGTCACGTTGAAGGGGCGGCCTTCCCATCCTCTGTCTCTGTCTCTCTGTCTCCGTTTCTCTCTCTAACATCTCCCCCTCTTAACCCCTCTCATCCGTCGACAAGTTGCCTGATTGCACAGGGTATCACGGTAAGAAAAAAAACAGCAATCTAGACTTCCGCCGCGGTGACCGTGACTGTGATGGTCTCCTCGCTGCTCCCCTTGGAGGTCAGAGTCTCAACAACGGTCGCCGGTTCAGCATCATCCTCTTCCCCTTCATCCTCGACCTCTCTTCCCGACGAGTCTACCTGTCGCCGACCGCCGCGCCGCCATCGCCCCTTCAACCAACGCCGTCAGCTCTTGCTGCCATTATTGGCCACCGTCTTGGGTGGTCCCGCCGTCGCCCGGGGGGTGCGATCGCCGCTGCTCCGGGTGCCGCTGGTAGGAATGTAGAAATCATAGCGACTCGGGAAGAGGATGATGTTGGCCAGCCGCAGGAGTTCCGTCTCCGCTTCCGTCTTTGTCTTGTTTCGTATTCCCTCCTCGTCGTCAATATCCATGGCATCCGCGGCGGGGTTCGTCGAGATGACGCCGGCTGGTTCGACGTCGTAGGGCGCCAATCCCATTGCGCGGAGGCCGTCGACTCCGCCGTACTCCTCGACCTCCTTGGCACCGGGACGATCTTGATGTGAGGCTTCGCTGCCCAGTCCACCCAGAGTGTCAAAGTCCGGTCCCGGCTGGCCGGTCTGAAAGGCCTTCCTCTGGCGAGCCAGGAAAAGCGCATTCGTTTGCGTCAGGGGGCACACGGGAGTGTAGGTGAGGAGGGAGAGCTCGTTGGACTCGTTTTGCAACGACGGCGGGACGCCTAGCCTGGTGCCGCCTGTGATGATGGAGTAGGCCTGATCGCAATGCCATATAACGTAGTCACCGGCCTGCAAGCTGGGCAGGGAGACCAGGCTCCTGCGCAGATGCAGATGCGGGTGCCAGCGTTCCGTGAGACGCTGCGCATGGCCCGGAACGGCCCCGTGGATGATGGTGCTGGGCTCCGTATCGAGGGTCCAGTTGGACGCATCGAGATACGCAGCCCACTGGTCGGCCTTGCCACCGTCCGGCTGCTCTGGCGGTCCACGCTTCGGCGAGAAGAACGGCCGCAGGAGGAAGTAGGCGGCCACGAGCTTGGGCGACGGCAACACGCGCACCATGCCCTGCTCGACCTCGGTGAGCGCCAGGATGCCCTGGAACATGCGGAACACGCTGCAGGCACCCGCGCCGTTGTACAGATCCGTCGTGGCACCGACGCGGCCGGCCGGGTCCCAGGGGTCGTAGGACTCCCAGTCGCCGCGGAAGACGGCCTCGTAGGTGCCGCCGCGGCCGTAGCCGTCCGGTTCCCATCGTTCCAGGCTGCCGCTGTCGATTTGGGCAATGACAGTCGACGAGGCGGTGGTGCTGAGAGAGTCTGCGGCCGAGTTTCCGGTCGGCTGGCCGACGGCGCCGAGCTTGTCGTTGTGAATGCGCAGACGATCGGCGTAGCTCACGGGTGCGCGGGTGATGTGCACGTCGTCCGTCGATTCCCAAAAGGACATGGCAAACTTTTGCGCGCGCAACATGTTGGGATGCGCCCGGGCCCGTACTTGAACGGGCGTCCAGAAGAGATCGATACACGTCGGGTCGTGTAGCGCGGGAGGTTTGAACTCGCGGTTCTTGTCGAGATAGTCGTGAGTTTCGTGCACCCATTTCTGGGCATCGCTGGGCGGGACGACGCCGCGGATGACGGCCACGCCGTACCGGCGCAGCCTGTGCGCAAAGGCCTCGACGCGGACGGGGTCATTGATGTCGGTGAAGTTGATGGACGGGATCAGCTCGGAGCCGCGGGTCTGGATGTCGGCAATCTCGGTCCTCAGAGCGTTGATGAGACGGTACCAAGAAGCCTCGACGGCGGTCTCGTGACCGGTGATGAGCCGCTTCTTGACGCCGGCGAAGCGCGACGGCAGCGGGATGGGCTCGGCCCCGTAAAAGGAGACGACCGGGGGCTCCATACTTTTGGGGAAGACCTTGCGGCTTGCAGCGGCTGCAGCAGCGGCAGTGGACGAGCGCGTCGTCGCGGCGGAGGTGACAGCTGTGATGGCTGCAGACGAAGGGGGCGATGTGAGGAGGGCAGAGGTAGGGGAGACGGAGGTGGCCCGGGACACGGCGGTAGACGACGGCGGGGTCGTCTTAATAATTCTGGAAGAAGTCCTGCGGCCTCCTCCTGCTGGTTGTCCTCCTGATATCCCTCCTATTATTCCTCCCCCAATGCTCCCAACGCTTCCGCTGCTGCTGTTTGACCCCGTACGTGTACCTGAACCGAGCCCCCTGCGAGTCTTCTTGCCAAGCCGCGATTTGGGGGACTTGACGGAGGAAGAAGAGGAGGAGGGTGCAGCGGGAGCTGGTGTGGTGCTTCCTGAGCTTGTGTTGCTACTGGTTGTCTCGGTCAGGATCGCTGCTGTGTTCCCGGCGTCTCCAACTCCCCCAACTTCTCCTCCTCCACCTCCTTCTCCTCCCCCATCTCCATCTCCATCTCCATTTCCTCCTCCTTTCCCCCCCTCCTCATTTGCGGGGGGAGCCTCGGTGGGGCCAGCGGCCCAGCGGGCCAAGATCATCCGAGCTGCCGTCGCCCAGAGATCAAAGGGGGGAGGGGGTGGGTGGGGAAGAACCCGCGTTGACTCGCCCAGTAACTCGAGAGCGCGGCGTGGGCAGTGTGTATGGATGTACACACTCACACTGATACGGGCCTATGCGCGATTCCTGCAGCCAAAAGACGGCTTATGTACTGATACCAACGGTTTGCAACTGTACAAGTCCTTCCAGCAAAATGCCTCGTGGGACAAGTGAGCGGCTCTTCCACCGTCAGCCAACAGGTGCGCAGGTGCGTTTTCCGATAGATGACCACTGTGCTGCGCTTATGGCCCGGTCTTGTTTTCGGCCTGAGGAGAAGAATGACAGGTCAAGTGCTCAAGTGACTGGTGCATTTGTTGTTGAGATTCACGGAAGTGAAATCGAATATCGAATCCCGGCCGGCCGCTGTGGGAGTGAGGCTAAAAGTCGATCCAATCGTCGCCCCGAGGCTCCAAAAATGACAGAACGAACGCAATGCGTAAACCTGTTTCTCAATAGTCTCCGGTTTATATATCCCGAGATGTCTCGTGACGGCGTACACCACACCACAGTGTCGTAGACCTTCAACGGCTGTTATTCCCAAAGTGGTGGAAACGGGCAGTCCAGCCGAAGTAGTGTACCAGAGACCCGGACAGACAGCGGGCGGCGGCGCAGGAACAGAGCAGGTCTGTTCTAGTGTCGCTCGGAGGTTTTTATTGACAGCAGTTCCGAATCGAGAAAAGAATGGCACCTCGTGACCGTCCCAAAGGGGGTTGCGAATAGCGGCGGATGAAGACGGCCGAAGTGGTAAGAAGCGGCAGAGTTGGCTGTCTAACAAATGCCTCGCGAGAAATCGGGGAAGAAGAAGACTATGCAACAATGTGTCGATGTGGCTGAAATTGACAGAATCCCCTGAAAAAGCCTTTCCAAATCAAAGAAGCTCGCACAATGTGTGTTTTCTTGGGGCATCACGAAGACTTTATCATCGAGACCACGGCCCACAACACGACGCAGAATGTGTCCACAAATCCCATCCCCAGCGTTAGCGTGGCCACAGGAACACAGGATACAGGGCCGACAAGCTGGTCCGGCCGTTCTGGGCTTGGGATATGGAGGGGGGGAAGGGGGGGCATCTGCGACGAGATAGATTGCTCCAGTCATGTCCTCACAGGCTCACTTACACCAAGATTCAACCCTTCCGGATGAAAAGAAAGTAGAACGGGAGGGGGCGCCGCCGCGGGCCATACGGGCAGACTAAGCGCTCGTGGCCCCATCACGACCTCCACAACCTCCGTCTGCGCTGCCCGCCGGGCCGCGAACCCGCGTCACGGCTAATGTGCGGAATCTCACTCCGCGCGTGGGTTGGTCAGAGCCTGGAGCGGCCTCCTCCAAAAGTCCAGAGGAGTCTCCCCGGTCAGAGAGGCCGCTTCTTCCTTCGCCCGCATCCTTGTCACGGCCTGCTGCTCTGTCCAATCAACTCCCCAGTCTCAGGCATGCGTGCCATGGACGGAATCGTACAAGCCTGCTGTACGACGGATACAGACAGTGGGAGGTCCCGTAAAAGCCGCCCGCCCCCATGTTTGTGGGAAAGCCCGGGCGAGGAGCCGTTGTGACCAGTCGGCTTTGCCTTATTCTCCCTGGAAACATTTCTTTGACCATTTCTCAAATTCTCAAATCCTCTCCTTGTCTCTGTCTATCTACTCTGTCTATCTAGTAAGGTTGGTTACCAGGGCCAGAACACAGTCAGCCAGCCAGACCCTGCCCTTCGGCGCAAGATGCGCCGCAGCAGGAAAAGGTGTTGGGAGTTCCCCCAGCCTGAGTCGCGCGCTACATGCGACTTTATGCCAAAAGGAACAAGCATGTCGCAAAGTTGAGAACATGTGATGATGGACAGCAATTGTAAAACACTCGCAGCAAAGTTTTTTTTTTTTTCTTTTTGCTCTTTTCCCAACGTCTTTGCATTGATCATGGCCAAGCACTGATCTCCAAGTCGTGCGATTTTCCAGATGCGAACCTGACTAGCAGCTTTCACGTACTTCTGAGACGTGGACCCGAAGAGCCTGGCGAGGACCGAAACAACAGATTGCCGAGCACTGCCTACTTATTCCGTTACTCATGAACACTCGCAACGTTGCTGCAGGTTGTTGGGCCGAGCCGCTGACTAGCTGAAGATGACGAGTGACTCCAGACTACGGGGCAACGACGCCCGAGAGCTAACCATCTGGATTTTGGACTTGTTTGAAGGGGGTATGCCATCGGGACAGATGAGATGGACACTTACTACTATTAAGTAGGTATCATAGCGTAGCAGCAGCGAAAGCGAGACGAACGCCCGCGACCGATGGCCATATCAGCCTCCAATAGCGTGTTTATTTGACACCAGGCGGGCGGCCCAGACTGGGACGGTCGTGGGGTGGGAGAACCGACCTCCATCGAGATTTACCTTTGGCGCCAGGTTTCATTGCCAGTGTTTCGTGCGCGTCAACACACACCACCTGTTCGCTGCAGACGGTCCATCGGAACTGGATCAACCTCAACCAGCCCAGTCAGTAACCAAGCAGGGTGGTGGTGGTGGTGGCGGCTATTATTACTGGCAACCTGAATGCATCCCGCGAAAAGACTCCGTGGGCTAAGCACCACGCTGGCCTGCTGGCCCCCAAATGGCGGGCAAAACGCAGAAGCTCCGTCTACCCCGATTCCCCGAGACCCCCAGCCAGTCCTTGCGGGGGTATAAGCAGTCCTTCTTCCCAGCCGCCAACATGGCGGGCAAGGGTCTCCCGTTTGCCATCTCGCGTGGACTGGACTTTTGGTGCAAATCTCCGTCCATTGTAACGGCTACTGCCTGCTTGGTCATCCAGTAGCCGAGAGACCTGCCCGATCCACCAATCCGACTGGACTGGATGGTGGCATACGAGCCCTTGGGTCAGATGGTCCCGAGAAGAAAGTCCGCACACGGCACACGCCGCCGTTCAGTGGCACATTGCCCGCACTCTGCACGTCTTGACATGGAAAGAGGATCCGGCAATACGACGGACCACGGGCGACGACGACGAACGAAATGTCCTGAAACCCGATGATCCTCAAGGCTCTCTCGGCTGCGCGGAGCCGCGGGTTAGTAGAATACGACACTGCAACTTCTGCCCAACCACTCGCCGCGTGTTCTCACGACCTCAGCTTCCGGGGTAACGTACTTGAAATAAAACATTAGTCAAGGATTCAAACGAGCGAGCAGCATGAGACGCTGGTTCTCGGACTGGTCTCATCGCCGATCAGTTTGGATAAGGTGTCGCGAGAGGGTGCAATGGTGGGTGTATGGAAGTGTGTGCATGGAGCCTTCTACTGCACATGGTCCGTCCGATTTCTGTCACTGGAACTCATTCTTCGGCATGCTTCTGTCAGAGAATCTTCTTTCTTCTGCAGACTGCAGATTGTACAGCAGACTGTTGAAGCGGCGGCTCGGCCGAAACTCTTACTGCTGCAAACGCCGCCGACTTGGGCTCTGGGCTCTGGCAAGGATGGTGCCGACGGGCTCGTCATCTCCATTGTGGACAGACTTTCTGCCAGGCAAAACAACGTAGCACGGACAACGGACCGCCTCTCTCTCCCTCTCCCATTTATGCCAAGATTGACGATTTAAACTTTAGGCATGAACCTTATTGTAATCAGTCGGACGCAGTTTGCTACAGCCTACTCACACACGCAACTCGCTTTTTTTCATCTGTTCTTTCAACCAGACATACCCGTAGCATTCGCATCCCCTGCATATCCTCAAAAGTGTTTGCGATGAAGGCAGCCAAACTCGCTTGAACACCGCCGACTCCCGCGGCTGGGAACGGCAATCCAACGTTAGACGTCCTTCCTTCTCTCTCCACCATCTTCCGCCGTTGTTGATACGCCGTGGCGCCCGCCAGGGAGACCTGCGTAGAGTTACATACTCTGCAACTTGATAAGCAAGCCTAGAGAGTCCAGGGGCCACGACGCCGGGTTTCAGACGCCGGTTAGCACGTAGTTGAGAAACAAAATTAGCCCTACTCTACACTCCAATCTACATAGAGGTTTGCTGATCTTGGCCCGTTGAACTCTGCAATTAACTCGAATAAACTTTTTGTGATGCCTTCCCAAATCGTCGAAAGATTGTCACTGTCGACGACCGAACATGCCGCACAAATACACTTTTTTTTCTTCCCATCTTCTGCCCTACTCTATCTACCCGGGCCCAACGTGTCTATTCTCCACGCACCACCTGTCAACAGAACTCTCGAGACCTCCATACCTTCATATTAAGGGACCTGGTCTCCCAGTCCCATAACATTTTGTTTGCTTTTGTCATTCATCGGGTTGTTCTGGCAGCACACCGGCCGTCTTTATGTTTACATTGACACTTTGGTCTATTTTGCAATAATCGCGTCTGCTCACTACGAGTGTCTCTCTCTCTCTCTCTCTTTCTCTTTTTCTCTCTCGCTCACTCGCTCACTCTTTCTCCCTCTTTCTTTTTGTTGATCGTTTTGCCTCTCACAGACACAATGAGCCGCGTCAGTAGCCGATCAGGGGTCCGGCCGGCTTCGGCCGACCTCTCTGGCAGCATCTACCTCATCACCTCTGATGGAAAGACACTCAAGCTACCCATGGCGAGTAAATCGCCCAACGACCCTTTGAACTGGAGCTTGCCGAAGCGACTTCTCGCCATGGGCGTACTCATGCTATACTCTCTTGTTGCCATGCTGGAGACGCAAGCTGCCAGTCTGATGTACAAATCTCTCGCTATCGAATTCAATGGACAGGTAATTCCTTCTCTTCTGCCAAAAGGCGATACCTTTCAGAGACCATCGAAACAGCTGCTGACACTAGTTTCAGCAAGCCGATGAATATCCGTTGAATATTCTTGTTTCAACACCGAGCACACTATCCCTCGGTCTCGGGGCATTCCTCTGGATACCCCTGTCGGTAGCCATCGGGAGGCGGCCAGTCTTCTTGCTGGCTTCGTGCTGTCTGATACTCGCCACGGCTTTAGCTGCGAATGCCTCGGGTTACTACCAGCTCCTCGGGGCTTTGAGTTTGCAAGGGTTTTCCGCCGGATTAAGCCTGAGTGCGGTATGTACCGTTCTCTAACGTTTCCGCTTTATGCCAGCCACACTTGACTCACTTGCGTACTATAGTCGATTCTGATTGTCATTGACCTGACCTTCATTGACGAACGCCCAAATGTTCTGGGCATGTTCTGGAGTCTCGGGTGCGGCGTTGGCCTCGCGTCATTGCCCATCGTTCCAGCGCTCGCCACCTCCGGATGGAGAAGCTTCTACTCCGCCTGGCTTTTCCCCTGCCTTGCCGTGTTCATTTGCGTCTTCTTCTTCCTGCCCGAGACATACTTTGTCCGACCGGCCGTTGCCTATGACGGACACATCCTCGTTCAAGGTGGTGCGGAAAAGGTCAAGATTTACGACGACTGGGAAGAGCTGCCGGGCGGAAAAGTGAGTGAGGCAATCCAGGCCGAAGCCGTTCCCGAGACGGTCTGGCAAGGCATGGTACGACGATGGGGAGTGCGCAGGAGCGGTGCAGGGTTCAGGGAGATGTGGACGTGCTATATGCAGACGTTGCTCTGCGCGTGCAACCCCCTCGTTTTCTGGGTCGCAATCCTTAACGCTCTCAACTTTGGCGCAATGATTTTCATTGGCGAAACGTATGCGGTGGTCATGTCCCAGCCGCCGTACAACCTTCCCGAGCGTGTCATCTCCATGGTCAACCCTGTCTCGGCGATTGGTTCCTTCCTGGCCTGGCCCGCGTCAACAATCCTGACATCGCGGGTTGCCCGCCGCATGACACTCCGCAACGGTGGAATCCGAGATGCGGAACACTACCTCGTTGCCTTTCTCCCCGCCGTCCTGGCTGGTGCGGGCAGCGTCTTTCTGTACGGCCTCACCGTGCACTACAAATGGAGCTTCATCTGGATCTTCGTCTCCTATCTCCTCAGTTCATTCAGCGGGGTTGCGTACGGCATCGCCTCGACGCTCTGGGTCACGGAAGCGTTCCCTCGGTGGGCGGCGCCAGCCATGATCATCGTCGGCGGAGCGGGGTACATGTTGAGCTTTGCAACCAGCTCCGCTGTTACCCCGTGGCTCAGGTCACAGGGATATCTGGGTGCCAACTTCGAATTGGGCGCCATTCTCCTCGTCGTGGGAGGTATTGCTGTGCCCCTTGCTTTCTGGGGAAAGAGTTTGCGACAGTACATCGATGGTCGATGGGGTGTTTCGGAGGCTGGGGCTTTGCGTCCACAATAAGTAAACGCGGCAAACAGAACGTGTGGGGAGTGTGTGCAGTCATGCATGGCCCAGACAGTGTCATGAGAGAGGTATTATTACAGCGGTGCTGAGATCCTATTTCCTTGGTTCGCGTAGCTCATCAACGAGCAAAACCCGATCGTCAATGATAATCATAGTTGCAAAGACCAGATGCAGACAAAATCCCTGCCAATGGTGATATTCTGATGTGTATATAACTTGAGACACTGGTAAAGCTCAAGCGAGTCCAAGATCCTTTTCAGGGAAAGTATGGTGATCAATCGTGGAGAGGAGCCCAATTGGAGTCCATTCCCCGCCGAGGAGATTTTGCTCCATGGCGAAATATGCATCTGCCCGAATTTGAGACATATCGACAGACGATTTGAGTGATGCTGGTGAAATGTGCGAAATCGGAGACTCTTGGACGTCCTGGGGTTCCTCACTCTGATAGGAGAAGCTGTGTTGCTCCCATGTGCGGGTCCGTGTCTCGATGGACTCGGGGTTGCCATCGAACCCTTGAGGAAACGTCTCTCCGACCTCAACGATGGAAGATTCGGATGTATTGGTTTGGTGACTGTGCGAGGAATGTAACGTCGGGATGTGAGCCTCACTCGCTGGCAATTGACTGCCTTCAAGGCTTTCGGACAGCGGTTGCTGGAGGATCCTCAAACTCTCGGCGAGTTTTCCCATCTCTATGTCGTGATCAAAGACATTGCCGGAGCAGAAATCGCCAAAGAGGGACCGTATGCTAGTGTTGTTCCTGAGCCAGTCGGCAGGGTTTACTGTGCAAGGCCATACATCTTTTGGACGAAATATCTGAACCAGGTCGCATAGCTCGCGGTAGGACGAGTGTCGAGAGTAAGGGAATGTGATGATTCTCGGCAAATCTCCACTTGGACCGTCCGTCGTTTGTTCAAGAGTTTGTGTGGTTTGGTGTTCGAGGTATTTCCTCCGACCAACTGCTTGAAATGCATCTGTGATGGCCGCTTCATTCTTCTCTCCAAAGGACGTAATGTCAAGGTCAAGGGAAAGGCTCCGCCCAGCTTTGGCGCCGGTCTCGAGAAACTCCAAGAGACGAAGCTTTGCGTCAGCGGATATATCCGCAACGTCAATGAGCTTCGACACTGCCTCAATGTCTTCTGTTGACAGAGGGTCGAGCTCGGCGTCACGTTCAAGGTCATCCCCGCCGCCGCCAACGCCGACTTCGGCAATATCGATACCACCTCGAAGGTGTGCAACAACAGGCTGAATAGACACCACTTTGGAACTTTTGACAACGGTGCAGAAGTTTCCCCTCTCGCAGCTGTGAAGTCGAGCGTTTTCATCTCGGGTGAGGCATCCGGGATGGGGCGTATTTCCACACACGTAGCCGGCTAGAGCAGGAGCTTCTGGACACAGATGGATGGACGAGCTAAAGCGGTCGTGGGATGTCCTGCCGGTGAGCGGCGAGAACATGCGCATCTTGTAGTCGTCGACGTGGATTCGGGACTTGAGAGCCTTGGCTATCGCTACCCAGACCTGTTCGTATCCAAACGTCCATGCTTGGATGTGGAAGATGGTGTCGTCTGGATACAGTGCTACTTTGCGGAGCAACTCTGCGATGCCCTCAGCCTTGGTCTGGAATGGCACATCCTTGATGAAGGAGGTGTCGATGTAGATCTTATCGAGCGTCTTCATGCCAGAGGTGTACTCGATGACGGCCGGGCTTCTGGCAATCGCATTAACGAACCAAGGCTCGCTCCGGATGTCGCCCGTGTAGAGTATGGCGTGATATGAGTCCTCTATGAGGAACATGACAGCACCGGGGCAATGGTTGGCATCGAACAGAGTGACCTGGATGTGACTGCCGGGCGCCAGCTCTAAAGTGGTTGGGGTTTCCAGGGGCAACGGCTTCAGCAGATTCTTCAGATGCTTGTAAGTCTGCACACGTGCCTCGAGGATGCCTTTGGCGTAATTGATACGACAGGGATAGCGCTCGAGACGGAGGAGCATCTCCCGGGTGGCTGCGGAGCAGTATACGAAAGGAGACCGAAGGGTGTCGAGCCCAGCCAAGTGGTCGCTGTGGATATGGCTCAGGAAGCACGCAAGAGGCGGGCGACGATCTGCATGTTTCCGAAACAAGTCAACTGGCAAAGTTTAGTGCTGTGTTACAAAAGAAGCGAGGCCGATATCGTGTGAATGCTGCGAGGCGGGTGAATCGCCAGTGCGTGCTTCGTAGGATTAAGGACGTACTTCGTATGTCGGGGAACTCGGTGACGAGTCCATTGAATGTCGACATTTTGCCATTTCAGCATCGTTGGGGATGCGGGAAGCACGGCTAGCAATAATGCGATGCTGTCGAGACGTGAGGTTGAAGTCGCCCCGGAGGAAGCAGGCGAGCGCATCTGAAAGAGAAGCACGCGCTTCGAGAAGGAAGCTCCGATCTACTTCTCGCGCCCTGCAGATGGGGCCAGCTGCAAGCCACTGTGAGTCAGTCCTTCGGGACAACGTCGGATGAGTGGGGCGGTATGGCCGGAAATAGTGGGGTCTTTCATCCGGCTCCATATTCGGATCCGAAAGAAGGTCTCTCTCACTGAGTCTATGGCTTCTGTCCCTCCGCAGCGTGCCTGCACTTATCTGACAAAAAGGCAAATATTAGAGAGTTATCTGGAGAAAATTTGCATATATCTACCTTAGCAATGCAAATTTCCATGAGCCAGTGTACGTATTGGAGACATGGGTGTCCGATGTCGCCAGTGAATCAAGTTCAAGATCTCAACTCCGGAAATATGGGGCTCAACTCCGAAGGCCGGTCCTCACGGTCAAGCCTACCTGACATCAGCATCGATTGCAGGTGTATATAGGTCAGTTTTTCACCGTGATAGTCAGAACATCGAGACCTCCTATTCACTTAATTTTTTCCCCTTATCTATATGTAGTCATCGTCTCAGCAAGAATCGGAATGGAACAATGGCTATCAACAGCGCACCACAAACCACCAACACCAGTGACACGGCAGCGTCGCCCTCCTCGTTCGACCAGCCCCACGAACCATACACCATTTTCGACAAACGCCAAAAGGGATTGATCATAGCTCTAGTCTCTATCGCTGCCACTTGTTGGTCCAAGCCACATTCCCAAGAGACCTCGCCTTCCTTGCTGACCTAGCTCTCAGTCTCTGGCTTCGCCTCAAACATCTACTTCCCGGCCCTCCCCACCATCGCCGACGATCTCAACGTCTCAGTAGAGCTCGTCAATCTTACCGTCACGACGTACCTCATCTTTCAAGGCCTGGCACCGAGTATATGGGGTCCCATTTCCGACGTCAAGGGCCGACGAGTAGCATACTGCTGCACGTTTATAGTGTTTCTGGGAGCATGCATCGGTCTCGCAGAGACCAGAAACTATGCCACTTTGATCATTCTCAGATGCCTGCAGAGTACTGGTAGCGCAAGCACCATCGCCATAGGTTCCGGAGTCATTAGCGACTTCACCACTCGACAAGAGAGGGGCGGGTATATGGGTGTTTTCCAGGCCGGCTTGCTGGTCCCTGTTGCCGTCGGACCCGTCATCGGAGGGGCTTTGGCCGGGTCATTGGGATGGCGGAGCGTCTTTTGGTTCCTAGTGATCTACTGCGGGATCTTTCTTACGTTCCTCGTGCTGCTGTTACCAGAAACTTTGAGGTCGGTCGTGTCCAACGGCACCAGGGCACCGACGGACTGGCTGGGAAAGTACCCCTTAATCATCTACCAGCGAACCTCACAGGTCCGCCAGAGTCCCATTGCGTCACCACCAAAGCCGGCAAAGTCTCGCCACATTGATGTCACTGGGCCTCTTCGCATACTCCTCAACAAATGCGCAGCCCCTATCGTGGCGTTCCTCGCCGTCTACTACGCGGTATGGCAAATGAGCATCACGGCAATGTCAAGCCTCTTTGCATCACGATACGGCCTATCGGAAACCCACATTGGTCTGACTTTTATCGCAAACGGCGTAGGCTCCATGATTGGCACTCTAGTCACGGGCAAAATTCTTGACATTGACTATCAACGCGTCAAGGTCAGGTTTGAGGCGAGCAATGACCAAGAAAGTACCTTTGTGGACTCGGACACCAACCACGAGTTTCCCATCGAAAAGGCCCGACTCCGTCTTCTACCGATTTTCGCTCTTCTACAATGTATCTCGATTGCAATCTTTGGCTGGACCATCAACTTTCCCCGCCAGGTACACATTGCAGTACCCATCATATCAACATTTGTGACCGGCTGGACCGCCGTCTCGACCCAGTCTCTGGTCATGACATACCTTATCGACATATTTCCCGACCGCAGTGCCGCGGCTAGCGCCAGCGTCAATCTCGCCAGGTGTCTTGTCGCTGCCGGCGGCACAAGCTTCGTGATGCCGATGGTGAGCGTTATTGGCGTGGGGTGGGCTTTTACCGTGTGTGTTGTGGCACAACTGGTGGCAGTGACAAGTGCGGGCGTGCAGTGGAGGTTCGCCGCGCAGTGGAGGCGGGAAATGGGCAATGGCTGACCGGGTTCTTGAAGACACCGGTTATTTGGAGAGCATCTCGAACGGCGGTTGTCACGGGTTGGGATTTCACAGGTTGTAGATGAGTAGGATAGACAAAAGTTGATGATTTCTAGCTCCTTTTCGGTACATATAGACGTACGGAAACGTTTAAATAGCTCGCAAAAGTAGATTTGTGGTGATTTAAATACAGGTAAAATACACAGCTGTAGCTACGTACTTCACTGCTTCCCATGAGCTTTTGGAGAGGCTTTAGAGCCATATGCTAGGGAGATTTTGCTATTCCGAGTGAAATTGAAAAGGGAATGACAAGGAGAGTCCCAGACCGCGGGACGAGGAGATCGTAGAGAGGAATGTGTTGATTTCCATGGTCACAGGTGCCGCTGAGTGGACTTTGACAAGCCGTTGTCAACTTGCTGAGTGTGTTCACGATTGAATCTGACACCGTGAACACTCGGCATCTTACATGTCGGCTGGATCATAATTGAAAAACCTTCCAACGGCGGTTAGCTAGTGTTTAGTAACCAAATCTAGGTGAAGCCGGCGGCGAAGTCATTCTCCTGCCCTAGATCCGGTACAAGGATACGGGCATCTAATCTATCACGCCGAGGATCGGTCACGTCCAACTTGGGCTTGTATAAGAAGCTTTCTTAAGTCCTTGCATCGCAAAGGATCATATGAAGACTCTTGATAACTATTCTCCTATAATAGACATCGAAATCAACCGTGTAAAGACGTTGAAGCGGCAGCGTGGAGATGAGCGGACGGCGGCGGAGATGGTTAAGTCACCTCCGCACAGTCCCTCCACTACGACGGCACCGCGTGGGTGGCGCGGTCTCGAACATCCTACGTCCGCAGAACGTCCTCCGTCCTAAGCTATTGGCTGTGGGCGATGGGCGATGGAAGAATTTTATAAATACTCGAGTCCTTTCTCTATGCTCCTGAAATGGCACAAGTTTACTGTGCCCTACATAAGAAAGCACAATCACCACTCCATCATTGATCTGGTACTGGGCCTCGAATACTCAACAACCTTCTACGACTCGGTCAGGTTTGCCCAAACCTACATGTAACCTTGGAAAGGAAGTGACGATTCGAAAACACAGCTGGAGGCCCCTTTGCATCGGACAAAAGATAGCTGTGTCACCGATGAAAATGTCAAAAGGTCGCGGGTTCCATCAAGGGATTCCCACCAAGGTCGTGTCACAAGCCTGAATACCAACTTGTCTATGAAGCCAATGATACGGTCCATGGGCAGGGAATCAAACACAGTCAGTCGAGTGACCGGTCCTTCTGAATCATTCAAGATGGATGAGGGAGGAACAGCCGACAAGATTTCAATAAGAGTCCATGACAGGTTGCCGAGAAATTAGAGTCTTTGAGCCGCAGCGGGATCGAGGCATTGAACATCGAGTTTGTGGAGATACGGGAGCCACCCTCTACCGTTTTCAGAATCATCGCGATTGGTTTTCAAACCGTGTTAAAGCCATGAGTCAATTAACGCGTGGTGCTCCCAGCCTAAACGTGGTATATCTCGCGTGGCTGTCGAGAGAGTTTCTTGGCCAACGAAGACATCATCCAAAGTTGCTTTTACTCACGGCTTCATGAGTCTAATAGCCGCCAACTCGAGATTGAAAGGTTGCCGACTCATGAAGCCATCCTCGCCGAACCCAGCGACAGGCACATGTGATGGCCAAGCCACGACAAATTAGGAAGGCAATCAAGGTCGCTAGGCCCGCCTCCAAATCGGGACCTGGCCTACCAAGGTTGTACCTCGCTCATAAGGGTACGTGCATTCCCACACATATTAGCCCGTGAGAATGCTCGCTTTCCAGAATGTACATACCAGACTCAGTATGCCTCTCATCATGCTACCGATTTCGGTCTCCATCACCATCAAAAGGCAGCCCACGGGGCTCAAGCCTGAAACGACGTACACCAAGGTGGCTCAGCGGCAGTCCGAAGAGCAGCTCAAGCAGCAGCCCAAGACTCGGCTCAGCTTTGACCTGAAATGCCACTATTACGCGACCCGGGATGATATCTCTCAGTGCCTCATCTCACTGTGGAAGTATCTGCTCCTCGCTAAGCACCAAAAGAAGCTGGCAGGATGGGAATTGTTTGCGAAAAGGCTGGCACCGGGGCAAGATACTGAAGATAAGACACCAAAGATTGTGATATTGGAAGTAAGTAAACTGTTTCCTAATCAGTCGCAGAACCCTTGCAGAGACACCATTAACATAATGTAGATGAGATTCACACATAAGTGGCTGACCTACAATCACATGGGCGTTGCGAGACGTACGTTTTTGGATACCATGGAAGTTCTCAGAGACATAATGTCAGGATTGGCCATGGCGAATCCCAATGAGCGAGGCGCCCTCGACTGGGGCAAAGTATTCTCGTTTGGCTGCCATCCTCGCATTGCTGGCGACTGTAGCACGCCTTGGGGTATCGAGCCGGCGGGCTACTACTGTCATCCCCGCGAGCAGGGCGGCCCGAATGGCAGTGCGCAGAAGCAAACTCAGGAGCTTCTCCTCAAGTACATGGAGGTATGTTTGGCGGCCGACTAGGTGTGTGGGAAACGCTGACAGAGCATGCTCAGGTAACAGATCCCATCCGGGGAATGACGTTGGCTACGACCACGAGTTCCGTGGCACTTCGAGAGGCTCGCAGGCGAGTCGACCGGAGCGATGACAACACACAACCTCTCTGGAATGCCATTGTGTACTCTTCGGTCCTCGGCCCCGACCCCCTTCAGCTCGATATCGACTTGGCTGTCTTCACCACAAAGAAGGTTGTGAAGTGGTATGACGAGCTTTTGTCTTTGTGCAAAGTTGCTGTGCAATCTCAAGGCATCGAAAGCCGAGTGGACAAGGCGGTCACCCTTGCCAATCAGCTACACGCAGGGCCGGAACGGAGGGATGCGGCAACAGACGGTATCTCGGTCACGTCCAAGTCCAGATCTGAGAAGACTCTCTGTGGTGAGAAGGATTGGGGGTTAGGCAAGGTGACTGTAGTCGAAATTGAGGACATTAATGAATCGGCGATGGACGCGGACCGACATGAGTTGGCTCAGCCGAGCAACGCAAGGTGGTGGAGAAGAGTCCTTGCATGTTTTGTCGTCAAAGTCCGAGGCTCCAATCGTCAACGGCAGCAGGATGCGGTGAGCAAGCTGGTACGCCGTTCGTTGGAGCTCAGCCGCACAAGAGCCGAGTTGAGCAAGCGCGTTGTCGAGTGTAAGCAAGGCCCCGGATTTCCCCTCAAGAAACCATGGAGGCTATTTAAACTGACATTATTACAACCTGCAGTCAGCGCCGAAGTCGATCAACTGCAGCTCCTAGCCAGGGGCTTTATTCTGCTACTGAAACTGCAGACCAAATGGAGACAGGTACAAGCACTGGCGCAACGGCCCGGAGTGACCATGGTCGAGGTCAACAAAGTGACAACCGTCAACATTGACCACTTGTCGTGTGAGCGGCGGCGGACGCAAGCGATCCGTGAGAAGGTGAGCAAATTGAACAGGGCGGATGATGCCATGATGCAAGGCGCCAAAGAAATACTGGAGCGTAGCAAGAAAATGAACGCGGAGCTAAAGAGCTTGCATAAGGACTTGAAGAAGCACGCCTACAGGTACGAATCCAAGGCAAGGTTGGAGCAGCGGGGGACACTTGTACGTTGCGAGTAAAGGCCGGAGTGAGTTGAAGAGGCGATGAGGTTTTGTACATGGGCGCGAGGCGTCAAATTGAACTCGTATCTAAGTGTTTGGCTTTGAAATTTGGTTCCCACATGATGATGAGACATTTGCAGGCGCTAAGCGTCGAAGACGGGGAGTTGGGACTTCTGAAAGGCTTCCAAAACGGTAGGGTGAGGTCTGTCCTTCTGAACTCCTGGAGCCTGTCTGCGAGACAGCGGGGCTCAACGGTCTGGCAGCAGCAGGGCCAGCACGGACAGACCCTTGGTGCAGGCAGGGTGGCAAGGAGGCCTTGGGGCACGCCGTTAGCACGATGGTCGCTGTGGGACGTCCGGTGAGGCGTGCGTGGGCCGTGGGGGAAAGGATGAAGGATTCGTCTTGTCCATTTGCTATCGTCGCCACATTCCACTCTGTTGAATGCTTCCAGCTATTCATGTATACTGTCCACTATTCCAAGAATCAGGCTTTGACTCTGCCCTCAAGATGGAGAGCTTCCATGTGAAGGTGATTGACAGACACGATTGACGGCAAAAGCATGGCGAGATGGGTATGAGAACAGACGTGGCGTTGGCTGTGGTCACGGGGCACGCTTGTGCTGCAAGGTTCAGGCGGACGTTGCCGCTGAAGATGATGAAGAGTTGAAAGATTGCGGGAGGAGTGTTGGGTTTTTAGAATTCCCGAGGCAAATGTACGGCCAAGGCATCCGTCATCCGTGTAGACAGACGGGAGGCCATCTGATCCGTCGCGATGGGCTCGGGAACAAGACACCAAAGACCGGGGAGTTGGGCGCCAGACGTCGCGTGCCGGGGGGTGGTTCCGGTCGGTCTAGTACTGGCGCGTCCTTCGCTCGGGTCCATCATGTGCTTGGTCTGGCGAGGTTGCCGTGGCCGAATCTTGCCCGGTATTTCATCGCGATGGCCGCTGCGACGGCTCGAGGGACGGAATCATCATGCTGAATGGCGCTTGAGTTCCTGACTAGATCATGAGCGATGTAGACAAAGAAGACGACAGGATATCAACAGAGACCCAACCCCACGCCGAGTCTGAGGGGGCTGGAAACAGGAGGTGGGAGATGAGAAGGACGGGACACCAACTCGTGACCGGATTGCCGGGCCCCCGCCCCGGGTCTGCGCCGAGGCGGAAAATTTCACGAGTAAAATTACAGTAAAATAGAGAACAGATGTTAGAAAGTAAAAGGTCAAAAATGTCGAAAGAGGGGGGGAAAGGTAAAGAATACGTCAGGGAAATTCAAACCAGAGGGTCGACAAGGGCCGGACTGGGGGGGAGGGGGTAGAAAGATGGAGGATGGAGGGAATGGGGAATAGGTACTGCCAACTGGCCGGGCGGGTAGGATAAGGTATCGAGAGAGAGAGAGAGAAGAAAGGAGTGAAGAATGCAATGGGAAGGGGCGCAAGATCAGGCCGTCTTGCCGTGTCTGATAAAGCGCCAAAGATTGCCTGGGCCAGCCGCCAAGGAGCTGGAAGGACGGGACCTGGAGTCAGATACCTGAAGGTAAGGTCGATAGATACCTTATTTTACCAGAGATACTTGGCCTGACTCCAGAAGTAAAGGCAAGGGAAAGTAGGTAGTAGACGCAACTGCCCATTCGGGCACATCCCATCCCATCCCGTCCAGATCTTGTGCCTGTCTTCCTTCCCTCCAAGCTCACCGTCCCGCGTTCTTGCCATGTATTACCTCATGCTGTCTGCTCTTTCCATCTCATCCCCTCACGGGGTCCCCAGGAAAGAAGGCACGGCTTTACTCCATTCATTTGAAAGATAATTGAGTTAGCCGAATGAATATAAACCATATTCGGATCAATTCCCCCAAAAGCGTTCACGGCATGGCCGGTTATTAAAATGTGTTCGACACCGCTCCCTCCGTGTGTATATGTGTGAGTGTGTGTGTGCCCCTTGTGACCGTCCACCACCACCAACACCACCGCCGCCAGCACTCAAATCAGCCATATCCGCAGTCCTTCCCCCTCCCCTCTCGCGCCGCAACACGAAACCACGTCACCTCCCATCTTCTCTTCTTCCACAACAACACCTCGCCATCTAACCACCCCTCGTCGCAAACTTTCAATTTTTCATCGTGCTTTGGAATAACTCGATTCTGCAGCTTCAGAAAGCTTTTACGCCTCCCTTTTCCATACTCTTTATCCATTTGTAAGTCTGCCAATCCTCCAACTTTGGCCCGTTTTTCCCACCCATCGCGCCATCGCCACAAGCACTTTGGGGTGCCCCCTCCTGCTCCTCCTCCTTCTGCTCCTCCGCCTCTCGTCTCGTCTCTTTCTCGCGAGCGCATTCACAACCAACCACCTCCTCTTCTCGTCGCATCATTCCTATCGCGATCGCGTCACTCTTCTCATTGTATCCCAATAACTAACATCCCATCGCGACACCAGACCAACCGTCAAAATGGCCCGCGAAGGAACCCGCTCCCAGACCGGCAACTCCAAGCCGCGTCTCTTCCCCGTCGTCGACACCGCTCCCGTTCGCAAGCAGAACGCCGCGACAACCACGACCGCGAAGAAGCCCAAGACCACTTCCACCGCTGCCAAGGCTGCGAAGCCCGTCGGCGTCACCAAGAAGAAGGCTACCACCACCAAGAAGGGCCCTTCCGTCGCCACCAAGGTATGTTCGTGATGCACTCTGCCTTGCCTCTCTTCTGGACTCGGCTAGAGTCCCGCAACCCTCCATCACAACCACCTGTCAATCTCCATGCTCCTAGACACGACGTCGGATTTTTGAAGGCGGTCTTATCGTTTTGTGCCCAAAAAATAAAAATAAAAAATCGGGCGCGAAACTGGCGCGTCCGCCCCGTCCTAGACGAGATCCTTACCCCTGCCCAACCAAGATGATTGCCCTCTTTTCTTCCAATATCCTCCCCCCCCCCCCCCCCCCCCCCCCCCCCCCCCCCCCCCCCCCCCCCCCCCCCCCCCCCCCCCCCCCCCCCCCCCCCCCCCCCCGCGAGACCCTCTCCCCCCCCCCCACCAAATGCTCTTCCCCTTTTTTTCCCCCCCCCCCCCCCCCCCCCCCCCCCCCCCCTTTCCGTAACTCAACTAGATGCTAACAACATCTTGCGCAGGCCAAGTCAGTAGCCAAAAAGGCAGAGACCAAGGTCGCTGCTGCCACCAAAGCAGGCAAGAAGGAGACCAAGCCCAAGACCACCAAGGCCAAGGCGGCACCCGCCGCCGCCTAAGTGTGCCTCGGTTGCTTCTCTGTCTGTCTTTCTCTCTACTCTCCCCCTCTACATCATCTCCCACTCGCCTCGACGACGCGTCTCTCGCCAAAGCCCTCTTCGAAGCATTCTTCGCGCATGAATGAGTCTCTCCCATCTTCACTACGGGGCTTGCCAGTGTCTTTTCTCTTCAAGATACCACCTTGATTGTTGTTGAGCGAGCCGACTTTTTGGTTTGCTTTTTGTGACTTGGGGTTACTGGGGTCCGGTTCTGCGGGGGTGTCTTCGTTTTCTCGGGTTTCTTCGGGTCGCTGCTGCTGTCTATACTCGCCCCGTCTGCATGTTTTTGGCGGCCACTTCCTCTCTCTCTCTCTCTCTGTCTCTTAGTTGCACCGTTTGGGGTTTTGGACCATGGGATGGAAACATAAATAGGAATATTGCTCGTTGGGTCTGGGTCTGGGTCTGGGTCTGGGCTAGTCTGGTTTGCTTCAAATCTATTACCGCAGCAGCAAGGACCGAACAGGGGTCCAATGAAACAGTCCACAGCGATTGAAATCCGTTTGAACCATCTTCTATACATTCTCCTGTCTATAACGTAAGGTCAGCCGTGGTAATTGCGTAGAGGTAAGGTACTTACTTGAGGCACCTGAGGTAGGCCGAGTAGAATGGCTGATACAGTCTCACCTCACGTAACCACATCATGTGTACTCACCACCAGTTTGACCCCGTGCGCTCATCCTGTCAAGCGTGGTTGACGGCGGCGGGTGTTGGGAGAAGTCGTCAATATCGATAGTAGTCTATTCAAAAGGATAAACGAAAGTGGTATCAAGGTGCACAAAGTCTGCCATAAGCTCCAAGAGCACTTTTCCACAACCGCCCTCTGCTCCTTTTTGCCCCCCTTTTTTGGATAGTTAGGCTGCCATCCCAGCAGCTTTCTTCGTGTTGGACCAACGCCATGTTCTGTCCAAGAGGTTGATCCAATGCTGCCAATCAAAAGTAACCTCAATGCTGATGCTCCAAAATCAAACCACATGCGCCGTGTTCCCCATTACACCAGTCCGTGCAAAACCCATCGGACAAAAGCCAACGATTAGATGGGAAAGTTCAACTGCTGCTCCGCCCACGGGATGTTGTAGTAGTTCTCCCAGTTGCGTCCGTTGCGCGGGCCCTCCTTGATGAGCTGCATCTCACGGACTCCGCAGAACATGCCGTTGCGTCCCGTCCGCTCAACCATCTTCCACCCCTCTCGGCGCTGGTAAATCTCCTCCATGAAGCGTTGGCCCTCGACGACCTCCCTGTGGGGGTTCGGGGTCGGGAACCGTGAAAAATACGTGATGATTTCTTGCGGCAGGGCCATGAGCCTTTCCCAATGGCGAATCACGCGCTCAAGGCGTTGGGTCCTCTTGCGGTAGGCCACGCGCACGTACGGGTTCACAAAGACGCCCATGTCCGGCTCGCCGGCCTTGTCCGCAACACTCGTGACGTCGGCAAGAAATAGACAGCATTCGCAGGCGTCAAAGTATACCTCGGGTTCATAGCGGAATCGGACTGGCCTTGTCGCATTGTGAGGGTGGTCTGGGTTGATAACGTGGTGCGCGACAGCCTGCCAGTCCTTGGTCGGCAGCTTCGTCTCCATGTTCTGGATGTACTTGGCCTGCATAGCCACCATTCCACCCCAGCAGCTCTTGACAGGTACCGCGTCCGTCTGGGAGATCATGGCCTTGCGCGAGATTCCCTGGCCCTTTTTGGTGAAGTAGGGAAAGAGGGGTATGCCGTTGGAGTAACCCTCAGCGTCGCGCTGCGCATAGAGGTCGTACTCGAGGAAGGGATTCCAATCATAGTCCAGGGAGCACGCCGAAAGGTAGTGAGCTCGGCCGTCTTCGCCGGCATTCGTGCTGAATAGCAGGTGGGCAGCGTCTACCGGTGCAAAGAGAGCATCATTGAGGAACAAGATCTTGTCATACTTGACAACCCCTGCATCCGTGTCGTACTGGTCCAATGGATAGAGTGCGCGATTGCGCATCTCGGACAGATATGCCAAGCGCTTCAACCTCTGTGTTCCGTCAGGCATGGTGACATGCGGGAAGACGTTGTAATCGACCTGGCCCTCGCTGATGATCTTGTGTTTGCATGGGACATTTTTCTTAAACTCCTCCAAAGCAGCAGTGCCCAAGTCACCGCTGTCGTTTTCGTAGATGCTCAGAAAAGTGTTGTCCTCGCCAATCAGGTGGATCAGGTCCAATACATTCTTGGCCCATTCTCCTCCTGCAATCTTGCCCTCGGGATCAAACAAGCTGACGGCGATGAAGACCTTTTCGTTTTGCAGGTTGGCGCAACCAGACAAGCTGTCGGATACCAGGCACCTCTTCCTCAGATCCTTGTAGTGCTTCGGGTGGCGCGTGTACGACGGGAAGAAGATCGGGGTAGTCACAAGGATGAAGAGTATAAACATGAATGTGTATCGGAGTAGCAGTCGCGGGAGAGATCTCGGTTGGCGACGGAAAGTCCTCAGCAACGACTTTGGCCGTCCTTTCAGCCATGCAAGTATAGTCCCTCGTTGCCTCCTGCGCGAGATCGAGGCCGAGCCGGGAAGCAATGGCTCCTTGTGTTCATCGTCGAGGTCGAAATCGTCTGCAGACGAAGACGAGCGTTTTTCGACATAGGCAATGTCTCCCGAATTCGGCATCGTCGTATTTCGGAGCGAATCGGTGGAACGGGTTCCGTTTCGAGTCATCGTCGTCGTCCTCGTCGTCTACTACGTACAAGTGTGTATCTATGTAGATTCTGGGGGGGTAATTACTGTGTAAGTCGATGCCAATATTGTCTGCCAAGACAAAGCTCACGATGATATTGAAAGTCCAAAAAAGGACCCGTTGGCCGTAATTGGAACGCGATGTTACAGTAGCTCCGCAGAAACAACGTGTCAAATCCGGCCGTTGTCGAGTTTTGCTTGGAACAGGCGCGGTCAGAGGATCCAAGATCGGACGACGCCTGGAGGACTCGCACCAAAGACGAGCTGACGTTGTCTGAGCAGGGGAATAGGTTCGACGGGACTCCTTGGTAGAAATCGGGAAGGCGGAGCAAAGCGAAGCAACGGAGGCACAGGATAGGGGGAAGAAAGAAGATGGGGGGGTAAGGATTACAAGAACAGTAGCAGCGTCCAGATGATGGACAGGAAAGGAAAGGCGTCGAGGTCTGGAACAATGGCGACGACGAGCCAGCACGAGCCAGCACGAGAGAGGAATGGGCTTAGAGTTTGGGATGGGTTTGGGGGCAGAACAAACAGACAAACACCAATCCGACGCTACCCCAACAACAGCCACCATTCCATACATAATTAGTTGTGTGTACGTACGGATACAGGAAGCGACACCCACGGTCCATGATCCATGATCCATGGCCCACAACCCACGACGATGATGGTCACCGCTAGAGGATAGCGTTGTGCCATCGCGGTCAACTGAGAACGTTGCATGGGTTGGGTTGGTTGCACTTCCAGGCTGTTGGTGGCTGCAGGGGAAATAGGGCAAGCAGCAGCTGGACGCATGTCGCAGGGCAGCGTGGGGATGCAAACCCTCGACAGCCTCGGAACTAGGTGGTGTCTGTTTCTGGTCCGGCAATGCGGCGCCATCCTGGTCTCGAGTCTCAACCAGTGTCGCTGGTGGCAATGGTGGTGGTGGACTGCTTGGAGCATATCGAGAAGCATTGAAGTTCTGTACCCAGGATCAGATGCCAGGGGAAGAACGTGCTTGGTCAGGGTTGACAAGAAGACCCGGCTGGGCAGACATGGGTAGCTCCGGTACCTACCAACTGTGCCTGTTGCAACTTGCACCTGCGGCCTGCCCACATGCTCCAGGACCTTGGCATGCACTCCAAGCCAACGGGCTCCAGCAGCGGGAAGATGAACCAACGTGCGATCAGATTGCAAGAGTAGAGTGCATATAATTGTTCAATACGGACACTATACGGATAGTTTGGTTAGTATTATTGTTTTCACTACCAAACATTGCGACTGAGCTCTTAACCCTAAGACAAGGAGGCAAGGGGTATCCGTAGCGAGCTCGGGCCCCGACGCCCCCCGACGCCCCTCTCAAGCCCCGTCTCTCAAGCTTCGAAGATCGCAAGGTGCAAGGAAGAACCTGAGAACGTGAGAACGAACCAAGGAGAAGTGCGTTTGGGCCTTGGCGTGGGTCGGAACTTGGGGTCCAGCCTGTGACAATCGCAGTAGCACTAGACTCCAACAGGACTGGCCCAGTGACCCACAAAAGCAATCAGAGCCAATCATCACTGACAGTGGGGAGGAGCCGAGTAGGTACTGGATGCACGGTCCATTTCTCATCTCGTTTCGGCCGACTTTTTTTTTCTTTCCCAGCAACCTGGCATGTTCCTTCCCTTTTTCCCCCACTTGCCTTATTTCCATGCCTTACCTAAGCCTTGATGTGTCACTTTCCGTTCCCCAGGCACTCGAGGTTTCCCATCCTTCCCGTTCACTCCTCCCGTGCTCGCCCCTCTCCTCGTGGACCATCTGGCATCAAGACTTGGCAAAAGATATCTGCAAACGAACACCCCATCGCCAATCACTGAACCTACTACCGTCCACCGTCCGTTCACCGTCCACCGCGGGCCACGGCACGCCGCACTACCCACCCACGCCACCTTCCGTACTGCCGTGCTGCTGTGCTGCGATGCCGCTGCTGAACTCCACGTTGCATCCCTGCCGTTGAACCGACCGGATCCGCATCTCCGGGAACGTCACCTGTTGATGACTTGCTAAGTTGCTATTACAATATAGTACATTACCATGTAGTCTTTCTCCTGCGCGCGCCGCGCCCAGAGAAAGTTTCAACCCTAACAGCCAAATTGGACAGAAAAAAAAGAATGGTTCAAGGCCTCGAGGTTATGAATAGCTCACTGCAATCTCGGTGGTCCATGTCGGTGCTGCCGTTCACTCACCCAGCGGGCGTCGGTCGGCGACTCGGCGCACACAGCCAGAAGCCGTCGGGTCTCCATATGCAAGGCACTCGGTAATGTATCTTAGTCAGCGGGCGATTTCCATTCAATGTCCGTCCGTTGCTCACTCACTCACTCCCAATTCATTCCTCACTCACCCAGCAGACTACATCAGACAGGTGAAGTACAATCGGCAAGCAGGATTCTATTCAACAGCGTAGAAACAGTATGAACCTACCAATTCTGTATACGCTTCAAGCGAGTTTTCTCTACACATACGCTGCATCCTTCGGTGATGGGTGACCACGATCTTCACAGGTCGCAAATTTCCCCTTACCAAGCCGTCATTCAACTCCACCAGCCAGCTCCACCACCCCTTATTTCGGCTCCGCGGCATCGTCAACAGGCCTGCAAAAGAGCGGGGACCGCGATTCGCGGCCTCCGATCAGCATTGGTCAGCACTCTGTTCCTCCCTCCTCCATCTCTTCTTCTTGGATGCTGTAAGCGTGTCATACTCCGTACATGGATATGCAATATCGAGTAATTGGCCCTTATGAGGGATAGGAGTAGGAGCAGAGATACATCTCTTCTTCTGGCTTAAATGCAAGACATCCAAGAGACGCGCTATTGTCTTGCCAAGCTAACCTTGGCCTCACGCAGGTCGTGACATTGCATGAATGGCAGCCTAGAAATGCGAATTGTTTAACTAACGGTATTAAGCCTCCGTTGCCTTCCTCCTCTCTTCACGGCACAATGTGCGGGGTGTTTGAGTTGAGATGAGCTGAGAGGGATAATATGCTCAATGATCAGACGCAATACAGCAATTCAGGATGAGACAGTTCCTGAGCATACCCTCATGACCCTTGTGTCACCTATTCTTGGGGATGGAAAAATCCCTGTAACCAAAACATTTTCTTCTTCTTGTGAGCCCCGTGTCCGCAGTTCTGCCAAGCAACGCAGCATGATCTGTCCGTTCACTACTATGTCGTAGTAGTCATACACTTAACTATGATGATGACAATCCAAAGAGGAAGAAGACAGGAGTGGTGCTGTCCGTCAGCATCCATAACATACCCATGACGTTTGTAAAGCCGTCTCTACCTAGGCCCTCTATTTGAATGAGAGCGAGGTCTGGTCTCAATGTGTATGAGTCGTCTTTTCTACCATCCTTCACTACACATAATCGAATGTTTCATGCCGCTGTGGCGAATTGAAGTAAATATCTGACTTCTTCGCCATGGCTTTCTCTTTCCGCGTGCCCAAGAACCAAGCAGCAATGGTGAGCAGTGTGAGGCCGACAGTGAGGACTGCAAATAACCAGATGTGCTTTGATACGATGGACTGGCCGTCCATTGCCTCCCAGTTGAACATGTCCATGGAGAAAATGGCCTACCATGTCGTCAGTGAGCATGAACATGTATATAAATGTCTCAACATGTCAACATGGAGCTATCGAACGTACCGCAACACTGGATAGGGGGAGGTATATCATGGTCAAGAGCGCAATCGTCCTCATCTGGGCGCTTTCGACCTTTGTTTGCACTGCAATGGCAGCATTTGCCTTTGAAATTTTGGTGTTAGTTTTTGAATCCTGTCTCGCAATGTGATTCCAAATCTGTTGATGTCAGTACGTACGTTCAACTAACCGACTAAGGCACTAACCGTTTGCATAGCCAAAGATGTGTTGCAAATCATCATATTACACTCATCGATTTTATCGTCATATTCGACCATGATGTCGTCCACCCTCCTCTTCATCTTTATTCCCACATTCGCTATCTCTGCTGCCCTGGGCTCATTGCAGTGGATGTATTCAGCCTCATCGAGAGACTCGAGCTCTGTCGTAACAATATTAATCTCTTTTGAAAACTTTGTCAACTGTCGTTTCACCATACGTATTTGATCCATCAGATTTTGGCTTTGAACACAGAGAGAAAGATGCTGTTGTGCTTTCGTGCCGTCTGTATCCTCTTCTGGACGCCACGGCTGTTTCTCAAGCTGCTCTGATCGGAGGGTAAACGGATCCATGAGGTCTTCTACCGCCTCAACCAACCTGGCCCTCTCTAGCTCTGCAAATACCCCTGGCAGTAAGAGTGGGTGGAATAATTGTTTGCCTGCTCTCCGTATTTTCGCCTCGATGCTTCCCATCTGCTCGCCGCTGCAGCCGTAAACGACAGCGAATGTGGTCCCGGTGCTTGGAATAAAAGTGGCCGACATGGCCAGATCGTCTGGAAGACTAGAAGACATGCGCGCAGAAAAGGCTACAAAGGGTGTCAGTCTCGTTGAGATGAACAAAGTCAGGCGCATAACCAACACATCTTGAGATGACCGGACGTCGCGTCATCTTCACGAGCCGAAGAGAAACAAGGAACTAATCTTGCTATCGTCCGCTTGATGTTCCGGGATATGTGAAATTCCCTCGCAATTCTCTCCCAGGTATTCTTGGTGAATGGAAGACATTGTACTCTGCCCGGTGTCTCGGAGACTGGGGGAGCTCTGCTGCACAAACTAATCGAAATGACGGGGTCAGCATAACGTCCTGTAATAGTGGTCCCTGAAATAAAAGGCCAAGGGTGAATAGAGGGTCCGACTAACACCACAAATATACCTGGCTTTAACTCCTTCCAGTTAGGAGAGCTATTTTGTGGCTGTTGGCATATCCAGTCAGCATTGTTGCTAAGCTAGTAGAGAATACTAGCGACTCACAGAGCTGAACCACCGCTCCCATTCTTCCTTGCTGTGAAGAGCTTGACTCGAAAGCTGTCTGATGTCAGTCATCCAGAGGGTGCTCCAGCGTCGTGTATGGACTGATGCAAACCTCCTCGCCTTCTAGAGCTCTTAATACCACCGCCTCCCGCTCTTTGTAATCAAAGAAGCCAAGATCTGATGCTGTCCAAGTCAAAGTCTCAATTGGTAAATCCATCTTCATGCGTTTAAGTGTTGGACACTGTTGATCCAAAATCACATTTAGGCTCCGAGATCGTCAACGTGAGTTGTGTATCGAATATTGAAATAAACGCCGACCAGCCTACTCGGGGTATGGTGGAGTGCTAAAAGATATGCTATATCTCCAAAGACGATAGAATGTATTTGAGTTATAGCTCTTGGGGAAGAACTATGTAACAATTTGCGACAGTTGACTATATCAGGAAACCGGCCTCTGTTTTATCGCCCGTAGTTTCTACAATTCCAAACCCCTCAGGGCATGCTGCCACCCGGCCTGCCTTGCAGACTGCCTTTGACCACTTTGAGATGTTTTCTGCGCACACCATGCTGGGCGGTGCCAAGACCGATGAATACCCTGTCGGCTTACTTGCAGCCACCGAAGCACCTCTTGACTAGTGTATGTAGGCAGATCCGAGGCCGAGCGACAGGCAGTGTTCAGGTATGTGTTGTCGGGCAGCCATTGGGATTCCCTTCATGCGTCATGCAAGACAGGGTGTGTGGGACTCAATAATAGGATTGGTCACCTGCATGCATGATCCAATCCTCTCGAGAAGGAGAGCCTCACGGGGTAAGCCAGCTTGGGTGCTGCCCACGCCCCCCCCGTGCCTTTTCAGATCCCCAACCACTCTTCCGCCTTGACTTGGACACCGAAAACCAACAAGTCACTCACCAAAAACGCTGTGAAGCACACCTTACCTTCAATTCATGAAGAATCCGGCTTGGAGACCTCGGAATGTTCTTCCTTAGAAAAGGCTCAGGCCGCAGTGACAAATCGGAATCGAAAGCAGAGCCTGAAAGGAAGAGTTGCGACCAAGCAACACAACCAGCATCAAAACCAAGACCAGAATCGGAATTCCCCTGCGAAGAGGTATTGAGAGCGAGGTACCATAATTCGGCAAAGTTGAAGACATCGCTGGATTCTATCTATGGCGAAGGGAATTACAAAGTCAAGGTATGCCATCCACTCTCACTTGTGACGGTATATGGTTTATTGACGGTCGCTTCAAACAGGAAAGAGCCAACAGATTCATTCTCATGCTACCAGAACCATTGAAAAAGGTCTGAGCATTACCCCCTACAAATTTCATTCGCACAGGCATAATCGCATTGGCATGACTAACGTGTGCGGTTGCGAAGGGCGAGCTAGCAGCAATTGAAAAACGCATTAGGGTACACTACAACGATTGAGTTAGTTGGCCTTGCGGCTAGGAAATTGGGAATTCTGACCTTTCGAACTCTAACGTTGCGTCAAGGACTCAGAGTTTGATTTCAAGTAGATGAGCCGTTCCGTTCTCTCTTGGCTGGAATCGAATGATGGACGGGATCTATACGCTTGCGATTCAATGCGGGCTAAGTGACGGCTCCTACTTTCGACCTCTTGCTGGAAAATTTTCGGATCCATGATCCATCAACATTTTTGCTTTTGAAAAAGGTCGACTGAACGGCATCAATGTCGTAAATCGCGGGGCTTGGGCTTGAGATAGTAATCGGGTTCGACGGAGCAAGTCTTTAAAAGGTCTTTCATTCTTTTGCTCAACAAGCTCGATGGAATCCTCGTCGTGGAATCAGGGTTCAGCATACCATCTCTGATGACTTCCAGTAAATCCCAAAGATACCAGGAACAGTCGGGATGGTTTTGGAGTTTTTTGATCCATGTAGCAACCGAGGACTTGAGGAAAGCCTGTTTGTTACTGATTGAGAAAAATATATCGGAAGTGAAGCCATGGATATCATTTTCCATTCTGAAGTTGGGGAATGTTTTCTCCACGGCTTCGAGTCCTAGCAAGAACCAGGTGACATATTCCAGGAAAACACACCCAAGACTGAATATATCAGACCTTGGCGACACAAGACCGAATTGCAGATCGAACTCCGGGCAGCGGTAAGTGGCCGTTCTTTCCAAACTGTTGGGGTCTTGTTTTGAGCGAGAAACCTGGGTATGCAGTCTTCCGAGACCGAAGTCCGCCAAAGCTAGAAGACCGGGAAAGCTGTTTGATCTGAACCACAGGAAGTTCCCTTTCGACTATAGGTAAGCTTTAATCGATATGGAGGAGACGGATGTAGTTTACCTGGTTTGATGTCTCCGTGCCGTCCATATAGCTGCTTGTTGGAGTCCCGATCCTCAAGATACCGCACAGTTGGCTCACGGTCATTGTGAACGCAGCGGAGAGCCTCAGAGACTTCGTAGAACTGAGTTGCCATCCACTTGCAGTGCTTTCTGTCTCCAACTAGACGTTCATTACTTTGCCAGAACTTATTCAAAGTGCCGTCAGCCCAATCGAATAAGAGATAGAATGTTGACTCCTTTGCCACTGTATTATTCACCTCAAACGTAGCGAGAAGCTGAATGATATGTTTGTCGTGATATTTTTGAGCAATGGATACAAGTGACGACAGTTCGAGATTAAAGCTGTCGCGATTGTGGGATGTGAGCTTCTTTAGCGCAAAATAGCCTTGTGGGTGCCGTATCTGGACGAAAGGAATGGTTAGTTCATCGACTAAACACGGCAAATGGTTCACAATGTTCCTTACCCCATGGCCCCCAAAGTCAAAATGGCCTTCATGGATTTTCACTTTGTATACCTCGCTGAAGCCTCCATAAGCGTTTCCAGAAGGATCTGTCTTGTTCTCCTCTTCCTCAACCTTACACACGACTTCCATGGGGAAGAAGTCGCCGGTGTCGAGTAAGTAATGCTGGTGTCTTCCATACTCCCATGTGATGAAGGGAGAGCACAGTGTATATGCCCATTGGCAAAACATTGCACGATCATTTGGACGACGATACTTGTTGAGTAAGCGATGTTCCTTGTGTTGCCGACATTGAAGTGTCCGACGTCTGTCGACGGGTACATTTCGTAGGGGAAGACAGCTGTCTCTCAGCTCATCTTCCGACATGAGTATGGACATATCCTCTTCTGTGCCGATGCCAATTAGGATTGCGAGAAGCTTGACACAGGGTGACCTCGAGCCATCTGAGCTGCCATATCGGATTTCTCTGGCGAGCTGATTCTTATCCTGGACGTCTTTGAAGCACTTGAGCACATGGACAACAGATAAAACCCGATTTAAGGTCATAATCTGTTCGAACTTGTGTCGGGGTATAAAGTCCTTGTCCGGGTCAAAAAAGTAAGACACCGGGGCCTCGTCAAGTTCACCTTGAATGATGCTGACCACATTGCGTTCGAGGCGAAACCCTTCTGGTCGTCTGGAAGCTGCATGGCTCTTTCGACTTGGATGATTCTTCTGTTCGCTCTTCAGTCGGGAAGACTCGCCTCTGTCGTAAACATGAACGACTTTCCTCGGATCATCCAGCACAAGCTTTCCTTGTTGGGATAGTAATTTGAACACATCTTGAGGATTGGTTGACATGATGGAAGTTGTGGGGTCTGGTTTGTACAATAGTAGGTCTCTAGCTGAACTCACAAGACCAAAGACTTGCCGATGATGTCCAGTTGGTGCCTGGCTCCTGTGTGGACTCTATGGTCAGCCTCAAAGGGGTGTCTCGCAAGTCGCCACAGGTGTCTGTCGATCGGAAGTAATGCGCGAGGATGTCGCGCCAGCGACGAGGAATCAAGTGAGGCAACGTAAGATGAAGAATTGCGAAAGTTGTATGCACGCGAGATGGAGAAATGGGGTCGGAATGGAGCATATCTTAAAGCCAATCGTGCACAAAGACGGGCGACGAACATTGAAGTACCTTTCCTGGAGTCTATTTTCCCATTTGATGGAGTGCTGCCTCCGGCCATGATTTGCTGGCAACTACCCTTGGCCTTAATAGGAAAGCCTCGTTGACGGGCCTTGCATCTCATGTAGAATTCGGTCAGCAAAACGGCTGGAGAGCAGCGATGGTCTACTGATAAGGCAGAAGCAGTAAGGCAACTGGGTACCGCACCAGGGTCTCAACAAGCCGCAGCAAGACGAGGGCAGTTTCTTGAATGGCTTGGATAATTGTCTTACTCTAAACCGCAGTTCGCATTTCCCCATGTGCCGTCGAGGACTGTGCTCATGCCATCCGCCAGATGCCGATGAAGTGAAGGGCCCAGGAGGCCTCGGCCCGCCACCCAAGTTCATCTCTCGAACCGAGCATTAGCCCCCACCGGCTGCCTCATCGTCATCTTCAAGGAACATAATTTTCAGAAGAGATGGTCCGATCAATCTGCTAAATTGATACTGACGACTGTATTCGGAGACTCTTGGGTGGTGGGAATACTTTGTTTGCCCTCATGGAAAATTGCTCCCGAGAGGATTTTGGGAGACGAGGTAAACCGGCATTCAAATGACAATGAGGTTGCTAATGGCTTCGACATTCCTTTTGAAAAGTGAGTTTCCGCGGACTTTTCATACATCTCAGTTTTGCTACGGAGATGTGTGAGGGATTTTAACACCCGATGCATTTGATAAGCCCCGTATGTGCTGCGCAAAGCGCTCCGGGTAGGGATGGTTGTCACGCCCTGTCGTGGCAAGACAAGAGATGGCCACTCACAGCAATAGTCTGCCCACATAAGGATGACGCGGTTGCGAATAAGCCAAATGCGCTTCAAAAGCGCACCCTAGACGCAAGAGGGATCACATATCTTGCTTTTATTGCCTGCAGTGCAACCAACATGCGCTGACAACGCATAGCTACTGCGGCGCAGCCGGTCAAAGCCTCAGAACGGGCTGGGTCGCCATGTGGTTCGCCATGTGGTTCGCCTACATCCTGGCTACAGGTCAAGGTTGCTTCCATTAATGGCTGGAAATTTGAGCGCAAGACAATCCTGGTGAGACAGCGAGGCGGTCAGGGCCAGACTACCCCTAGGCTCCTCATAAGTTCAGGAGATCCTCCCTCCATCAGGTTACGGAAAGGTTGTTAACATGACAGTTAGGAGACTAATCATTGTATTCATTTGTAGCAATGCGCCGAACTTCGCCACTCTGATCACCGGGTGGATTTGTTTTTCGCGGGACATTCCCAGGTTAAAATAGGAGTTTCGAGTTCGAGAACTACAGCGTAAGGCGTCCGGTCGCCTGCTCTTCCCGCCGCGCCCGTCAAGTCCCACACCACACCCTACCTCTTCACAATTTCCTACCTCAAATTTTGATCTATCGTCATGGCCTGGAAGCAAATACAGACACCTTCTGGCAAGGTTAAATGGCAGAGTAATCAAGATGGCACCCAGAATGCCATCATTTCTGCATCTCGAGTCAGCTCAAGTCAGCTCAAGGAATATCTGGACGCAAACTTTCCAGGACAGTACTCAGTACAGGTACCATTGGCTGCTCAGTTCTCCCCCCAACCGCAAAGATACTGACCATGATGTAGTTGAAGCGGGATAAGTTCAAAATCACAGTCGGCCATACGCCCCTTAGCCGCATCGTGAGTTTTAATACCGTGAAAGGCGGCACCGACGAAATCTAACCTTGAGACAGCTGTAAAATTTTCACGCTAGTATTGTGATCGAAACTTGTGCAAAAATGGTCTTGCATACTGAGCAGCGATACCCTAGTGCGACAGCAGAATAAGTGATAAAGCTTGCAAGGCAACGAATACTTGGTACAATTAGCACAGCTAGCAATAGCACAGAAACAAGGAAACAAAACCCTAAAATAAGACAGGTTGGCGTGAAGTCAAGAACAAGGAAGGGAAATTCGCAGAATCTATGCCTCACTGGCGCGACTAGACAACCCAGCCATAGCCAAGCTAACCCTAGCTTACTTTCTCTAAAGATAGTGAGGCTTGTTTATCCTCTAAGAATGAACATGCTGCCCAGGACTACTCTTGCTTTGCCCTAAGGTCTCCTATTTTTATGTTGTACAAGGTAGTTGAGTACGCAAAACGACCACGATCACTTGAACATAAGATATCTTGACAAAATGCACAACACTCAGGATTGCAAAAGAACCACCGACCACGAAAATGTATTCTTAAAAAGCAGAAGAGTGTGACTAATCTTGATCTCACAAGCGTATCAGTCTCTACGATGTATCGAAGTGACCGAGAATTCCAAGGCTCTTGCGTCGACCTCACTGTCAGACTCATTCTCTCCCAGCACCCTTTCAGCAGCGGGATAATAATGACAAGGAGGTAGAAATTATATCAATAATCTGCAAAAAGATTAAATGGCTATGATCGGTCTATAAAATGATGAAAACTGCGAAGAGAGCAGAGTAAAGGGGAGCCCTGCTATATATTCATAATATGTAACAATTTGAACTGGCAACAATGAGAAGCAACAAAAATCTTCAGAATTGAAGCCCAGCAATTTTTGGCGGAGAAGAAATACAGAGGTTTTTTGACTTCGAATGAACTTCTTATGACCTGTTTTACCTCGCAATTTTACCTGGAACTTAAATGAATTAGTGGTTTCCTGCCTCAGACTCCTCGCTGGATTTACAAAAAAGCTGATGGGCCGGTCATTAAGTCAGCTTGATTATGAACACGCTCTGAAAGTCTAAGGGTTTAGTAATTATCAATTGGGGTTGATCTGTACTCTGTTCCGTAGCGCTTAGGAAGTCTTGCTGTACAACCATTGAATCTTTCAGGCCCTACAATGTGAGTACCCGAATCTTGGCTTCCACCGCTGCCAATGCATCCATGTCTTCATTCTCATGCTTGAGCTTCATTGCTGCCTTTTTGAATCTGGTATCTTGAAAGATTTGTTCAACGCCAAGTCTGACCTGCGCTGCCGAAGGCCTTTGCGTTGCCAGGCTGACTGCCAGGCCAGCGTAAACCGCACGCATGGTAACTTCCATCTTCTCCTCGCTTTCTCCCGCCAGAACAATGGGGACACCGTTTCTGACAGCATGTGTCAGAGCGCCATATCCGCCGTTGGAGATGAAGACATCGGTGTACTCGAGGATAGTGTCGTAAGGCATGTAATCCACGACCCTAGCGTTTGAGGGAACGACGAAACCATGGGGGAGTTGAGCGCCACGAACCCCCAGAGCTGCAACAACGAGTGTATCCTCAATTTTGGAGAAGGCTTCGATAGTTGGAAGAACAAGCTCGGAATGATTCATGTTGATAGTGCCCTGGGAGACGAAGATCACATGTCGATACTTGTTGTCTTTATGATTCCTTTCAACCTCTGGCCACCAAGGAGGGTACTGAAAGGTCGTTGCAGTAGGCTTCCGAGGCAAGACGCCTATGAACTCCACAGACGGTGGCAAGTCAGAAAGTTCGTATTCAAGGCTGGGAGAGCATAGTTGCAGTGCAAAGTCATGCGCTGTATAGCATGACCGAAACATGTTTGTCTCCAGAATAGTCGTACATCCTGTGAGTCTCATAGCCTGTTGCCATGCATCAATCGATGGCTTCATTGGACCTTTTGCAACCAGCTGCTGGAGCACCGCGTTACGCTGACGACCGGATCCGGTGGAATCGGGAGGCAAGCCGAGTGTGACTGGTGCAGTGTCCCGACTTTCCATGATAAATGCTGCAACACCGATACCGATTGACTTGGGGACAGTATCAAAGCCTTGAGGCAAAGGACGGCCGTATCTGAAGGGAAAGATTGACCAGTTGAAGACATCTTCAATGACAATGATCTGGCGGCCTGGGTCGCGTGCTTTCAAGTCGGTCAAGGCCTCCTCCATCTTCCGTGTTCGCAGAGGAAGGGTATCGAAGAAAACAGCTTTGATTTGTGCAGCGAAACGCTCGGGACCAATTGGCAATGAAGCTGCATCGCGAAGGGCTTGGTAAGTTTCGCTGGTTATAGGGTTATCGGTATGAACCCACTCGGCGCCGGCGTCTTCGACTTTGCTGCGGAAGTCTTCAGTCGTGAGGAATGCAACTTCGTAACCCTTCTTCGCGAGGAATGCTGCAATTGTCAGCAGGGGATTGGTGTGACCTTCTCCAGGGTAGGCCACAATGAGAATGAGAGGGCTGCCTCCTGAGCCACCCTCAGTGACTCTTGCTTTGTTTGCCGTCATCGTGTAATTTGTAAAATCGAGCACTTGGTTATGGAAAGATCCTAGAACAAGGAGTGGATGGTATTCGGGCTTCTCATAAATACTTTTTCCAACGTCTCGAATCCTTCACGATGCCCCTCTTTGCTTATGAAGCATCAACGAGGACCATGCATCTTGTAGCATCAGATATGGACCATTTGCGAGAGGGGGGTTTGAATTCAGAGATAACGACTTTGGCTAGTCGTTGCAAGCACGTACCAATGCTGATCGGACTCGGCGATTGACCAGAGCGATGCCACGGGGTGATTGCTCATGGTTCAAGGCGCGTTACCCCGACTGAGACCTCTTTTTTCAAATGCGAATTGAGCGGCTCCATTGATTCGGAGAAATCATTTGCGTCTTGGCATCGCAGCTTCACAATAGAATACCCAACGATAAGCCTTGGAGCGCTTGCAACTGACTGTAAATCCAACAGCATCAATAATTTTTCTCTACCTTACCACTCAAGTTGAAGCTTTGCTATCGTCTGGAAAGGCTGAAGAAGACAGAGCTTCCTGAGAATGGCAACCGTCTTGGAAACAAACACGGTAAATCTTGGGACCGATGACCTATCGGACCGACGCTCAGAATACTCTCCGTTTCTTAGCCATCTCCGTGTTACGAATGGGGCTGCGGGTAGCTGTACGTGATGCGTCATCTGGGTACCTTGGCACGTCTATATTCGGAAGGTGGCATGAACATTGTTGACGGGTGTGTAAGGTAGACATCGGAATGACAAGGTTCTCGCTAGCGTCACGGATACTCCCGCATCTCAAAACAAACACTGCCGGATGCTCGTTGGCTATATCACAGACACCTGTGCAGATCACCACCACTACGGAGCACGGAGATGCTCGCTGAGACCGTAGTACTGCGGATCTCTGCATCTTTGTGCAGCATTGCTCCCGAATGGCGAGGCGGCGAGTCGCTAACGTCGTATTCTCGGACTCACGTCACTAAAAGCGAATCGCGAGCGCTTCAACGACGATGTTCTTATTACTTAGCCGTTGCCAAATTACCAAGCTGTTGCTTTAATACAATACATTGGAGGTTCTGCTTCGAGCTAGGTCCCTCGCCTGCAAATTTCTCAATCGACTCAACACTGTGCACTAGATTACCTTGACCTTGGTTTATCACAACTCTCTCATTGAGCTGAAGCAGCCTGACGACACAGGATGGGTGATGCCAGACTGAAGTTTTAAGACCAGATAATCAAGATATAGTTTCATGATGAATGAAACGGTTGACTCTGCTGTAAGAGAAATGGTGTTATAGAGGACGTAACAAGGCATTTTCGCAGATGATTCCGAATGCTGGTCATTGCTTTCGTGGACTTGATCGGTCCATACCTGATCTTGCTAGTAGGCCAAAATATCTCTAAAAGTAATTAGTTTTGTGAACAGGTGGCCTTGTGGAAGCAAATAATTCTTTGGTTCTGGGGTAATTGGCCGAGCTGCTGCCCTAGGCGCTCAAGTGACAATGAGCTACTTGGATGCCTTAGATTCATAGGCTGCTTTGAAACTTTTTCGCTGTGCACTAGATGTTGCATAAACACAGACTAAGGTAAGATATGCCTCCTGTTGGTAGTTTGTGTTCTTTGTGCAGTCTAAACGCCATGGGGACCGGGTTTGATGAATCCCGCAAACCCGAACTACTTAGGCGAGCTTGACTCAGCAACGGCTTCATGCGCATCGCACGTGGGAATGAGTTGATTTTGGGTGTACTCAGGCCTTGACTCTTCAAACCTCTGATAGCCGGCTGCTTGAAATGGCCTGAAGCTCTGCGCTATTATCTATGTAGTTCCCACTCCGTTTTCAAGATTCAGAGACTAAGGAGGTACTGACGTCATCGCGGCATGCATGCTAATTGAAATGAATTCATGCCCTAATTTCTTTCTTGCTCGCGGGTAGACAACCGATATCCCAACTTCGGTGCTCAGTATTGTAGAACGACTCATACTAAGTAGCTGTGTTTAAGTCATACCCGTATGTGTTCTTTGTCGTCCTGTGCCAGAATACAGTGTAATGGCCAGTCTGTAGTGCTCCTTCTCTCATCGTGCTCCTTCTCTCATCGTGCTCCTCCTCTCATCAAGAAGTCCATGAATCTGATGCTGCAACAAGCAAGCTGCACATTCTGCCAGAGAAATAGTGCAAAGAGGATGAAGTCTGGTTTGTCGCCCATCTCGTCCGCATTGCCCCCCCATTGAATGTCATTTACCACAATCATCAGGAAGAACTGCTACATTAGCTCAGTCCAGGTTCAGGAAGTTTACTGGGGCACCGGAGTCTCCGCGGTCGCTCGAGTCCGAGGTGAATCGGGAAATCCGCATGTAAGTTATCGCCTTATTCTTAGAGTTCAGCACGCCAAGTGTGTGAAAGCGGAAGGTCGCTTAGTTGGTTGAGTTAAGTTCGATTCCAACAAGCTTTAATCAGTGTTTTAGCCGAACGGCTTACTTTTAGTGCCCTTGATACACCTGAGATGCGTTGCAGTTTCAAGCCTATAAGTATAAGCTCCAATAGTAAGGTGTATTTTTAAAAACATGTCTTTAATTCATTTGAAATATATAGGGGCACGCTTTCATATGGGTTCATATGAACGTCATAGTTCGTTTAAAAAGTTGAGTTGAGTTTGATTTTAACGGCGTTAATTGGGTTTTCAAGCTGAACGGTTCACTGAAAGTGCTGTTGAACTGTCGGTGAACGCGATGAGATGAACATGATCGTCGGGTTTGGTCGGATATGAAAGTGGTCGGCGAAAGGCCATGCAGATCTCAATAGACCCTTGACACTTAAGCCCGGGGATTCCGGACACGACCTCAGCAAAAGCAGGGCATAGCTTCGAGACGGACTTTCGGCATCGTCCAACAAACGAGGAAACAGCCTTAAATCAAATTTGAAATAAGTACGAGGGCCAGCCAAACTCTATTCCACAGCCGACGACACTATCCTAAACCCACCCCATTCACATTCGCAGCACGCTTAGGAGCTCCGATTGGAAGGGTTCAGATTTAAGGTTCGCAACGCGGAGCTGAACCGGGGCAGGGCTGGTTGGCCTTCAAGTGCCGACAACGTGTGCGTGTACCGCCGGAGAGGAACACACGGCCAACGCCTCGGCAGCCTGCAGGTCAACGCGCAGCGGCAACTTTATTAAGTGAAATGAGGGGACTAGGGCCACGAATGCCTGCGGTGTTACTAGAACGAGTAGCGCGGCTGACTCAATAATAGCATTCATTCGCTCATCTTCCCGAACATTTCGCTCTTCCCGAACACTTCGCTCTGAAGTCCGAGACGAGGCGAATCCGAGACAAGGTGCCTCGTGAGGGGTTCGTCAGCATTTATCTTAAGTGAGGGCCTTTGCCAGACTCCGTTCAATGTCACTCACACCCTCATGCCTCCTCTGTGCGTTTATTGACCATGATGCAGTCATTTGTTTCGGTCCTTTGTTTCTTTGCCTTGCTTGCGCAAGTCTCGGCATGGGGCCCGCGCAAATCGGACCATGGGCCCCCAGGTCACTATGGAGGCCGACATAGGCATGGTGCTAGCTTCACTCCGGACTTCGTGTTGAGGATGACCTACGAAAACGTTTCAATAGGTTGTCAGACACGAGCGTCCGTGCTGGTCAATGGCACATTGGTCGGGCCACCGCTCAGGCTCAAGCCCGGGCGAAGGAGTTGGATCAGAGTTTACAATGATATGGAGCTTTACAATGCCACCATTCATTGGCACGGCTTGAGCATGCGCATGGCACCTTTCTCTGATGGCAGCCTGGTCAGCCAGTGGCCCATTCCACCTCATCATTTCTTCGACTACGAGGTCTACCCCCTGTCATCCGAAGGCGGCATGACCACCTTCTATCACTCTCACGTCGGCTTCCAGGCGATGACGGCTTCTGGGCCATTGATCGTTCTGGACAAGCCTGAGCCCCCCTACGCTTATGATGAGGAGAGAATCGTCTTTCTTACCGACTACTTCAACAAAACGGACGAGGAAATCGAGAAGGGGTTGGTGGCGACGCCATTTACCTGGTCTGGCGAAACGAATGCGGTTCTCCTCAATGGTGTCGGAGTCTCTGTTGGTGAAACAGCTGGAAGTGGCAGCTGCAAGTTGCCAGTAATCGACGTCAAGCCTGGGAAAACCTACCGTATGCGCTTTATTGGTGCCACAGCCCTGTCTATGGTACAGATGGGCATCGTGGATCACGACAACTTCACCATCATCGGGGCAGACGGCCACTACACCAAGCCTCATACCGAGAAGTTCATGCAGTTGACTTCAGGGCAACGATTTGACGTCATCTTCAAGACCAAGAGCGAATCAGAGCTGAACGGCAAAACCGACTACCTCATTCAACTGGAGACCAAGGACCGTCCGAAGGTGTATCACGGCTACGGTGTGCTACGCTACTCCAAGGCACACCCCCAAATCACCACAGCGCCAGCTACACCTCCTTTGGCGCTTTCTAATAAGACCTATGAATGGGCAGAGTATGCCTTGGAACCGCTGGTGCCCAACAACTTCCCCCAGGCGAGTGAAGTGACACGACGCATCGATATCGACAACCGTCAACTCGCTACTCAAACTACCCTTTGGCAGCTTAACGGGCTGCAGTGGAACGACACTTCGTCACCCTATCCAGGAGATCGACCCTACTTGGTCAACATTTACGAGAACGGACCATCGGCCATTCCGAATTACACAGCAGCCATTAACAATTACGGCTGGGATCCGACTACGTTGACTTGGCCGGCCAAATTGGGCGAGGTGAGTACTTTATAACTCCTTGGTATATTACCTACGCGAAAAGACATTATGCTGACAAGCAAACCAGGTTATCGATATCATTTGGCACAACACTGGATCCCTCGTCAACGGTAGTGGTAGCGGTGGCGTCGATTTCCATCCCTTCCATGCCCATGGCGGAGCTTTCTTCGACCTTGGCAGTGGAAATGGGACATACGACCCCTTCGAGAACGAGAAGCGGCTGAAAAATTACAATCCGGTCAAGCGAGACACCACAAATCTCTACCGATACGGCCCGAAGACAAGGTCTGGCGGTGAATCTGGATGGAGAGCCTGGCGTCTGCGCGTGGAAGACGCAGGCGTTTGGATGGTAAGTTTGCTTCGACTCCACAAGGCTAGCCATGAGCTGACTAGACTGTAGATTCACTGCCACATTTTGCAACACATGGTGATGGGCATGCAAAGTGTCTGGGTGATGGGAGATTACCAAGACATCACGGGCATCCCCCCTGTTGATGCGGCTGGGTATTTGCAATACGGGGGAAATGTGAATGGCAACGCCACTTTCGCACCATCAGTTGTGCACTTCTTTGATGAGGATACATAGGGAGGATACCTATGGACTTGAGGTAATACTTAGATTTAATGCAACTTAAGTCGTTGCACCTCTTTCCCAAACCGGGTACGACCAATCTTTGCGGAGCCGCTGCAGAGATGGTTGTTGTTTATGCAATGAAACAAAGTCCAGGAAACGCCCACGTTCCTGAGGACTGCTTCTTCGTTCATTGATCTCATAGTGATGCCTGACTCGCAGCGTACCAGATTCGTACCAGATTAACTTTTTGTATGAAATCAAAAAGCATCCCTGTCCCGTCAGCCTTGGCAACGCCCGGAGGCCGCACTGTATGTAGAAGTAGACAGTTTCAGACAGCCGATGTAGGCGCCCTTTACCCTTTCGGGCGGAACCGGCGTTAAACAATCAAACAAACAAACAAACGCCCGGAGGCCACTGAATTAGCTGGCATTGGCTCTCAACTGAAACCAAGAGTCGCTTTCTGGGTGACAGACTTTACGCACCTTACTCGCGCTAGCTGCGCTCTGCGCATCCCACGTAGAGCTAGTGTTACCCCTCACCAGCTTTTGCGTGAGCTGTGAGTTTCTATTCAGTCTTTGCTCCAGCTTACAACTTGCATTTTGCCTTTTTTGTTGTATCCCGTGCCACTCACTAAATTACTTTCCCGCTGTGGGGCGCTATTTTGGACGTCGACTTTGGGCAGCGTCTCGACTGCCGTGCAACTTTGTAATCCTTCACAGCAACCTTGCTTGGAAAATTAGCGAAATCCACGAAAAGCATGGGCCGGTTGCCAGAGTTGCACCAGATGAGCTATCTTACCTCAGCTCTACAGCTCGGGAAAAGATCCACAGCCAGAGATCACGGGAATTCGCAAAGTTCTTTGACGGACGGGGAATTGCTGGGCCCCAGTGTTCCCGGCCCAGCGGTTCGTAATGGCGAACTCGTGACGCCCAACCAGGAACCTCACTCCCGATTTCGAAAGGCAGTCTTCCCGGGCTTCAGCGACCGGGGACTGAGAGAGCAAGAGGAACTCTTTCAGCTTTATGAGGACAAACTAACCTTATAGCTGCGATCTTCCAGTGAAACAGGGACTCCCCAGGACATGGTCAAATGGTTTAGCCTTGCTGCTTTTGACATTATTATCGACCTCATGTTTGTTCAGGCGGCTGGATGTCTGGACGTCGTATCTCAACCCTGGTCGCAAGTCATTGGTGCTCGAGTGCCGTGGATAGCCTGCGGAATGTGAAGAAGAATGCCTTGAGGGATATAAGCGGAATGGCATCTATAGGAAACTTCTACCAGGGAATGGTGGTGCTTCGACCGCACCAAGGAAGAATCTGACGGCGATGAGACCCTGGTAGTCCTTGACACCACAGGTTGCGACCGAGACTTTAGACCGGACCAAGGCCATCCAACAAAGATACACACTAGGTCGCACTTTTCCAATGATCATAGTGGACGAGATTTGACCGAGGAAGTATCTGTTTTGCAATGTTAGCAGCTTGGAAAGCCCGAGAGACAAAAGTCGTTTCGGTCCGCTTACCCGACGCTGAGGACTGACACGGCAGTGCCATATTGGTACCCTTCGAGACTGAGATCCTCGTTCAGGCTACTGAGGCCAGCTTGTCTGGAGTGGTCGAGTTCAGTCAGTAATGGCACGCCAAAATCCTCGTACTCTCAATCAGGTACTGACTTACGCATTTAAAGCTTTATCTAGTTAGTTAAACAGATAGAGTACCCATAGGCATGGCATGAGAGTCACATAAGGCGCTTGACGACCTGCCTCTCAAGATCACGCCAGTTGTTGATCCCAAGGGCTTCAATCTGCCCCTCGGAAGGAGGAAGAATATCCTCTTTGCCGCTGGGTTCGTTAAGACGGGTCCTCGGCAACATGGTTCGCAGTAGTGCGATCAATAGCAGTGGTAGAAGCCGCGCCAATGCCTAGCTGCATATGGGCTGCGGGATTTTCTCGTTTGACCATTGACTGTCACGCGGATTCGACGAAGACAATCACCTGGTGTGGTCTCTCGACCCTAATCGCAACGAGCCCCTGACATACGAGAAAATCATGACGGGCAAGTATACAGGGTTTTAAGTTAACTGGGATGACCATGTGCGGCACTGCACGGCAATGTGGAAGAAGATGCATCGGGCCATCATACTCGGAAACGGACACGGGTACAACGCGATTGACGGATACATAGGAGTGTACGAGCCCACAACGCACTACGAGCACTTGTTGTTGGCGGGCAGGAATATTGCCCCCAATATCATAAAAGATCGTTTTGCTGTTAAATATCTTCATTATGGCGTGTGAGAAGTAGACACGTCTCTGCCTTTTTGGATTCACCACATAGGTACGCGGGCAAGCAGACACTTCAGTCGGTATCGCCCGGGTCTGAAAACCAAATACACCAACATCGTCTCATTCATATGTGAGATGAGCCAGTATTTACGAAACAATACACGAAATACTACAGATGGTGAAGTAGAAAATGTTTGAAGATTGGAATCGCTTTATCATAGCGAAGGGCGCCTAGATATATACGAGGGACGCGGCCAACTAAGTGAGCAGCCGATCTGTATATCAAGGAGGTCATACCTGTTGAAGGAAATATATCGTAAAATAAGAAACCTTCTACTCATTGCGTGCCTGACTGCACATCTCATGAGGGGGTCAGTTCAAGTTCATCCTGTATAGCTCAGCAAACCGGCCATCTCCTGCAATCAGCGAAGATGGCTCTCCGATCTCCAAGACTTCGCCGTCACCAAGAAGCGTGACTAAGTCGTACCGTAAGATGTTCTTGAGCCTGTGCATAATAGCCAAAACAGTGCAGTCGCGGAATTCATTGTCAATAACATCCTGCATAACCGCTTCGGTCTCGCTATCAACACTAGGTACATTAACATCAGCGTCAATTTCATACCAAAGACAAACTTCTACTTACCTGCTCATGGCCTCGTCCAAAATCAAAAGCTTGCACTGCCGAAGCATGGCCCTGGCCATGCAAAGAAGCTGCTTCTGACCAGCCGACCAAGCTTTGTCATCAATCTCCGAGCCCAAGCCGCCTTGTTCTTGAACATGTCTCGAAAGACCAACTCTGTCGAGAGCTTGGGAAATCCTTTCGTCGTCGGAAACGACGCTAAACGGGTCAATATTGAATCGGATAGTTCCCGGCATAAGGAAGGGATCTTGGGAAACAACATTGATACATAACCGAAGCTCCGATGGTACCAAAGTTGATACGTCGATACCGTCGATGTTGATATGACCTTCCTTTATGTCTGTCATTTGTAGTAGGCTGAGGACGAGCGACGTCTTGCCGCTGCCTGAGCGACCACAGACAGCAACATGGTCACCGGCCTCCACCGACAACGAGACTCCCTTGAGTATGGGCTCTGCATCAGGACTGGCGCAATATCAGTTCCGAGACCGAAAAGACGTGGACAACACTTGAATACTCACCCATAAGACGCAAAAACATTGGAGAAGGTGACAGCTCCGCCACGGGGCCAATCCCTTGGTAACTGCCCCTTGCCAGCTGTTTTCTCTGTTTCGGTCTCTACTACAAATCTTCTTACTCTTGCAACAGCCCCCACGCTGGACTCAAGCTTGGTCCAACTTTGAATCAGGCGAGCCAACACCTCGCTAAAACTCATGACCATGACAAGGTTGACACCGACGCTTCCAGCACTGAATTTATCATGCCAAATGACAACTACGCACACAAGGATGACAGAAAGTACAGCCACGACCAAGTCGAGCACAAATATAAGCCACGCCTGAATGCAGCTTTGAACGTAATTCGGCTTCTGGGACAAGTCAATGCGGTGATAATTACGTTCCTGGTACTGGGCTTGCCATCCAAAGGCACGAATGGTCGCTCCCCCAGCCACGGATTCGGAGAAGTGGGTATAGAGGGGCGCCTTGGCTTCGATCCCGAGAAGACGGATCTGGCGAGACGTCTGAAGGTAGAAGCGTTGCAGAAAATAGACCACGGTCGTGAGGAAAGGGATTGTGATACCAAGATATTGGGAGAAGACGGCGAGAATAATGAGTTTAGCCAAGATGGACATGGCCGCTACGGAACATTGTGAGCAATATTGTATATTTGTATGAATGACAGACTCACTGGAGGTGTAATTCACCATATTGGCTGGCAGATCCATATCCAGAAGCTGCATATCTTCACTGAATCTGAAAATGGATAAAAATGAGCATCAAATTGGAATGAAAGTTAAACAAATGTGACCTACCTATTGAGAATCTCGCCATTGTCTGTTGTGGTCAGGAAACGGAAGGATGCCCTGTCCCGCGAGGTATACGATTAGCCCTGTCCCATAAAATACGGTGCTGCAAAATGTGCAAACTCACGCTATCGTAGTCTTGAGGAGGTCTGAGTGCAGCTTGAGAGCTGTATTTGTTATGACGTCGAGGAATGCAAACCAGGCAGCCAAAGAAGCTCCCAGAGTGCCAAGGACGCCAAACAGGGCGAAAATGCCTAAGTAATATCCCACGCTTGTGTTGGCACCGACGGCATTGGCTTCAGACCACCATTTGACCCAAACGGCTAGTTGTCACACATCTGTCAGCGGTATTGTCGCCAATATTGCAATGGCAACTTCACAACTTACTGGAGAACTCTGAGAAGAAGATCCACACGACAACTGCAATTGAGTAGAGGGTGACCGCCTTCCAACTGGCATTCTTCAAGTAGTATTCGTAAACTGACTTCTCCCCGTTCTTGCGTCGGATATCCGTATGACGCTTTTGTTCTTGGTGGTTCTCGTTGGTTGGCGTGGCTGTCTGCTTGTCGGGAGTCACAGAATCATCAGACTTATGTACATCCTCCAACACACCGTCAGATGACAAGTTCAGCCCTTGCTTGCTCGTATATCCTTGACCTCGCACGAGGGCTGCGGGGTTGCCGAATTCTTGTATTCTGCCATTGCCAAGGGAGATGATGATGTCGGCGAAGGCCATGATTTTATCTGCACTCGTTAGCAAGCCTATAACAATGCCTCGAGGTAAGGACGAATCTCACGGCTATGCGTTGCGATGATGATTTCCCTGTGTTGACTTCGCAAAATACCATTGGTGCCAAACAGACGGTTTGAGACATGATTAGCCGTGTGGGCATCCATACCGCTGAAGACATCATCAAGGACAATCATCTTCTGCCTTGAGTAGACAGCTCGGGCAAGAGCCTTTGGGGGCACAAGGTAAGATTTCAGCATGAACACAACGTTCGAGGAGTATTTTAGAGCACTCACAATTCGCTGTTTTTGGCCACCGCTGAGATTGACACCTTTGCTACCAACAAGTGTGTAGTCTCCCTTTTGCAACGCTTGTAAATCGGTTTCAAGACCGCAAGCCGAGATAACAGCATCGTACCATCTCTGATCGTAAAATGCAACGCCGAGTATGTTTTGCCGAACTGTCCCGTTCTCAAGCCATGGGCTCTGTGCACAATATGCCGCTGTACCTTTTTTGAGAGAATTTTCAACGGCTTGCGCGGCAGTAGGAGACATGGGGATCAACTCGCCCAGTATTGCGCTAAGGAAGGATGACTTGCCGCTTCCCACGGGACCAATGACAACAGTCACCACGTTCCGAGGGATATCAACGGTAAGGTCGTGAAGCACAGCCTGGTCCTTGTTCCAGCCGAAGCTATTCCCTCTGAACGAGATGACATACGGCTGCTGCGAGGGGTCCCCCCGCTTGCTACCGCCCTCAGTTGTCAGTGGAAGAAGGCTGATGTCCGTCGAAGGCGGCGAATGGGAGGTGTTGCATTGTCTATCGCGAGTTGCAGGTCGGGAACCGTAATTGCAAAAGTCTTGGATGCGGTCGAAGCATGCAGTCGACTGGACAACCATTGGTAGCAGCTGTATGAACACGACAACAGGCGTGGTCAAGAGCCCAATTAATGCAACGGAGACGAAGGCCTGAGCGGGCAACAGGGTTTCATTCTTCCAGAAGACTGAGATGATGACGTATACGGCAAAGGTAACAATGGGGGCAAGATTGATAGGGGTGAGCGCTGAAATTGTCCATCAGGAACCAGAGATTCTCACGCCGAAGATAAAAGACTTACATAGCAATAGAGTAGCCACGAGTAGCTTCCGGAAAGACTTCGAGGTGTTGATCTCATCATTGCGAAGTTCCTCAATCGTTGTCGACATGACATCTGCGAGTCCGAGCATCTTCACAGTCTTCATTTCACCGAGCATCGTTGTGGTGACACGAAGGCGTTCCTGGATCTTCTCGATCCACCGCATCTGGGCTATTCTGCTGGCCACAGAGATCTTCGATATTGCAGCGATGAAAACTGAGAATGGTCTGGTCAGCGACCGTCACAAAATCGCCACACAACACATACCCAATACAAGAACTATTGGTGCCAGACAGGCGAGGGATAGTTGCAGCCCGAGAAGCCAGCTGGCAACAGCAATATCAAGCAGCGAACCCCACATCATGTGGAATGTAGACATGGCACCAAAGATACGTTCGACATCTGTCCCCATCAGGGCTACCGCCGTGATTTCTCCAGCATCGACTTCTCTCGTATGAACGGCTTGTTGGTAGACAAGCGCGATTAAACCTCCTCGAAGCCTGGTTGTAAAGCGAAAGTTGTAGTACTGGTAAACAGAGTTGCTAACCGCGATGCCCAGGTACACCAAAACCCAGGCCCCAATGAGGCCTCTGCCGTAGTAAGCGTCCGGGTTTCTGTTACTCACAAAGGTTACAGTCGTGTTTATGAGAAACGGTTGCGCGAATGTAAAGACCGTCAGACAGAGTCTGGGGATGACAGGTGCCAGAAAGGACCAAAGGTAGCCCCTAAAGCAAGCTTTGATGAGACTATGACGACTTTGAAGGTCATCTGATAACGCCTCATGGTCAGAAACGGGCTGTAGTCATCAATGGGAATGTTCTGACGTAAAGCACATACATTTTTCCAATGCAACGGCCAAGTTTCTGTGAAGAACGCGACTTTCTATGTTTGAATCAAGCACTGGTAAGTCGCCGAGAGATATGACTTTGGAGTACCCCAAATAGAAGGTAGTCGCCAGCCACAAAAAGCAAGTTCTTGACCAGAAGCCGCTGCTCTGCTCGGGAGTTGCATGTTCTCTGTCAGGGGTATCGGCCGCGGCAAGTCTCTTCTTCACCTCTATTGACTCTAGCAAGAGCACCGCCAGGGTGAAAACCAATACGACTGTGGCGATGGCTGGTAAACGGCCGCCCAGAGAGGAAAGATATGCTGTCCGGACACGGGCAATGCCAAGTATGATGGATACCGAGAGATAGAGGCTGAGGAGAGTCGAGGGTCGAGGCGATCTTTGATGGTTCAGGATAGACAGCAACAAGACTGTAAGCGTAGCGAAAAGAGTCAGAACATCGGCGGCGATCGACGCAGGAGTTTGGAATGCTGAGGTCTGGCAGCGCAGAGCCAGGAAGGCCAACTGGAAGACAAGAAGTGTCGTCGTAGCCACCTTGAGATGGGCGTTAGCTCGAGGCACCTATCGGCATTTCGATTGTGCGGTTGGACATACCAACTTGCTGGCCAGGAGCCTGGATCGAGTCGGGAAAGCAACGGGCTGTCGAAGCAACTGGGCAACTCTCATTGGGACGAGGAGAATAAATAATGCAGATGGCAAGCATACAAAGACAACGTCTTCAAATTGTAGAGTAAAGTCAAAAGACCGACAATCTGTATGGACCCGTGGTCCAAACACCCAGTCGCTGGAAGTCGGACAGGACATTTTGATGCTTCGTAGAATCAAAAGATAGATTATGACATATTCCCTAGAGGCTCAAGCTCGGTAGGGACGAAGGACACACAGGAATATAGTTACTGGCGAAATTTCCAGCAACATATCGACAGGCTGCGACAGAGACGTTAAGTCGTGACGCGTGTCGAGTGTGCCTGGCTTCACGCCTTGGGATTACTATCAGCGCTGTCGCGTGCGATGTGCAGCCTAATTTGCGACATGTTCAATTAATGGCAGAGATACAAGGGTCATCCTGCAGCTTCTAACCTACTTTGGTGGGTCTTGGGACGGGATGCGCCTGGATGGGCCGACCGGTATAACATAGTAGCTGGTAAGTAGATAAGAATATCCATTCATGCCACATTTCATATTTGCGTTCTGGGGACTTTGGTGGTGGGTGTCTATTCTTCCTGTGTTATGAGTGGTTAGCATTGTTTTATTTACCTGAGGCAATCTCACGGGGAAGAAACCCAGTAACACATGATGTCTATTATTCCCATTTCGTAGAGCTACTAAGCATACCAAACAATTCCCCGGCTTTGCTCGCCAACTTCCCTGCCTGTCCGCCCTCTGGCTTCGACGTTGACTCTGGTACGTCTATTCGAGAAAGCCTTTCCACCTGTTTCTCTCCTTCAAGCTGAGCACCGCGTCAAAATCTTTGCAGGTGTATCTCTCGAGAATGCCGTAGTCCTCGTAGTCTTCCGTCACTCCGAGCATGAGATCAGCATTGCACATTAGCGAGTGTCATAGTCGATTAGAGTAATGCAGGGAGTGGATTTATGATAAGCTCTTGCCGTTGGCGAGGAACCGCTCTCATAGAAGTGCATGTTGAGTGACTGGTAGTCAGTCAGACTAAAGCCACAGCTTTGCATGGTCTTGCAGGTGGCATGCTCACCAAACAGCGCAGGTTATGGGAACCAGCCACCTGATAAACTATCTCGCCCTTCAACCCCGGAGTCGATTTGGCAAGCCAAGAAACCCAAGACATAACGACCTCTTGATAGCCGGGCTCAGTAGAGCCGCAATCCAATCCTCCGGGGACTAAGTCGTCATCCCCATTTATGCACATGGGCGATGGCTAGCACTAAGAATGCCGCAACCGAGTCGGATGGCACTTGAATCACCGACATGACACATTGTTTTCGGCAATGCCGTGGCTCTTCACCAATGCCTTGACTTCTGCAGACTATTCATGCCATCAAACTAAACCCCCTCCCACATTAGTGTCAAACACTTTGATGCTTAATCCCGAAACTCTCAGTATCCGCCTCATATTAATTAGTATTGGCTGCGATTTAATCTGTCGAGCTTCGCCTAAGGTAAGAATATATTTTTTTACTTCCAGGTTATCCCTTATTAATTAGTATTAAAAAATTATTATAAGATTAAAGGACCTCATTATCTTTATCAGCTTTAATATATAAATTTATTATTTTCTCAGAATATTAATAATTATTTTTAACATAATTAGTATTCTCTTTTAATATTGATATCTTCTTCAATAACTTTCAAAATTAGCTTTAAAAGTTTAATATATTCGTAGCGGATTTAGGCATAAAGGATAATACTTAGGGAACGATAGCTTGATTAGAGATGAAGTAAGAGTTAAGTAAGCTTTAAGTCGGGCAGTCTCCTACTAAAAAGCCGGGAAGAAATCTAAGAAGTTAATTTAAACGGGCATCTTCTCGTCTTTTTAGAGTTATGCTCAGGGCTTAAACCCAGATTGCGAAGTTATGGGCGTGGCTAAGTTAAACTTTACAGAGACTCAGGTAGAGATGCGGATGGAAGCTTAAACTCGGTCTTGGCACTTCCCTGTGGCGATTAAGGTGGTGGTATTCAGCTTCCAGGAATACGCACTTCTCACTGAGTATTCGTCGGTTTGAACCCGTAGGCCTTATGATCAGTCCAGTGCCTTCCTATTCTAACAACAAATACCGGGCCTGATGGCCGAGGGGTGAAAGCCCTGAAGTGTTGACTGGTGCATGAAGCTCTGCTACCTTTCGATACTCCCGCGTTCAATTCTCGGTTGGCTCCTGTTGTTTTTTATTTTTCTCAAAAATTTTGAATTGTCTGTCTGCTCCTGTATAGAGCAGTTGCCCATTCTCGAGGTCAAGCTTTACATCTACCAGCTCTTCCGCGCTCTCGCCTAAATCCACTCGCAAGGCATCTGCCATCCCGAAGCGTGACCGCATGCGAATAGCCTTCCTTCTTTCTTAAAATTTCTGACGTCGAATTGCTTTCGTTTGACCTGTTTTTGTTGTGCATGGGAGATAACTACAATCCTGATGGGATTTCAAATATGAAAATCTGCATGAACCCTCTTTCTTGGCCACGGAACGTCGTGATTAACGTCAATCTTGGCTTTTATTCCGGTTTCCGACTGCACTCAATCCCATTCAGGTATGCTGCAGTTTGTCTCGAGGACCTTTAGTAACAAACTGATACGAAAAATCAGATCTTCTCAGACCACTGGACTGATTTGGAAGGGTGGATACCTCGTTCCTTGAGATCATTGTTGGTTACATGTGCCCCAAGACTTCGCCGCTGGCGCTGATAACCTGAGCAAAAATCAATGAATCATCTTTTTCAACGGCTTCCGAGACATTCAAATGCGTCTCGAGCCGATTATTCTTGAACTCGCCTCAGAGACTATAAGTTGCCTTCGCCGCATTCGTAGAGTAGGAACGCCATGATGCCGCTTCGGTATCTCCATTTCACGAAACGTATATGTAAATGGACGAGGGTTTGGCAGCAAAAGCAGCTGTAAAAGGTTCTTCTTTGGGTGTTCGTGTGAATTTGGACTGGAGCCACGGTGACTTTAGACCAAAATGCCTCCGGGAGCCGAGTCGAGGTGGGCCTGAACAAGACGTCGCCATGATTGCTATACTTGGTTACTGCGCCTGCCTATCTCAAGTCGATGAAAATTTTGTTGGCGGCAGGGACCTGGAAATTCTCTTGGGTATGAGCCGATTTCCAATGGAGCGTCATATGTGTTCAAAGCCTTGGCTGTTCCATCAGTGTGGTTACGCTGGTAGATGCGGCCGCCAGATCACGAAATTGTCTTGACTAGTGCGGGGTGTGCACCATTATTGAAGAACAAGATGGTTTCAATGTTTTCCATCCGTCAAGCATGCAGTTGCCTTCATTATCTTCATCGACACTGTTGACACGGAAGGAGTTCCACCCATGAGCCTCGATTCTACCGCTCCCTGGGAGGCCTCTGCCAAAGTCGAGTGGGAATGCACTAACTGTAGACCGCCTCAAACAAGAAAGTTCACCCAGAGACGTGCTGTCTGTTCCTGTCACATACACTTCGGGTCTATGTGGTCGAAACTTTCCCATTCAAATACCAGATCGCCCGCTTCAATGTCAATCCCTGTCATCTCATTCAGCCTTTGGACGTATCCAGTGATTTGGCATGGTCACAAATGGACATTCATGCTTTGGATTCCACACGAGATGATCCAGTTCTGGTCTTCACTGCCTCCCCAAAGCCCGAGTAATACAGGTCTAGGGATGGCTGTTTCTACCCAAGCAGTCTAACCGTTGACCAAGCGGAACACGTGAGCTGGATCTTCGATCTTCCCGACTGGATTTTTATCTGGGGTTGCAACCTGTAGGAAAGGCTGCTATGGGGAACGGGAACAGCTGTTTGGTGGCTCACTATAGAGCTTAAGGTACTCTGAGTCGGTATGCACCGATCCCTCCAATGGAGACTGCTCATCAAAAAAAAAAAAAAATCGCTTGAATGGTGTTCTCAAGTGGCTTTGCTAAACGAAATCCAAATGACCAAATGATTCCACTTCTCTTAGCCAAAGGTACCTAAGCTTGGCAAGCCTCCCCAATATACTGCACTGTACCCAACTTGTCGTCACACGCAATGTCGAACTTCGATTGAACGAGAGCATTGGACTGGTCGAAGCAGCAGATCTAGTTCCTCGCGTTAACCAGAAACTTCAAAAAAAAAAAAAAAGGTCTAGGCATAGCTGGAATCACGGCAACGTACTCCCTTCCCAAGAGGCACACCTCCAGCGCGGGAACAGACACCCTTGTCCTCAACCACCTTGTTGCCCACATCGTTGCAGAGGGACGTCGTATTGGCGCCCAGACCCACGGTGACGAAGAGAACGAGTGTTGCGATAGTGGTCTTCATCTGTGCTGTTTAGTATGAACAAGGGATGTTGTGTAAGGTATCACGTTTTTTTTATGTCGTGGAGACAGGCTGTCAAAGTGGTTTTTGTGTATCTACGAGCTGTGACGGCTTGCTAATAAAGATTGACCAGACAGGAATATGACAACGTGGTTCACTCAGTTTATATACGCCCCTCCACAGCGCAGAAAGCCAAGGTAAAACAAGGCGACCAGCTGAACAAGTTAGTCATTTACCCACGGGGATGGTGAACCGCCCCGTCGGAACATCTCAGATGTCAGGGCCTGAGACTCCGAAACGGCGACAGCGAGCATCCTATCCCTACCTTGCTGGCGCGCGACTTTTCCCCATCATGCGGCGCTGGGGATGGATCATAGAGGTGGCTTCCACACTCTGAACCCTGGAAGTTGGCGTGTCAGAGTGTTCCACGATGCCGCGTCGCTTAGGCCGAGTTCATCGCATAAAACACGCTCGAAATAAAGTTTAGTCTCCCGACACACGTCGCGACTCGCGGCATTCCTGCCTGGTCTGCAGCTCATCGGGGCCTTCCGGCGGATCAGTTGCCCAGGCCATCAAAGGTACCGGCAACAGCTTCCACTGACTTTTCCACGCGAGGGCTCCATCACCCTATCGCATGGCGGACTAAACCGAAGTGAATTCAATATGTACGATCAGAGCATGGATATGAACTACAAAGTCTACTAATCCACAAGCGCACTGTTTATCCTGGGCCCATCTATCAGGGCTATGCAATCCCGCCTCCCCGGTTGGATATCATTCCGTCGCCATGCCTTTTATGACTGTCCATTTCCTCAGCTGAACCTACTACATACGCAAGCACGCTGCATACCTGAGCCATGCCGCGCCGATTATGCGAAATAACTCTTCCAAAGCACGCCTTCCAAATCCTCAAGCTGCTCTGATGTGAAGTACTATTGATATGTTAGCCGCTAATCAAGATGAGGTCGGGACAAGACCGGTAGAATCGGAGGATATCCGGGGTGCGTTTAAACTGTACCTTTTGATCCACACTCCAACTATCTTGTCTTGTCTTCTTGAAGTCGGATAGGATAGACTTGGTAGCCTTGCCAACCACACCGGGGTCGCTTGCAGCACGTGTAGCAAGGATCTGAAGCACCTCGGGCATCCACGACGGGGGCGGCGTCGCGTAGGGGAAGGCCTCGATGAGTGCTCCGAGACCCAGGACAGCCGCGTGACGACGCACAATCTGCTTGTTGTTGTCTACGGGCGTTTCAGTGCCCGGCAGCTTCCTCTTGGGCATCGGGTTCAGACGCAGTTCGTTTTCGAACCGTTTCTTGAGTAGTCTAATGGTGGGGTCGCGAATGCGCTTCGGCGAACATCGAATCATGCCGGCCAAAGTGGCCGATGCGCAAGACCGGACTTCGAGTTGGGGGTCGGCGAGCATATCGCTGACGGCGTTGAACAAGATGTCCCGTTGCTTCTTCTCGATGAGGAACAGGCGGCGGAAGTAAATCACTTGCATGTTGACCATGGATCGCAGTCGCTGGTGCCAGCTCGTAGCAGACTTGCCGATGCGGACCAGTGCATCAATGAAAGCCCCATCTTCCCCAAGCCTGAAGGGAATGTTGGGCAGATGACGGTAAACGTGGTAGGCGAGCCTCATAAGCTCGGGATCCTCCTTGACGTCCATCATGTGTAGGAGCTGCTCCATGAAAGGTTCGGGGAAGAATGGCATCAGCTGTGTGCATTCCTGCGATGACAAGGTACTGTCAAGCCAGGTCAAGACTGTCTTTGAGCCACTGGTATAGGACGAAGGCGTCTGTTGACCGGGGGTACGCTCATGTCGCCACTTCTCGAGACGGTCGAAGATCTCGAGCACGGTCTCGGAAAACTCCTTGCTTGCCTCATACGGGCGAAGACCGAGAGACGAGGCCGACTTGTTGGCTTCCAGCAACTTGTCGACATTCTCGAAAGACTCGTGATAACGGGTTCGATAGATGGTGGCGATCACGCGGCCCATTGCTTCTCTCACTGTCTTATAGGGGTGATCAATGTGTGCGAGGAAGTCTGCGAGAATTGGCTTCTCGTGACGGAAATGCCAGCCCGAGTCCGTGATGATGAATTCCAACACCTGGACCTTGCTCGACTCCTTGAAGGCGGCATTCGAAGACATGTCCAGCCGGAAAGAACTCAGTGCGTCAACAAGCTCATGCGATCTACGCGGGTCCTTCGGATCGACTGTCAGATGCAAGCATGAGACCCAGTACTGAAGATTCTCGGGCGTAAGATCCTCGTTAAGGACCTTCAGCATCAACGGCGCGGCAAATCCCCAGACTTGGTCGCGGAATTCGGGCGGATCATCGCTCGATCCGCACAAAAGCGCGGCAATGACCTCTGCCGTGGCGCGGTGTTGATGCTTGTCGCTGCCATCGCCGTAGACGTCGGTAGTGAGCTCTTTCACGTCGTCTAGCTTGATTGCCGTCCCTCCGTAATGCATGAGATCGAACACATGCATCAGCATGTACACGTTGCCCATGCGGAATCTATCAGCGTTTGCATCGCGAGGTTCCTGCTTGAGGTAATCGAAACAAGTCTTTAACCACTCCTTCGTAATCAGGTTGCCGATTTGTTTCCGGACAGCCGTCTCAGTCTCATCATAATCGGTGAAGGGTATGGGCTTCGCGCGTGATGCGAGGAACTTCTTGCCCCATACAAGCCATCCGGGATGATCCGAGTCGACCATGTACTCCGCGTTCTCGGGGCCGCCGGCGAATGCATCAAGGTATTTCTGTGTGAAGGCTGCGTCGCCTTTGGGAACCTCGATCGTAATCTTATTGCGATCCTTTTCCTTCTCAAGTAAATAGTTGCGATAGGTGTGGTCGTAGGCAGCGCGCATCTCTACAGCCTCGAAAACGCTGGTAAATGCGGCCATGTAGCTGGAGCGCAGGCCAGGGTGGGTGTCGTTGATGCCCTCAGTCACCAAAGCGATGAATTCGGGAGGTGCGACCGTGTCGAAGCGCAAGCACATGTTGCTAGCAAAGATTGCGCATCGAGACGCGATCTTCCAGTGGGCTGCCCTGGCCATTTCGGTCAATTCCAAACCCAACGCAAGCTTCTTCTTCTCAACACGCTCTCGCCGTTGAACAATGAAGTTGTGGCGACTGTCAATGGCTTTAGAGCAGTCATCGGAGGGACGAATCTTCTCGACGTAGTCTTCATTGACAATGATCATCCGCTCGAAAGGCTTGCCAAAATCGAGCAGAGGGAAGAGTGCCGTAGCGTTAAGCTGTTGGATACTAGGCTTGTCGATAGTCCCAGCACGAAGGTAAAGTTTAAGGGCATCCGGAGCAAATCTCCAGTCCTTGACCATGGTCCTCAGCAAACTAGTGAAGAACAGCGTATACATGGCACCTTTGATGCGATCGTGATCAACTTCGTCCAGGGCCACCCGAAGTCTCTCTAGTAGAATTGGGATCACCAGGGGCCGACCACCGATGAGGGCCTTGAGCGATGAATCAAGCGCGCTCTGTGCGACACGCCTGACATCAGCGTAAGGGGAAACAGACGACTGAGCTAGGTTCAGCAAGAGTTGTTTATCCAGGTCGCTCTTTTGTCGCGCTGATGCATTGTGCTTGACACGGAGAAGTTGGTAAGCATCTGCTCGCTTGATCAGCAGCGGGCGGGGGTACACTTTGCGAAGACCACTGATCTTGAACGCAGAGATGTCCGACTTGTAAAGGCGAAGGTGACGTTCCAGCGGATGGGCCGACCGCTCGATACCAACGTCCGTGATCCAGGTCCGGTAGGCTGCATACAGCGTCGTGAAGCAGGAAACATCGTCTTCTTGGTTTTGGTTGAGGAACTCGTGGCTCCGGCACAACAGTTGTCCCACGTCTTCTCTCAGCTCATGAAGCTTGTGGTAGGCAGGATCTTCGACAGTCAGGAGATATCCAGCGTCGTAGCGGTATTGAGGCCGCGTCTCCTCGTCCTCGGCCGCCTCGGCGAGAGGATCGTCGTCGTTCATTTCCGTATCGCCTTCACCATCCACGCCAGAGTGACCATTCGGGCTCTGGCCCGAAGCGCGGTGCGCGTCGAACAACGTTGCCACTCCAGAGATCACCAGCCTGATCTGTTGGAATAATCTGGAGACCTCATCAGACCACTCCTTGTTCTTTCCCTTTCGGCTGACTGGAGGATGTTCGCTCATCAGGAGATCCAGCTTCTTCGTGGCTGCTTTGGTCTGAGAATCAAACAGCTCCAGAGCAAACTGCACCTCCCCAGCAGAAGGTCGGTGCCACTTGATTGTTAGATCAGCGGGAGAGGTTGTCTTTCCCCAATCATTCACATCGAGTCCGCGCTTGATGATATCAGGCTCGTACAATGCGGTATCGATGGGATAGGTGTGTGTCAGGTTCAGCAGCAGGTGGTGAATGTAGTTGGAGATGTGAATGGTGGGGAGACCACGGCACTTCTCTTGCATGTACTTGGCGATGTCATGGAGCTCCGTCTGGTATTTCAGAACCTCATTACCAACATGCACAACGGCCATGCCTAGCATGCTCACGTGCCAAACAAGAGCACGGTCTCTGGGCAAATAGTCCGTACCGCTGCTTCGGTCTGACGCAGCGTGATTGAAGTCAATTTCATTTCGAATGTTGACAATGAGCATGGGAATGAAGACCTTGAGAGTCTTTTCCGGGTTCACCTTGCAGAGAGCATTGAGGATCCAAGCCATCGCGTCTCTCGCCTGGTGCACGACATGACTCGACACGAAGGAAGCGAGCTTCTCGAGGGCTGTATCGAAGAGCTCAGGAGACAGCGATGCGAAGAGAGGCGAGAGGGCTGCCGGCAACGCATTGATCACGTTGTCCTCCGGTGTCCCTCCCCTGATGTGGGAAGCATCCGGCAGGTTCTCCAAGAGCGTAAAGACCTTGCCCAGGAGGGCGATGACGAACTCGCCGAGTCCGGCTGTTGATGATCTGAGGACGTTGGCTTCGTCTTCGTCGGTAAGCTCAGTTTCGTAGTCCAGTTTGATATCCTGGCCCTCACGCTCCATGCGTTCCATTTCACCTTGCACCCACTGCATGGCCAAGCTGGTGTCATGGACATAATCGCCATCGTTGACGAGAGGCACCATGGGAATACTGTAGGCGACACTCTGGAAGAAGTTGAGCGTGTACTGCGTCTTCCCCAAGTCGTTGGCGTCGATGCCAGGAAGGGCAAGAGCCAAGAGAGCAGTGATGTGGCAACGGAAGCCCTTGGTCTTGGACATGACGTTGGCAATCATCTGCAGACCGTTCAAACTTGACGTTGTCCGGTGTACTTCCACCAGACCCTGCAAACTTGGGTAAAATCGCTGCAAAGCCCCAGGCAAAATGAGATTTGGTTCGAGGTACGCCAGTCCTTGAAGGGATGCGTAGTAGTAATGCGCAACCCTGTTACTCTTGGAGAATAGCCCCATGTATGTGACCTCTTTGAGCGCAGCCACGAAGCGTTGCTTCAAGGCGGGAGTGATCTTGCGATCCTCTGGCGTATCAAGCTCGCCGCTCTTTTCGCGATTCCATCGGGATACAAAAATATCTGTAAGGTATACGGTGAACTGTCCCAAAAAGGTGGTCCATGATCCCACGTTGGAAGGGTGATAGAACGTGTCAATGGCTTCAAGAAGGCCCTCAAGGCTCGCCAAAATGGAGCTCTCTTGCTCCAAGCACTTGGGCGACAAGGAGTACACAATCCACCTGGCAATCATGTAAGCCGTAGGGTATTTTTTCTTGTCCTTCTCGAGATATAAGCCCAAGCCAGACGAGTAGTCTAGCGTAGAGTATGGTGAATTAGACTGGCCGACCGGAATCTCTGTCAAGCGGAGAATTGCAGTGAAAATCCAATCTGACTGTTCCCTGGTGAAGATGCCGTGGGCATCAAAAGACGTATTGGACGCCTGCAAGAAGTCCCTTGCCATGCGGGAGTAGAGGTCAATAAAAAAGACGTCGAAGCTCTTGGATCTCGCAATCAGAGACCAGAGATGGAAGAGCGTTGGCATGAACTCTTGCGGCTGAGAGCACGGCACATTTTCGGGGGCGGCATCGGTGGGAAGCAGAGCGTTGATAGTTCCGACAACAATATAAGCATTCGAGACATCCGAGGTGCTGAAGTAGGGTAAGAATTCGTCGAGCATCTCCTTGCGGTCCTTGGGATCGAAGTATGTCTGTGCATGAAGGCACAGCTTCCACAGTTGCTTCTGGGAGCGGCGGCGGTTCGTCTGGTGTGAAGCGACCTCTGATGGCAGCACTAAAGCCTTGATCTCGCGCCATAATGGGCGCCAATCGAGCAGAAGGTCGTCGACGGGTTTGAGGTAGTGGTACTTTCTGCATGGAGGACTTTGTCAGTGACTGATCAGGCATGAGGAGGCCAAGTTAGGAGGAGGGGTGTGAAGGGGCAGCGCACCTAGTCAAGATGACGACCATGCGCAGGAAGCGGTCGGCAGTACTGGGCTCCAGTCCGGGGGCCAGACATAGGTGGTAGTAGAGCTTGGCCAAGGTGGAGCGAAGCTCTCGCGTCATCTCGAACTTGAGATTCAGCCATCCTGTGAGCTCCCTCGTCCAGTGCAAAGCGCCGGGGCTAAAGTCTTCTGCCTTGATGGCAATGTATAGATGCTTCAGAATACCAGCCAGAGCGGCATCTCGCTGTGATTCCTCTTCGACGGGGAAGGGCAGGTGATTGAAGTAGCTAAATGTGCGCGGGCGGTATCGCTTCTTGTCGTCCTCGTCATTCTTTGTGTACGGCGGCCCGGGAGAGTTGGATCTGGAGATGGTATCGACCGAGGCGAAATGGCTGGAGAGGAAGTGTGCGGTCGAGGCAGCAGCCAAGGCGGCGGCATGGTTGGAGGGCTGCGGCCCCGGTGTCTCGTCCATGGCGGCGAGGGCGTCGTGTCGAGGACACTAAGAGGATGGAGGAGGTGTTTGCGACTCTGGAGATGAGCGACCGAGCGGAGGGGTAGCAACGATCGGGGTGGTCGCACAGGTGCAGCAGGAATCAAGCTCCCGCTCCCACACCACAGCTGAGATGCAATGCAGCTGGGGGCTTCGGGTGGTGTCGTCGGTCGCGGGGCGGGCGTTGATCCGGAAGGGGGAGGGAGAGGAGACAGCGCAAGACTGGAGGCGAGGGAAGGGTCGACGGATGGACGGATCAGCGGATGGATGGTGGTACGGAGAGGACGTCAGGCAGAAGTCGAAAAGGGCAATCTCGTAGCAAGTCGGATCGAATCTCTGGTCGATGATGCGTGTGGTGAGTATCTATTCAATGGTGGTGGTGGTGGTGGTGGTCAATGGCGTCGTTCTGTTGGAAGTGCAACAACCAATGATGAATAATGGATGGTGATGCTGTCTGGGTCTTTTGGTCTCCGCAGAACCCCGTTTGGCCGCCCCAGTAAGTATTTGGCGGGGAGAGAAACGCCGCAAAGGATATCTGGGACAGGGAAAACAGAAGAAGAAGCAGGACAAAGACAAGAAGAAAGGGTGTTGGATGGCAATGCAGTATAATATTGGCCGGTCCAAAGCAGCCTGAGGAGAGAGGAAGAAGAAGAAAAAAAAGGAAAAATAAAATACTAGAAGAGACAGATGTACGGATACGGGTACACGGGATGCAGGTGCAGCTGCCCTGGTGGTCGGAGCGGAAGAGGCAGCAGAAGCGGGCACGTACTCACCGGGGAACGGGTGACGGGTGACGGGTGAGGGTATGCGCGGTCGGCGGCCTTGGGGGGACAGCAGACTTGCAGAGGGGGTGATGATGCAGCAGAACAGCAGCCTGGGCCTCACCTTGCCAGGTTTGCTGGGGAGGGCTGGGGAGGGCCGCCGAGGGAGGAGAGCTCCCAAGTATCTATGTTGCCAAAGCTGGTGTGGAGATACATCTGATGTCAGAAGACCTCTTACCTCCTAAGGAACCTTACCTCAGGAAGAACCGTACAAGTCAGGACCTTACGCACCCTTGGCAGCCTTGCCTGCCTTACCTCACCTTAGGTAAGCTTGCTAAGGCCGACAGGTCCCCACTCTGATGCACCTCCCCCTTTCAGTGACAGCTGCATCCCAGCGCTTGCCGCTATTTGGTAGGGAGCTGACCCCGAAAGGCCCATCCACTCTTTCAGCCTCCAAGTCTCGTCTTGTACCTTTTGGCCTTTAAACAGGCGACGAAGTACACCTCGCGACTTTCTATTGAAATATCGAGACACCGACCGATTGAATGGCGGCTCCATCACACTCACTACCGCCGCCATCTTCCTGCCCGTCCACTACATCTCGCACCAACAGCAAACACGGCGCCTCGGCCACATCCCCTCGAACAACTTGCGAAAAGTAGACTGCGCCGCTGCATGTCCTGCCATGACTCGCTGGTGGCGGTGGACTCGATATTGCCTCGCTGCACCGGTGCGCTACTCCAAGTGAGAAAACAGGGGCATGGCCTGGTTGCTCACATATCACAACATGCCGAGTGGGTAGTTTGAAGTTGAGTACCTCACAACGGCTCGTTGATATACATACGTCTTCTACTCGACCATCCCTGGCCTCGCCCATGGATATCTACAATAGACACGCTTTAGAATGCCAACGCCATCAACGCCAAACCATCGTGTTCGTTTTCTTTGACTTTGCGGCTGCGGCCAACCAGCCATCAACTCCCCTGCAAAAAGCACAAACCACGCGTTCCAACATGCTGCCAACACGTCGCCAACCTGCATTACCATTCATGCCTATGTAGCTATCCTCGTCAAGGTTTTATCTGCGCCAATCAGTAGGCAAGCACCAAGCAGCCCACCATCACCAGAGATGTCTTTGCACTGCTCTACGGCCAAAAGCCTCGGACAGTCGGACCCAGGGGCTGCCAAGCACCACTCAACCAAGTTCTCGCCTGCCCATCCGCTCATTAGTCATGCTCGACCGGACGACATCTGCCCACAGGCGGGGAACCGGCCGAGTGTTCCCGGCCCGACCTACCTACCTTGCACTGTAAACCTGGCCCGTCTGCAGGCCACCGTGTGCCACGGTCAATGCGCTTCTGCTCTTTCTCAGCTCGCCGAAGGCGGCACTCGAAAGACGCAATCATCCACTCCAACAAGTCTCCGAGCGCTCACATCACGCTTGAGCTGCCAGAAGCAGCCATGTTCTAGTCTCACTGTGATTGATTCCAATCCTTAGCTCCGAAGATGGTCTCATGAAATCAGCGTCCACGTTGTGTCTCGTCTGCCTGCATCCTGCAAACCGTCCATTCGGGGCCTGGAAAGGTCCATTGCATAACCTCAAATGACACCTTGGAGGAGGATTCATATATGCGCGTCATGCCCACGGTGTCTCGCCCTCAGGGTCCAGGAGCCTGGGAGGTGCCGTGTGTCCGGTCCATTATCGTCCCTTGTCCATCATGTCGCGACAAGTGCCGAATTCTCCAGATTTTAAGCATTCGGCTGACCCCATTTCGCCTCCGTGGAGGTCAAGGCTGGCCATGCGAGGGATGTGCCAACTCAGCTGGGCCTCAGAGACGGACAGCTTGTTACTTCACGGCTGTGTAAGGGCTTTGGATGTTTATTTGCGTCGGGACATTGAGGCCGCTCTTCAGGTCCAGAGTATGAGCATCTACACTCTTATCATATACGAGAGCCAACTCAGTCTCGCTGGTGGCCCAAATCTCTGATGCACGACAATGTTGAAGCTGTCTATTTGAAGTTGCAGAAAACAAATCAAGTATGGAAACGCTTTCCTGATGGGAGAGGCACCCATGCGCCCGTCCACCCAAGACATCCAGGACCCGATGGCACGGCGCCACGCCGACAGTAGTAGCTCGCCGCCTCCGTATTGTGGATCGGACCGTTGCCCGGCCTCAATTCGGCCCTGCCGCCCTGCCGACCAGAAAATTCACAGACCGCGGATGCAGTTTGTTGTTCCCGCCGCGCAATGGCCATGTTGCATCCAAGGAACAGAAGCCCAAATTTACTCAAATCATACGACTGGCCCCCCTTTCCCATCACTCCAATACCGACTCACTGGCGTGACCCGCAGGTTGGAACCACCGCAAGAATTGGCTGACTCATCTACTGCAGCCTCTAAATTTAATGCAACGCCATCCCAACCAGCGGCCCAAGTGCAGTGACGTCTGCGTCGAAACTGCATCGAAGAAATACCACTCGAGTCTCTAAATTCTTTTACGTTGCAAATCAAACCTCACGAGACTCAGTTTTTTCCTGCCACATACGCCATCATGGCCGCTGCAGACGAACCAATAAGTGAGTACCATCCACTCATTCTCATTCTCAGTCTCACTCACTCACACCGCATGCTAGATGTCGTCTCCAAGGCCTCAACCCGGACGAGGGACGAGGGCCAAATCTCAGACGAGCCACCTCAGAATGCCCTCATGGCCACACTCTCCCGCACAAAAAGCAGGACCAACACTATCCTTGAAAAAGTCTCGCTACGCGAACGCATCCATCACTTTACTTTTGCATGGTACACCCTAACGTAAGCCTCTTCCCTCGTCCCGTGCCGTCGGCTTTCAGCCCTACTTCCCGCCACCCCTGCATCTCATGAGGTATCCGCGACTGACACCTCCCACTACCTTAGCATGTCAACAGGCGGTATCGCCCTCCTTCTCGCCGAAACTCCTCACCGCTTCCGTGGCCTGGAAACAATAGGCCTCATTGTCTTCCTTCTCGACATCGTCCTCATCTTTCTCATCACGCTCGCCCTCTGCCTCCGCTTCTCCTTCTTTCGAAAGACGCCAGCAAAGGCCATCACGCACCCCTCAGAGTCCCTCTTCATTCCGACCTTCTTCCTTTCCATCGCCGCCGCCCTCTCAAACATCCAGCACTACGCCGTCCCAAAATGCGGCCCATGGCTCATCGTCACGTTGAGGGTGTGCTTCTGGATCTACCTCGTCGTCACCTTCTTCGCCTCCGTCGGCATGTACCACCTCCTCTTCACCGGTCGCAGAAGACTATCCCTAGATAGCATGACCCCGGCGTGGATCCTGCCCATCTTTCCCGTCATGTTGTCAGGTACTCTGGCTGGGTTCATGGCCTCCTCGCAACCGCCAAATCAGGCTGCCGCCATGCTGGGGGCGGGTCTCGCAGCTCAGGGGTTAGGCTTCCTCGTCTCGGCTTTCATGTACGCGACGTATCTCTCCAGGCTCATGACTATTGGTCTTCCCGTCCAACGCCCCGGTATGTTCATCGCAGTCGGACCACCGAGTTTCACCGCCGCAGCATTGGTGGCGATGGGCGCAGACGTACCCCGTCTCATCGCCTCCGAGGGATCCTTCATCTCCGGCTCCCTCCGCGACGCGGCATATCTGTACGGCATGGAAAATCCGGGCACTGTTGCATTCGCCGTACGTGCCGTGGCTCTCTTTTCTGCCGTGTTCCTATGGGGCCTCTCGTTCTGGTTCTTCTCTTCCGCCTGTCTCTCTACACTGTTTGGCATGCCCGATCACTCATTCCATCTGAGCTGGTGGAGTTTTGTCTTCCCCAACGTTGGCTTCACCATTGCCACGATCCGCATAGGCGAAGCGTTTGGTAGCGAGGGTTTGTTATGGTTGGCCACAGTGTTCACCATCGTGTTGGTCGCTGTTTGGCTCTTCGTTGGCATTTGCTGTGCTCGTGCTGTCATCAGGAGAAAGCTCGTCTGGCCAGGCCGAGACGAGGACAGCGATTAGATGGGGTCGTTGTTCGCATTTTCCACGGCCTCCCTGATTAGAGGCCCCGACTTCCCGTTTCACTCTTAATCCTAATGACGACGGCGGGCAGCCTGAGAGCCTAGCCGCCCTGCTAATGACTTATATAGACTTATCATAGACTCTATACCCCTGGCCTGTTTCATTAGGCCTTCCTACACCTCAAGATAGCATTTAGATCAAGTATTAGAGCAGGTTTTCAAGATTCTTTGGTATTTCCAAGGATCATAGACTTTCTCCCTCGAGTAAGACAATACCCCTAATAGTAGTTGCGAAGGCCACGCCTCTAGATTATTGCCACATTGTCAATTCGAGCTCCGCTCTGGATGAACCTTCATGACCAAGCCCTACTGAATACAAGTAGCGTTGCTCGCCACCATATCTCTCAACCGTCTTCAAGAGAGAAACACTCTTTCCATTACCAAACGCTGGGCTGGAACCTTCACTTGTCTGTCCATCAGCCAGGCAACCACTAAGAGCGACGATGAGTGAGATCAAAGAACTGACGAGCTCATCAGTCACAGGGAGGTGGCGTCCTCGTTTTGGCCCGTAATCCGACTGAGAAAGCCCATGGCCGCATGAACTTTCAATTCCACGGACCGTGTGATGATTACTTCGGGGTTACTCTTGTCAACAACCATCGCCTGGGTCCCGATGACCGTCAGTACGGGGTAGTCAATGCTGGTTTGGACGTTCCCGATCAGCATGTTGTCTACTGCAACAACGCAAAGGTCCCCAGCGACAATGACCGAGTCCAAATCATCAAGTTCGTCGTCGGCCGTGCAGGTTGTCTCGTCACTATGGCTGATTTGCACCTTTGGCTGGATATCTACAACTTCAACGAAGTCCTCGGCCGTGATGCTTACATCTGGGCCAAGGCGTCCAACTTTACAGATGATTTCAACCTCAGGTCAGAGAGACTCATCTGCGGCATCAAGTTCTTCCGTCAACTCGGCGAACAGCGTCCACGCCATAGTGGTGGTCATTCATCTGTGCTTAAGGAGCCGTTCCTGCTGTGAGTCCCGTCGGTCCCTTTCATCTCATTGCTATTCTAATCATTAGTCTTGTAGACCATGCTTTCCAACGCCTCAAAGACTCATAGCTGAAACGGTTATAGAAGACAAGATGAGCTCTCGGAAAGGATGGGGGCTGGAGATATCACAACGCGCGTTCAGTAACAGTGGCCTGTGAGTTCACTTTGCTTGCTCAGGGTTGTCGAACACTGACGAACGACTGCTGACTATGCCCAGTTTCTATGAAAACGGCAACCTACGATAATTTCATCAATGGTCTACCACAAACAAATATACGAGCTAGCAATAGAAGACAAGATGCCCCAGCAGCCTCGCTCCTCTTTTGACGAAGTAAAATGATAATGGCTAGCTTCACAATCGAGTTCAAGACCTAGAAGCTGTGGAATGCAATGGTAACCCCCTCACGCGGTGACCATCCGACTGTCCACTAGAATCACCTGGACGCCAATTATAAGCTGTATTATGACAGTGTACAGCACAAATCAATTCTATGGTTAAGTCTAATCTGAAATCGATTCTCCAACCATACGCCAACCAGTATCTAGTTCGGAGGGAGATTGGCTGGCTGAGAGGTGCCTAATTCTCTGTTTCAGGGAATCATGTCTCTGAAGAGGGTTCATGGTGACCGCTTGCCTTTGCAGTGAACTTGACTTCATCTGAAGCTCGAAGAACCTTGTTCGTCATGTAAAGCTTACATCAGTCTGAGTTTAGCTAAGTTTTCTCCTTTTACATAGTAGGTGAAACAAAGACTGTAAAGGTGATAGAAAATGTATTGAAGTAGATCATAAACAGATAATGCCCTATTCAATATCTGTTCGAATTCTAGCAAGATCATCCTTTCCAGGAGAGCTTTCTCGTCATTTGTTGGAGAGAAACAACGTATAAGGGCTGCAAAAGTCTACTCTACAGATGAGTGACTGCTATGCGGTATTGATCTTTAAGTTTAAGAGTTTCGACCCAAAACAGCATGTGGATTCCCACAGCTCCCATCTAACACATGCGATTTGTCACACCCGCCTAGCTGTTCTCAACATGTAATCCAAGATTGATTGGTTTAATCCGTACCATCCGCACAAATTCCATGGTTCCGAGGTGTTGACGAAAACTCAGTGTCCGCACTTGGTCCTCCATTCTTGCGTGCTTAGAGAAGGGGAAATGAGAATCTTCTAGCCACCTATTGTGATGCGCCTCGTGACTCAAAAGCCCAAGTCTGAGTCCACCGAAAGACGTATTGAAGTAGCCACTAGTGGTTATCCGATGTTAGCCCTCAGTCGTCGTCATAGACTCTGAGATGCCCCGAGATATAACTTTTCTTAGCATGAAGATGACATGAACATGGCAGAGACGTCAACCGACCTTTGGAAGCATGACATCACCCTTCATCTTTGAGTCACGTTGCTTTGACTTCACCTCATGCGCAAGGCTTTAGGTTTTCTGTGCCAAAAAACCCAGGGTCCAGGTGAGGGCCGGTGAGCTTTCCAGGCTATCCGAGGGGGCCAACGTTGTTGGTTGTCATCCCATATTCAGTAAATGGTTGTGACCTCAAAGGGCTTTCCGTCATGGGACTCAGTGCCAAAAAAAAACTTTATTGAATATGATGAACTGAGATCCATGCGCCGCAGCGGCAGAACCCGGGTATCTCAAGCAGGCGGCAGAAACGACGCAAACAACACACCCTGAATCATGGCGTACATGACCGAAAAAATGACAACCTTGCCGCCAAAGTCCCGCCTCTTGCCGTCGGCGCCGTCGTCCAGCAGACACCCGGCAACCCACCAGTACCACACCGCATACCCGGACGCGATCCTGGTGATGATCTGAACATGGTACGTCGTGATCGCCAAGACGGCAAGCAAGAGTTGGGCAGCGGCCATCGAGCCTACCAAAACCGACGTCGTGCCATTCTGCCCTGGCTGCTTCTCGGCCGTCGGACTCCGCGCCAACCCGGAAGGCCTTTTGACGACCTCCCACCCGGATATCATGAGCAGGACCAGCACCGGCGCGGCAAGAATGAACAGAGGAACGTTCGAGAGTGTCCAATAGCGGAACAAGCCAACGCCCCTGCGTGGATTCAGCGAGATTAGCAAGCAAGAACAGAATCCGAGGGAAAAAAGTGACATTCCACAAGGCCACATCCCACCTCAAATCTCCGCAAGTACCGACCCAAGGCACTCTACGGGGTCCGAGGAGCCGTGGAGGGGCAGACCCATGCCTAGTGTAGGGCTGGAAAGAAATTTCTTTCCAGAGAGAGGAAACAACGGTGAAGCGCAAGAGTACCTACCAGTAATGTTCCTGTACAAAGGAATAGATGCTGGGCACGGTCCGCCCACACCATGTGCGCGCCTCGGATGCGCCGGAACAGTATCGCAACCAGGCAAGCGCCTGTGGCACGACTGACCCGGTTGCCACGAGGAGCCCGCCCATGACGGAACCAAACAGAGCCGCAATGTTGGTCAGGCTTGTAGGGCTGGCGAACAGCGGGGAGAGGATCATTAGACACTCGGTGGCGAAGGGGAGGCCGTTCAGGAGGCCATTTGACCGTGACGCCGTCGCGAGACCAAATATGGCGCCGGCCAGGACCTGAGCCGAGACCCATGAAAACGAACCCCTGGGAGAGCTCGAGGCAGACGCGAGGACGAAGTAGCCGGCAAAGGAGAAGAAGGCGTAAAGACTCTCTGCGTAGGGCGCCGACAGAAATAGACCGGCCGGGGATAGGATGTGGAGTAAAACGGACAGAAATGCCAATCGAGGCCGAGAAAAGAGCTTGAGTGTCAGCTCGTAGAGCATGAGTCCGGCGCATAGATGCGCTACGTGGGCAACGGCGATGCTGAAGGCTGCTTCCAAGGCGCCGGTTCCATCACCCTCGAAGCCAAGCAGCCGCGCAACTCGGACCAGGCCCGACACGACGATTGGCAGGCCGGCGTTGAAAGCCCACTCCTGCTCGAACAGGTAGCCACGTCGAGCGGATTGGGTGAAGTAGAGAGCGTCCCAGCGCGTCAAGCGGGTGACGAGGGAGATGTCGGACTCATTGCGCTGGAGCATCAACGTCGTTGAGGTATCGTAAGACGGCGCCACAGCACTGCCCAGGGCAATGGCCAGCAGGAGGATCTTCCAGGCGACGAAAACGGTGATTAGAGTCTGGCGGGGGTGAGACTCATGACGGGAGAACATGGCTGTGATGACGTCGGATAGAGAGAGTGACAATCGAGTTGAGAAGTGAGAGATGCCGCGATTCCGGGCGCGACTGAAGTTCCGCCAAGTGCCAAGGCGGCGGGATTACAAAACAAAAAGGACAACGGGCAAAAAGAGTGGCACGAGGTCCACTACAAGGAACTCTGAGATGGAGAACAAAGTTTAATTGCCGGAGTGGTGTTGGTGAATGCCTTGCCTTGGAGCTGCCTGCTGGTCGCGTTGAGGACTTGAGGCGAGGTTTGGCGAATAGCGGAGTTGGAGCTGCACCTAAGCCGCGCGCCGGGAACAGCGGGTGTGACTTCGGTGAGTCGGCGCCGTATACCGACGGCGACCAATGCACGGACCATTGCAATTTCTCTCCTTCTGTGCGGATTTTCTTTTCCTGTTTTTTTCTTTCTTTTTTGGCGGTGTGATTATAAACTCCACAGACGTATCCCGCCGAGCCGGAATTCGGGGTCAGTTGAATGCGAGCGGGTCTCGATCCGATCTGGTGGAAACGTCGACGATATGGGTGAGACGAAAAAATTCTGCCTCTCGTTTTCTCAGCCCTTTCTATTTTTCTTTCTTCTCGAAGCGTTCCAAGCGTTCGTCTCATAGGAGGGGCCGTGGATTGTGGATGTCAGTGTCCACCACGGTGTCAAGGGCAGCTCTTCTCAGTGCTACATCACTTCATTTTCATACCTACTATGTAGTAGGTAGCACAGCCTGTACAGACAGGGAGTTGGAGATACAATAGGTACCGCATCGGAATAGGGAACCCCAGCCATGCCAGGGCCACCAGGGTTGGACACTACTAAGCGGAAACCGGTGGATTGTGCCCCTCCACTCCAGCCTCCTTTGCCCCTCTCCCGTCCACGGTCCAGGTCATTGAAAGGCCCGTTTTGAGAGCTCCTTGGTGAAGCACCCTCGCACCCAGATGGCTCAGCCCACGGAGCAGTGAGCATACGTTTGGTGGACTTTGGCCGCAACAGGTTCAGTGTGTGATGAGGGTGTGGCGAAGTCTCGGGCCAGGTTCCATTGCACAGGGCTCGCTCGTCCAGGGCCACCTGTGGACAACGCCGCAACGGGAGGAAACCTCTGACAGGAGAAAAGGGCCTCAGATTTCATCCCCTGAATTGCCGCCCCGTACGGAGTAGTGTACCTAGTCTACTTCCCCTGAGTTTCCATCGAATGCATTCCAGCTGGATGAGAGTAAAACGAGGAACACCTCGGTCCCAGTCCATATGCGGCGGTGGATTGCGCGCCAAGGCCAAGCCTGGCACGCCGCACACCTTGCATGGACCAGGCCATGGGTTCAAGGGATGGTGAGGCTGGATATTGAAGGGCTGTCTCCTTAATAATCTGAATTCCATTGCCATCCAAGGTATCCGTATCTGTACGGATCCTCTGCATCCAATGCTGTGTTTGCTTACCGCCACATGCTCGCCAGCCAGCATCCATCGTGCTGACTAGAGTCTCAGGAAGAGGACCCGACGACCCAACGAGAAGGAGACCAAGCCACGAATGCGGGTGAGCAGCCACCAGTGCGTGCACCACACCAATTTGACCACCCCACAAAGGCTCAGACTTGTGTGCTTGTCCAATGAGCCAAGTCCCGGTAGATCCGCTGCAGTCCAGCCGGCACGATATGCGGATGGGTGGAGGCGCGCGGGCTGGCGGCTGGTCCAAATTCCTATTCTGTCATTTGACGTCCTGGTCCACTGTGATTCAACCCAGCCCGCACTTGAGTGGTCGTTCAGAGGGACGCGCGGATTGAAGCATGTGCAAATGCGACTTCATAGAGGCAGGGAAAGGCACAAGACGCATGTGACTGAGACCATTTCCCTCATCACATTTGATATCTGTCAGGCGCACCTGCATTCAAAGTGTGTAGTCGTAAGGTAGGTAAGGTCGTAATACTGGAAGGAGTAGGGCTGTGAGCGAGGTGCCTTGCAGATGGGACATGTTCACGGTCGGAAGGCGCACATGAGGCAAGCACCCGAGGTGACATTCCGTCCAACGAGGCAAGTCGGCCCCGGTCCCTCTACAGATCGGCATCGGAGCGGAAAGCACCGGCGCGCCGTTCCCGTCCTTCGTCCTCGCCTTCCTCCAATTTCCTCGCCTTCCAATACTTCCTTCCTCATGCTCACACGGCTTCTCCGAGAAACGCCCCCGCTTGTCCTTCCAGAACGATGTAGCTCATCTACGTAGTAAATGTCCTGTGCTCCATCATGTGAGGCCCCCGTAACAGGTAGTTCGGAGCCGGAATCGGCCGTGGGGCAGCCGCGCACAGCCGCGGGCAGCCATAGCTGGGACTTTGCCTGCCAGAACTCACAAAGGTGTCATTGTTTGTTGCTTTGTCTCAAATGGCCTCCCCTGCCCCCCTGCTCCCCAACTCCCCTACTCCCCTCGAGATCCCCAGCATGATTAGCCCCCCCAACCCTGTTATGAGCCCAGGTTACTGTATCCGTTTCTCCGTCTCGTCTCTGAGAGAAGAGCCCGACTCTATTGCGGGCAGCCCCAAACGTTGCTGCTGAGACGACCAAGAGACAGGGCCAGTATCCAACTCTCCGTTTAAGCTTCGCATCCAAGAGGACCCTTCGCCGACAAGGAATGTCAACAGATTGTCAATCTGCGTCCGTTCAGCATCACTGGCAGCCAACCGGATTGGCCACTACATCTGGGTTTCCAACCTTTGCTTTCCGTCTTTCCCGCCCGTCCCAGTAAGCAGCGCCTTTGCTTACTTTACGACATCGAGTTTATCATAGGGCGGCACCTACAGGCAGAGCACTGAGAGCCACAATAGACTCTCTAGAACACCATCAACGCCCGCTTTTGAGACTTAGCTAGTGATCACAAAATGCGTTTTGCAGCCTACCACCCTGTCTAGAACTGTGGTTCTGTAAAATTGTCCCCTCTGCGACAAGGCGCTGACGCTGTCCAGCGACTTCCAAGCGATGGTACTGGGCATCATGGCGGTACATGTGCTTGGTGTACAGCCGCATTCGCTTCCGGAGTCTAGAGACGGAATCCCAATAACGGTAAGGAGGCCAGCTGCAGAGGAAGATGGATGGCCAAGCGGTATCAGCCGCGACCTTGAGCGAGGCAATGCAGCCAAGGATCTAATTGTTGGGCTGGACTGACCAACTTCGATGATCAGTATGCCCTTCACTACTGATTGAGGCCTACCTAAAGCAGGCCTGCAACTCCGCTGGCAGCTATTTCTCAACTGTTCGTAATGCGGGGAGCTGCTTCGGTACACTGATTTGTCCGAAAAGTGACAATGGACTAGCTTTGCGTACCCGGAACTTCACCGCTGTTCCATATCTTGAACTGTCTTGGAAAAACGAGTTGCTATTCGACGATCGAGACGCTGGCGTTGATGTCGCATCGCGGCATCTCATCAACGATTGAACGAATCACCCGGCGCTGAGCCACCGCCGCTAATCTTGCAGATCCAAATCCGAGACTGCATTGCGCCTTTGCCATCTCGTAGTGGTCAAGTCGCGTTGCCCCTCTTGGCTATCCGGTTCAAGTCGAGCTGCTCTCCATGGTGGAGCAATGGCAAGACAATATGCGGCTGTAGTTCCAGCTGCACAACTCGTCGTGAACCAGGACCGATCTTGAGTAAACCAGCTTTACCGACCGGGGATACTAACAGCCATTCCACTCAACAACTCATGATCCAAGTGCAGCAACAGCGTGGCTAGTCAAGTCTTTAATTGAACTACGGTTTCTGTTCCAACTATTTCTTAATTTGGTGCAGATGGCCCCGACCAGCGGCGACCAGCGGGACTCGTTGGGTCCGAAGACAAATCAAGCGCGACAAGGTGTCGCGGATGGTGCTCTTTTCTACGTAGGCAACAAGCTTTTACTCCAATCGGACAAACCATACACTGCTGGCGAAACAAGCGCTCGAAACGAAACAAACAGGCACCCACATGTCACCGAGCTGGCACCGCGGCTTCTGAGCAACGACAGCCCGTTTGCGACGTGTCACGGCTAGGTTAGCCTAGGCGGCCGTTCTGAGTTCGTCAGGTGCGTTAGGTGCGGACGCCTATCATGGATTCGTGGGACGGTCTGATCTAAGACTGTTATTTGCTCGAGACGTCTCACGCGATGACTGCGACCGCGCCGAAAGGCTAACCCTCCGTCTGTGACGGCGCCCGTCTTCCGCAGACCGTTCCTGCTTCTGGATGGTGTCGACGACCCCTCGGTGGTCCCGCCGGTTCCAGAGTGTTAGCCCCTCGTCGGCCTGGCCAGCTCAAATCGACACTCGGCAAGCCACAAATCAGGCGTGAATACGGACGTACAGGCCGAGCAATATGTATCGTGGTTGATCGATTATTCATGAATGCTCAGTATAAGGGGGGG